TTCTATATTCGCTTTTATTAACTATTCTTTTACCTTATAATTAATTATACTGCTTTTAAAACTCTTTAAATTAAAAGCGTTCTATTTTATTAACGGAATATTAAAGGGATTAATTACCGAATATTATTAAACTTAATTGAAAATTAGATATTATATAAAAACGATTTTAATATTTATCTACAATTTAATAATTAATTATCTTATTATTTTCGGTATATTTTAATTAAAATACTATAACCCTATAATATTTTAACTAAATAATTTAATTACATTTACGAACGAATATACAGGCTACTATTTGCTGGTAGACTTATTAATTACCTTTCGATAGGCCCTTAAAGCGTAGGATTATAGTAAACGTTATAATTATAGCGAAATTAACGACCATATAATAACCTCCGTACTATTTATAAAAGAGGATAATAAAGTAGAACCCGAACCTATTATTATCGAAAATTTTAACCTAATAATTACTAATCGCTTTATACCCGCTTAATAAGCGAAACGAGCTATTAAATAGTAATTTGCAAAATTAGAGGCGTAATAGGCGCGTTCTAATACCCTAATACCCACTCTAAAGACTACTCTATTGGTTATTAAACCCGCGGTTTGCTACCTAATTATTAGAGTACGAAAATTCGATGCAAATTGCTATACCCTAATTTACCGAACTTATTATTCGAACGATTTTATCAACCCGAATAATATTAAAGATTTTAACGCAGCGAATTTTAATTAATTTTACAAAACGTATAAATTAAGGGCCGTCCGGACCTCGTATATGGAAATTAGGAAAATTATTGAAGAAGTTAGGGCGGAAAAGGAAATTCAAACTAAAGAGAGAGAAGGGGGCGCCCTAAATTTTAAAGGAGGAAATAATAAAAGTATTATCGGCGGAAAGGTAGGGATAGAACGGATAAGGGTAAACTTATTAATAGATTTACTAACGGAAGAAATAACGAAGGAAATTATAGTTAATAAGGGTATAAAATATAAAATATTACTAGGGAAGCGCTTTTATGGATAAATCGACGCTTACGCCGGTAAGGGCTTTAAAATTGCGATCTACGTCGTTAAAATTACTAACAAAGTATATTTATCCAATAAAGAGGATAAGGACTTCGAATATTATAAAGAAATTATTAAAATTATTAAAATTATTGAAGAAGACGTTACTAAATTCTACGAAAAAGCTGATAGATTTCCTAAAACCGATAATTAAATAAAGGAAAAGCTTCCTAATTAATATTAGAAATATATTAACGTATTTAGGCTAAAAAAAGGCTATAGTTATACCTCTTTACTATATATACAATTTAAAAATTAAATTAAAATTGAGAAAGTAATTACTATACTTTCAATCTCGCCTATTTAACCCCAACGAATTAAACGTTATTAAAAAATAAATTAACGATAATTTTAAAAAAATTTTAATTTAACTTTCCTAATTAAAAGCCGCTTCCCCTATTTTCCTAGTAAAGAAGCTAAGCGGAGGAATACGTATTTACATCGATTATCGGAGTATTAATAATATTACTTTTAAAAGTAAATACCCCTTCCCGTTCATTAAAGAAATTTTAAACGCTATTTATTAAGTGGAAACTTTGATTAAATTAAATATTATTACTACTTTTAATTATATTCGTATTACGGATGAGTATAAATAATTAATAGTATTTATTACGCGCTTTAAACAATTTAAGTCCTTAGTATATCCTTTTAGGCTTTAAAATACCCCTAGTACTTTCTAAAATTATATAAATGATATTTTATATAATATTTTCAATATATATGTAATAGCGTATTTAGACGATATTTTAATTTTTTCCAATAATAAAGTAGAATACGAAAAGTATATTAATAACGTATTAAAGCAGTTAATTAGGGCTAGCTTATAAGTAGACATTAATAAGTACGAATTCTATATTAACAAAATTAAATACTTTGGGTTAATTATTATACCGGGAAGTATTAAAATAAATTTAGAGAAAGTTAAGGTTATTATAGACTAGTAATCCCCTATTTTGAAGAAATTCTTATAACGCTTTCTAGTCTTTGTTAATTTCTATTATTATTTATTAAAGGATTCTTATTAATAGCGGTACTACTCTACGACTTTATAAATAGGGATATAAAATAGGATTAGACCCTAGTTTAATAAATTACTTTCGAGATTTTGAAAATGGCCTTTAATAGCGGACCTATTTTATATATATACAATTAATTAAAGAAGACAATTATTAAAACCGACGCTTCCAATTAAGCTTTTAGCGGTACCTTATTATAATATAGCGACGATAGAATTTTATACTTGGTAGCTTATTTCTTATTATAGTATATTACTTAAAAATATAATTACAATATTTATAATAAAGAATTATTAGCTATTATTAAAGTATTAAAAGAATAGAAACTAAAGTTCGAAGGCGTATAGTAATTATTCGATATTTTAATAAACTATAAGAATTTAAAAAATTTCACTACGAATAAATAATTAATTCCGCGCTATATACAATAATTATAATTCTTATCCCGTTTCGAATTTTTAATCTACTATACCCCCGGTTCGAAGAATCTACGTTTTAATATTTTAAGGAAGAAGCCGGAGGACGTCCTACTAAATATAGACGATTACTCTTTAAAGGCTAGGAATTATAATTTTATTAACCCTACCCACTTTGAAGAAGGTTATTTAAAAACCCTATCTAATATTACCATCGATATAGAGGTAAACGAAGAAATATTCCTATTAATACTAAACGTCCTAAAGGAACTAGAGAAATTTATGGACGATATTATTAATAATAATTATATTAAATTTATATCAATATAAGAAGTAATAGCCTATTTTCGAAACTTTAACTGGTCCGAATAGTGCCCCTATATTAAGAAGAAATTATAAATAATATTCGCGGAGTATTTAATAATAGGAAATAAAATTTACTATAGAGGACGAATATTTATCAACTCTAACAATACTATTACTTACTTATAATTTATTTATTACGCTTATTCTTTACTAACGGTAGGATACCTTAATAGAAATAAGACTTAGGTATAAATGAATGAGTATTAGTACTAATTAAGTATAATAGAAGCCGTTAAAGCTTATTATAAGGGATATTTCGTTTATTCGAAAACGAAAGCATTATAACGAATTAAAACTAATTACTTAAAATTAATACTAGCCGCCTTCGTACTTTGGTATAATATTAATATTAATTATATTTTACCCCTCCTAAAGAATTTTTATTTAGGCTAGAAATTTAAATATATTACTATCGTAATAAATCGTTTTATCAAAATACAATACTATATCGCTATAGAAATTATAGAAGTAGAGGAATTTATCGATTATTTTATCGATTATATATATACCCTCTATAGCCTTCCCGATACCGTAATATCAGATAGAGGCTCCTAGTTTATATTAATATTCTAAACTACGATTTGTAAAAGATTAACTATTAAGCAACTATTAAATTCCACTTTCTACCCCCAAACGAATGCTTAGATAGAATATATTAATATAGAAATAGAATAATACTTACGGATATTTATAAATTGGGTATAAACGGATTAAGTTCGTTAGCTCCCCTTAATAGAGTTTGCGGGTAATAATATAATATTAGAAACTATAGGAATAACCCCATTCTTTATTAATTACAGTTTTTACCCTTAAATAGGCATTGAACTATCCTTAGTTACAAGGTTATAGTTATCCCTAATTTAATAAAAAGAATACCTGAAAGTTAACGAACTATTAGTCCGCTTTAAAACTATTTAAAACTACGTTCAAACTTCGACTAAGAAGGTATAAAATTACTACGAATCTAATACTAACGAAAAATATTCCGATATACCCAAATATTAAGTTAGTGACCTAATTATATTAAATACAATTAACCTCGTCAACAGCCGCCCTTACAATAAATTATAACCTTAATAGGAGAGCTGTTTTAAAGTCAATTAAGCCAAATCGTACGATATTAAACTAATACTATCCGTTAATATAAAATATTTACTAGTATTCTACATATTAATAATTAAACTTTTTAAAGAAGGTTTACCCAACTAAGCCAATATCTAAAAGGACGTAAGGGCTAACGAAGGTAAGGTAATAACGAAAATTAATAACTACGAAGAGGTCGCCGAATAGGAATTCAATAAACTTTTAATATACTAATAAAAGGGAGGCAATTATTATTAATTCTATACAATCGTATAAATTTATTGCGACCTAACCAAAGAACTACTAACTAATATAATTAATACGAAGGAAATTATTAAAACCTTTTATAATAATTACCCCGACGCGCCGATTCTACCCGAAATTAGATAATAGTTAGAAATTAAAACTATATTATAAAAGAAAATACTACCTACCCTAATACCCCGCCCATCGACGGCGACTACGTTATAACCGCTACTTATTCTAATACTCTACTTACTGACAGCTATAGCCTTAAAGCGCTCTAAACGTATTACGGACTTAAAGGAATAAATTAATTCACTTGCAAAGGGAATTACAACCGGGCCTAACCTGCTAATTAGCCTACTATTAAAAATAATTCCTAATTAACCTATAGAAGAATTATTGGCGGATAATATAAAGAAGATAAACAATACTTTTAAATTAATCTTTAGTAAACTATTAGAAATATACTAAAAGAGGAGGTTACATACGAAGAATATAGTAGTTAAACTAGAAATAAGGATATATTAGTAAAGTAATAATAATTAGGAACTCAGTGAGTTTAGGGATATAAGGAGGATCCGGGGATTGCAAGCGGGAGAACTCAAGTTTCAATTACGGGTAGAGGAGCTTAAAGATGGGGATTGAGGGATAATTTATTATTTTATATATATATATATTTTTTAAAACTTTAAAACTTCTTTTATAAGGAAGTAGTATTATAGGATTACCTATAATTGTGCTTTGTATATGTACGGCTTCCGCTATTAGTAGTCGAGCTTCGTGCTGTGCTATTGCTGCTATACTATTGGCCAATGGTATATTACGTGCATGTGTACGTGCAGGTCTGGCTCTGGGCATGGCTCAGCCCTACCCTATATCGCCAGACCTTTGCACACTCCTCCCTCTTCCTCTCCTCGTACAACTACGCATATCCAACCTACCCCCTAACCGTCGCCTTGCCCCGTGATATAGACATTGGATGTCACGAACCGCATTTTTCCGCTATAGTACTTTCCATAATGACTGCCAATGGTTTCTGAAGCGAGAAAGGACATCTCGTTTTACCAAACCCACCACATGCTGTCCTGATACCTCGCGTCGTCACTCGTCGTCACTAGTAACACAAGTCAGTCAACCATTCTAAACAATCAATGCACAGAAAAGCCCCGTGAATAAGCATCGTGAACGTCGATCTAGTACTAACCTTCTTACGCCATTCCGCAACATCACCGGACCCAAATAGCTCTACTGTCTCTACAGTCCAGCACTGGAAAATGTGTTAGCGTTGAGTAAAGTTCCTGAAAGTTCAGCAGGGTGAGGGAAACAACAGGCTACGGTTGTTGGATGGAATCAGATGTTTTGATTATCTGTTGTTGGGGGACAAAAGGTGCTGTGATTGGGCTACTGTTGATGTTGCTGTTAAGAAAGGCGAATGTTCATTGAGATTGGCCTTGAGGCCAATCATCTCGGTTCAAAGTACGGAGTGCGAGCGGACAACACCTTGGTTGGATCTCGCATGGGCACAGAACTTTGAACGGCGGACAGTCTCTGGTTAATTCCACTTCTACTGTCATTGCTTCGAACACTTTGAACACTTTGAGCACTTTGAGCAACTTGAGCGCCACTGGGTGCTAGGGTCTAGGCCTTGGGGAAGCTGGGGACTGGGTCACTAGGGTTTGGTGATACTGAGGCCTGGGGATGCTGAACTTGCACCGCTGGGCGCTGCGGATGCTGATGAACTGTCGCCAGATCCTACTTTACCTTACCAAGAACTTGAAGGAGGGGTAAAGTCCTTCCGAAAGCCCAGGTCAAGCAAGCTAGGACACAAAAAAACCAAACTTTCAGGGATTAGATGTACGTACGTGTAGCCTCACTTCTACTTCTGAAGCTTCTGCTTCTGCTTCTCGCCATCGCCATCTGCCTCCTTCTGGTCATCCTTATGTTGGTCTTCCTTCGCCTGGAATCCACGGCTCGGCTCGGCTAGCAGACCGGAAGGGTTCGAAGGGGGGTAATACGGAGTAGGCGGGCGCTTAGAGAGGAGATCCGAGGAGGCGACTTTGTCGAAGTGAGACTTGGGGAGGATGAAGAGGGGCTTGGGCTTTTTGGACGTGGGTGTTCCAGTTGGGTTGGGTGACATTTTGAGAACTTCTTCGAGATTTTGGAGATGTTAAACGCCGTGAGTTGGTTGAGCAAGGCTCGAAAGGCGTCTGTCTGGTGATCGGTGATGGTAGGTTTCCCGTCGTTCCGATGGTTGAGGTGAATGACGGATGATGGATGGAGAATTTGGACTGGGCTGGACGGGGACTGGAGTAGACCGGAGTAAGAAGTGAGTGTGCACACACTGGTATTTGTGCTCGAGCTGTTTGACTACCTGTCAATTCGCGTCGTCTCCAAATACTCTATTGTTTTGTAATGGCTTGCTGGGGAAGGCGGTGGAGCGACTGCGAAGGAGGAGGGGATAGGTGAACAGCTACAATAGGTAGAATAGGTACACAGTAAATAGGTAGAATAGGAGGTGAGATATAGTGGAGTGTACGTGTGATATGTTATAGGTCCAACTCTATTGACAAAGGCTATGTTCGGATGACAATCTCAACAAAGGGAGATTTGGCTTGGAGGGGCAGTGAATGGTCTGTCTCGCCAAATTATGGCGGGCTTGATGTCAGATTTTGGTGAGGTATGGATCAAAATCCATCGGACTGTTTCTATTGCCCTCCATTCAACGCGAAAGATTTCTTGTGTGGAAGTGTCGTGGAAGTGTCTTGGACGCGCCTTGGGATTTCATCCGAAAGCAGGGTGGGCCGTCAAGGTGACTGGCCTCCATCGCAAAAGCCATCCGTCAGTCTCTCCTGGACAATAGAACGTCCGTGCTTTGTCAATAAATGCATACTGGTAATCCCAATTACCATCTTGTTGACCGCCTGAATTTTTTCCACAGCATGCCCGATGGCCATTGTTCAGGATCAGTTCCAATGAAGCCATTCCCAACCCCAACCTCGCCCATTGGGGTAAACCCCGAGGAGACTCCTCATGACCGACATCGACAGGCTAAGTTCGGCACATTTTATACCACGAATCACCATTCAGCTGGTGACTTTACGCGAGGGGAAATATGACGTCGAATCTCCTCTTTTCCCTCCTCGTTCCAGGCGGGGTGGCAGGATGCGTGTGTGTTTACCACGGGTTTTTGGAAACCCCATGCGTCTGTCGTCATGGCCAACATCATGGCTCGTAAAATATTTAAAGATGGCTCCAAGCCTCCTGGTCCCACCAACATTACTCTCTCCCAGGTATTTCCCTTGCTGACGGGAAATAGGAGGTACGGGTGTATACCACATGGTCACCATGGTTCGGTCGAGGAGTGTCCATGGCCCGTTCAAAGCCAACCCTGCGAATCCGGTGTTGACTAACGCCAATACTACCAGTTTTTGTAAGTCACCTTATCTTCCTCCATCTCTTCATGTCTAGCTGTATTAACGCTTTGTAGGACGGAGACAACAGGATACCCTGTTCCGGTATGCCACCGACCTCGATTTCGTTCCGGAAAAGGAGGAGGACGAAGCGGGCGTGAGCGTGTTTTTGACGCAGAACCATCATCTCGACCTTGGTATTGTGCTTTTACCTGCTGGGTCAGCTACCGGGTCATTTCCTGGACATAACTCTTCATCAGTCACCGAGGGCGGCGAGGGAGGAGGGCTGGTGCCGCATGTTAGGTTCCGCGGGATAATATGTCCCTGTTCCGGACCCGGTGGTTGTCCCTCTACCAGAGAAATGGGTGGGGGGTACTCGGACGCTGGAGATCAAGGCGATTAACTTGCAGCATTATGCGTTTTCGGTTGGACCGGCGGACGGAGATGGGAGATGCAGACGGTTGTGACGGCTTCGAATGCGCCGGTGAGTTGGGGGTTCACGGGAACGATACTGGGGGTTTATTGTACGAGTAATCGGCCGAGGGAGAATGGGGTGGGGGCGCCGGTTTATGTGAAGAAGTGGGTGTAGGGGTTTGGATAGAAAGGAGGATCTGTGGAATGTTGTTCATGACCTTTGTTGTCTTGAAGTTGGATGATATAAACAATGAAACACAGACGATGTTCGGAAAGATGTTTCGGGCAACCTTAACAATTTCCACTGAAGAGTGGATCCTTGGTGACCAACGCGCCTAAAAGCGGGTGGTCCCCGCCGCCCCCCACTGAACCGCTGCGGCGGGTCAGATCCAGCGGCCTGCAGGGGCAACTTCAGGGTAACATCAACGTCAGCGAAGTTGTCCGTTATTTTCCCGTTTTCAACTTGTTCATTTTCTTTGTCTATCACGAATCATCCCAACAATCACGCGCGTGCTACCCTACAGTCACTCGCAGGCGAGAAGCACACCATCTAATACGGTAGATTTCAACGAAGAGCAATCCAAAGCATCGCTACCATAACTGCCTGCGCCTGGACGTGTCCACCAGTCCACCGACTAGTCCATCCATCTCGCACCTCAACCAGGCCAACCCAACACCTTCCCAATCGACACCGGCCTCGGCCCCCAACCTCCAAAATGCAAGGCTTCAACATGGGCAAATACGTCCCCCCAGACGCCGAAGGCGTCGTCACCGGCAACCAGCTCAGCAAAAAGCACCCCCTCGGCGCCCGCGCCTCCAAGCTCGCCTCCCAGGGAATCCTAACAGTGCGCTTCGAGCTCCCCTTCGCCGTGTGGTGCGACACTTGCCAGCCTCACCCCACCATCATCGGACAGGGAGTGCGGTTCAACGCGGCCAAGAAGAAAGTCGGCAATTATTATTCTACGCCTATCTGGAGTTTCACCATCAAGCATGCGGTCTGCGGCGGGGAGATTGAGATTAGGACGGATCCGAAGATGACGAGGTATGTCGTTGTTAGTGGGGGACGGGCGAGGGATTCCCCGAAAGATGAGGATAGTTTGGTGAAACTTGGGGAAGGAGGTGGTGGTAGTGGTGGGTTTGAGATACAGACGGAAAAAGAGAGGCAGGAACAGAGGGATGCGGCGTTTGGGAAGCTGGAGAAGACGATTGCTGATCGGGAGAGGGCGGAGGATGCAAAGGTTAGGATTGATGAGTTGCTGGATGCGCAAGAAAGGCAGTGGGAGGATCCGTATGCGAGGAATCAGAAGCTGAGGAAGGCGTTTAGGGTGGGGAGGAAGGAGAGGGAAAAAGAGGCGGAGAGGACGGAAGATCTCAAGGAGAGGATGGGGTTGGGCATTGAGTTGTTGCCGGGCACTGAGGAGGATGAGAGGAGGGCGAGGTTGATTGAGTTTGGGAGTGTGCCGGATGGGCTGCCCTTTGGGAGGGATGATGTGGTGCAGAAGGCGTTGGCGAGGCCGTTGTTTGGGGGTGATGAGAACGGGAAAAAGGAGGAGAAGAGTGGGAAGAAGAAGAAAGATGTGTATAAAGGGAAACTGAAGTCGGAGATTGCTGCTACCAAGATGCGAGAGGCGTTGGTCTCGGAGATTGTTGGGAATACTCGAGCGACTAAGGACCCGTTTCTCGACTGGGGGAGTAAGGAGTCGACACTCAAGCGGCGAGGAGCTTTGATACCCGGGCTGAAGAGGAAACGGGCTGCTGGAGAGGAGACTCCCGATCCACCACCCGTGAGAGCAGCATCATCGATGACTGGTCCTATTGCCGAAGGCAAGGATGCTGGATCAAGGGATAACGAGGAGACCAAGAGCGACGAGAAGTTGCCATCTGCGGCTCAGACGACAGCGGGTGGCTCAACTACACAAACGAGCAAACCCGGACTCGTGGCTTACGATTCTGATTCGGACTGAGTAAACAACGACGAGGATGCATTTACGGAGTTTTGGGTCTGGATGGATACAGCATAGTTACCACATCGGAGCGAAATAGCATTGTTTTGCAGCCTTAGATTTTACATGTTCAGTTTTACAGATACGCAGATGAAGAAGCGGCCTGGCGACGATAAACCGCCAGGCCAGGAAGCACCCGACAGAATTGAATGAGGCCGGTAAGGCTCCGCTGGAAAGGCGAAGGTGACTTGATGCTGTATGTCTGCATGCGTCACCCAGCCGGCAGCCGCTCCTTCCATCTCATCCCGTACCTCATACCTGCCCCTGCCAGCCAGCCAGCCGCTCCTTCCATCTCAGGCAACCTTATAATCCACCCATCCCATACCTCCTTCCAACACCCCCAGCCAACGACCAGCCAATTCTGGTGATGGTCGGATAGCGCAGTTAGTAGTACCGTTCCCGGCGTTTCCAGTTCTGTAATCTCCCACCCCGTCCGACTTCGAGTAAGTTATTGTGATGATGTAGTTGTGGAAGAGGATGTACGCGAGAACATTGAGAAAGAACTCACTTCAAGCACAAGAAAGAGGAAATCCGCCGCGAGCGTTTCGAACGAACCATGAAAAGGCCGCCTTCAACGCTGGAAGATTACACCACCAGTCACTAATAAAATACAATAGCGGGACAGACAATAAGGCACAAACAAGTCGAGAATCTCTCATTCGCAAAGAAGCTGGTTGACCCCAAAGGCGTGCGTGGATTGGCTAGTATATAGGTCTAGATGATTGATTACCTCTAGTATATACCTACAATTTGGAATAAACTTGGACGTCCAAAGCCAACGACGACACCTCGCCCATCCATCCCATCCCTCCACATATCGCACCCACCCCATCGCTGAAAAAAACATACCCTAGACTAAGCCGGCGGCAAAAACGAAGTAAACAACACCCCCTGAATCGCCGCGTACATGACCATAAACACCACGATCCCCTTCCCCAGCTTCTTCTTCTGCTTGTGCCCATCGATAAGCTGCTGAGCCAACCACCAGTACCACAACGGATACCCGGACGATATCCGCGTGATGATCTGCACGTGGTACGTGCTTACCGCGAGGACCACGAGCAGCACCTGTTCCGCGGCTGCCGAGCGGATGAGGATCTGCATGCGCTGTTGGGTTGCTGTGGTTGTTGATTCGGGGGCTAACTGCTGTGTGACTACCTCGTCGGACTTGACGGAGCCCGATGAAGGGGTGTCCGAGGCAGAAGAAGAATTCGAACCAGAAGCGAGAGTTTTAGGTGGTGTTTTGGACTTGGTGTCGGAGTTAACGGTTACTGTTGCTGTTGCGGGAGATGGAGGAGACCGCTGACTGAGCTGGTCCAGTGCCGACTTAACCAGGATCGCGAGCATCGGAGCAGCGAGTAGGAAAAGAGGAATGTTGGGAAGTGTCCAGTAGCGGAGGAAACCGACGTTCCTGTTTTCAAATTTCATTTCGTTAGTTCACGATTGCAATTTCCCCCCTTTCGGCGACATGAGTAAGTAATAGGTGATAGAAGTCGGTGATATGGGAGGAAGTAAGTAAGACGAGGATGCGTTTTGGTGTGTTGTCCAATCGCCACTGATTTTGAAGGTAGAGAAAGAAGCCTCACTTTGCTTCATTCCCACCACCCACCCAGACAGAGTAAACGGAGAAGTAGGTCCATCCAAACAAAGAAAAAAGAAAATAAGAAAAGGGGCCAATCAGAAAAGGACTTACCAATAATGTTTCTGCACAAACGTGTAAATGCTTGGCACCACCGCACCGCACCACTCCCTCGCTTCTTGTGCCACAAGTTCCTCTAACCCACCACCAGCACCCGCACTCACACCAGCACCAACGCCACTTCCGCCATAGCCGCGGGCGCTACCGCTACCCCCGGATGTCCCGGATACCGCTACTACCTCAGGTGACAGGAACTTGTTAAACAACCACAAGCTGCCAGAAGGGCAATACCTCAACCACGCCACAGTTTGCGGCGCGATACTTCCCGCCGCTACGAAGATCCCACCCAGGCCTAGGGCGATTAGTCGTCTCAACGTCTTGAGCAGCGGGACTCTTCCTCTTCCCCCACCAGACGTAGTAACGAGCCCTGATAGGATACTGAGGACTTCCCAAGCAAACGGTAACCCGTTTAAGATACCGTTACTCCTGAACAGTGTCGCCAAGCCGAAGGAGAGGCCGGCTAGGAGGAGGTTGATGTCTCCTTTTAGGGTTAATCCACTCCTCCCGGGTCTCTTTTCCTTGCTGCTGCCCGTTGCATCCTTTCCTCCGCTGAAACTGGCAAAAACGCCGTCGGGATCAGAAAGACACGACCTAGCATAAAACCACCACCCCAAAAACGAAAACAAGGCGCAGGAGCTTTCGGCGTAGGGGGCGGAGAGAAAAAGGCCGGCGGGGGAGAAGATATAAAGGAGGGAGGTGAGGAGGGCTAGTTTCTTTGTTTGGTAAGGAGAGGAGCTGGAACCGGAGAGTGGTAGAAGGAGGGTTAGGTGATAGAGAACAAGAGAGGCGAGGAGGTGGGAAGCGTTGGAGAGGAGGAGGGCGGTGGTTGCTTCTGCGAGGGCGGTGGGAGAGGTGGTGAGGGGCATGGGGAGACCGAGGGTTTGGAGAGCTGCGAGGTTGTTAGTGACTGCGTTCTTTGTGAAGTTTGGGGGAGGTGAGGTGTGTGTGGTGAGTGTAGTAGATGGACGGCGTGAATGAGGTGAATTTGGTGAGCGTAGATGGGCGTGATGTGAGTGAGAGGCGTGGCGACTGTGGAGGCATTCTCTTCAACAAAGAGAGCATATCCCCGAACTAGCTCTTCAACACTTATCTTCCTCTCACCCTCTCACCTCCTCACGACGCCACAACCCATCCATTCCCATCCTCACTGAAAAATCCCCAACACCCGAAAAACAAAGACAAAGAAAAGGAAACTCACCCCTCAAAACCCCCTTCATGCACACCACCAACCCCGTCCCAAAAGCCCACTCCTGCTCATAAACATACCCCCTCTTCGCCGCGCTCACAAAGTAAATGGCATCCCAACTCGTGAACCTCGTGACCAGCCGCTTGCCAAAGTTCCTCAACAGCTCTGCAACCCCATTACCATCGTTGACAGAGAGAGGTTCGTCATTGCCTATCAGCAATAAGTCGGCTGAAGTGTCGTAGGCGCGGTCGTTGACGAGGGTGGAGCCAACGGCGATGGCGAGGAGGAAGAGTTTCCAGAGGGCGAAGGATTTGAAAATTGTGCGGTGGGGGTGGGTGAGGGCACTGGAGGTAGAGATCTTGGATCTAGGTGAGGTAGTGGTGGTCATGTCATTGGTTTGGTAGGGTTGAAACCCTTGGGACGGGAACTTTGAGCTTCGATAGACAGGGGCCGAGGATAGAAGGTAGACAGCCGGCGATGATGGCCCAAAAGAATGTAGTCGGTAATGGGATGGCGACGGGAAGGCCGTGGGACTGTGGTACACGTGTATCTCGACTGTCGAAGGTGTACCTTGCGCGAAAGGTGGTACTGTATCCCCCGTGTGTGAAAAGGTTCCACGTGGAGTCAGGGGCTCTTCTCGCGCGGTTGTAGATTGGCGAGTTACCGGTGTGTCGGTAAGGCTGAACGAACCCGATAAATGAGAAATCTTTAACTGGTTATGATTAAAGGTCACTCTCTTCTTTTGCTTTGTTTCTTCCCAATGCCGTTGTATGTGCCGTGTTGGGGCGTTCAAGCCTCCAAATCCAATTGTGTGAACGTGGTGTGTGCCTCTTCGTTGAGAACGAAGTTGTCACTGTCAGTGTCACCAACGCCTTGAAGTTGCAGCGAGTGACATTGTCGCGGCGTGGCACTGAAACTTACGGTATGCGCTGTATTGCAGAGCGGTAATTGTTAACGCACCCTAAGCCTTTAATAAGATGCAACGCTCGGACCCTCTGCCATGAACATTCTATCACGACTCACGACGCTGCCCGTCCGCCATGGTGAGAGCTTCACGCCTCCTTTCCTCTCAAGTAAACAAACTTCCTTTTCCAGCACGAGGAGTAACCTCGGGAGTAACCGGAAACCGCTCCAGCCTCATAGCCATACCCATCGTGGCGGTGAGCCAAGATCGCACGAGGCTATCTGTCGGTAGTTGAGTGTCAACACCAGATATTGCATCCCAGCAGAAGGTGGCCTGTCGCTTGTGAAGGCCGCTTGGACTGTCACTTTCTCACCATATCCTTAACAACGCCATCCATGTACAAAGTCCAGAACTGCAAAACGGCTATAAAAGGCCCGATGGACATTCTGCCTGATGTCTAAACTCCGCTGGATGAGAAATTCGGAAAATTTGAGAAAATACGGCCGGACCTTGTTACCATGACATCACTTGTCGCCGTTGACCACCAGCATTCCCTGAGATAGGTAGGCGAATGAACCCCTGAAGACACAGGTATTACCCCTGGACTTATTCTTTACTGTTCTTTTTCATTTTCATTTTCATTTTCTTTTTCCGTTGTCCTTCGGCATCATCATCACCTCCAGCTTCTGCTGAGCTCTGCGGTCGGTTTGCTTGATTATGGGAGCTCCGCAGACTTGTTTGTGTAAGCGGAAGTTCTCACGATAACTTAACCGTTTGACGATCTCCAAAACCCTGCCATTCCCACCATGGTCAAATCATGTCATAGTTCGCGCCCTATCAAAGTGGGCTTTTTTTTTTTCCCTCGCCGCGCCTTTCTGACGTTCTGCCCTATGAGTCTGTGACACGCCGAGCCATCTTCTAGGCTTGCCGAATCAGTAATGGTGATTGCAACAGTGACATCGTCCCGTTGCTCCCACTGGACCCCCTCCCACCGGGCACCGAAAAGCCCAAAACCAGCGGCGCCGGCGTGACACATCATGGCACCCCATAAAAAAAGATCACAGCGGACCGGAGTGACGGACATCGGGGTCCAGAAGGACCCCGTTCCGACCGATACACAGGGCGTTCGGTTGTTGCGGCCGTGCGGGCGGGACTTTCCGGCGCTTCCCAACCCAATATGTCCACACCGCGGTGAAGAAAAATTTCACAGTCACCTGCAGTTGTCATGTCGACGATCGGAATCGATCGAAACTTTTTTTTGGAGCCGGGAACAGATTTAGCGTCCAAAGTTCTTATCCATTTTTTGTGGATTTTGTGTGATTTGTGCATTCGGAATCCCTCTTTCCGCTTACATAAAACTCTCCAGTCTCCAGTCCCGCTGCACTGCATCGAAATAATCCACAGTGGATCGAGGCTTTTCGGCGGCTTAAAGCGGTTTGGGTTTGACTCCATCGCGAAGTGAAGAAGAATTGGGAAAATGGAGACAAGTGGAAGTGGAACTGTGGAAGAAGCTGCAGCTCCGGCTGCAGGACACCAGTCCGGTGTTTTTCAGTTTTCACCGCCAAAACTCAAAAGTTCAGCTGGGAGCTGAAGGTGGGTTCAGTTGTTTGCGAAAGCGGGGTTACTTGAACAACGACGACAACGAGGAGGACGTGAGTGAAGATGTCTTCACTCTTGTGATCATTAATAATCGGCTTTTTATGAGTTCCAGTAGTCAACGCAAATCACGTAAGTAAGATTGGCCAACGGGGAATTTTATATAACCAAGACCCCGGCCGCCGATGACAAAGTCAGGGATACTATGTCTTGAGGGGAAATCATGGAACATGTAGTTGTGGAAACGGCGAACTGTTTCGTTTCGTCCATGGAACAAATGCCGTATGGTGTCTGTATCATGTGACGCCGTCTGTATAAAAATACAACCCCCGTACGATACCATCCCTACGATACGGAAAACAACTGAACATGTCTCTGTTATAACAAACGCTCCATCGGTACAGTCCAAACCATCAACCACCTCATCATATATCGTCATGTCACCTTGAACACCTCTGTCTGTTCTACCTTCTGTTGTATTCCTGTCTTGAGTATTCTTCCATTTCAATGTGAGGCAGAGCAATAACCATGCATGCCTCCCTCACACCCTCAACGCAATCACCTGAACTTGCTAACGATAACCGCAATGATAAGCAGAACCAGCACGGTAATGATGGCAATAGTGATTATCCGATTTGTAGCCATCCTAGTGATAGAGGCACAAGTGGTCAGTATTACTTGGCATCATGATTCGCATCGGGGCAAAGGGAGGGTGGTACCTGCGTGCCATGCCCTTTAGTGTCTTGACACTTCGGTCCACATAGCCTTCACTCTCGTATAGTATCGTGGTGGTGTGCTCGATGACTTCGCGTTGGCGGTGCAGGTCGGCCAGGGTGCTGGCGCCGATGGACTCTGTCTCGGCGGCCAGCGCCTGGCTGGCCTTGAGGCGTTGTGTGCTCCGGTCGAGCCGGTCGGTGCCTTTTACGTTTCGGGGAAATGGTCAGCATTCAACATTCCTCCTTGCCAGGTATTAAGGTCCTTTCTGTCCACCACCCACCAGATAGCAACTGCTGCCTCTGCTCAAAATGCCTATCACCACTCGACGAGCCCGGGTTATCGGTATATCTGCCACCGAACAGGGCGCTCCGGTCCGTGGCCAGCGTCTGCAGCTTGCGGCGGTACTTGTCCACGTCGCTCCTGTAGTCGCGCAGTCGCTTGTTGATGGCGGTCCGCGACGAGCTGGGCACGTTCTGCTTCTCCATGTTCATCTGGTCCAGCAGCTCGCCGGCCTCCTCCAGGGCGCGCTCGGCGGTGCTGAGGGCGGCTTTCCGGGGCTCGCCTGTCAGCTCCGAGATCTGGTCGAGCTTCTGGACCAGGTCGGCCTGGACCAGCTGGTATTCCGTCTCATAGTGCTTGAAGAGCTCCGTGCCGGCTTCGCTGTCGAGGATGTTGGCCATGTTGAATTATGTGGAGTAATGTATCACCTACACTATCGGAGTTGGTGTTGGTGTGCTGTCGTCGGGCTGGCCGGATCGGGGTTTCGTTTGGTGTTGCTCGTTATTCGGCGGGTATCGTGATTCTCAATTATTCAGATTCGTCGTTAATCATGCGAAAGAGGGGCGCGTTGATGCGGTCGCGATAGGGGAGATGTGTTTGGGCTGGCGTGTGGTTGGTCTAATCGCAAGGAGTGGTCGTCGAAGGTTGTCGCCAGCGACACTAATGTGATTCGAGCCCCGTAGTCGGTCGTCTCAGCAGCCTGACAAGCGAAGTGGAAGGCAGGCGGGAGACGCAGCAGTGGGCACGAACCAGATGGGCACGGACCAGATGGGCACATGACATTGTTACATACAGTTACAGCGGTCACAGCTGCAGCCTGGGCAGGTGACGTACACATGCTTAGCGTTGGCGCAATGCAGTGTTGTTGCAGTACGTGTACGTAAGCACTGTAATGTCTGTAAAGTGTAACTTACACAGACCTTGACAATGAACTCCGTCTGGGACTGCCGGGGACTTTGGCGTCTTCAACTCGTCAATTGGTTTCTTTGTGTGACTGAGTTGACCTTCCATTATGATCTGTGGAATGGCCAGCAATTGAGACTGATAACGAGTGAACTGTTTTGGGAACATGTCGTTTGAAACCTCCAGTCAGCGGCCAGCCACGTCCCAAGACATGCTAAGATGTGACGCGCTTCTTGGCTGTTTTGCGGGGAAACATGATGAGTGTCTGTAATATCTTATCTTTTCCAACTCTTTTTCGAGTTTCTTGTCTGTCGTCACCGATGCTTTGGGGAAATGTTCTCCTGACAGCCAAGTCGGAATGGTCGGCAATGTTGTCTTGCGGCGCAATCAGCGGCCTGACATCGCCACGAGGTTAGCTCCTCAGTTTCCAGTTGCTGCTCTTAAATCATATATATGTCAGCTATGACATTTGAATTCGCAGCCAACATCAAAACACCAGGACCAGCCTCGTGGCACACACATTTTGTCGCACTCCTCGCTTCGGGCTTCCAAGCAAATCCCAGCTTCACCATATTTTTTTTTACAAAAAGCTCTGCACTAGGCTTCAGCCCAGCGTTACCTGCCCGTCTGACTAAACCTCCAACTCAAATCATCACCACCAACCAACGGACAAATCAACGACCCCGGTCACAATTCGAGAATCCGCTGCGAGGTTCTTCATTCGAACGTTTGTCAGGCCGATCCACTCTCGGCACGCAGTGGGACTCGCTGAAATCCATCATCGTGGAACGTCTGGAGACATTCACCGATCGAGTTACGTACCGCCGCCGCCGACAGGCAGCAAAAGCCACGCCAACATCCGACGGTTTTTGAGCTTTTTGGGGGGCACCATCGACACTGGACATCGGCGCCATCGGCACCGAACTGGCCCCATCTTGGAGATTCGCCTAGGCTAGCTCAAGGCTTGGCTTACCAGGATCTAGCAGCATCTGCCGTGCGCTTCCGCCGTCGCTTTTTCTCTTCTTTGGGCGTCGCGGGTGTCGTGACCGGCCATTGACAGCTTTCAAGACCTTTCAGTTTCAGAGCTCCTCGCAGCTCGGCACAGCTTAAACCCCGTCAGAAGGTGAGGCCAAGACGTGGTGACAGCATCCAATTGGTGACCACTTTGTTGGTGCTCTCCCTGTCACTCCGAGTCTGCCCCGGCCCCCCTTGACTTGTTTGTTGACAACCACACACCGTGACACCACAACGACCGGGGCTTTGCTTCTCTCGGGCTCCTCCAGAACTCCAGAGGCTCCGGGAGCCCAGGGTCTGTTTTTCTCCAGTTCCTCACCTTATCCATACCGGAACGGCCAATTAATTCAATAAAGCGTCAGGGCTCTCCTTGTCTTTCTGTCTCCACGTCCCTGGTCTCTCCCAGGCGCATCTCCTGTTGATCTGGAATCCTGTTCTTGCTTCTTTCCGTTCCTTCTCTCGCGACTTTTCCTTTTTCTCCGATACGACGCCACCGGACCGAAAGAGTAGACCTTTGCATATAACGTTCCATCACCTCACTACTAGCCAACTGCTTCTCAGACAACAGCATATCGACTAGAACTCCCCGTCGCCGAGTCAACAAGAGGAATGGTATCGTCTTTGTCGGATTGCGGCAGAGCGGGAATCCACTATCGACCTTTGAGCTTCACTTTCCGTGTTTCGGGATCTGCGCATGTGGCGGTACTTTGAAAGCAGGGGGATATAGTTCCGAAGTGCCTCACAGTCGACTTCCGGGTTCCGAATACCAAGATCTCATATAAGACGGTCAACTGCACACCAACCTATCATCGCGGCTGGCTCCGTTGAGACTCGACGACAACTTGATCGATCCTTCCTCATACGGCAGTTTCATAAGGTCCATCCATACCTCTACGCCCCTTCCTACTACGATCTCGCTTGCGACTTCCTTCCTTACCATACCCGTCTTGTCGACCCCAAACGGAAAGGGCCTCCGGGGCCCTAGGGGTACTTCATCAACATGTTTCTTCATTCGGGCGCCAGTATTCACGGCCATGAATATTCCAACAGACCCTCATCACCCCAGTCATCGCACAAGCTACGACCCTCTCTCCTATCCTCGGCTCTCTCACCAGCCAAGAACCTTGTGACCACGACTACCGACATCCCAAAGAAGCCTGTTTTGCGACAACGGCCAACATCAGAGTACATCCCTCGAAACCGCACCCCCGAGCCATTAGTTCGCTTCCTGGAACCCGAGGTGGTGGAGCCCCAGACGCCTGCCATGAACCATGAAGACCACCATGTCTTCTCCGATTCCGAAACCAGCGAGGCGGCCGTCTCAGTCGATGGTCACTCTGACCCGGGCCGCCGTTCCCGTCGCCGTCGGACTACCTCCCGCAAGAGCACCACCTACTACCTTGGTTATCCCACCCCAAAGAAGCTTGGAAACCTCAAGGTGATGCATACAGTTCTACCTAGGCTGCTCTTGCAACTCAAGGCGGTGTCTCCCGATGGCCATGCGCGCCCTATGCTCGAGGTCTTCCCATCTTCGCGGATCGCCGGCCTTGTGATAACTCCCCGACTGGCAAAGCGGTTTCCGGGCATTTTCGGGGTCAAGCGCCAGCTTGGGTACGACGACCTAGTGCTGATGAAGCGGGATGATGACGAGTTGGAGCGGGAGGGTTCGGAAAGCGGTGACGGTGACGAGACCTTTGAGAAGAGCAAGCTTCTTGCTGTGTATAGCCCGGTCAAGCATTCGGAGGAGACGGAGATTGTATTGGGAGATGGATCCATCTGGACCGCCAAAGCGTTGCCTAACGGGTGCTACGACTTTGTCCATGTCGATGAATTCGGTCATGTAACAACAGCCCGCTGGGCTCGCCGAAGCGTTGGCAAAACACCACCTACACCACCAGCGGATGCACTTGCGCCGCCGCCCGAATATCCTCGCTTCACATTCAGTATCATCAACCCCTTGTCACGACGCCATCCAGTCATGGCAACCCTAACACACTGTACACTCAATGTCCAAGACACTTACACCACTGTCTCCTCATCCTATGGTCGCTTCCCACCAAGGCCACTTGGTCGCGCAGTTTCAGTCAATGCTCTCAGCCGGGGTGGCTCATCGTCTTGCCCCTCGAGTCCACTAAACTCATCACCAGAAGATAGCGAAGCTGACTCCGGGATCGGCATCACCCAACCTGAGCCCGAGCCTGAGCGAACCGTGCGCATTATCGACGAAGCTACCAAGTCTCTCATCTCGATCACGGCCTTATGGATAGTCCTGCGATCAGGGTGGTCACCAAATTACGTTCCCAGCACTCACAACCACACCAGTGCCTGCTCGGACGACAAGTCACCAACAACACCAACGACCGGCAACGAAAAGATCCGCCGCAGACATACATGGTCCAGACCGATCGCTTCCGACTCCTTGAGCTCCTCAAAGGGCAGCACCCCGCCAATAAGCCGGCAACCGTCTGACTCAGAAACACCACAATTACAACAGCCAGCAACACCAGCGCAATCGGCCAAACCAAAACGCCACTCCATGCCCGCCCAACCTATCGACAAAGCCATCAGCGAACGGTGCACCTCACCCGCCCCTTCTGCAAGCAACGTCCGCCTACCCGGCCCGCGCCGCGCAACCAGTACCGGCGCCAACTTTATGCGACATCGCTTACTCTCGGAAGCGCAAAGCGATCAGGATTTGGGTAGCCCTATTAGCGAAAAAGTGCGGCATGGATTGCAAGGAATGTGTCCGTTGAGGAACAGGTCGGCGGATCCACTGGTGGGCGGAGGGTTACTGCATTCTCAGCACAACTATTTCGGGCATCAGAGGGACGATTCGATCGCGACGACGTATTGTGCGCCTATTCAGGAAATTAGGCCTTCGATGGATATGAGGCCGGCGGCGGAAAAAGTGGCGGAAGAAGGAAGTAAGACACGTGAAGTGCCAAAGTTGGTGGTGGATACCACCTTTACTGTGGATAAGGGTTTGAAGGGCGAGAAGGAGAAGAAGCCGGGGATGAGGATGATGCTGAAGAGATGGGTTCACAAGCTTGGGTCTCGCTAGAGACGATGGCCCTCAATGAGAGGAGGTTGCGAAGAAAGAATGAAAGTAAACGAAGGAGGAAGGAGAGGAATTATTATACCCATTTGTTGTTACTAGCTCTATTTTTTTTTTTTTGGTTTTTTTCCTTTGTTTTTTTTTTCGCATGGGATCGGAAAAACGTGAAAGGGGAACTGGAACTGGCATGGAGTCAATGGTCCACACTCATTTCATTCATACCCACGATACCATACCATATCATTACCATATATATGTTCAATGGGATCACTGAATCATGAATCAAGTACAAGGCTTCTCCATCCTCTTTCTAGCGCCTCATCTGCTTCGTTGCTTATCCAACATAAAGCTAATCGTTGAATCACTACCCACATATTGCCAACCCACATATTTTCATGCAAGGCTCGCCGGTACCTTAGTTAGACTACATGCTGGACAGGTTACCCAGTGCGAGCCAAGTTAAGGGCATAACTTTGCGGCTGTACGCGGGGTAGTAACCTCACTCGAAGCTCGAAGCAAACTTGATCCGCATCTCGCCAAATTCGACGCTTCCTAGTAGTCACTCTCTCGTGAGCCATCCCTTCTCTTCGCGCATCAATTCTGCCTACTCCTAACTCCAATATGAATTCAAAAGCCTTAAGAGCAGGAACATGAACCGCGACCCGTTCGAAGCTCTCAATCTGGTTGCCCAGCGGCGGCTGCGGGGACTCTTCAATCCCCAGCCTCCCCCCAGGCCAGCTGCATCCGGAGCACCCCAAGTCAACTCATGGACCGATCTCTGCTTCCTCCGCCAATCCTTCGCACCAGGATCACAGCCCAACTGGGAGCTCGTCTACACCACCTTCGCCGCCGTCGACGAGTCCGATCACCTCTTCTTCGGGCACGCCCCCTTCAAGATATCCGATATCTCTTTTGCCCAGATCACAGCTTCTCTGGAACCTGTTCCGGATGACCACCTCTATCCGATTGTACCTTCAGTGTATGAGTTTACCATTGCACCGAGGGACTTACCGCTAAGCGCCGTTTACGTCAAACGCAACTTGGGGCATTATGAAGACTACCTCGATAGGAACCTGGGACGGGGTGCTCAAGCTCCAGCTCCAGCTGAGCTTCCTCCCCGACTTTTGAGCGAGGCTCGTATTTTGGAGGTTATTTCGCGGAGTGAAAGCGGGCCGCATCCAAATATAGTCGAGTACCTCGGCGTCCGAATCAATCTGTCACGCATCACGGGTTTGGTTATGAGGAGGTATGAGTATAACATCTACAGTTACCTCCAGCTGGGGATTGGCACCATGACCATGGATGAAAAGGACAAGTTCATGGAGGTTTTGGAGGATGCGGTGCTGCGGTATCTGCATGAAGAGCTGGGGGTGGCGCATAATGATATCAATCCGTTTAATGTTATGGTTGATGTTAGGGAGGGGATGGTGGTACCGGTTTTGGGAGGGTTTGGTGAGGCGAGGAAGATTGGGGAGAGGATTGGTGAGAAGATTGGGGGAGAGAGAGGGATGCTTCCGGGTTGGACTTGGAGGGATGAGAGGGAGGAGTATATGACGAGTGAGGTGAGGCATGATGTCTCTGCGTTGGGTAAGGTGAGGGGGTGGTTAGAGAAGGGGGGGAGGTTGGGGTGTAGGATGGCTGGACAAGTTCGGGGGGTGAGGGAAGGAGATGGAGATGGAGATGTGTGTGCTTCAAGACAAGGTAGAGGAGAGTTTAACTAGATTTCATGATTTATAATTGATTGGAAACTTCTTGCGTGTCCAAATCTAATGCATGTTCCACCGACTTCTGCGATTATCAAGACGCATTTTGGTGAGTTTCCTGGTTAGTTTCCTAGTGCGGATCATGATGGTGAGCAAGGAAGCCGCTCGAGCTTTTTGACTCTTTAAATCTCGGGGCTAACTTTGTTAACATGTAGGAGAAACTCTGAGGTGTCTTTCCAGGCTCTTGGACGTTTGTCCTCATCATACCATACTACAATCTCGGGTAGCCCTACACCAAATATCGATCTGTCTTCAGCTGCCCACCTCTTTTGCACTTGACGTACCTGTTTCTTACTTTGTAGATGGTCGTTCTCACCGGAGACTTTATGGAATATCGTTGGCGTTCTTGTGTTTGTGGGCCTCTTGCAAAGGCAATAATATCAACAGAGAGTGAGATGGGAACTAATGGTTGGTTGAAAACTTGGGGAGAGAAGCGGGAGCAGTGTCAACTGTCAGCGAGTAAAGCGAGTGCGCTTGCCTGCCCGGTTGAGGAAGGAGAGGAAATCGCTGGTGGGAAACCACTTCTACACAGAAAAGCGCCAATCAATTCGGCGTGAGACGAAGTGAATTCAGGTGGTGAGAAAATGCTTGATTGGTGGCTTGGTTTGTTGAAGAGGAATTGGCGCTTGGGCGGGGAGCACCTTCCCAATATCACAGGCTGCTCCAACTTCTAGAAAGAGGCCGTGTGGCAGTCGCGGCCCACCGCTGCTCTGACTGCAGTGCCTGCATTATTCCAATCTGCGGGGAATCTTCCCTCTTTCACACTTCACTCTTGACTTTCAATCAATCAATTTGACCATACTTTGGATGTTCGCCTTTCTTGGTTTGAGTTCAGGCCTGCCGTATAGCCGTGAATTTATTCTTTCTTGCCCTCCCGCCCCCTTGTGTTAACAAACATCAACCTCAGTCTGGGTGAACCTCGATCGCTACCGATAACCTAGTGCGTTTCTTTAATGACGATGAAGTACAACGACAATGGGTAACGATGAACCTCTTGTGGAAAGAAAGGGGCCTTCCGGTGGGAGAAACTCGACCTCCATGGTGGTGATCGGCGGTGATTGGGTTGGCGATACCCAATTCTCCTGTTGTGGCACAATGGCATCAGAGACATGATGGTATATTGGATGAAAATGGATTGCTAGGTATTTTATCCCCATTTACTTCCTAGTGTAGGAACGTAAGCTAATCAGACTGCCTCGCTAGTGCTGCACCAATTGCTTTCGGATGCCTACCCACAGGGCCTCTTGTGCATGAAGCCACGCGAGCCACGTTGTCAAGACGCCCGGTAGTACAAGCCCGCGAATGGAGGCCGCCGCTGTCTGCTCCATGAGCTGACAGATAGATCAGGCTGCGAAGCCCTGGGAATCTCTGCGAGCCATCTGCTCGTGGAACGATTCGGCATACATTGCGCAGAAACAATCTCAATCTCGACTCCTCGTCAGGACTTGCCTCACTTTCGAATCGCCGCCGATTATCTGCGAGTGTCCACGACGACGACGCTTACGGTTCTCCTGCGTTGTTGCCCTCGCCACCTGTTGTCCGAGGTAGCGATCTTGCACCGACGTCATCCGGATCTTCACACATCGGTCAAGGCAGCATCAGTGAAAGCCCTCGTTTGCGTATCCCGCATCCACCCTACTATTACGTCCTCACTTCGGCTCCTTCCACCAACTTGAGTCTCCATTTTTCGACGGAACTATGCCCTCGGCACAACGTACCTAGCCATGGCACGTTCACATCTATTCAAGGATCTTCTGGGTTGTTGCTTTGGAATTCCGTCACACGAAGGCCACAGAGACGACCGCGACAATGACGACGCCAAAGAGAATGGCAATAAGAGTGCTGGAAAGGAGAACGGCAAACGCGGCTTCGACAACGGGAACCCAAACTTATGCATAACTTGCAGAAAAGTGAACTTCGATTCACTATTTAGGGACAATAAGTGCTCGGTACAGAAGGTGCCGTGGGACAACCATTGCTTCAAGATTACATCTCATCAGCCGGGGTGCGGTTGCGGGCAAGAACTCGAATGCTGGACTCTAGACAGTACCCGGCTAATGGACCTCGGAGGCTTACCGGGCAGATTAGATAGCCAGAGACCGGCTTGTTCGTTCTGCGCTTTTCTGTATCGGTGCCAAGTTCGCTTGAATCTGGTTCCAACGAAAGAAGACTCATCGTACTGGGAAATAATGCCGGCACTTTCACTGGGTAGCATTCTGCTACGGGCACCGAGTGCTGGAAAAGGCAACACACCCTGGGTTGTACAAGACACTGCGTATTTTGAAATGCGTAAAAATAATATGGGAGGCGATCCCGATGACGCGTCTATGTCCCACCAAATTTATCGCGTGGCCGACAGTAGCAGCAAAACCTTAACACGAAACAAACTTGCTGGCGGTGGCCTTCTAGGAAGGAAACTTGATCCTATCTGGGTCAACTTTGGCCTTATCGGCGAATGGTTAACGCTTTGCCGGTCGACACATTCTTGTTGCGAAGAAGTGGACGTAGGCAGTATACCAGGACTTCTGGTTATTGACTGCACCACGGGTCACATCGTCCCCCTCCCAACCAAAGAGAATGCTGCCAATCGGGTGGAAAACTATGTTACTCTCAGCTACCTTTGGGGCACATTTGGTACAACCGACGGACCAGTTGTTCAATCGATCAATTGTGAAGGTGGGAGCGGTCCTGGTCTCCCTACTCAGATACCCCTAGCCATCAGTGACGCGATACGGGTCGTGAAGCAACTGGGATACCGATACCTGTGGGTAGATAGGTACTGTATCCCACAAGAAGACGGGGCCGCCAAGCACATACAAATCCTGAACATGGGAAGGATATATTCAAATTCCATTCTAACAATCATTGCCGCGGCTGGTGATGGGCCGGAATACGGACTTCCAGGCGTGAGTTCGCGATCTCGTATCGCGCAGGTGGGAGTGCAAATCAACGAGGAGATTTCTCTCATACTGTACGAACCGCCAACGAATCACATCATCGACTCTAAATGGAACACCCGAGGTTGGACATACCAGGGAGGGCTTTTGTCTAAGCGAAGGCTCGTCTTCACGGATCTTATGGTCTACTTTCAATGTCAAGAGATGCATGGCGATGAAGTACTGTCCCTTCCCATTCCTGGACCAGGAGAGGCTTTTGATAAATTTCGTGCGCTTTCCTTTGATAACTTGAAGGACTCTGGCAAGTTGCGGATGGTGTTTCCGCGAACCAGCGATTGGAAGAATCCTTTGATGGCCTGGAAAAGGATCAGCGAATACGGACCGAGAGAACTTGGCTACGACTCTGATGCCCTGAACGCCATCAGTGGTGTGATGGAAATGTACGCGCTCGCAATGGGAGACTCGGCGTTTAAGCTGTTTTGTGGTTTACCTATTCTGTCAATTCGCTCGTGGGAGAAATATACCGGGTATCATCTTGACAAAAGCCGAGCATATTCTTTCCGCACATGGTTTGAAGATGACCATCCGCACGGAAGAGCATCGAAGGCTCAGGAGATTGACGGCAATAACCTCACTTACAGTCTGATTTACAGTCTAACCTGGAGGCACCGATGGGGCGTATCTCCTGAGTCAAGTCCAGCCTGCTTAGAACAGGCCCGAAGATCAATGTTTGGCAGCTGGACAACGGCTGGTTGGAGAACCAGAAATTTTTGTCCCGATGTTATCAGGGTTTTTGACAGTGGCCTGAGAATCGGCGTACAGTATAGTGATGAACTTTTACTGGACTGGGAAGATGACAACGCAAGGATTCTCGATCTGTCACGCAACGGAAAGATACCCCTGAGTCTCAAGATTAAGGGAGTGGTTATGGATGTGCATATGGAATGGAACAGACGTCGTATATACGATGACTCGGAGGGATGGATATCTACATGGCCTTTCGAATGGAACAAGGATCTTTTTGAGTCGCCCCGCTGGCTATTTGAAAAGGAGGGTTCAGACAAAAAAAGTGACAATGAGTTGCTTTTTTTGATCGTGGGATGCAACCATTTTCCGTCATTAAGGGAGACTGAATTGATAGGGATGATAATCCGGCCGGTGACAAGGATGTTAGATGGACAGCCTCACACATTTTACGAGAGATTGGACAGTTACACATTCGAACTGGATGACAAACAATGGCACCAAATGGCCAGTTTGACAAGAGAGATGGAGGTGCGGCTGATATAGGACATCATGCAAAGGGTAGTCGCTGGTTCACCATTGTGCTGGAAACGACCACTGTCGAGTGGCATGTATGCTGCTACTCAGTCTGTGTTTCCTAGGGCCTTTTCTTATTTTTAATCATCTTTTTCCTGTTATTTTCTGCTTCTGTCGTCCACTCAATTAAATGATGAACATGTTCTGGCTTCCACAAATACCTAGGTAGCTATGCTTTACAAAATACCTCAAGCCAACCTCAGGGCTCATGAAAGATGAGATGTTTGTAGACCCAAGGAACTCAATACAAAACCACCTCAACCTCATACTCCCTATCCGCCCACAGCGTATACTCCGGCCTCGTCTCCGGCCCACAGCTCCCCGTGCCCAAGCCATGATGCATCCAATCCAAATGAACAATCGTATCCTCCCTCCTCTTCCTGTGCAACTCAAACGGGTGCCTCGCCGCCTCCACATCCATCACCGTATACCTGCTCGCCTGAAAACTCGTATTCTTCCCGTTATCGGGTTTAAGATATCTCGCTCCTAACACCATCTCCCACCTTTCGGAGAAAAACTCCACAGACCGCACATCCGTCCTATTCCCCCCTTCCTGGGGGAACTCGTACTCAGTCCACAACTCGTCGATGGTACTTGTCCAAGACCCGATAAGTTGTGATTCCTTCTTATCGCGGTACGACTCCCCCGGCCCGCGACCCTGCCACGATGCGCTGTGCACGTCTCTCAATCCTACCTCGAGACCTAAGCGCGCCCAGGCGCGGGGGAGCCAGTTGCCTACGGGTTTCCCCGAAAGCTTGACGTGGATGTTGCCATCTTCGAGAAAGGAGTAGACGGTCGTGGTCTCGAGCGCCCAGTTGAGCACGGGGGGCGCGAAGCGGCCCTGGATGGTCACGGTGGGCGGACCGGAGCCGGAGCCGGAGCCGGAGGAGGCGGGCGAGGAGGGGTTATCCCAGGATGCGGAGAGGAGGTGGTGTTTGGCCATGGTCAGTCGCGAAGAGGTCCAGTTACGACCAAAGTCGCAGCCGTGGTCGTTGTCGGTTTGAGGGCGGTACAGGCAGAGTTGCAGGGGAGTGGTGAGGATGTTGGGGGTGGTGGGGGAGCGTTTCCAGCTTGTTAGGGCGCCGATGGAGAGGTCGAATTCGTAGGTGTTGTTAGAGCTGGTGATGGAGAGGAGGGTGGGGGAGAGGAGGTCGAATTGAGCGCCGGTGGCGGGGGGAAGGTTTGCGAATGGGTTGTTGGGGGGTGTGAGAGGGAGCTGGCCGGTGGCGACGATGTGGCCGGCTTCTGCCCAGTTGGTTGCGGAGGCGAGGGAGAATTCGAGCGTTAGGTGGCAGTCGTGGCGGCCAGCGGCTTTGAGCGCTTCGGCGTCGAGAAGGCCGTCGACGGTGATGAGTCGTTGTTCGTGGGCCTTGATTCCTGTGGTTCATGTCAGTGGTTTGGTTTGGAAGTTGGTGATCATTGGCGGCAATACCTTTGGGGATCTTAATCTCGCGCTTCTCAATCCAATCGGGCTCATCATCCGAATAGTAATAGAAGCACTTGAGGTGGTCAAGACTGACAAAGTCGTATCGGTTGATGATTCGCACCTGATTGCCGTTTTCAAGGTTTAGTGTCTGTACAGGCTCGATGGCCTTCTTGTACTCCAACAGCCCAGGTGTGGGAGTGTGGTTGGAGAAGCAGAGACCGTCCAAGACGAAGTTAGAGTCATTGGGCTCATCTCCAAAGTCACCACCGTATGCCATGTACTCTTCTCCGTCTGCGGTCTTGGTTCTCAAGCCCTGAATATCCGTTAGTCAAATGCAAAGAGTGGACGATATGAAACCCGGGGCACATACGTGATTTGCCCACTCCCATACAAAGCCTCCCATCAGTCTGGGCCATTTGTAGAAAAGCTCAATATACTCCTTGAGAGCACCTGGTCCGTTGCCCATGGCATGGGCAAACTCGCATAAGACGAAAGGTTTGTCCCACGACGGCTCCCTAGCGTAGCCCTCCATGGAGTCAACCGATGCATACATTCTGCTGAAGATATCTGCTGACTGAGCGTTCCAGTCACCTTCGTAGTGAATCGGACGACTGGTGTCGACGCTCTTGATATAGTCGTACATAGCTCTATGGTTGCTGCCATAACCGGACTCGTTGCCGAGTGACCAGATGATGATTGAAGGCCGGTTGTAGTCACGCATGATCATCTGTCGTGCGCGGTCAAGGTACGCCTCCTGCCAGTCAGGATTATCAGAGAGCATCTTGTTACCATCACCTCCGACGACAAAGATGCCATGGCACTCTAGATCGGCTTCGTCCAGGATCCACAGGCCGAGCTCGTCCGCTAACTCATATAGCCGAGGGTCATTGATGTAGTGGGAAGTCCGAATGGCGTTGATGTTGTGCTGTTTCATGAGCAGCAAGTCTCTCTTGAGCCACTCATATGGTACGGCGCGCCCGAAATCAGGATGATGTTCATGACGGTTGACGCCTCTCAGCTTGATGAAATTTCCGTTGACGGAGAAGACACCATGGAGAAGTTCAACGCGGCGGAAGCCGACTCTCTCGGTCAGAGCACAATCCGGCGTAGTCAGTAGTAGCGTGTAAAGGTTCGGCGTCTCGGCAGTCCACTTCAAGGGGTTTTTGATGTTGAGTTCGATAACAGTGGACTGTTCTCCAGATACCTCTATTGTTCCCTGAATGACTTCGCCCCCAGCAGGATCAAGCAACTTCAAAGTAACCTCTTCCGGACTGCTAAGTTCAATGGTCACGGATAGCTTGCCATTCCTGTACTCGTTGTCAAGAGTGGGCAGGACCTTGACATCCTTGAAGTGGGACTTCTTCGGAAACTTGTGTATCCAGACATCGCGAAAGATTCCACTCAGCCACCATTGGTCCTGGTCCTCAATGTAAGTACCGTCACATCGCTGGTAGACCTCGACAGCAAGGATATTGTCTCCTTCGAGATTCACATATTGGGTAATATCAAACTCGGAGGGGTTCCGCGAGCCTTGGGAGTAGCCGACATCCTTGCCATTCAACCAAACTGTAAAAGCCGAGTCGACACCTTCGAAGCGGAGGCGTAGTTGATGGTCCTTGCCCTCGGGGGCAAGTTGGAAATATGTCACGTAGCGTCCGCACTCGTTCTCATCAATGGGGACATGTGGAGTGTTCACCGGGAAAGGGTAGTTGATGTTGGTATAATGCGGACCTTTTCCAAAGCCCTGAAGCTGCCACATGCCCGGGACCTGAATGGGTTTCCAGTCCGGGTCTGCGAAGAAATCGAACTGTTGAAATCCCACTGGACCTACCAGAGGCGACTTGGATAGGTTGAACTTCCACTCGCCAGAGAGCAGCTGGGCTTCGGCCAAGGAGACATCACGAGTCAATGCTTTCTCGCTGTCTGGGTAGAGAAAGAAGTGGCTCCGGGGAGGCAGCGTGTTGCGATGAATGACTTGGTTGTTGTTCCAGTCCGGGATTGAGCTTGGATAGACTGATGCCATTTTGGAAGATAATGGAGTCTCGAAAGAATGACCGATTTCGTGAGAAAAGAGGATTTGGTTTAGGAAGAGGACGACTTGATTGTGCAAGAAAGTCAATAGAGTATGCCAAAGAGGAGGTCAAGTTATAAATCCTCCCCAATGTAATAAGCTGATGATCCTTCTCGAAGCCTTTCAAGAGGTGACGTTCGAGTGTCCAATTGGCAAGATCAGAGACGGTGAGAGTTGGATGGTTGCGGTCATGATGTCCTTCCGACGGATGCTTTGGTGTTTCCCAACTGGAACTCCAAGGTCAGCTGCCACACGGTGTGCATCCCACCGACCGAACATGGCAGCGATGCATCGATGTGCGGGGAGAAGCAATGGAAGAGTGCGGGGAAGGTGAAGAAGAGAAGAGGAGGAGGAGGATGGACTGCTAAAGTATCTAGGGGTTAGGGTTGGATGTTAACGACTCTTGTTAGCTAGGTTCTTGCCTGCTTCAACTCTTATTAACAAACGGCCTGACATTTGGGATATAAAACACTTAATAAGGGGAAAAAAACGGTTAGAATTATTAATGAAGATGTTTTAAGTATACCTACAACTCTTTTTGTCCCAGCTGACCTGCAAAGAACTCCATTATTCAGTACTCAATCAGTCAGTGCGAGGTCTCCTGCTAACAGCACTGACCTCAGTAAGCGGAACCTGTGCACCCCACCTCCTCGGCAACGACTCAACCAAAACAAAAACATCACCAGACTTCCACAGAAACAACCCAATGATCGAAAATAGATTACATGAAGAGCAACCCTTTAATAGTTGCATTTTCTCGTCGCCCACATGTAATACGATCTCCACGGTGTCGGCTGTTGCCACCCCTGGTCCCTGTCCCCTGCCGTCGACAAGCACGCGATGGCCCGGAAGGTGAAACGCGGAGGTTGATGCTCCACGCTTCCGCATACCAAAGTAGCAACGCCGGTAACTCGGGCCCGGCAGTGTGGACTGTCCCCCTTTCGCTATACCAACCGATTTGTGGAATCCTCGGTCACTTTCTCTCTTTTGAGCCTCCTCCTCGTCTTCCGTCTTCCTTCTCCTTCATCTCCGTCCACCCTGGAGCATGACGTTCCAGCACGCCAGTTGTCCTCGAAAGAAACGATCTCTCCGCCGCCTCCACTTACACCGACTCACAAACACTATCGAACCATGGCGTACGCACTCTCCGGGTAGACGGGTAGAGATGCCATGGCCTTGGCGGACGGGGGGATTCGTCTCGATCTCTGGTACTGGGACGCTGGGGACCTGCTCGATAATATGATATATTAACTGCATGGTGATCTCCTGTCTGGACGGTCCTTGGAGGCTCTGCTGAATAACACCTCCAATCGTTGTGCCGACTCTTGATAGGCCCATCATGAAGAGCTTCTCGGTCATTCAGCTGCTTCTAGCAGCCGCGGCAGCTCCTGTGAGGGCTGCTGCTTCCTGGAAGAACGTCAACATTGGCGGTGGCGGTGGTTTCGTGCCTGGCTTTGTCTTTCACCCAACGGAAAAGGGCGTTGCCTATGCTCGTACCGACATTGGTGGTCTCTACAGACTGAATGCCGATGACTCCTGGACTGCCATTACCGACTCCATCACTACGGACGCCAAATGGTAAGTACTAGATATCGTCAACCCCCTCTTCACCCGCACGCTAACCATACGATCATCAGGAACAACTGGGGTATCGATGCTGTTGCTCTTGATCCTCAAGATCCCAACAAGGTCTATGCCGCTACCGGCATGTACACCAACTCGTAAGTCCTGGAACAGTCCTTCGTTCCCTTCGATATGGGCTAACAAAACTTCAGATGGGACAACAATGGTGCCATCATCCGCAGCTCCGACAGAGGTGCCACATGGTCCACCACCGAACTGCCCTTCAAGGTTGGAGGAAACATGCCCGGTCGCGGCATGGGCGAGAGACTTGCTGTTGATCCCAAGAACTCTAAGATCATCTACTTCGGTGCTCGCAGCGGCAACGGCCTCTACAAGAGCACAGACGGCGGTGTCACCTTCTCCAAGGTGTCTTCGTTCACGGCTGTTGGCGACTACATCGTAGACCCATCCGATACCACTGGCCTCAATAGCGACAAGCAGGGCATTGCCTTTGTTACATTCGACTCGACTTCCGCTACCACCAACGGCGCCACGTCCCGCATCTTTGTTGGCTCCGCCACTAACAGTACCTCTTCCGTCTGGGTTTCCAACGACGCCGGTGCCACTTGGTCCGCCGTCGCTGGTCAGCCCGGCACGTACTTCCCTCACAAGTGCAAGCTCCAGCCCACCGAGAAGGCCCTTTACCTTACCTACAGCGACGGAATGGGTCCCTACGATGGCACTGCCGGCGGTGTTTACCGCTACGACATCACCAACGGTACCTGGAAGAACATCACTCCCGTTTCTGGCAGCGACCTCAACTATGGTTTTGGCGGCTTGGGTGTCGACATGCAGAAGCCCGGTACCCTTGTCGTGGCCAGCTTGAACTCGTGGTGGCCCGATGCCCAGATCTTCCGCTCTACCGACTCCGGCACCACCTGGTCTCCCATCTGGGAGTGGTCTGGCTATCCCAACCAAAACTTCTACTACGGATTGACCGTAAGACCTCCTCTTCCCACAATCTTCTGACGTTGTACTAACCCAACTCGCTGATAGACCCCCAACGCTCCCTGGATCGAGGCCGGCTTCATCTCTCAGGACTCCAAGCGTCTCGGCTGGATGATCGAATCCCTCGAGATCAATCCCCTCGACAGCGACCACTGGCTATACGCCACCGGTCTTACCGTCTACGGCGGCCACGACCTGACCAAGTGGGACACCGTCCACAACGTTTCCATTTCATCTTTGGCCGTCGGCATCGAAGAAATGGCCGTCCTCGGCCTCGCCTCGGCCCCCGGTGGCTCCGAGCTTCTCGCGGCCGTCGGTGACGACTGCGGCTTCACCTTCAAGACCAGCGCTGACCTCGGCACCTCTCCCAAGACGCCCTGGATGACGCCCATGTGGGCCACCTCGACGGACGTCGACTACGCCGGCAACAAGCCCGCCAACGTGGTGCGCATCGGCAACGGCTCCGGCTCGCAGCAGGTGGCCGTGTCCTCGGACGGCGGCGCCTCGTGGACCATCCACAACGGCACCGACACCACCAAGAACAGCGGCACGGTCGCCTACTCGGCCGACGCCGACACCATCGTCTGGTCCTCTGGCAACGCCGGCGTCGTCCGCTCGCAGCACCAGGGTACCTTCACCGCCGTCGCCTCGCTCCCCTCGGGCGCCGTCATCGCCTCCGACAAGCGGAACAACACCGTCATCTACGCCGGCTCTACCAACGGCACCTTCTACCGCAGCACCGACATTGGCGCCACCTTCACGGCCGTCTCTGGCGCTCTGGGATCCGCCAAGGCCGTCCGCGACATCGTCGCCCACCCCACCGTCGCCGGCGAACTGTATGTCAGCACGGACGTGGGCGTCTTCCGCTCGACCAACTTTGGCGTCTCCTTCACCCAGCTCAGCGGAGTCACCAACACGCAGTCCATCTCCCTCGGCGTTGGCTCCGCTTCGGGCTCGTGGAATTTGTACGCCTTTGGCACCGGCGCCAGCGGCAACAAGTTGTACGCTAGCGCCGACGCTGGTGCTACCTGGACTGACGTCCAGGGTTCTCAGGGTTTTGGTTCCATCTCTTCTAACAAGGTGGTCGGTTCCGGAAACGTCGCTGGGCAGGTGTATGTCGGTACCAACGGCCGCGGTGTCCTCTATGCGCAGGTTTCTGTCAGCGGTACCGCCCCTGCTACCACTTCGTCAGCTGTGAAGACTACTTCTACTTCGGCTGCTGCCCCTGTGAGCACGACCAGCACGACCAGCAAGGCTACGACCACGTTGGTGACGTCGACTGTTAAGACGACTAGCTCGATTTCGTCGGTGAAGACTAGAGGTATCTCGACTACCGCAAAGGCGTCGTCGACGACCAGCAGCACCTCGTCGGCTGCGGCGCCTACCGGCACCAATCTTGCGCAGCACTGGGGTCAGTGCGGAGGCGTTGGCTGGACGGGCCCGACGGCTTGCGTGGCGCCTTATACTTGCCAGAAGCAGAATGATTACTATTCGCAGTGCTTGTGAGTGAGTTAGTCGAGGAGGGGGACAAGTCGCGAGGAATGTTAGTGGAGGGGTGGATAGGGAGGAGGAAGCGTCGGTGTGATGTTGTTTTTTTGACTGGCCAACTGAGGCTGACTTCATTGTAGATATCTTTGCACATCTTTTGTATATAACCCACTTCTTGGACATAACAATTACATGTTTTTGAGCTCATGCAACTTTCTTGCGTAAAAACTGGCCTAGTGATCGTTATGAATGTCAATACTCATCCCCCGAACCACCGGTAAAAGAAGGAGAAAAGGCGCATGGCGGCGGCTGAAGAGCCTTTGTCGCTCACTATGAAGCACGCCAAAAACGACTTGCCATTTCGTCAAGCTTCAAGAGAAACAAAAAAGAACAAGTTGCATGACCACAATTGAATCCTTTACTCCGAGGGAAAATCAGAACGTCTATCTACAATGCAGAAACATAAAAAGAAATAAATGCTCCTGATTTTTTGGCGGGTTTGGTAAATGTCATTTTGCGTTCTTGCAGGACGGACGGGACAGAAAAAGCACAAAAGACGAATAAAGAAAGACCAAAAAAAAAAGCGAGAAAAAGAAACTCCGGTACGGGGAATCGAACCCCGAGCTTCGCGGTGAAAACGCGATATGTTAACCGTTACACTATACCGGATTATTTGCTTGTTAGTTTTGCATCGGTCCAAGGTCTTACGTAGCCGTTACGACTCCATTGGAATGGAGCGGAGCTTGTTTACTGAGGGTCTCGCCAGTCGCGCCAAGCCTCCGCTACAAGCCCCAGCTGGCACCAAAAAAGAGCCGCACTGCAGGTTATATGCACGAAGACGGATTCGGGATTGGTGCACGAGGTTCTCACGAAACCAATGGAAAGCCTGGAAAAAGAGGGGAAAAAAAGGGAGTGACGATAGGAGGAAAAGGGCGAAGGAAAGGAGAGAAGGATAAAACGAAAAAAAGATATGCGAAATTTAGCTGCAACTCGTTTCGATCGAGTGACCTCCGGGTTATGAGCCCGGCGCGCTTCCGCTGCGCCATGCAGCTTTTGGTATTTGAATATGAATTTCCTGAAGCTCGACCGCCTATATTACCTGCCCGACCGTTTGCCTCCAGGACATGACATGACTTACCGTCTCGACTTTGACCCCCCAGACACCATTCGACATAATAGCAACGAGGAGCGAGGCAGAATTGCTTTGTCTTGTCGTTGATCAATGGTGTACTATTCCATATAAAGATTGCTACTAACAATTGTATCCTAACGCCATAAAATGCGCCCTGTCTCACAGGCTATGTATATATACGGGTATTGCGTTTTTGTTCATTTGTTCCGGTTCAGTTTCGCTGCTGCAACCTCTTTGGCTCGCAGGCAGCAGCACACTTTGCTCCCATCGTCCTGTCGCTTTTCGCTTGCTGTCTCCCTGTATATGGTATCCAAGAATGATGTTCTCTGCAAATCTTGTGGTATGTGCAAGGGACAGAGTGAGTGGCAGGCAAAACAATATCCCGTATGAGACCTAGGTTGGAATGGCAACCATCCCTTCAGGTCTCAGAGGTTCCCCTTACTGACACCCGTTCATGCATGCATCAACAACACTTCCTTCTCTTATATCCTTCACCCCTTCATGCGGGAAGAAAAGCTCTTCCATGGGAGCAGACCTAGCCTAAAACCCTTCCACCACCCGCATGATAAGAAAACCTCCTCCCCAATCCCGGCCTCAATAGCCCAGGTCTACCTCCAGGTGCTCCCGCACCACCACTCCCAGCAGGCGGGAAATTCTCCTTTGCCGCCTCCTCTTTCCCTCCCGCATCTCCCTTCCCTCCACCAACCTCCACTGGTGGCACCCCCGACTTCCCCAACACAGGCCTACTCTTAATTCCCAAATCAATACCCACTTTCTTCCCACCGTTGCTTGCCCCCGACGCCGGCGTGAGTAAACCCGTCCCACCAAGCGGCCGTGCGTTACTCCGGTTGATATTCAGCGTCTTCAGCGGGGTGCTCGGCAAGTTCTCTTTTTCGCAGGGCAAGAGGGTATCGATCTCTTTTGCTAGTGCCGGGTTCGGTTTGTTTTTTAGGGTGCCGCCGGCAAGGCCGAGATTGAGGTTCAGTGTCGAGGCGCGGGGGTTGGAAGGTGGCAGGGTCACGTTGCGCGGGTTGAGGTTGATTTTTCGCGGGGCAGGTTTTGGTGTGGCGGGGGGAGTTAGGGCGATGCGCTCCTCGGTTTCGGGTTCGATGCTTGGGAGGGCAGTGTCGCGTTCGATGCTGGAAATGACGAGAGGCGTGTCCGACAGGGGCGGGTGGTGAGGATCGAGAGGAAGATGCTGCTGCTGTTCATTGTCCTCGGACATGGACAGCCTACTTTGCGCTCCGGCGCGGGCAAAGAGACTCGGGGCGTTGCTGGTGTTAACGGCACCGCGATTGCCGTACTTGCGATTGTAAGCAACTGCCGAGCCGGGAAAGTTGTCCTCATCCGAGTCTTCGTTTTCTCCCGAGTCGCACTCGTCGTCCAAGTCCGAATCTTCCAGTTCGGCCTCCCACTCGTCTTCGTAGTGGCTCAGTCCATTTTCGTCCTCGTCATCGTCGTCGAAGTCGTCATCATCGCTACCGAAGAGCGTCACGTCGTCGTCCTCATCCAAGCCCGCCAGTAACCCTCGCAGCGCAGAAAGTCTAGAACCACCCGCGCTCGGCCTTCGTCTCCGTATTGGATACATCATCTTGGCTATCCGTTCACCTTCCCTCTCCGCCAGCCCCCGGACGCAGAATCCCTGTATTTCTGTCATTGCGTGGTGCAACCTATGCCAGCGCAGCTCGAGATATGCCATGGCTTCCAGCTGCTCGGCACGCTGGGAGAATTCGAGTCTTTGTTCGGGAGTGAGGACGATGCCCATCGACTCTACGCAGGCCAACGGCGAGGCATTCGGTTTTGAGAGCTGGTTCAACATGGGACTGGGCGACAAGCCGGATGGAGTACTGTGGGTTCCGGAAGGCGAAGGCTTGCTCGGGCCGTGTGGTGAGAGACGCAGTTTCTTGATCTCGTTGACTGGCGGTCTTTGTCGCGGGCTCGGGGTCTTCTTCGGTCGTTGCGTAATATTAGGGGTGGGTCTTTCTGGCGTCTTTGGTCTTCCACTTCGTTCCTTCTCTGGGGGCGTCCTTGGCCTACGGCGAGCAGGCGAGCCTTGGTGGGTGATCAGACTGGCTCGCAGGTCCTGACTACTCGCCTTTTTCCTAAGCTGGCGGTATTCCTCGGGACTCGATGCCGGACTTGGTGTCCTCTCCTCCCCGGATGTTATCCTCTTGAGCTTCTCTCCTTCTGGCAATTGTTCCCTCCTCTGCCGAGCCTGCAAGAAGGCAATCGCCTGGGTATACTCCTTCTCGATGACCGGTCGCGCATACTTGGCGGCTTGTTTTGCTAGCCACGGGTTGGCTGCCTTGATGGCGGCATACTCGGGTGCTATCGAAGGCCATGCGGCGAAGTCTTGGACTATTTGGGAGGCTTGTTGGGTTTTTTGAGCCTCTTGCTGGAGGCGAAGATGGGTACACTCGAGGTCCGAGATGAGTTTGTTGAGCAGGTTTACCCTAAGCTGGATGCCTGGGTGGACGGGGGACCATTCCTTCAGTGGGCTCGGGTGTTCTCGTTGCTGGCGCATCAGACTGAGGACCTCGATGTTATTGAGTTGTTTCTTTGGAGCGCAGCCGATGGAGAGAGACTGTCGCCTGGAGACGGCTCCACTGGGCGAAGATGACGATGCAAGAGCCATTGGGATTGTGGTTCGATATACCGATGGATGAAATTCTTGACCGGTTTGTCCGAACGGATTCCGTCGGGCGATAGACGAATGGCGTATGTCGCCTGCGAACTCGCTTGTTTTGTGGATTCAAGCACTGCTATGCAAAGCGTTGCATGTGATGTGGGTTAGGCGGTGTGAACCCCCGGTTTCAAGCTCACACAATCGTCGGCTTGTTGAAGTCGAATGTCTATGAGGGCCTTTCGATTTTAACGAGGCTATTTGTTGGGGCTCGATCGCGGAAAAGAAGCAGGTCGTTGTGGTTGATGTCGGAAGTTGGTAAGGTTGAAAGTAAACAAAGCTTGCGACTTTGTACTTGCAGATTCTGGGTTGAAAGTGGGGTTTCGAGCCGATCGGGCGATATGCCAAACAAGCAGTAAGAGACACTTTCTCTGGTATCGCGGAGAATTATCCACAATGTCGTTGTGGTTGTCGCTGTCTCTCAAGCAGGTACCCTTTATGATGTTGGCTTTGTTGTTTTGTGACAAGTTGATTTGTTTTCTTTTCCGGGGAGGACGGACCAACCACACGTTCACTGCCCCAGGTTTGCGTTGGAGGTTGCGTTGGGGTGCGGTTGGTTGTGGAGTTGCACAAGTTGGAGTCGTTGGAGACGACAGTGGCACGAGTGGAACCCAGAAACTGCCCTAACCCCAGCTTTATCCTGCGCCTAACCGCTTTCGGATATGCGAATGGGGGCTAAAATGTGGGTCACCAGTGGGCTAAAAGAAAACAATGTAACCTTGTTCGTCTCGGTGCTCATGATGAGAGCTGTCGGTGATTAAAAACAACGCTATCATAGACGAGGACAACGACGTCTTCTGAGGGCCCCGCAGAAGCGCCAGCTGCACTTGGGTCCGTCAGAGCTTGCTAGTGCGGCTTCTCCTAGAAACCTCAGCTTCTCTCGACTCAACTCCGTCTTCAACAACTCCGGACTTTGTCCTTGGCTCTTTGTCACTCATTTGCTCTTTTCCTTGCTCATCCGTGGCCCCCAACACGACTTCTTTCGACCCTTCATCAACTGATTGCCTCCCCCTCCGCCTCCGCCTCTCCATATGCCCCTCCCAACTCTCCCTCACAGCCCTCCAATACCTCTCCTCATCCTCCATCACCAACGCACAATGACTCGCCTTCTCAAACCTCTCCGCTCTGACCAGCCCTTCAACTCCAGCTTCAAAAACCTCTTCCCTTCTTCCCCTTCCCCTCCCTCTTTCCTTATTTGCCAAAACAGCTCTCTCCTTCACCAACTTCCTCGCCTCCCTAATATGCCTCTCAACATCCCTCCACCCCACCGCCTCATCCGCTTTCGAATACAAATACAACCTCCCCGTTTCTTTTCCTTGTCCCCCGCCAGCCCCCCAAACTTCATCCCTCAAAACCTCCCCCCTCATCCCCTCAAAATCAACCCCCACCCCACCCAACAACCTCCTCCTCACCACATTTTCCCCAATCGCTCTCGGCAATCCCTGCTGTAACACCGCGATAAACACCACCGCCCCCCATAAGCCCCATCGCTCGATACTCTGTAGCACCCAAGGGTGGGTTTTGGGGACGGAGTGCACTGCTGCGCCGTAGGTTTTGGCGATGGAAAAAGTGCCAGGACAAGAATCGAGGATTTGCAGACGGACAGGTAGGGCCTGTTGACGATCAAAGGAGGAGAGGAGGAAGGAGTGCGCGAGTTGAACGGCGAGGTGGCAGCCGCCGTTGGAGAAGATGTGTAGCAGCACGCCTGGGGCTGTTTCTGTCCCGTAACTCCCGTGCTCCTCCGGGGCACTGTTTGCATGTGGTATGGAAGCGGAGCGGTCGCGGGAGAGGACATCCCGAATGATATCCCTAGCCGGGGCTAGGTTTCGCCGAATAGCCTGCTCGGAACGGACGGTGAAATCCGCAATGACGGTTCGGATTACCAGGATTGGTGAGTGGGGGAAGAGGCGCCGGTAGCCGGAGGTGTATTTGGCGATGCGGCGGGGGGTGGCGCCGCCTAGCCAGGTGCAGAGGATTATGAGTTGTGGTTGGGGTGGGTCATGGCCATGGCCATGGTCATCGTCATGGTTTTGTGGTGATGGTGATGGCGGTGGATCGAAAAAGAGGATGCCGTTGCCTAGGTTTTGGAATTCGGATAGAGGAGCTGAGCCGGAGAGAGCATGAGAGGATTTTGGCCTGGATGATGCTGAGGATGATGGTTTTGTTCTTGTTTTTGTTCCGGTCATTGTTGCTGGGTAAGCTCGGTGGGCTTTAGGTGTAGCAGAAAGGTATGGGAAAAGTGCGGTAACTCAGACACCTGGGGATCATTGCCATTTTGCCTGTCGGTGTCTGGATGTTGTTGATCCAAAAAAGCATGGTTGTGATATGTCAGCTATTACTAGTTCGTACCCGTCGAAACAACCAATATCACCGCTTGTTCTGACTAGTCGAAGACAAACAAAGGATGTGGGACAGTGGGACTAGGGCATATTGCGCGCTGATTGGCTCGCTCGATGCCGAACTGTACCGACATGACGTCTCTCATGTCTAGCCGCTCACGCCGTTGACCACGGAATACCGGACCGATGCTACTCTAACCCCATGGGGATTTTACAGTGTTGAAACCCGATTGCATTGTCTGCGATAGCCACGTGGTGATCGCGCATTGTGTGCGTGTCTGAAGATGTGTGCGCTATGTATTCGTGTGCATGGTAAATCCAGAAACTTAATCCAAACGTCCAACGCCCTATAAGCAAAGATCATAATCATAACGTTTAGTGAAGATCATCCGAAAAAATCCAGAAACACCTGATTACACCAATATCATCCCTTCCAACATGCAGCTCCTTGGGCCCGACCGAAATAAGTCGTCCTCCCACAACATGAATCCGATCAGTAAAGAGAGTCCGAGTCAAAGCACTGCTTCTCCTTTACATCTGTCGAATGCCACCACAAATCCCTTGAAGTAAGGTCGATCGACCTGCCAATCTCATTGTTGATGACGTTGAGGTGATCAACAAGCTTGCGGTGTATATCCTCAAATGGCTGCATATACGAGTCGATTGTCTCCAGCAGCTGCTCCCTGGTGAAATTCGGCATCCCTTGCCAAACGCCCCCGTACAAACGCAAGAGGTCGACCTTGTCGGGAGTGTTGGCCGTCGAGTCAACCACCTGCTTGAACTCTTTGCGTAAATCAGGATCCAGAAGACGGACGGCACCGATGATGGGGACCGAAGCTGCCTCGTAGCGACAAAGTTTGGTGCGAACTGTTGTAGGGCGGTTCAAATTAGCCTTTTGGTTCAGAAAGTATGGATCGGTAAGAACATTTAACACGTACGCGTGCGCTTGCAACGATCAACGTCAAAGCCCGTGATGTCAGTGTCGAGGCAGATGGTAGGCGGCTCTGCTGATCGGAAGTAATTATTGATCCACCTCTTGAGAAAGAATCGACTGTTGGATCCCGGGACGGTCTTGCCGACATGGTGCTCGATGTTAATGACGAGTCTGTGCAACGAAGAAAGCATGATCTCGGCATTGGTAACCACGTTCTTGATCGTCTTGGGTACAGTGCCTAATTTATGTCAGATGTTAGAGAGGTACCTTGAAGAGATGGAGGCTTAAGGGTGAACTAACCTTCGTTGTGGGCCGCAGCGACAGTGTGCTTAAAGGCCTCAAACGATGTGAGGTAAGTATCGAGTAGATCGTGCACGATTGTCTGGACGGCATCTGGACGGTTCGGCACGTTTGAGAGCTTTTCGGCGGACTCTGTAGAACCGTGCTTGTATTTCAGAACGACCTACGTCAAAGTCAGCCATAATTCGATTTGTATTCGGTCTTAATCGCCGGTTCTTACCTCTTCCACGAAGGCGATGATTGCGGAGGCGGGAAAACGTTCTGGAATTTGGTTGTGGGCGGCAATCCCCGTTTTCATGAACGCTCCTACCAGCGCTTTGGGAAGCTCATCAGTGAAGCAACGTTCAAGGGAGCTGAAGATTTGATTTGCGCCCTCAACACCGCCGATGGGCAGATGATAGCGGAAGCCGGAGCCCATGATGGCATGGTTATCACCAAATTGAGGAAACAGGCAGTCAAAGAGCGACTCTTGCAGATCGACCACATTCTGTGGGATGAAGGTGCTTCCACGATTGAGATGAACAGTTATCTGGACCTGTGATGAAGAGTGTTAAACTTTTTTTCCTAAAGATGAACTTACGACAGAGACGTGGGATCCACATACCGTCATGGCAAAGTACGCTCTTCCGTTCTTGTCCAAAGGAGCCTTGTTGCGTTCCTCACGGGAGCACAGAGGCATCGACTCGACCCTGGTAGACCCATACTCGAGTTCTTTGGCTGGCCAGTGACAGGTGTTCAGCCACTTTTGGGTAGCCCGGGTCAATTTCTCAAGGTGGCCGTCGAGAAGGCCGGGTGTGAAGTAACCAGTGACACGCCATCGAAAGCTCACAGGCCCGTGGAAGCCTGCGCTGTTGATGGGTCTGGTCAGAGACTCTTGGTTGTCTATCATTTTGACAGTAATGAGTTTGATGTTGATAGTTTGAGTCGGAGAAGTATGGTGCTGGCAGTTCGGTAGATAGTCGTGTTTGTGGGAAGAATGAAGAAGAGGGGGACAACTTACCTCTCTCTACCTTAGGTGCCGTATTTACAGTGTAGTTCCGTGAGCAATTAAAACAAGGACCAGAGGCTTCCATGGTGGCATGCGTCAACCAAGGCTATGCGGAAAATGTTGTAATAATCGGTGATGCACACGAAATGCCGGACTTTGTATGTTTTCCAAGTCGGACATTGTGTCGGGGGAGGGGTTGATGCATATTTCCATGTAGAGGTAGGCATCCTCTGGCAAGATGCAGAGAAATGCGGCATGGGAATGACCGCGCCTTCCCAAGTGAAGTCAACGATTTGGCCCAGAGTCGTCATAGGGTTAGTTAGGTTTAGGGCAAGATCCTGGAGGCGAGCACCTGGAAAATTCGGAAAGCATACCGCCAACATCAACGTCTGAGATCTCAAACTGAAGAACAGTAATACTCTATCGATCAGAACCAATAGCAACCTGAACGACAGCAATGATGCTGAGGTCCCTCAGTGTTCCAGATTTACAGTTCTCAGGACCCAAAAACCCAAGCACTGCGACCATACGGCATATCACCGGAGTACAATCTCGTGCATATCCTACACTGACCGACTTCATGATACGCTACGTATCAAATTCGACAAGATATGCTTGACCTTGCGAAATCCATATCCTGAATTCCTGATCATTGCCAACCCTAACCCACTTACACATGCCGTCCTTATTTAGTAGGCGGACCTCTCCGCTACGGCGCTACTTGGGGGCTTCTGGGCGCCAAGTGACAATGGAGATTGAAAACTGCATGTCAAAGCCTCTCCTTGCCAAATGCTGGCGTGACTCCGAAATGGCGACGAGTTCGGGATCCCTTTATCATGTGTTTGCCCCGGCACTTCCCCGGATTGTCCGGGCCAGTTTGGGCGTCATGAGGAGTCTTTGCCTGTCGATCTCCGAGGGGGCCCCATGGCTGCCCATCAAGGGCCCCATGCTAGCTTCAGGCCCCATCGGAATCCGGCTCGGGGTGCGGATGGACCAATCACAGGCCATGGTACCTTTCTTCTTTCCCTGGGCCGCCCATCAGGATCAACACCGAGGAAATGAAATTAACGTCACGGACTTGATGACTGTCGATCTTCAACCCTCACGGCGTCTCACCAACAACGTCGTAAGCTGATAACATGGACCTGTTTCCCTTCTTTCCCGTTTGAGTTCTGCCCTGCGGTTTTCCCTTTCTGATCTTTTCGCCAGTTTCGCTCTTTTACACTATCGCTCACTCTCTGTCATGTCGCTCCTTTAAACAACTACCAACTACAATTTTCCCACGATACGTTCAACCAATAGTCAGAATGGAACCTTCATTGAATGCCACGATCGACGACACTTTCTTTCTTGTCCCACCAACACGATTCCTTTTCCAACCTGCCCATCGACCAAAACTCCATATCGGCACCCTAGGTCGCCGAGGCCTTCTCGAACTCGCACAACGCGATCTCACCTGCGCGAGTGACGAAACAACATGTTCGCAAGGAAGCTGGTGTTGCGGCAAAGGCTCAACGTGCTCGCTTGATAACGGCGCCTTTTTCTGTTGCGCTCCGGGGGCTGGCCAGGATGGATGTGCAAGGGTTTGCGCTGCTGGTGATTTCCAATGTGGAAATGTTTGCTGCGCTGACGGGCAAACATGCATGGGCGCCGAATCGGGTTCCCCCTATTGTGTAAACCCCAGCATCACCAGCACCTTGATGAGCAGCATTCCTCTTCCAACGACCACAGCAACGTTTATCAGTTCGACTTTGACGGTTGCACAAACACCAACAATGGCATTGTCAACTTCCCTTACCACTTCGATACCAACCACCACAGCAATCACTATTCCATCTTCCACAAATTCTACAACATCAGAAACCACAAAGCCCATATCTTCCAACATGAGCTCTTCACAACCAGCTGCACCCACAGCAGCCTCTCCCTCCACCTCCCACGAAGACAGTGACCGCGGGATGCCCATGGCCGCCCAAGTCTCCATCGGTGTCATCGTCCCCGTAGTCTGCATCATCCTCGTCTTCGGTCTCTGGATGATCCTCTTCCGCCGCTCCAAGTCCCGACGACTCACAATGGGAGACGCTCCGCCCGGCTTTTACGTCGTGGGTCCTCCGGGCCAATTCGTCGTGGGTCCTCCGCTTTCTCCAGGGGACCGTCCATCCAGCTGGTACCCCTCTACACCACCACCGGCCTACACCAAATCCTACACCACGCCCGTCTCGATGGTTCCCGCTACCTCTTCGGCTGCCTCTTCGGTGTTTAGTAACGAGTCGCCTTCACCGGAGCAGGGGATGGAGATGTCGAATTTGAGTGTGCCACTGTCGCCGTCGCCGGTGCATCAGAGGTTGAGTGTGATGGATGTGAGGCTGTCGATGGCGAGCACGACGGTTGGGACGCCGGAGGAAAATGATCAGGCTGGAAATGGGCCGGAGGCGGATGATGTGCATCCTGGGATGCCGATAGATCTGTCAAGGACCTCGGTGTTTCATCCGAGGAGTACGGTCGATCAGAATGTGTCGCGCCCGGGGACGGCGCTGTAGTCGGTGCATCATCAGGGAATGAAAACTTACGGTCGACGAGCTACACAAAGGCTCCGTTTCTTTAAACGTTTCTAAGATTCATGTTTTTCAGACTCGCATGTCTTATGTTGTTCGCGGGGGTGTTGGAAGGAATGGGATCATATAAGATTGGAGCGTTCATGTAAAGTTAATATACCCATAATGTTTTACCTTAGCATTTTTCAGATGAAATCTCAGTCGTAACTGCCATCACTCTCATGGGCTTGCGACAAGAGCTTCCGTAAAGCCCGAGAGACCTGTCTTCGAAGATCAGTGGAGTTTGAAGGTTCCCTCACCGCAGTAAGTCCGGAGTCCGGTGAGCTTCCAGGCACCTTCCTTGTCTAGAACAATCATCGATCAAATTCATAGCCAGATTTGTTTCGGAAATGACGGAATATTTCCGGATGACTTCATCTTCCCCTGTGAACTCTGGTCCGTCTCCATTGATGAATCCTTGAGGCCCTGATCCCCAGCCCTCTGAGCAGCGTTACAGAAGGAAAGTTTGGCTTGAAAGTGACATTTTGGCCGAGGTGGGGACAATTCTTGACCGGGGTGCTGACCGGGGCTTTTTGTAGTTGTACCGCTCTGCTTTCTCAAAACTTTCCTCCAAACCCTTTTTTTTGCAAAGTTCCAGAAAGCACCGGTTGAGCGCTGGAAAGTTAGAAATTTTGGCTAAGAAGGGTATAGCGACGTCGCATTTGGGCTTCTTGGCCAAGCTTGGCAACCACTTGGCGAGAGGTACATTGCTTCAGCGTTCCAGGAATTGACCAAGACGCTAGCCAAGGCTCTAACGCTAAGAAAGGGAAAGCGCTCGTGGTAAATACCCGTCTCAAAGTTTCACTCCGCTTGCACTGCTACCAAGCTGTAACGCTGGTGCTCTGTAACGTTGCTCAGAAGGCTGCGGATTAGGGCCTGAAGGGGTTTCTGCCTTGGTTGAATGATCAGGGCAGCCACTGTTTGATGAGCCACTCGTGCCACTGCAGATTCAGGGTTAAAATGGCGTGTAAGTGCGCATTGACCAACTGTTTGTAGGCTGATGGGGCTGGTGTAGATTGCAGGCACGTGCACTCGCGCCTGCTGTTCAGGCGCCTGTAGCGAAGTTTAGCCGGACTCGCCGGACACGGCTGAGGAACAACCAAAAAGGCACGAGCAAGGATGATCCAACCAGATGACCCATCCAAATCTTTCGTCAGTGGATTTTTAGCCGCACACGACGATCGATATCGATAAGGACAACTTCCCTTCGGTCATTCCATCATCCCTCCTGCCTCGCGCAATCATCGCCCGATTCCAAGCCGACGGCCGACCACATTTCGGGGCACTGCAGCAAGTCCATCGCGACACATTCCTTCCTTTACCTGATGAACCGACCTCGCTAGCAGTCCCCCTCCCCAGCGGGCACCCGACGAGATACCGAAGCAACTAAAACACCACTAAGCGATTTTCACGGCCCAACCTTTCGCCTGGTTTCATTTCGTCATCGTTTCAAGTTTCATCTCTTCGCGACGGTCTTTTCTCCCAATCTTACTTTGACGACTGGCTTCGAGACTTTTTCCTCGCTTGCGCGATTCCGATTGACAAACGTCATCCGACGACTTGATACCGACCGACCACCATCCGACTGGCGACACGACACACGAGAAGGGAAGACAAGATAAGACTGGACGAACAAGATGGGCAACTACTGCTCTACCTGCTTCGGCAGTGGGAGGAGCGATGACTATGATGAGGTAGGTTCCGGCACAGCGGTCACAGTTCTGATGACGTGACCATCAAAAAGAGACATCAGACGGAACAAGGGAACTGACCTGGACTCTTTCATAACACAGGAGGATGAGGCCCAGCATCTCTTCGACGAGAACAACATGCACTACGGTAGCTTTGATCAGCAACACATGATGAACCAGGAAGACCCCCAAGAGACAGAAAGGGAAATTGCGGCTCTGCAGGGTGTGGTGGAACGTACATCCAAGTATGCCCTCCCTTCCCTCCCACTTCCTTTCTCTCCGTTCCAAGATCTAGCCCGAGATCCAAATCCAAGGGGTCGGTAGAGCGTATGACTAACCTGGAACCGCGCAGCAACATGGTCGACATCTACGACATGGTCCCGCATGACAAACCCATGCAGGACGCCCCTGCTCCCTACGGCTTCGCCGGCCAGCGCTACAATGCCCTGCTTTCCAAGCTCTCGACCCACGACGACATGGCCTCCGTGGCACGGGTTGATTGGGGCACCCCTGAGGACGACAGCATGGAGATGCTGCGCAAAGCTTCCCTGCCAACCATCCCCATCAAGGCCGAAGGAGGCGACCTCGTCGGTAACTTTACCGATGCCGCTGCCGCCATGCGCTGAAACCATACCACGACATTCAAACCATGACTTTGTCGTCCATACCCAACCCACATGACCCCGACGGCAACATGACGAAACATCCACAGTATCCTCCGACTCACGGATATGCCCACACCATACGTTCATCGAAACACAACCACCATACACAACAATAACCCCGGAATTCCTAGGCCAGGACGACATGAGGTGGCATCTCCAAGTTTCCCTGGCCGGTTTCCCCATCATATTTTCTTTTTGTTATCTCTCCTCTTTCATGATGCTGTTCCGGAAACAGCGGGCGTTCAGCGATTCGACAGGTCTGCGGCCAGAGACAACGTGGCATGGCAGGATGTTATGTTGATGAGTTGTCGATACCCGCCGAGGTGGGATATAGCGTCCATTTGTCTCATACATCACCGCCTTGTATGCCCAAGATGTTGGATAGGGCCAAGGATAGGTTAAAAAACGGCGAGTTTGGGGGTACGTATGCGTTGTACAGCAACAATTCAATCTAACGCTTTCCTTTGTTCATTGACTGGTTCCATGTTGGCCTTGTGTCAACCAATGGTGGTGTAGTGCTCCGGCCCCCAACAAACATAACGTTGACAAGGCGCACGCCCATTAAATGGCAGCCACGTTCACCAAGTTCCGTGTTGTTGCTTCATTGCCAGAGATATAAATCCCCAGGTCTTCTTGTCCGGTTCCCTTCTCACAAAAATCCGTCCCAGTTTGAAGCTTGTGTGGAAAAGTTTGCATTTCCATCGGTGGTGGATATCCCTCGAGATGCGACCTCAGCCATATGCAACACCACATCTTTTCGGACCATTGGACCAACAACTCCTCCGTCTTCTCCTCCCCGTGGAATAAGGGCCTCGTTGGGAGTCCGTGCACCGTTCAGCTTCACAGGAACTTGTTGGGTCACTGCCAGGCCGCAGATGGCTATCGCAGAGAGTGAAACGGGTAACAAAAATCGAGATGAGGAATGAGAGCTGCGAGGGGAAGGAAGAGTGGGAGGGTGCGCCAGTAACCCCCAAAGTGGAAGGACATGCAACATTCGGAAGCAAGCAAGGACAGCAAAGCACGTCACATCAGCCAGCCATGGCCTCGTTGTAGGCCGCGGTACCACCCAAGGACGACCTGGAGGCCTGGTGGTCTACTACTAGCGAGGCCAACTTATGGTCGCCCTCCCTTTTTTCCTGTCACCAGGTTGAGTTCTGAGCCCGTTCAGGTGGAGCGGAGAGATGGCTCTCGGCTTCTTCCTCTAGGAGTCCCGCGAGATTCGGCTTCTTCAACTGCGACCCAATTCCTCATGGAAACAACGGATTTTTCGAGTCCCCAAAGGTCTCCACTGTCTAGCCCGCGGCCGACTGACGACCTCCCGAGGGGCCACGCCTGCGTCGGGATACCAGCAGAAAAAAGAAAAGCACACGGATGATGAGGTCGCCCAGGTCCCCTTATGCCAAGGCCGCTCTGCTTTCTTACCTCCCTGTTCGAGCAAGAGTTTTACATCGCGGACTCGTCGGAGGCAGGCGAAAAGGAGGGAAACATGCTTGGTCCTCGCATATCCCGCCTCGGCCCCAATTCGCCAGCTGGCCCGTCTCCGTCACCCCGACCTGTTTCTGTTTCTATGGGGCCTCGCATATAGGCTACGGCAAGGTTCGAGTCGATTCGAGCGTCATTCGCTGGATAAGCCAGCCTTCTTGCGCGAAAATCTCCACATTCTTGGGCTTGGCTTGACTGGAGGGGGGAGGAGAAAAAGCGACGCTCACACACCAGTCATGGACAGCCTGCTCTGACTATCCGCCACTGTTCAACATCCACCCACCCACCTACCCAGGGCACCCACTCACCATCCGTCCTCCCCTCTTTCTTCCGACACCTGCCGATGAAAAAGAGTCACTGTGGGCGGGAATGTCCAGTTGGGATCTTCCCCGGTTCTGTGCTGCTGCATCTCGCCCCCTCCTCTCCCCCTTTGTTTGCGTCAATACCACCGTATGTGCGCACGCTAACGCAAACTTTGTGTCGTCCCCAGTGGGGATGATCGAGTGAGAGTGGCACCTGTGGGAGAGCTGATATGTGGTGCCTTTGGTACCTTTTTGGAGGACAGCCGCTGCTACCGTGGAAAAAGATGGACGCTCAAAGGAGGAGAAGGCGTCATGGTGAGGTGGGGTGGGAACTATCTTGTTATTTGCTAGCTTGCTGTTCTGCTTGATCAAGCTCACGGCTTGTACGTAGGGATTGGTGAGGGGAGGTAAAGGAAGGAGGAAATGGTGGCTTTTTACGTGAGAACAAAACTTACCTCCGGGTGAGAGACAACGGGTTATTGGTCGATGAGAAAATAAGTATATGTGCGAAATTGGGCTAGTATCGTCCACTATATATGGCATTAAAAGGCGTACAAAAGTAACTAGATCCATAAATATTTGCTTTTCCACTTTGTGGTCTTCCCGTCCTTGAAGAATGAGTGTCTACTTCATCCCTATCATCTCACCCAGCTCAAGATGGGAGGAGATGGGAAATATCGACCAAATAACCACTCTCTGGCCACCCCAGACCCATGATCAGTAGCGACCCAGGTACCACATCAAAAAGGAGGCCTCAAAGTCCCAAAAAAGAGGGGAAAATGAAAACATCCCGCTCACACCAAGACAACTCATACACACACCACACAATAGCAATACTACACGACCCATTCTTCAGACCACCCAGTGCGCCCATGATACTCAGATCAACAGTGTACACTGGACTTATTCTCCAGTACGCCAATAACAAAAAAACTGAGACCTTGCGCTCATCACCTATGCCTGAAAAGGTCTCAACTTTATGTTATGGGCGAGTCCAGCTCCAATTCCAGTTCCAGCTCCACCCTTTCTCTGTCGCTCAAGATCACCAGAACCCATAGCCTTCCCCTTGGCTTTTGTTCCATCTCCGGCTCCGGGCACCGCTCCCCGATGCTGACCACCACACTATACTTCACGCCATCTCAATTCTACCCCATTCAAGACTATCTTGCCAGAAATAAGGCTCGCTAGAGCGGGAGGAGAGGGTACGGAAGAGCAGGGCTGTCTAGCGTTTGGTAGCATGGTTTGGTCTTACTCGCAGACTTCTAAAGTCACTTGTTTGATCATTTGAGTTCGAGTGCTACAACTGTCCACCAGCTAGCCTTCTGCCACTGCATTGACATTTCTGTTACCTACTCGTCTGCACAGAGTGGCTCAAGAGTGACTGACCCTGGCTTCTGGTGTTTCTGCTTTACTTCTTCATGCGAGGCACGAGTTGATCATGTCAAATACACGAAGGCTATGCGAGCGAGAGGCCTTGCGCAGAAGAGTTGTGAAGATAGGCATGCGAGAAATTCGAAATGGAAGAACGGGGAACCCAGTGGTGCAAGAGTGGCTAATGAGTGGGGGCTTTAAGTAAGTGGCTGCTGCATCTGACGGTAATTTTCCCTTGCTACGTATGTATTGTTTGTATCATCTTCCACTCGGATGAACACGGTGTTCCTTTAAGTATTTAGGAGAGACAATTTAAGGTAGCTTACTCCTAGCCGAGCGGGAGTGTACCTTAATTACCACCTTCCGCTGTGCCCTCTACCTGCCTGTTATTTCCTTCCTCCCGAGCGTGAAAAAGAGTACCGAAAAGGAGGATATGGTGATCCATGAAATAGATCCCGAGCGGTTGTATGTGGTGTTTATTGATACATATTGGATTGGAGAAGCAACCGCTATGAGAAGAAATTGTACCTATATATGAACGACACGGAAAATTGTTAAGAAATCTGAGCCAATCATTCTTTGAGCTTTTTTCTTTGCCCCCTTCTTCTTCTTATCCCTTTTCTCTTTCGTTTCATTCTTCGTATCCCAAGTTTTCCGCATTCATCAAGCCATTGCAATGAAGTCATTTCATCATCGTAGCATCCTGGCGGCCACCCAACCTCTACCAAAGCAGTCCTCATTTCCCCATCCACCACCACAGCCAGTCTTCGTTCATGTCACCACCCGCCCATGCTCCATTTTCTAACCAATGAGAAAAAAGGAAATAAAAGAAAGAACACCAGGAAAGCCATGAAGGAGATAACACACTCCCAAAATAACCAGAAAGGAAACCTCATAGCATCCACCACCACTCAACAAATACTCCTCTGCTTCTCCTCATGCCCCCTCCACAAGTCTTGAATCTGGCTTCGCACCCCCGCAATATCCTGCTCCGTCTTTTCTATGGTGGCCATGCGATTCCCCTCGCGTCGCCAACGGGCAATATCCTCTGCCATCTTGCGTACTCTTCGATCCTTCTTGGTGATTTGCTCGCAAATCTTGCAAGGAGAAGGAATGAAGTTGGTCTCGTAGACGAGCTTGAGCCCGCACGTCTCGCCTGTGCGGTACTCCTTGTTGCACTGCTGGCGGAAGTTTCCCCACTTCCAGTAGCCGCAGGACCAGAGGGTTTGCTCGAAGTAGCACATTTTGGGTGGTAGCGAGTGGTAGGGGAAAGAGGGTGTGTGGTTGGTTGGATATGGTGATGGTGGAAAGTGGCGGGTGTGGATGGATGTGGATGGCGTATAAGTGAGGTAGGTTTGGCTTAGTCGGGAAGTGTGGCTTTGGGTGTTGTTGTGGTTCTTGATATCGCGGTGTAAGCCCCTTCTGTGTGGTGGCTGGAACGATGGTCGATGAAGACGGATTATGGCAGCCGTTGAAAGCGGAACAGGTAGCCGACCGTTCGACGTTCGTTCAAGAAGCAAATATTCAAACCGATATTTTGCTTCTCCTGATCCCTTTATATCTGTCTAATCTTCGAACACGAGTTAGCATAAGCATAAACTTTGTTCATCATTGCTTCTGGTGGCCCTTTTCTTCATCTTCTTCATCTCCCCTTTCTCTTCGCTCCTTTCTTTTTGACATTACTTAACTGGAGAGGCGCGAGTTCCTGCAAGCCTCCTTGAGGTAACACAGCAGCATTCCAGCAGCAGTCAGCAAGCAAGGGGCGCAAGGGGTAGGAAATGGAAGCCAATCCTTGAGGACGGAACCATTACTTACACTTGGGACGACTTAATCGATACAAATCCGGACCGGACGCAAGCGAACAGTTCTGTATGCCGGGGGTGAGAAGGTTAAGAGTAATGCCGTGCCGCTCGGAGACTTGGATATCTCTGGTGAGCAAAGGCAGTCGTGTTGAAAGCAAAGTCTGTGGATATGGTGATCTCTGTTGATGAAAAGCGAATTGAGTGATCAATGGAAGGTAGACAGATATAATTCAACTCGCTCGGTCCAAGCGTTATTGTGTTTTGCTTGGTTGCCGGTGATGTGACGATGCCAATTCGTCCCGCCAAGGTCGAGCTGGATATGCCGGATGATGTGGAAAATTGAGGTGATGGCCGGTGCTTGTATTTTTGGATTGATGGTTGTGGTTATCCTTCGATCGAGACTCGACAGTCGAGGACATCGAGGCCATACTTATACTCTTCTTCCTCGCCATGGATATGTTGTTCATCTTTATCATCCCTGGTCCCTAGATGCTGTATCGTGTCGTGTCGTTCCCTTCCCCTTGTCTTCCAACGAAGAGAAGAAAAAAAAAAGAGGACCCCGGCCGGTCCAGTAGGTCCATGGTCCAGGACAGGGGGGTGGGGACCACCTACGACCATGCTAGTAGTGCTATAAGCCCGTTAACACAACCACACGAACGGCCTCAAAAGCCACGCATCGAGAGCTGGTAGGAATGCCCATGTGTGTGATGTGATGAGCTGTGTAGAGAGGCTTTTTTGTTTTGTTTTGTCTTTTTGCCGTCCCTCGCCTGTCATAGTAAACCAAAGCAGACACGGCATGTTGTGAGGTGGTGATGGCGACTCTCTCTCCACTGGTCAAATATCCGGTGGGTAGTAGCTACCTGTCGCCATTCTTTCCTTGGTTCAAGGCCCGTTACCAGTTACCCCATCTGGGGTCCTCTTTGCGGTGGGTATGCCGGGTGGGTAAGACAAAAGACTGTTCTCTTTGGCTCAACTGAACAACCCGTGCTAAATCACGTTGTCAATCATACATTGCAGAGAGCTGCTTGCACAAGCCGGGGCAGTGGGTGTCTCCTGCGGCCCATATCAGAGTAGCAATCTCAACCAAGGATGTGTATACCAGTGTGCAGTACACAGTATGTTATGGCTGGGGTTGATGGGCACGTACCATGTGTGTACCTGTGTGTTGCTGTCTTGACCCTGGCCGGACCTGCTCATCTAGATGCCGACAGATTAGCCTCGTCCCCCCATGTCCCGCAGGTCCTCCGGGAGAGTGGCCTTCATAGGAGCCACGTCGACCATGGCTCATTTACCATGATCTCCCCATAACGCCTCTTCCCCACCAGGCTGTTGAAACATCTGTGTGTCCTACAGATGAGCCGGGGCCAGCCAGTTTCTTTTTGGCCCAAGATCAGCGATGGTTCCTAGTTTGGAGTGGCCGCCATTGAGAAGACCCTTCTTTCCTTTCTTTTCCAAGTAGTGACGGGCGGACTGAATAATGAGCTGAAGAGATGCTGTAAAGACCGTGTGATCATGACGAGCTTGGAGTTTCCATCCCTTCTTGTCCTCTTTCAATTGGTGAATAAGCGGCCACGCTCCGTTAGAACTTGTAAAGGTTTAGCTTTTTCGCTGTTCCTTCCATCTTCGACACAGTCAGTCCCCATTGGCTCTAGTGGCACTCTCCCACATGGTTTACACATATGTATGTACCATGTACGAATAGGTGTATGCGTGTACTTCGTACATGTCCCCATGTTCTCTCCATTCCTCGTGGACCTTGCATACACGCGGACCCCTGTTGCTATGGTCATGTTATTACGACCCACTCGGGACGGTGCCTGACTGTTAGGGAATTTTGAAGCAAAGTATCTGAACGTCGAGAAAGATTGATGGCGTCAATTGAGTGTACATAACCTTGCTCCATTCTACCATTGTTGTCTCCTTTCTCTCTCTGCGTGTGCGCCCCACTGACTCCAGTCTGGGACTTAGCTGGGCCAGTTTGCCCATCAAGGAGAAACACGCAGATAAACTTGTGAGGATCTTGTCTGCTAATGGAATCGGCCATTACAGGACTCACTTGTAGCGGCCCACATGGAAGAAGGATATCCGGCTAGCGTGGGTTCCAGGGCCGTCAGTTATGGCGGCGGCCGGTACAGGCGGCCGTGATCCGGAGGTTAAGACCAGGGTTTGGACCTAAAGTAGGCCGAAGGGGCAAGGCCACAAGATCCGCAAGAAAGCAGGGGAAAGGACGCGGATGCGGTAGGTTTCTCGGTCTGTGTCGTATATGTGAATGGGCTGTGATCAAAAACGGCCAACAAAGATTGCCCAATCGCCGAAACCGGGCATAGTAACAGTACAAATCGAGAATCTCTCCGTGTCAGTGCTGTGTGTTCTTGAGAGTAGAAGCCTGTTCTCCAACCCTTGAACCTCAAATGCGGCGGAATGAGCACATGTGTCTCTGGTTAAGAGCTTAACCACTTGGTCGTTTCCTGCCACTATTGGAGTCTCTCGCATTGAGACGCCACCAGAAGCATTATCAAGTAGACTGCTTCCCTCGAAGCCCCTGTTAACATCCGTGTCAATGAATAACGACATATCTCTGCGTTGCGTAATGGCCAATGGTTGGGTGGTCTCTGAGGCACAGGACGGATATGTCACTGTACTTGGAGTAGAAGTATGGAGCCCTCCTTCGCCAATACTGCCAACCAATGGTCAACGAAAGACTTGCTAGATCCCAGTGGAGTTGATGTCACAGATTGGTTTGCAACTCGAGAAAGCTTTGGGTCCTCTTGGACAGCAATTGGTTCCACCCAAAACCCGACTTTGATAGTCGCGAAATCTCTATCAACGGACATGGAAACTTCCGACCAGGAAAAACCCTGAATTAGCGGCATTAGAGAGTTTCGGCCCTGACTGCAGCCACGCTTCGTGTCTTGATAGGAGAAGACGGGGAACCAGGGGACACTTCAACAGCGCACGCTCGCAGGAACGATTTCTCACATGAACTTTCACCGTTCTCCCGGTGGGGAGGGTCAACTTTGACCTCAACGTCACCCATATTAACTCCGCTGGGTGGCACACCTTCTAGATTCTGTCATATCAGCCCATACCATCGATGAGTGACTGCAAGAGACGGATGGCGACGTGGCAAGCGTTGACTAGTGATGGCTTGAAGCCCACTTCAGGGGTTTGCCCCCCTCCTTTATCGAGCTATATTGCACCGGTGTGTTTGAGTTCCATATGAATTCCTAGACGATGGTAACGATGTATGGCCAGGTTCAAGTCTCTTAGCGCCCGCAAGCACTGTGATGAGCCTCGTCAGGGTACAAAGCCGGCATAGGCCTGCTTCACGGGGCAGCCGCTTGGGTCCCGGAGCAGTCAAGCCGATAGTCATGTGACCGAAAGCCGTGACGGACAGACGAAATGATGATTGAGGGATAAGCAAGGCGATGAAAGCTCAAGTGGGTCGAAATCAAAGAAAAAGAAACAGAAAATACAGGGGTCATGGTCGACAAACGCGCAGATATCATGAGGGGAAGCCTTCTGGTGCCGGAAGTGAGAGGGGACTACCTGCTTCTGTCCTGGTAGGGATCGATAGGGGAATGAGACCTTGCTCAGAATGACTGAGCGATCAGCTCCGTCCTGATGGGGGCTGTGACTTACACTTCATCATGCTTCCTGTGGGGTGATACAGGCGGGATGATCATGAACTGCTGCGGGCTCGCGAGGTTGCGCAATATCCGGACCTCGTTCCGGGTATGCCGTGCTCGACTATCCTGTTTCGCGTCAAGACTGGGTTAAATAAAGGGTCCAAACGGGGAACAGGAACATACCGTGTAGCTTCAACGTTGGCCTTTGCCGACTATACGACACACATGCGGGCCGAATACGTTCAGCCCAAGCGAGACCTTGACTTTTTCTGACCTTGGCAGCGGAGGAAGGTTCCATCACAATAAGCAGTCTCAATGATCTGCTCCTTCAGGCTAAGCAGTCAATCATTATTATTCCACAATCGAGTTGCTCGAGGGTTGGGGGGTGTAGTATTCACTTGGACCTTCTGGGGAACTGGGGGAGTGACCGGATATGAAGCGACGCTGTGGTCGAGCTTCCGTGTCATCAGGTCGGGCCAACGGGCCAAGGGAGTGGAGTTGTAGGGTAACAAGGCCGACCTGAGGTGACCAGGTGTTGATCTTGCCCGTCCTTTCAGCGGAATTTGCGCGGACTTTTGTCTCCTCTGGCAAAAAGCCCTCTTTTGTCTCCCCTATTCCTGATTCACGACCGGTCTTCATGGCCGAGTAGATCAGGGGCGGCCCGTTCCCTCATAACTCACATCCGTATACGAGACATGCTATGTTTTAGTCCGGCGAAGCTTCTGGCGTCTATCAAACTCTGAAGAAACCAGATGATTGTTGTCATATCCCGAACATTGCCCTGGATGGAGGGAGCTGTTGAGCCATCACAGCGTGAATGTAATGCTAGGACGGGTAACTGAGCGGCATCAAGTATGAACGTGAACAGCGGTTGCGCAAGCATCGCCCCTTTCCGATGGTGGAGGACGTGAATCTCAAAACTGATCGAGATGTCCTTGGCCAGTTGACACATCCGGCAGGGGTTGAAGCTGTTACGCCGACGAAAAGTGTTCAGAAGGCTGGCAGCCTTCTCTTCTAGAAGAGGACGGAGTAGGTCAATGTGGAAACGTGGAGGGCAATAGTTGAGATGGTCCAAACGGTGGTGATAACTGCTCATGCCGTCCCATGTAGCGTTGATGCGGGAGCCGGACGTCGCAAGATGCCGAGATGGGAAGTACACTAAAGGATGTACGGATTAGCTTGTGCAAGGTACAAGCTACACTACGCAGCAACGAGGTTAGCTCGACGTGAAGCGGCTTGAAGCGATCGAGTCACAGTTGAGAACAGGGATTTGACGGATCACTTTTCGGGAGCGACGGGTAACGGAGGGAGGTGTCTGGGAACAGCCTCAACGGAGCCAACTGACTCGTCTCATTGGTCGGCCCTACCTTGGGGGTAAGACGGGAGTGGAGAGGGAGGGTCGCCGAACTGACGACCAGCCTTTGGCCCTTTGCTCGCGAATTTGCCATCAACTCTTCTCAGGCTTGGGCGCCCAGCACGATACCTGAGTCCACTGAAAACGGTCACAAATCGGGCCCGTCTCTGATGATCCGGTGGCCGTACCGTCATTTCTTCGACTTTTGCGTACGCAGTGAGAGACCCCCCATCCGAGCCGAGTCTCAGGTGCCGCGTCGCAGTCGATGTTCGAAGACCTTCTTCTCCCCTCACTTCCCCGTCCCTGCAGACGCTCGCACGTATGCTTTGAATGCGTCATTAGTCCTGCAGGGGAATGGCTCGTCTTCATGGTTCCAAAGCCAACTTTCCACAGACATCTATGACAGAGCTCGGATCGCAACGAATTAGACGATGTGCTGGCAGACTGGCTGGTCCAGACCGTGGAGGGGTGCAATGGTCTTTCATCAGGTAGATCAGGCTAGCTAGGGTAGGGGGGAGGAAAATATTATCATCCCTGTGAACAAGAGGCTGAGGAGAGGGAAGGGTAGCCGACTTTTTCAGAGTATCGGGCGGATGTGTTGCTCCTCCACCACTGAGAGTTGCAGGACTCTGAGTCCGGTGATTGCGAACGTGCAGGAAAAGAAACTGTTCATGCCAATTTGCCACTCGTATACGGGTTCGGCTACTGTGTGGTGGGAGTGGTGTACTTGTCCGAGGGGCGAGTGCTCTCTAACTCTTGTCGGCGAAGGCTCGTGAATTTTCGAGGCGATGTGTGTCCAAAAGGGGCAATTGTGAGCCGTGATAGTGATGAGAAAGTCTATGGCCGCATCACAACAGGCCAGCCCCACGACACGTCATGAACGCGTCCAAAGATTGAGCTTGCTAGAGTATGCGACCGAGCTGTAGAACGGACGGCTGGTGGGGCCCACGAGGTAGCAGACGGAGAAGTATGAGCAGCTTTGGCCAGCTTGGCCAGCTTATTCTCAGCTCATAGCCTTGGGTAGCCTGCTCGGTAAGGCGACAATCATGGTCCGTTGTTTCTTGCACAAGGCTCAAGCCCAGACCGCAGAGCGTCTTGCTCCAATTGTTTAGCGAGTGTCTAGTGAGAGCGAGACCGGTGAACAGCTTCGCTAGAATCCGGAGTTTCTTTCGAAATCCGAGGTTCCATCTTGTTTGTTGCACCTGATTCTTTGGCCGGGTCGGGGACCTAGTTGCTCATGGTTGCTGTTAGCCGTCAGTTCACATATCGAAACTCAACACAGTCCGCCGTCGCTTGAGAGAGGTGTACTTGACACGCATTGGCCGACAAGGGAAGCCCACTGGATGCCTTTGACACTCAAACCGCCCTGAAGAGTAAGGGCAGGTGAGGTTGTCCTTTGACCCTTGTTGCTTTTCCCCTGCCCTCCGTTGACTTGGCCCCCAGATTTCTCCCCTGAGACCTGAACCCTTGCCTGCCTTTAGCGGCCCGCAGGCCTGCTGTAAGCCACCGAGATCCCTGTGCTGGACGGGATGAACCAGTGTTTTTGCACCGCCGAAACGTTTTGAAACTGAGTGGCCTCGGATCAGGCTGGAACAGCTGGGGAGCTCCTCACCCTGACCTCCTCTCCCGGCCAAACATCCAAAGCAAAGAGACTTGTAGCACTTGGAACGGTAACAGTGGAACCGAAGACTTTCAGGAAGGCTAGAGAAAGACAGAGATGGGCAAGAAAGGGTGCGCAGAAAAGGAGGGCATTGGACGCCTTGTCGACTTACACAGTGACAGCAAGCCAATGAGCGGCAGGGGTTTCTTGTTCAGATGCGGCAATGCCCCCTGTCCAACGTCACATCCGAGATAGCCGTTGAATTGAAGTGTTTCCTGGTCAGGGTCGGGGGTCCTGGAATTGGTGATTGTGATTCGCAGCGCGTTTAACAATCCAAGACGTGCCAGCGAGACTGGAGCACAGGAGATGGTTTTGTCATGGATTTGACGAGACCCGCGTCATTATCCAGAACGAGCATAGCATCGCCGGTACTATCGCTCGTCGGTTTCGAAATCGAACAGGTTGTGACTCGGCAAGAGGTGGTATGCAGATGGAGAGAGTGGGAAAGGAAAAGGGCGGTGGTATTGGTGAGTCGGTGATGCGTTGGGCGGCGTGGGATATGCTCAGCATAATTGACGATGGTGATCAAGCGGACGAAGAGGTGAGGTGGAATCTGGTGCATGGTCGGTCAAGTATTTGAGGCCAGCCCACAGATGATCAGAGGCGGCTTCCTCCGATTCCCGTCTCGAGTTTGACGCGAGAGAGAGAAATTTTCACTTGATCAAAGCAAAGGACTGAAATGGAAAGAGCACAAGACCATGGCCTCGACTGAGTGGTTCATTGCCGCGCGGAAGAGGAAACGGCGGGAAACGGTGAGGGGGAAAAGAATGAGACGGGGAAGGAAGCTCCAGGATGCAAGGTTCCCGTCCTCCGTCGCGCTTTCCAGGCCGCGGCCAGGTACCATCCAGTGCAGCGCGGCCTGGTAAGCGGCCATTGGTGAAACTGGTGCACAGACTCTTATATGGTCTGTGTCCTCTCTGTTTCCCACCCCGTGCCCACTTCTTGTGGCTCTTCCGTTCACCGTGAGCCAATCATTTTCCAAAGGGTGGACGCATGTCATGCTCCCGCACCTTGCCCTTGTTGCTCTTCTCCCTGACTTCACTCCTTCCATCGACCGTCGTTCACCACTTCGCCAATTCCATTTTTGTCAAGCCTCACCACTTTACCTGAGTGAGCATTCGCTTCGTTTGAATTTCCTCTTTGACTCTTGTCTGGTATTAAACAACGGCCTAATTCACAGGCCCGCCCCATTCCCCGTCTCGGCTTGGACTCTATCCGAGAGACGTGGTGACGTTTGCGCGCGGCCACCACTTTGCTCACCTCGCTCACCTTACTCACTCTCACATTCCAAATCCAAACTCATGATGTCGGTCGTGATATCGTGACTCCAACAACCCTCGTCACACTTCCAATTCACTGTGCCAAAGATTATCTCGATTACGGTCCTGTACGCGACCATTCTGGCTGGGCATGATCACACATCATCATATCCAGCCAAGATAAGTTGTGTGTCTTGACCTGAGGCTTGCAATAGTCCGAATAAAACCTCGACCACATTCCAACAAAGTGCGGTGCCGTTTTCGGCCTCCTGGTCCATCCATCTCTCCGTCCCGCTCACCTAGTACGCTTCGGTCCTCCTGTCATGTAACATCTCGTCATTGCGACCGCCGGCTTGACCGAGGATAACACATCGATCGAGACCTGAATCCTGCTCACATGACAGCCCGAATAAGAAACCTTGCAGTAATACCACGGTGATTTCTGCGAACCACTGTACTCCATTACGCAAAGAGGCATCGCCGTCTTCATCTTGGTTAACGATCACCAGCCACCAGCCCGGTCAGGATTCCATCTGGAGGCCAATATTGCAGACCACATCAGCCTGACTGTATCATCTTCTAACGCCTTTTTGTTTAGCCGCACCGCGAACTCGCGGATTCATACCAGACGTCACCCACCGCTCTCCGCTTTTCTGTCGGAAAACTACCTAGAGTCCCGCGATTGGTAGTCGCGGCAAAGTTAACGAACGGGGGAAGAGGCGTATCCGAGCAGGACACGCTCTTGATCCGACACTGACGCGGTTCTGAGCTCCTTGAACGTTTTGCTTCCGACACAGTCTCGCTTCCTCGCTTCAGCCCCGCTACCAAAGTTCTCGATTGCGTGAGAGCTGAAGTGTAAATCAGGGTGGGCACGAGGCAAACTTGGAAAAAGACTTCGAGGCCAGACCAGGCTAGCACACTGGTCCGGTCCGTCAGACTCGCTGATCACGAGAACATCAGACGCACGTCGCCGAATCAAGCAAGAAAGTCCTTGCTCATGGCGCCATTGCCACTCCAGCCAGGAGCCGGGCATCGCCAAATCTGGTCGTGGCCCACTGTTGAAGAACGAGGCGGAAATGAGGAGCATCTAGAGGGAAATTCCAGCGGGCACCTTGCCAGCCAGATAAGCCAAATGACACTGTTGGCTTCTGAAAGCACTCCGGTGCCTGTAGTAGAGAAGTCCGAGGCATCTTCATGGGGGTGGGATGACAAGGACACAGGAGGGATGAACGATACCCTCACTGACGTTATTCTTGACACACGTACAGTTGTGAGATTCAATGAGCACCGGGAAGAGTCTAACACGGGTCTGCAAGAGACTGGACATCATGTGCAACTGACCGACCTACCCAACGAAGTATTGTACGAGATTTTGAGCCATCTAGACATCTGCGATTTGTTCTCAGCTTCTAAAGTGAGTTCAGCTCTTTTTTTTTTTTAGATACCATCCGCATGTCTCTTCTAATCTTGCCTTTTTTTCGCTTGATGACCCGAACCTTTCCTTCTATCACCCGCTCCTGTGACGTGAAGCATTCTGGCGTCGCCAGATCTGCCCTCGTTACACAACATCTACACTTGTCAATCATACGCTTCTTTTCGCATTTTCCTGGCCACATTGATTGTCATTGTCACACCACTCTTGCACCTCCACCCTAAAGGCATATCAGAGAAAAGGACCATCAAAGCCATGTCCCAGCCAACCCCGTCTCCTTCTCCCTCTCCTGGAAGACCACAAACCAGAAACATAACTAACAAAACAAACTCCAGACCTCCCACCACCTCCGCACCCTCTCCACCTCGCCCACCTTACACTCCCTCCGCCTCCGCCGCGCCCGCCTCCTCCTCCCTCTATCCCTCACCTCCCCCTCCCGCCCTTCCCTCCCCGACCTAATCCGGCGCTCCATCTTCCTCACCAACACCGCCCTGATCTCCCGCAAACTCGCCCGCAAGCTCGCCTCCATTCACCTCGCCCGCCGCTTAGCCGCCCGTCCCTCAGCCGAGCAGCTGGTTGAACGTTGTGTTTTACCAGCTGAGTGCGTACCTCCTACTTATACCAAGAAAGGAAAAGGAGTGAAAGTGCCGCAGGTGGCGCCGGCGCTGGTGGCCAAGAAGAGAGCGGTGGAGAGGGAGAGGGTGAAGGATGGGCTGAGGGGGTGGATTGGGGAGGTTTGGATGGGGAGAGTGAAAGAGAGGGAGGGGAGGGTGAGGAGGGAGGAGGAGGAGAGGGGGGTGGGAAGGGTTTGGAGGTTGAGAAGGTTTTGGGAGGGGGTTAGTCGGGGGAGGGTGTAGGATTGTGGGAATGGGGATGGGGATAGTTTGTTTGGTATCAGCGAGCGAGCGTGGATAAACGGGGATGAATGGAGAATGGTGAATGAGTGATTGTTTGAATTCATGTTTTGTAGTGTGAGTGAGCGTGGCAGAGGCGTTGGATGAGTACGAGTAACGATGTGAATGAAGTAGGTCTTGTAGCTGGTTTCGTTTGGCGTTTTGTGTCTTTCACTTATTGATCTGCTGTTAGTCGGTTAGTTGCGGTTTACCATACCTATGTTGGGCATATATCAGGCTTGAATTTCGATTTTGAGCAGATACTGGAAGGATGTGTCTACTATTGGCAACGAGTTCGAAGATTTTACTGGTTTAGACCATCACAGCGATGTCTTTCTTCATTGGTTCCTCATTGTTCAGTCCGCAGGTTATTTATTGTGCCTCAAGCTCACACTTCAGTGCCCTCACAACATTTGGGCTTAACCACTCGACTGACATCCCTTACTTATATGTAGGTGAGCCCATCCCCTCATACCAAGAAGCTCCTCTCTCAACTTGACCATGCCATCCATTCCTCCATTTTCTCCCAGGCGAATGTTCTCGGTTTGGTGACTGCACTCCTCATCAAAAGGTCTGCTGTGATCGTAGCCCAACTTCCACCTCCTATTGAGCCCGAACCTCACCCTCCATGGATCTCCTCCTTTACTTCTCCTCCTTGCTACCCTCCTTGGCCTCCTTAACCTCCTCCTTCTTCTTCTCAGCCACAGCGGCGGCAGCAGCCTGAGCAGGTTCAGTGGTGGTGGTCTCGATGACGGTAGTAGTGGTGGTAGTCGTAGTCCCAGCGGGGGAGACAGTGGTCTCCTTGGTCTGCTCGGAGGCAATGGTAGTGGTGGGAGTCTGGCTGGACATTTTAAATGGTGGTATTTTGGGTTGGGAAGTGAGAAGGAGTTGTGGTTGAGAGATGTTGTGGTTTTGGGTTTGGATTGGTGTAGTTGAAAAGTGTGGAAGTGGCTGTGATGTGATGTTGATGGTGATGGTGATGCAGGAGAGATTCCGGGCTTTTGGGGGGGAGAGTCTAAGGGTTCTTATACCTCTCGACTGACCATCGATTCAACACCCGCCCGGGGACCGAGTGTTTGCGTGAACGAAGTGCGTTTTCTGCTTGGACGATCGATCTTAATGGCTCTCCACGTTTGGTGACATGACATTGTTTGCATCTTCTCATTTCCTCGTGGACGAGGTAGCACGCACCCATATGGGGAACAAATGGTTCAACGACATGCCGATTTTACTGCCATCCCAAAGGATTCGAAACAGTTTGCCACCAACAACAACATCTCTGTCCTCCATCACGCAAGACTTCGCCATTGGACTCGAAGATATGAAGTGTGGAGGAACAAATGTTTGCTAGTTCGGGAAGGAGCTGGATGATAGTTTTAACTCATGTGAATAGAGGCACTTGCTGACCGTTGGGCCTTCTGTGAAGTTGTGTTCATCCCGTCTTCGAATTGGCCGTTGGAAACCCACCAAAGGGTTTGCTCTCTGACACCTCAACAACGTTGGATCAGAGTCCTCACTCTTCCCAGTCGGGTTTGTTCATTTCGTAATCGATGCGGATCTCGGGAGTCCCAATTTGCTCTTGCCTTCGTTTCCATTGAGAACAGCCACGTAGAGGGTACCTGCCTAGATAGGCATTACCGTAGCAAGAACAAAAGAAAATCGAAAAAAAAAACGATGCCCACACGAGTTCCCTCATTACCATTGCCGGCAACTAAAAGCGTCCTAAGCGCGGAATCGGAACCCATCCCAATCGTCCTCGTCCTCGTCCTCATCCTCATCCTCCTCCGATGCCACTCGACGGCTATCGTTTCCGGTATAAATAGCGAACCAGTGACTATCCGTTGCATGATGTTCTATATCAGCCGCACCTCCATCTTCCCTGTCAAGCTGGCCAGTTGTGGCCAGTCATCATTGCTCACTTTGATTGAGCAACTGTCCAATCTTTCGTAAAATGTGCAAGGCGAGCAGGTAAACGGTGCAGGATGTGGAGGGGGCGAAACATCCTTATGAACTGCACAAGAAGAGGAGGGCGGGGGATACGATTGTTCATTTGGATTGGATACATCATGGCTTGGGCACGGGGAGTTGTGGGCCGGAGACGAGGCCGGAGTATACGCTATGGGCGGATAGGGAGTATGAGGTTGAGGTGGTGTTGTATTGAGTGAGTCTTGCTTCTTCTTGAATATACGATGAGATGAAAACCAATCAAGGAAGGGTATATATGTGGACATTGCTTTTAGGAAACCTGGTGTCATCTACTTTCCTTTTTGGTTAGGTATATATAAACCTTTTTCATGGAGGAACTCGGTTGAGTTTATGGGGCAGAGCACAGCTATGTAGGTACCTATCCCAATACCAAAACAAACTCATCTAGACTACTCGTCAGGGCTTGAATCACCTGTCTTCCCCTTGGCCGAGTACCCCACCCCCTCTCAACCCCCTCAATTCTCCGCTCCTGCCCGCTCAAGGAATCCTCAATACAGGTACATAATGCAGAGATCAGGGCCGTAGTAATAACAACCTTAATGTTCGATTAGCTCAGGTGGGAGAGCATCGCAGGTATACGAAGAGTACCTACGAAGGTTAAGAGTTTAACTCTCCTATCGGACAAATTCCCGGAAAACTCCCTCTTGATGCAGAGGGAGTGAGCCGGGAAACCATTTTTGGGGTTTCTTTTCTTTGTTTTTCTATCTTTAATTTTTCTGCTGCTTTATTATTCTTTCTGATCTGTAGTCTTTTCCGTTAGCATGTGTCAAAGACGATGGATGCATGTTCCTCAAATCTACCCAATAACCGTATTTGACTCACGAGCAACCACCCCCAGGATGATGCGGGAAGTAGACTTAAAAGGTCTTGATTAAACATTGAACTGATGAATCCGTTCGGTAAATGTCGAGTTCCCTCATTTACCCTTGCTACCCGAAAACTCAAAGCGTAAAACTAAGCCCGAAACCGAAACCCATCCCAATCATCCTCGTCCTCATCTTCATCATCATCCTCTTCTTCTTCTTCTTCTTCTTCTTCTTCCACCACCTTCCCCTTCGCCGCAATCCCACTCGCAGCATTCTCCTTCCCCAGCGCAGCCAAAACAGCAGCAGCAGCAGCACTCGTCTTCCCCTGCACACCCTCGTCAGCAACCCTTTCCCCTCCTCCCATCGGCGTATCTGTCGTCCCCCCTTCCCCTTGTCCCGCCCCCGCCCCCGTCTCCCCCGTCTCCCCACCTTGCCCAGCACTACCCAACCTCCCAGCCCTCAGCGCCTCCCTCCTCTCCCTCAACCTCCTCGCCCTAGCCTCCAACTCCTCCATAACCTCAAACTCGGTCTCCAACGCCCTCGTCGCCTCTTCGCGCTCGTCTTCAATCTCAACGTCCTTGGCCGCTTGGCGGCGGGATTGCTCTTCGTCGTGGGACTTGGCGGCTGCTGAGGCTGCTTCTGCTGCTGAGACGGGTGCAGCTGAGATCACGGCCTCTCCCTCTGTTAACGCGGCGGCGGCCGCGGGAGGTTTATTGCTGGGGGGAGCGAGGAGATCGGCTTCGAAGGAGGCCCAGAGGTCGTCGTCTACTTGTTCTTGTGGTGCTTGTGGGGCGTCTGCTGAGGTTGGGGCTGGGGCGGAGGTGGTGGTGGTGGTGGTGGTGGTGGTTAAAGGGGCGGGAGTGAAGGTTGGCTGGGAAGTTGGTGGTTGCGAGTGTTGTTCGGATAATTGTGAAAAGGGGCGTAGTGGACCGCCAGCTGATTTGGGCGTTGTGGTGGCGTCTGCTGGCGTTGCTGGCCGCGAAGGGATGGCGAGCTCGATGCCGGCTGTTGGAGTGAACGACTGTTGCCGGGTAAGGTTAGGTGGCCTCGTGGCATCTGCTGGGTCTGAGGTTGGCGGTGCCGGTCCTGGTTCTGGGGATAAGGTGTTGGGGCGGGTGCGCTTGGATGCGCGGTCGGTCTCGTCTGTAGAGACGGGGGAGGTGGCTTCGTCGTCATCTTGAGAATCGAACTTGCGTTTGTGAGGCTGATCGGTTGGTTCATCTTGCGCTTCAGTCTGTTGTTGCTGCTGCTGCTGCTGCTGTTGGAGTACTTGTAGACGTTGACGGTGACCGGTGCTGCGGATGTGACCGTCCCAAAGAGCTTCGGTCTTGATGTGTTCCCGGCAGAGGACACAGACGAGCTTGCCGGCGTCGGTGTACGCTGCGTGTGGGTGTTCGATTCTGCGCGCAGCGCGCTGTTGGCGTAAGAGAGCGCGCACGTCGGCCATTGTTTATGTATTCCTAGGTGATATGAGAATAGTGATTTGAGAGTAGGGTAAGGTGATCCGGGGTGGTGATTGTGAGATTGGTGGTGAGAGTTTGGGTGGTGTCCGTCTAGTTCTCGGTCGTGAAGATCCAAATATCGGCCAAGGCTTGTGGTATTACGTTGCCGGTAATGTTTCAGGTGCTCAATGTTTAGAGAAGACCCAGGAATGTGAAGTCATGTCAGACTGAGCATCAGATGTCGTGAAACTGATGAGCGAATCGCGACTCGATGCGATTGAGGCTGCGACGTCAAGGTCTCTTGTGGAGCTACCCTAAGCTTTTAAGAGTCAGGTACCACAGGCTTCAGCCACACTTACCCCAAACTTTAAAGTGCGGCAAGGATGAGCTCCATGTGTGGAGCAACGCCAAGTGGAGAGCTCTTATCGATTGCCGCGACTTTGCCGCGTCTGTTGCCTGCGACCATTCACTCTCCGGCAACGTCACTTGCAATTGATTGCTCCCAGACACGCTTCGACGCAACAACTGCTTTCACATCGCAAACGCAAATCATCCTGATCGCATACGGAGACTAGTTTTCTCTACCTGTTTTAAGAAGCCAGAGTATCACGCCAACCTAATAATTACCGGGCATCTTACCGAAGAAGCACCGCGCACCACCTTCACGACATCGCGCCAAACAGCACTCGTTCTCCATTGCGACGATCCATACACAAAAACGACAGCTACATACTACCCATCATGGCCGACACCGAAGAGGATAACTCGGCCCTCGCCTCCTTCTTCCCCGATCCTCCTCTCTTCTGGAAGGCCTTCACCCCGTCGAACCTCCAAGCCTTCGCCGAGCTTAAACAGCAATATGCCTCCCAACAAGGCATTCCCGTCGAAGACGTCGTCCGCATCCCAAATCTCCCCGCCGATTCAGACCTCATATACCTCCAACCACCAGCCGAGCCGAAAGATGGAACATGGCGATTATACGGCGAACCTCAATCAGTACGTTACCCCTACACCTCCGAACCTCTTCCAGCCAGCCGGTAACTAACCCCCCAAAAGCTAGAAGAATCCCTCCAACCCCTCGAATCAGCCGGCATCGAACGTCTCGGTCCTCCCCTCCCCGGCTCAACCACCACATCAGATTCCCAAACCACCGCCAGCGACAGCCAAACAACAACCCAACCCCTTTCCGTTGGCGACACCCAACCCACCTCCGCTTTCCCCTCCCAACAACCCACCTCCCAACTCCCCCCTTCCACCTTGTCGGCCCCCGGTGCCCCCTCAACCCAAACCCACGACACCCTCCACCTCCACCTCAAACGCCTCTCCAAATCTCTCCTCCTCAACTTCCTCGAGTTGGTGGGTATCATGTCCATCGACCCCTCCCGCGGTTCGGAAAAGGCTTCCGACCTGCGCACTTTGTTTCTCAACTTCCACCATGTTTTAAACGAGTACCGCCCGCATCAGGCTAGGGAGCAACTGATTCAGTTGATGCAGGAGCGATTGGATCAGACGAGGGCGGAGACGGCGGCGAATCGGGCGGTTGCGGAAAAGGCGAGAAGGGTACTGGAGGGGTTGGGGAGTGTGGAGATTCCGATGGCGACAGAAACAGGAGGGTTGGGAGGGGATGGATATGCAATGGGCAGGAAGGGGACGGTAGTGGGGGATAGGAGGGTGGGTGTTGATGTTGATGGGGTGGATGAGGAGGGGAGGTATTGGGAACGGGAGGGGATGGGGTGGGGGGTTTTGGATGCGGAGTTTGCTTGATCTTGAGGGAGATGGGATGGATGGATGCTCCTGAGGATTGTTGGTATGGAACGACGGTTTGGGTCTTTGGGTTCTGGGAAAAGGAGCATGGCGTGTTTTGTTTTTGTTTTGTTGCTTTGGTTGTGCATATACCCCGAGAGAAGACCATTTGCTAGGTCAATAACAGAAGATATACGAAAGTGGCTCTACAGAATCAGTGCGAGTGAACAATGATAGAATTCGAGGATATTTGAGGTAAATCGTGAAATTCAATTCTGTATGAGCAGGCTCCATCCATTAGAGCGAGTGATTAGAACATATCAATCCTGCCAAGCTAATGAGTACAACGCATATGAGCGCAGTACATACTTCACGAACCGTACAACACTGTCGCTAGACAAGGTATTCATTTTCTATCACATATCTAAGACCCACAAAGTCCTCTCTGGTGGGTGACATGAGTGCCATATAACTTAACAGACCACACCTTCAAGAACAGGGCTTGACAGAGCTAGAGCCACAAGAACAATTTGAGCAACAATTTCGAGCAATCGAACAAGGGTGTAAAGATCGGACCGAACCGGACATATCATGCCTGATTAACTCCTCCCCTAGGAACCGTAATAACCTAAATACGCCCAAAAAACCAAACCCACAAAAAGACCCTCCCCCTATTTTCTTTCTCTCTCTCAAGAACTGTTTTAAACCTAAACCTTCCCGGCCAATTTTCGCTGTATCTCCTTTTCCTTCTTTCTTCCGTTCCCCCTTTCCCCCTTTTCCGCTTTCATGTTTCGCTAAGCTCTTCAAATAGTTAACATGCCCATTGATTGACACACCATCACTCCCCCCCTCACATATGTAACATCTCTAGCTCCAATACCTATCCTCCTCTCCTTCCAACAGACACTAAGACGAACTTCCACCTCTCATCCACCTCTCAAGAAACCAATTCATTTCAACTCCACTAACCCCGCCTGGCTCCCGGCTTCCGGCTTCCGGCTTCTAATCAGACTCAACATCCCACCCCTCCATCACATCCGGCGCCTTCATCTTCTTCTTCTGCTTCTCCGCCGGCTGCAAACACAACAACCTCCTTCTCCTAGGCGTCGGTCTCGCCGGCGTTGCTTGACCCGTTCCCGTTCCCGTTCCCGAGCCGTGGCCTGGGCCTGACCCCAAAACGGATGATCGAACAGATGACGCAACCGAGTTGGCCGAGGGGGATTGATGTCTGCTTCCGCCTGCTATGCTACTTCCACCACCACCGCCACCGAAACCACCTATAATGCTACCAGCTGTACTACTCGCTGCAGTACTACTTCTTCTTCTTCTGTGTCGTTGATGATCAACTACCGGACTAGCGGCAACCAACGGACTTCGCGGCGAAGGGTTTGTTGTGTGAGGATGATGAGGAGGGGGGAAATGAGGACGACGATCGAGATCGAGATCGGTATCAAGCGGTGGCAGCGCCGGCTTTGTTGAGGCCGATGCTGATGCTGCTTTCGTAGCTGATGCCGTAACCTTTGACCTTGACGCTGATCCCGTTCCTATTCCTAAAATTGAACCCCTCTCCTCCCTTCGCGGTGTGCTCGGCGGTTGTTTCTTGTCACTTTGCTTTGTCGCTGCTGCAGGCCTCGTACTATTGCTATTGCTACTACTATTCCTGACCGCTGCTGCTGAGTCCGGGTGGTTTGTCCGCTGTCCGTCGCCCCTCTAGGCGGAAGGAGGACCGGTTGCTGCTGCTGTGGTAGCCTGGGGAGGGATGGGCGGAGGCGGGATGGGCGTTTGCTTAACGGGGCCAGCGCCGGCGGCTACCGGCGGGATGGGCGGGGGGGGAATAGGAGTGGTTCGCACTGGCGGGGTGAAGTGCTGTTGGTGATGCTGTGAATGAGCTTGAGGCTGGGCCTGCGGGTGAGGCTGCGAAGGAGGCTGCGCGTGTTGTGGTTGTTGCTGTTGGTGTTGCTGATGTTGAGGAGGTTGAGTATGATGAGAGGCTGGTTGAGGTGGCTGGGCCGCTGGGGGTTGTGGTTGAGCAGCAGCGTGATGCTGGGGTGGGTGTTGCACCTGGTGCTGCGGTTGATGCTGCTGTTGGTGCTGAGGAGCATGCTGAGGAGCATGCTGGGGTGGATGCTGAGGTTGATGATGCGGTGGGTGTTGCTGCTGGTGCTGCTGCTGTTGCTGGTGCTGCAAATGCTGAGGTTGATGCTGCGGTGGAGGAGGATGAGGTTGATGATGGGCCTGCTGCTGTGGCTGGTGCTGAGGCTGATGATGCGGTGGGTGGTGAGCCTGGTGTTGCTGTTGATGCTGAGGCTGTGGCTGATGGTGAGCCTGGTGTTGTGGTTGATGTTGGGGTGGGTGCTGCGGCAGATGCTGCTGCTGATGCTGAACCTGGTGCTGTGAATGATGTTGTTGATGGTGAGGCTGATGGTGCATCTGTTGTTGTTGATGCTGGTGCTGTTGATGAACAGGATGCTGCTGGGACTGCTGCTGAGCTTGAGCAGCCTTGGCCTGCGCATTGGTACTCTCCCTCTCCAAAACATTACTCAGGTAAGGCAGATCATCGCGAGCCTTGGGATCCCGTTCGTAGATCTTCTTGATAACTTCCCATTCCTTCCTGGACATCTTATGGGCCTGAGGCAGCAGGAAGGCAACCGTCGGACTAGTGATGAGAGGACCCAGTACCTCTCTGGCAATGGCCTCTCCTTGTCTCTGCACCTGGTCCACAGCGGGATGCTGCATCTGGCTCACCGGATGATGGGCCGGTGGTGTTGGCTGCGGTTGCTGCTGTTGTGGCACTTGTGAAGGGGTGCTACTATGCCTAGGAGTAGGGTAGTTGGGGAACGTGCCAGCCTGGGGAGATGTCGGCGAGAAAGCAGGCGTCGAGAGGGAAGGCCGGTGGCCCGGAGGGAGGTTCGCCAGCGCCGGCGATGATGGCGCCGGTGTACTCGCGAAGCTGGTGTGGACCTTGGTGGACTGGTTCGCCACTACTTGGTTATAGTCATTAGTCCCATGTAGCCGCATAATAGTATCGGGATCGTTACGGTAGACAAATACGCCGAGCAACATTGGCTCGGTCCTCGTCTCGGGAATGTGGTTATCAGCCAGGTTGAGCATAAACTCTGGGTATTGACCTGTGCCAGGAAGCACGGGAACGAGGTAGGTGTCGCGGACGTTCGCTACCCCTCTGTCTCCTATGACTCCGTATCGCTTCTTGGACACAAAGTAGTCAACCAGGCGTTGAAACTGGGGCTTCGAGGCCGCCGACGTAGGCTGCAAGTTCACTACTACCACATCAGTGGGAAGACTATACCTCAGACTACAGAGGTAGACAATAGCCTGTTGTTCGTCAATCCGTCCGCAGACAGTAAGTGTCTTGGGCATCAACTTGTCCCATTCCAAGCCGATCGACTCCTTCAGTTTGGCGCCTCCAATATGCTTGGCTGTCACTTGGAAATCTGCAATGGTATTCATCACCAGATTTCCCTTCCACACCACATCGGGGTCAAGGATCTCCTCCTTCGGTGAATAAGGCGGGGACTGGGTGCCGTCGTCCAAGAGGCGATCCACATCTGCATCAACCCCGGGTCCTGTTGAGGTAGACATAGCGGATGGGCGTCTGTTGTGAGACTGAGTAGGCGACTTGACACTTGAGAAGACCTTGTTGATATCAAAGTTCCCTGTGCTAGGCGACTTCTGAGTCTCCACAGTCAGATCCCTCGAAGATCGCTTCGAAGCCGTCCCCTGAGCAGCCCTCTCCGGTCCCTCTTCCTTAACGCGTTTCTTCGGGGGCTCAGCTGTATCCTGGGGCGGCCTACGTACGGGGGCGGAGGAAACATCAGTCGACAGGTTGTAACTCTCGTCCCCAATAACTTCCTCGCCCTTGTGCGTTTTCCGTATCCTGGGGACATCCTCGGTGATCATAATGGACTGTTTCTCTGCCCTCGCCTTCATCTCGGCAGTTTCTTTCTGCAGCTCCTTCGTTGCCAGCTCCTCTGTTGTCATGGAAGCCAACATGGTAGGGGTAAGGGTGCCGTTAAGCAGACCGGTAGTGAGGTCTTGGTTGGTCTTGAGGTTGTAGCTTAGTGTCCGCATCTGACCACTATAGGCAGTCGACTGGTGCGAATCGTGGACAGCACGCTCGATCTGAATAGCTAAACGCTCTGCGGTAGCTGAGACGCCTTCGGAAGGAATCGACGCGCCCTTCTTCTCGGCGACTCCAATAGAGTGCACCAGAGACTTAGAAAGGAGCTTGGCGGCGCCTTGCCGAAGCTCTGGTAGCTCACTGATCTTGCCGGCGATGTCATCTGGGGCCTTGTATGATGGGAGAGGTGGAGCTTGGGTCTCTGTAACCTTTCGGACCTTTTGCTGTAAGGAAGGGTAAGTCAGTATCGTAACGTGGGAAACAGTAAGAATGGTGACTTACCTTGGGTTCCTTCTCTGGCGCAGGTTCTGTCGTCTTGCGCTTCTGTCCAGCTGCGCTCTTGGCATCCTTCTTGGGCTCTGGTGCGGGAGATGGCTTTGGTTTCTGGGAGGCCTGGGAGCTTTCTTCCTTGTGGTCGCTCACCCTCTTCGCTTTCTTCTTGTTGCCTCTCCTCCGCTTCTCTGCCTTTTCCTCCTCGAAGGCTTTGCGCCTGGCCTCCCAGGGCCTCTCGCCGTTCTTCATGCCATTGAGCAGTTCCTGGTGGTTCTCGGGCTTGCAGAGCTCGCAAAAATACTCCTTAGGTAAATCTTCGCTATACTGGCTCATGCCCATGCAGATGTTGTGCTGCCAGGCGCCGCACATGTCGCAGGCAATCCAAGGCTCGCCAGAATCCTCATCTTGTTCGGTGGCGCCGCAGACGCATCGGATGATCTCTTCCTCGGGCTCTTCTGGCTCGGGGACTGCTTTCTTGGCGGCCTTCTTCCCGCGCTTCTTGGGGATGTCGATTTGGTCGAGCTGTTCCAGTGCCTTGTGCTGGCCCTTTGTGGCTCTAACCGATCGGCGCGGCTCGGGTTCTGGCATCGGGTATCGTGGTTAGCTTTTAATCACCAGGGGCTTGACGTCGTGGTATGGGGGAATGGCATTGGGTGATGGGAGCTGGCGCTGCTATTGCGAGACGAAAACATGACATTGTGACTGCGTTGCTTACCAGACATGATGGCGGTTTTCGATTTCGACAATGGGGTATGTAGGTACGGGCTCAATGGACAGCGAACTTTCCAGCCTTGTTCGGATACGATTGGAGAGCTTCCACTTTGTCTGACGCGCGCGCGGTCTACTGCAGATGGCTCAAGACATGCGTGGAGAGCGGATCCTCATGCGGGCATTAGACAGAGAAAGATATTTTACGCGTGTGAAAGTAGAGCTAGCAACGATGGCGACAGTGACTGCCCAGAGGAGGCTGTCTCAATAAAGAACGAAGAAAATAATCCTGAAGCTATGTGTCGCTGCAGGCTAGAATCTTGCAGCTAGACCTAGCAAATCCTCAATTATGTCCCTCCTGGTTTGCGCAAGGCAAAGTGTTGATGCCTGCTGTTGTTGTTCGTGTTGTTGTTGCTGCCTCTTCTGCCGCAGTTGGATGGATCTGGGAAGCAACAATCCGAATGACGGATCAAGAGAACTGTCGAATGCTGGGTGGATGGAAAGGTTGGAACGGTTGGAACGGATGAAAGCTATAACGGACAAGACTCGACGACACTGTTGGTTGGTTTTGGTCGCAGTCCAAGTGTTGGTGGTGTCAATGTCCTTTTCCTTCAAAGGTCCAAGCTCCACGCGGGCCGTTAGAAGGTCGGCAAGGTAGAGTGCGGAGGGATCGTCGGGGACCTCGCGTGAGGGGCGCACACTGAATGTCGAGAGGAGAATAACGCGTCGGCAATTCAGAGGATCGATCGTGTTCGCCGACAGCACAGCACAAGAGAATTGGGCGACAAGACGAGAGGACCGAGATCCAACGTGGTGGTAGTCGGAATGTGGGATGTCTAGAGGAAGAAGTCGCTGAAAGAGAAAAGAGGAAGCCGTGTCGCGATTGAGTGACGGAATTGTGGAGGTTGGAAAGGAGGAGTTTGCTGAGGTGGAGGCGACGACCGGATCTTGTACCGATATCCCCAGGCAGTTGTCAGAGGCCAGGGGATCCACTGGGCGTGTACGTGCCCAGCTGGACTGGGATATGCGGGATTTTTACCCAGATGCCAGAGCTTCAAGTCTGTAGAGCCAATCTTACATATATATACAATGAAGCCACGTTGAACCTATATTAATTATTACTAGTAATATTATAATCAAGAATTTTATTAATTTGACCATTAAAACTATTACTAATAATAATAATTAATTAAATGATTACTATAATATTTACGACTAAAATTAATAGCGTTGCCCTTAACGGCCTTAAGGATTAGCCGGCTTAGGAAGATGCCTTCATCTCTATAACCTAGGACCTAAGTTTTTAAAAGTATATCAACTCAGTTAACTGCGTTCCTTAACTAACTGAACTAATAAAACCCAATATCGCTAACTACTAAAGGGAAGTTCCTACTAGAGAAACTAAAGAAATTAAAAAGGATAGAGAAATTACTTTATCTATTACTACTAAACTTTATAGCTTCTATTATAAGTGCAACTACTATAACTATATAATTAAAAAGTTGGATTGGCGTATAGAAGTTAAAACCTTCTCTAATTTAGGTACTAAAAAAGTTATATTAAATCGCTAGATATTTAAAACTATTGGAAATAATTATCGGGAAATTAATTTTATTAAACGTATTAGTCTATACAAATAGTATAATATTTTTAATAAATTTACCGCTTTTAATAACCGTAAGGTAAAAAAGTTCATTCGGGTTAGATTTATTAATATTTTTAAGCCCCTTAATAGAATTAACCGTAATTAATATAACTAAACCTTTTATTAAGAAGCGGTTATAGCCCTCTATATTACTAAAGAAATTACTAGAATAGATAAATTAAACTTATAATTCCTAAAATTTTATATAATCATAAGGTCGAATCCTTATACCGCCTAGGTAAATAATTACCAACTCTAATATAATAAAGAGATCGAAAAAAACTCTAATTTTAAAATCTTTTTCCGTATTATAATTAAAGACTTTCGTAAAATAATAATAGCGAATATTATGTAGGAAAAAGGTTATACTCCTTTATTTAAAGGTATTATATTCGCGGCTATATTAGGTAGTAAATTTATTAAAGAGGACGTTTCTAATAATAAATAAAACCCTAGCCCGGAAATAGAGGGACGGTGAGAAATTATAAGTAAAAACGGTAAATTTAAGAAGAATATTAATAAAAATAAGCGTACCTCTTCCTCGTCCCTATTAATAAATAAACAATTATAATAATCCCTATATAAATTCTATAAGTAATTAAATTATAAATTAAATAAGTATTATTACGCTAAATTATAATTAGTTTATAAAAATTAAATTAAACATCCTACGAATAAAAAGCGCGCGTATATTAATTTAAAAAAGAATAAAATATTTAAAGAGGCTATTAATTATTTACGAACATAGTAGGATAATAAAGAGTAAAATAATTAATTTTATAGTCACCGGGTAAATAAAAATAATTTTTTAATACTTATAACGAAATATAACGCCATATACCTATTAAAAGACTTTATAATCCTCGATTTAAATATAATAATATATATTTTTAATAAAATTAATTACTTTAAAGACTTTACCCCTTTAAATATTAATAATTATATATAAGCGGGAAATAAGCGGATTATTTTAAAAGGGTATAATATTATTATAATTATAATTTAGGACGACGACGGAGATAGAGAATTCTAATTCCCTAACGTCGTTTTAGTACTAGATATAGCCTATAATTTTATCTCCTTAAAATAATTCGAAGATAAATAAATCTCTTAGGACTATAAGAATAATTATCTATACTCCCGCCTTACGGACTCCCTTATTTATTATATCCTTTCTAAATATAAATAATTTATTTTGAAATATATTTTTCTATAGAATAACGCTAATAAATCTTCTTTTATTATATAGTATATAAATTATATTAAATAGAGGCTTTAAAAAAGTAAATTCTTTCGTTAGTATCTTTGATTTAACTACCCAAGACCTGAAACTTTAATTAAATTAATAGAATAAAAATATAGCATACAATTTAAAAGACCGAATATAATATACTACGAATTATATATTAAAATTAAATTAAAGTACTAAATATATAGAGAAGTTCATAATTACTTAGAGGGCCCTAAATTATAATTAGCCGTCGACTTCTTCTCTTATAAGGAAGTAAAAATAGGGGGTTAGAAATACTTAAATTTAATAGTAATCGTAGACTAGTAATTTAGATTTATTCAAATATATTATTTAAATAATAAAGAAGCTGAATTTATTATTGCGTATTTAGAATCCTTTTATATAAGGTTATAGATTTAATACTAAATGTACTTCGGATAATCGAATATAATAACGAAATAATTAATAGTAAGAAAATTACTATTTAATTTACTACTAAAGGAATTAATATTGAACCTTTAATACCTTATATATAAATTTAAAATAGCGGCGTAGAACGTTTAAAGGGTATAATTAAAACTAAGGGTATAGCAATATAATTAAATACAAATCTTCCTTACGAATTATAAATAAAAATGATTAGAATAGTTATATACTTATATAATTTAACTCCTAAAGCGGAATATTATTAGAAATTTCCCTAAGCCCGATTCGAAACGTACTACTAATTTAAAAATAATATCGTTCCTCTATTAGACCCCTTCCCTACTATTATATATTTCAAAATATATAATTATAAAGCCTTTATTCTTACAATAAAAATTATAAAAGAATAGAATAAATTAATAGAATTTAAGGACCGTACCTAACTTGGCTATTTAATTGGATACTAGTCAACGAATATTTATAGGATTTAGAATCCTTATATTAATTTTATTATTATTATACGAAACGTTATATTTAATAAAAACGAAATCTTCCCTAATAATAATATTAAGGAAATTTATAATGCTTTCAATATCTCTTTTAAAAAGTTAATTATATAATTAAAAGACTTTTATTAAATAAATATCATATAAGTAAACGTTCTATAAATTAAGGTTATATCTACCGTAAATAACGGAATTCTTAGCCCTATTATCTAAAATTTTCTAACTAAAACTAAGAATATATTAAAGGAAAAGGAGGAATTAGGATTTCTAAAAATATAAACGCAATTTGGATTTTTAGAGGTCCTATAAATATTAAGGATACTATTAGGTTTAAAAATACTATAAGGGTCTTTGGAACCCTTACTATCGCCATTCGTATAATCGCTATTAAATTTCTAAAGTATAATTTTAAATTCGAAGGATAAAGAAGAAGGCTATTTCCCTACGCTTCCTAATAATTTAATTATATTTTTAATAACTGACTTCTTTCGCTCTAATAAAGAATTATAGCTAATTATAGATTAATACTCTCATTAGGCTATGTCGTTTTTATTTATGAAGGGCAATCGATTTATAGGTTTCTAGGGAGATAAGGTCGTAAATTAAGCCTTCCTAGAATAAATAAAAGAGAAGGGTATTAATATTAATCCCAGTTATAATTTTAAATTAAAAATAATAAAGGATATCATTAACCGCTATAGAATAAAGGGTATATTAAAGACCCTCTATCGAATTAATTTTCTACCTCTTTTAAAATATTTTAATAATTTTAATTTTTATTCCATTCGAGAATTCTTTAAAATTATAAAAAAGGAATACTTAAATAAATATAAGGATAAGAAATCTTAAAAGTAAATTAGTATCGAGGAAGCGGGAAATAACGAAATATTCGGTTTAATATAAGTATATATTTATAAATTCGATTAAAGCGGCTGGTTTCTTAAATATAAAATACGTTTAATTATACATAGGGATTAATAATTTAAAAATAGCGTACGTAAAACGTACGTAGCAATTCTAATAATTAGGTCGTTCCGTATTTTAGTAGTTATAGCTGCTTACTTTAATTTCGATTTAATTTTATATGACGTAAAGAATACTTTTATTTATATTATATTCAATAAAGTAGTATTTATAAAAGCTCCTCCTAAATACATTAAAAAAGGCTAAATACTTTAATTACTATATACGCTATATAGTTTATAGAAATCTCCCTTCCTTTAGTAGTAGAAATTTACTAAAACTTTTATAATTATAAATATAAACCCTCTCCTTATAGAACTTAATATCCTAATTAAAGATAATATATTCCTCTTCTTTTATATTGATAATATTATTATTATTTATAAATATAGGAATAAAGAGATCGCTATAATTAAAGAGGTAATAACTACCATAAAGAGAAAATATTAATTAATAAGTAGAGAGTTATTAAAGTAATTTTTAAGTATCGAAATTATTCGAAACCGAGAGAAGAAATTAATCTAGTTATTATAATGTAATTATATTTAGAAAATTGCGGAGAAGGTTAAGCGTACTAAGAAATTTATTTTATACCTATAGTTAAGAAAGAGCTCTTACTTTATTAAAATAGTATAGCCCCGTACAAAATTTATATATATTAAACTATAATCGGTTCCATTTTCTATATTATTATTACATTGCAATTGGATATAGTTTTCCCTGTCTTTAAATTTGTTCAATTTAATTTAAATCCTAATTTAATATATTGTACGGTTGTAAATTGAATGCTATTTTGCTTTCTTATAAGTTAAAACTAGGCTCTTTAATTAAATAGTAAAAACTATTAAAACTTCTATATTGTAATTAATTCTTTATTTGTAAATAATTCTCTTAATCGAAAAAATTTATAGGCGTTTATATTTAAATTCTTATGTATTGTAATTAATTAGCGAATTAATAAATAAAATATAGTTATAACTTTATTTATAGAGGCCGAACTACTATCCTTCAATTAGGAAATTAAGGAGGCTATTTATATTCGCCGTTTTTTTAACGAATTTACCCTAAAGTTTAAAAATTAAAAGGCTATACCTATAGGCTATAATAATGAATAAATAATATAATTTATTATAAAGGAAGTAGTTTAATTCGTAATTAAATTCAAATACATCGATATATATAAATATTAATTAAAGTAAACGTAGGAGAAGAAGTTAGTAAATACAATTTACATACTAATTAAAGAATAAATTATAGATAGCTTTACTAAAAACCTCCTTCCTATAGTATATTTAAAATTTAAAGAATAATTGGAGCTTATAGAACTATAGCGGCTATAAATTTAATTATAAAAATTTAATAGCGGAAATATTATTGTAGGCTATTAGAAGGGTATAGAGGATTCTATAGAAGAGGATTCGGGTAACGAATTAGTAAATATAATAGTAAATATAGTAAAGTAAGATTTTTACGAGTAATAGTTTGAAAATTACTGTAACGAAGAAGTAATTTAGGAATAATATTATTTTTAATTAGTTTTAGAAGGATTTTAGGGCATTTTCGGGCATTTCTAGGTAGATTTAGCGTAGTTGTGCACTAGATTTAAGGTGGTGTGTTAGAGGCTAGGGAATCTATTGGGCGTGTACGTACTTAGTTAGATTGGGATATGCGGGATTTTTACCTAGATGCCAGAGCTTTAAGTTTGTAGAGCCAGTCTTACACACATACACACAATCAAGCTACGTTGAACCTATATCAATCATTACCAGTAATATTACAGCAGTTGCTCAGCGATAATTGTTAAGCAGCCAGTCAACCTAGTTGCCTACCGTAGACCTAACAGCGGGACTCTCCATGGAACCCTGCTGGAGCGGGAAAGCGGGGTGATTTCGGGCGCTGAGGGGAGCACCAAGGGAGCTCTCTCACTAGGCGCACCATGATACAACCCAAATGGGACTAGCGTAGACATTGGATAAGACGTCAGAGTCCTATCCAGCGAGTCCGGCAGGCAGTTGGCAGCTGGCGGGATCCCAAGGAGGTACCTGACGCGTTGGACGCTTGCTTGCCTGGAGCTCCAGGGCGACCTGACAGCACTGAACTAAGGAAGTCCACTGCGCTGCTGCACCTCAGCATCAGCCTTCCGCCTTCCGCCCTCCATCCACCTCCAGCTTCCAGTTTGTTGACGAATACAAACCAAACCAAAACAACATCACCACGCAAAAGACAAGCACTTGGCGCTTGCACACGACAGACCAAGAACCAGACAAACTCGACCTTCCTTTTCCAACAACTAGTCGCCATATCGAATTAAGCCATGTCGAGAAGATACGATTCCCGAGTAAGTGGGCAGTGACCCGTCAGCCCGCCGCCGCCTGGTTACCTATCGACAAAGTGGAGGAGGGGGGTAGCAGTGATGGTGGTGGTGGTGATGGCAGCTTTGTTGGAGCTTGGGGTTCGCACATAAACTAACACACCATTCTCACAGACAACCATCTTCTCCCCCGAAGGTCGTCTGTACCAGGTCGAATATGCTCTGGAAGCTATCTCCCATGCCGGTACCGCCATCGGTATCCTCGCCAAGGATGGCATCGTCCTAGCTGCTGAGCGCAAGGTCACCTCCAAGCTCCTCGAGCAAGACACATCGGCCGAGAAGCTCTACATTCTCAATGAGTAGGCGCATTCCATACCTTCTGTCATCCAGGCGATCAGCTAACCAGTATGCTTCCTCCAGCAACATGATCTGCGCCGTCGCCGGCATGACAGCCGACGCCAACATCCTCATCAACTACGCCCGACAAGCCGCCCAACGGTACCTTTTGACCTACAACGAGGACATCCCCTGCGAGCAGCTAGTGCGCCGTCTCTGCGATCTCAAGCAAGGCTACACACAACACGGTGGTCTCCGTCCCTTTGGCGTCTCCTTCATCTACGCCGGCTGGGATCCCCAGCGCCAGTTCCAGCTCTACCTCAGCAACCCCTCGGGCAACTACGGCGGCTGGAAGGCGACCAGTGCGGGCGCCAACAATGCGAGCGCCCAGAGCTTGCTGAAGCAGGATTACAAGGAGGACTGCACGCTCAAGGAGGCGTGCGCCATGGCCGTCAAGGTGTTGAGCAAGACCATGGACTCGACAAAGTTGAGCCCCGAGAAGAGTGAGTGTTGGCGATACTGTGATTGGGGATGAAATCGTACTAATGCTTGTCACAGTCGAGTTTGCGACGGTTGGCCAGACCAAGGACGGCAAGATCTACCACAGGCTATGGAGCGCGGACGAGATCACGGCGTTATTGAAGGAACACGACCTGGCGAAGGATGACAACACGGAGGACAAGTAAGGGGATGAATCTCACGCATAGTTCTACCTATGGAACATAGTGGAAAGCCGGCCTGCGTTTAGTCTAGACAGCGCTTTCTGTACTAATACAAGGAATGACCATGATACGCCAAATGATGCAGTGGACATACTAACATTGGTCTCCAAACTCCCAGCTATATGCTCTTTTGAAGGTGCCCATACTCGGCTAGCTAGCTAGCCAACACACCACATCCGATAATACATCGATGAATGTTACCATACCTAAAGAAGGAAAAGGTCAAGTGTTACACGCACATCTGGCGCAGCAAGATACATCATAGTATCAAATCAAAGCAGAATCTACAGAAAACCATCCAAATTAGCATTCATCCACTAACTGCCATCTCAATATCATGTCGGGCTCCCCAAAGGTCCCAACTCCACGGGAGGAGTCAAATCAAAAGTCCCTACATTTCTCTGAAACCCCCCTCCTGCCCCTTCCTCCTCATCCCTCACCCTCCCATACCTCCCATTCACATCCCCCTGCCCGGCATACTCCCGCTCCCCCGTCATCCCCGAATAAGGCTCCTCACACCTCCCACTGCTCAACCGCGGCCAATACCGCCTATAATTCCAATAAGTAATCACCCACCCCATCACCGCCCCGACACAAACATCCTCCACATCATGTCTGTAATCCATGCACCTGCTGATGGCAATCATCAACGCTCCCAGCAATGGACTCAAGCACAACAATGCTTTCAGCAAATCCCTTTTCACCAAAACCTTTTCCATCCCATCTATTACTCCCCCACCCCCAGATGAGGAGGAGGAAAAAACCCTGAACTGCCCACACCAAAACAACGCCAAGTACCCTAAGCCAGCAAACGCAAAACTCGAGTGACCGCTCGGAAAACTGCGCCAGCCGTCGTGGAGAGTGTGATGGTCCGTTTGCGTGCAGACTTCTACCCCGACTAGCTTGTTGGGAGGCGTGTCGGGGTGTGGTTGGCACCGCGCGATCAAGTCGGGACGGGGACGGCCGACCATGTTTTTTATGAGGTCCGTGAGGAAGGTGGTGAGGATTATGGAGGTTAGGAACCCCAGGGTTGTGAGGTGGTGGATGTGCCGCGGGGAGGAGAGGAGGTAGTTTGTTAGGGTTAGGAGGGCTAAGGGGAGGAAGAGGGCGTAGGCGAAGAGGTGGGCTGGAGGACACAGAGTTAGATGTGGTGCTAGAAGAGAGGGTGGAGGGAGGGAGAGGGAGAGCTGGAAGGGGGAAGGGGAGAAGGGAGAAGGGGGGGAGGGAGAAGGAGAGGGAGTGTAGACATAGACATACAAACAGGCACCCGCTCAACCTCAGCATGAGGAAATGAAATACGGATATCGTTAATGGTAAATAATCGGTGGAAAGGCTCGACGAAAGCGGCGATGAAGATGTAGCCGACGAGGAGGAGGGAGAAGGCGACCCAGTCCGAGGTGTATGATCTCTGAACACGTCCCAATGTACCTATTAGCAACTACTCCCTACATCCAGAGGTGCACCGCATGGGGAAGCCATCACGTATTCACGTACCATCCACCACCTCGAAACGGACCCGATCAAGCCGTGCTTGGACTCGATCGACCCAAGGGAACCGGCCCTCGTCCTACTACTGTGAAGTGTAGAGGGTGCCATGTTGAGGGTGACTACTAGTCACCGCCTGCGAATGGACTTGAAGAGAGTGTATAGCATCGGTTATTTCTCCTGCTGGCTTGGCGAACGGAATTTGAGCAAGCCAGCCTCGTGGTGTTGTTCGTGCGTGTGGTGTGGGTGTTGTCCTCGGCGCGGTGTCGAGCGGGTATCGTGTACCTCTACAGGAATTGGGTGGTGGTGGTGAGGACGGGAAATGGAACCGGGAAAGTTGGATGGCACCCACCCGACGGGACAGCTAGCACCACCGGGCCGCCCGCCCGTCGGCGTCCACTGTCAATTGCTTGTCCCACAGCGGCTGTCGCGCTGCTGCCGCGTTCAATTTCAGCCCTGCTGCCCCCCCTGCAAGGGACGCCCACGCACGTCAAATGTTACTTGCTGTGGGGACTTCCCCAGTGCTTGTGGGGCTTGGTGTGGGACAGGGATGTTGACGACAACTCCTGAGACAACTTTAACAGCAACTTTCCCTTGGACTCTCGAGAGACACTCGAGTAGAATATCGACAGCGTCGGTCTTTGTGCTCTACGAATCTCTTACCCTTGCCGATGAAGTGTCAATGATCAATATTTTGTATTCAGCAAGGGACCTGTACTTTCAATAGAACTCCTCCGAAGAAGTGTCCATCCTGAGCGTCGGTTTCTTCAAGTTGAAGAAATTCACGAACAGTTGAAGATTCCCTTTTTTGATATCCAGGGCACAAACTCCAGTGACCCTGCGTGATAATGGCCCTTTACGTTAAAAATATACTCAATATCATCACTTCGATAAAGCTCCCTTACCACAATATACTGCCCGTCTCCCTCCCCACGTCAAAAGGCCCCCAAAAGGCAGAAGTGAAGATATCCCAAAGAGTCATGGCAATTCATATAAATCCCACACCATCCACCCTCAACCATGGTTTTACCTCAACAACCAGACGCAAACCCACCAGCTCAACACCCGGTGTCTTGAGTTCCTTCTTCCCATAATCATAATGTCCCGTTCACTTCTCTCTCTTGCCCTCCTGGCGTGGGCTCTACCCGTCCAAGTCCAAAGTATTCCCCATCAGCCTCCTCCTCAGAACGGCAACTTCTACCCACCGGGACCACCGCCATTGCCACCATGCGGTGATTCAACCTCGACAGTAACAGTTACCGCTTCTTCTTCTTCTACTGAGACTGTTACTGTGACGGCTGCTTTATCCTCGCCCTCGTTCTCATCTTCGAATACGGGAGTGGTGACGGTTACTGTCACCGAAGCTGGACTTCGTGAGCCACCACCTTTTGCATCTCAGCCGGCCTCTGAGATCCAGACGATCCAGACTGTTACGGTTACTGCTCATCCTCGTCCTGAAGCCCGTCCTCAACCGCAGCCGCAACCGCAACCTCAACACGGATGGGCACCTGGGGGGGCTGGGGCTGGCTGGGGTCAGGGAGTCCCCGATCATGGTGGAGATCCGGCTTGGGGTCCAGAAAGAGGTCCGCTTGTTCAAACAGTAATTGTTACTGAGCCCGCTGGCTCAGTATCAGCCCCCGCGTCGATGATGGTTCCGGTTTCGGTGGTTACTGTCACTCGGTCAGCACCTGTTTTCAGCCACCCACACAATGGTAACGGTTGGCCACGACCAGATGATGATGGTTGGAGGCATTCGGATTGGGTGTCTTATCCCAGGCCTAGTGTTAGTGTCGGTGGTCATGGTGATGGGCTGGAGTTGGTGACGGTTACTGTTACCATGTCTGGCGATGATGATAACCGCTGGAGGCCGGCACCGTCCTCGTGGTCTACTTCATCCTTCTGGTCAACGTCAACGTCAACTTCAACATCGACATCGACATCGACATCGTGGGAAAGACCAGCAACCACGTCTACCAGACCTTCGGAGCCTTGGGCTGATCATAACGGCCCACCTACTTGGCCTAGGCCTCAATGGCCTCATTTTGATCCTCATCCCTATCCTCCGAGTCATCCTGATCCAAGGCCGAACTGGCAGCCGAATACGACGGTCTCGGTTCCTGTGGAGGTGCAGAGTGTTTCACTTCCGTGTTCGACTTCGACTTTAATTCCAACGTCTGCTTGGACAACGACTAGTTCGACTCATGTCCACAGTGAAAACGAGCCAACGCCTTGCACAACCACCACTACTTCCACTGCCATTTCGTCGACTCCGGCCCCTTGCACTTCAAGCAACTCCACCACCACCATCCCTCAAACAACCTGGCAAAGACCGAAGTGGTCAACCATCACCACGCGCTGCTCATCAAACTCTTCCTCTTCCACCTCCACTTCTACCTCCACATCTGCCTCAACATCGCCATGCTCCTCCTCCCACTCCACGTCAACCAACTCCCTCACAGAATGGAGCTCCAATATCATCACTCACACCATCCTCGACCCTCCCGCAACAGTAACAGTCTCACTTGCCCACGCCTCCTCTCCACCAGCTCACGATTCAACCTGGGGATGGGGCTGGGGTCATGATTGGTCTTGGGGTCATGACTCCCACCCTCATCCCAACTCAGACCCTGAGTCAAGCTCGAACTCGGCAGGGTCAGACTTGAACACGGCAGAATCGAACTCGAACTCGAAACACGAGGATCAAACCAACCAGCATGACGAACAAAATCTCAATGAGGGGAAGAGCAATAATGAGGAACAGGAACAGGGAAAGCAACAACAAAAGGAGGGTGATACTAGCCTCCTAGATATAGACCTTGACCTTACCCTTGGTTGAGGTGCCGATGTCCAAGGGCTGGAGGGCATGAAGTCCGAAAAGGGCATAAAGCATAAAACGACAACTGCATATATGTACATATATGCCAGCCGGCACGGGCTGGACGCAGGTTGGGGTTGTGCCGGTCTGCATGCCTACTGCTGCTGATGGTGCTGATGGTGGTGGTGCAGCGACGGGTGTGTGATAAATGCAATGCAATGCACGGCGTCGTCCAAAACAAACATATTCCCGTCATTGCATTTATTTTTCTCACTGCACAACCTGTGGTGCTCCTGCTCCTGCCGGTCCTGCCGGTCCTGCTGGTGCGGCTCCTGCTACTGCTTCCACTACTGCAGCTGCACCCCCGGGCCTATGGGGAAATCCCGTCTGCACCTTCGGAGACATGCCCTGGAGGGCACGCGGTGGAGGACCCAACGTCGGTCGTGCTTCCCTCCCTGACTGCGTAAAGGACACTCGCAGTTTCCGCTTTTTCTTTTGTTTTTTCCCAGTCCGATTTCGTTTGTCCATGGAAGGGACGGTCTTTACATATCTGGATGCATAAGTACCATGGATTTTCAAGGAGGAATAATGCGAGGGGATATACAACAAGTCGACTGGCTCGACTTAATCACTCACTTAGACAACGCAATGTTAGTACCTAATACAGAAAGAAGTTCACGAGCATAAGCACGACATATTCAGAAAACCATAAACTTGCTATGTGAAACCTGTTGCCTATTCAAACTAAGTAGGTAACGATAGCTGAAACTCATTAAAAAGGCAGAAAAAGAACATCAGGACCAAATGTGTACGCTCTTCCACCTCACACGCACCAACGCCATCATTATAGATCACCACATCAGTGATTGCCACCATGATCCGTTCGTTTAACTTTTAGATGATTGCATTTCCTCCTGTTCCCGCTGCTGCTTCTGCTCCTGGGTGTTCGCGTCCCCCTGATAGTTCGTTTGCTCTTGTGAGTTCGCTTTGATAATGATGAACCGCCATTCCATTCCAATACCCGTTTAAGATAGGAGGACTACTATTAATAATGAAAGTGCACACACGTGAACGGAAGGTGTGTAAAAGGAATTTGATATGACGCTCATGTACTGATGGGCAACTATACCCTAGCCTCCCTGGCTTTGCTTTGATTTTTCTCCCTGCTTTTATTCGAACGAACTAGAAGGGCAAAATTGAAAGAGGAAAGACGTGGCTGGTGTACGTGAATATCCGATCGACCGATCGAACGCCATCAATGAGACTAATATGCGAAACAAGAGATTGACATGCTAACGACGAAGAACAAGGAAAAAAAAAAGTACAGAGATATGAAGAGAGAAAACGTTCCGTAGAAAAACCTTTGTGAGAATGGCCGGGCTCCCAACACCTTGAAATGCTGATGATTGATGTGCGATATTCCGCGCAACGCGTGTGTTCCCTGACTCCGTTCGCTTTGTTTCTCCCATTTGCCCTTGTGTGGTTTCCATTTCATATCCCATATACACCTAACAAGTCATCGAAAATGATCATGACCTAAAAGAAAAATTTGCCTGTAGCGTCCAAAGCGACCCAGGCAAGGGTTAGCCTGAGCTTTAGCGTCCGAAGACGAGCAGTGGGTGTCCAGCTGCCCAAGAAATTACTCTTGCGCGCGCTGAACTTTCCACTGTATTGTTCCTCCCTTTCCGCTGGATTGTTGATGAAGGGGGTTTTTATGGTGAGGGTGCCGCCATGCCGTTGATAGGCTGATTGTACGAAAGCCAAGCTTAAGTCCATGCTTTCGTAACCGCTGTCGTCGCCGATGTCGTTTATCAATTGCAGCCGCTTAAGGCTATCAACGTGTTTCTCCAGCCCCATATCCTTGAGGTAGCGGATATTCTCGAGTCGGTCCAAGTAGGTTACAAACACCAGATACTCGTCTGTGTCGAGGAAGGGGATCCCAGTGTGCATGATCATTCGCCTTCTGCAAGCAAAAGTTGTTGGACTTCTGCCTCATTGAGGAGCTTACGCTTGCCGAGTTCCTCGGGCGGAGCTCCGTCTCGGACAGCCCCAAAATCAAGAATCTAAACACATTCGAGTCAGCTCATGTCCGCGTCCGGCGTTATGCCGCTGATAGGGAAATTGGTACATGCCTCGACATAAGTCAAATTGCCACGCTGCACCGCTGCAACGCACCGCCTTTCGTCAAACTTTACTTGCCAGACCCCGCTAAGATCTGTCAAGAGGTCCTGCATGCATTCGCCTGTTTGAACATCCCACATTTTGACGGTTTTCTCACTTCCAGAGATGACTTTTCGGCCATCATGTTGGAAGCACGTGATCGCTCCGGTGTGAGCCATGAGGGTGTGCTTACACTTTCCAGTCTCGGGGTCCCAGATGCGCAGTGTGCTGTCCGCCGCAGCCGAGACCAACTTTTCGTCACGCAAGTCGAGAAGTCCGACCAGCAAGCTGTGCCCTTCCAAGGTGTACAAGCATGCACCCGTGTCCAGATCCCAAATCTTGACGAAACTGTCCATAGATCCGGAAATACACCGGTTCCGCTTGTGGTCCAAGACCACCGAGTAAACCTTTTGGTTGTGGCCGGACAGAACATGGAGTTGCTGGCCCGTGCTGATGCGCCAGACACGCACGGTGCTATCGTAGCTGCCCGAAACGAGAATATCCCCGTGAGCCGAAATGGACCTCACAGAGTGCGCGTGGCCGGAAAGAATACGGACAAAATACGGGCAGTTTTCTTCATTAGCCGCAGGTCCGTTCATAATGTAGCGGCGAGAACCCGGCTCTGGAAGGCGCCAAACGCGCAGCTGGCTATCCCTAGAACCGGTAATGATCAAGGGCTTCTCTGGCATCATGACCGGCTCGCCGTTTTTCACTTCCCCGGTCTCCGTCGGCATGAGGATTTGCAGACAACGGACGGTGGACGTATGTCCATAGAATGTTTGAGTGCAAATACCCTTTTGGATATCCCAGACACGGACAGACCGATCGGTACTACCCGAAACCAGGGTGTTTCCGACGTATTGGAGAGCCCAGACTCCGCCTTCGTGGCCCTCGAGTTTCGTACGCAACTTGCCGGTTTTGGTATCGTAGACATGGATCAGCGTGTCGTCACTACCGGTGATGATTTTGTCCTCGTCGAACTGCAGGCATGTTATGACATGTCGAGGGTGCGCCGCAAAGGCAACGTGACTGGGCCTAACCTTCCCGCTGGTCCAGTTTTGGCGAATCATGTAGTGTCTCCTGTACAGAGACTTGTAAAGGTGAAGCCGACGTAGGCTTGGAAGCCCAATCTGGGGGTCTGGAACGGCCACAGCTGCGGCATTAGCGGCTGACATGGGACCCTCCGACCTGTGTGTCTGGTGAAACCTTTCTCTGAAGTCCTGGAAGCTGACACGGCGCTTGGATCTTTCAGTGTTCGTGTGGCCTGCGTTACGCTTACGCTTCGAAGACCTTATCTTGGGGGTAGGGCTGGAGTCAGCCTTATCTGATTTCTCAGACTTGACTGCGGACTTGAACAGTTCCGACTCGCTTGATGTCAGTCTGGAATGCTGGCTCAGGTCGACCTCGCCTTCCAACGCGCCAACGGGATCCTGCCAGCCCCACCCTTGAGCGATGGCCTTTTGAAGTTCGCCAGGAGCAAGTTGAAAGCCATCCCGATCAAACAGCTCCTTCCAACCTGTCTCGTTGCTATCCACGATATTGCGCCACTGTTTTGATACTTGTGCTGCCCGGCAAAGATCGCGGTGATCCAGGTAGGAGAGAATATGGAGACTGAGTTCGGTGGGAAGACGTCGGAAGAAATCACACTTCAAGGCTGGGTTGACAACATCAGCAACCGCCTGAAGAGTCTTCCTGGGGCACCGACGCAAAAGTTGATATATCATCCAAGACTTCATTTGGGGAGTCATCGCATCAAAGCTGTCGATCATGATGTCGGGCTTCATCAGGGCATGCTGATAGGCTCCGTCGAGCTGAGACGGGGAGATGGTAGGATCACACTGAGCTGGTGATAGAGCAAGCGAGTCATCGACCATCTCAGCGTCCGCATCGCCGGTTCTTTGAGTCCCGTCTAGCCACTGACTCGGGCCGCCACGGCCAAAAGCATTAGTAGAGGCTGTGACCTCGTCATCGGCACCCTCGTCATCCGAAGGAACTAGCTGTAGCTGAGCCGCAGCAAGCGTAGGCGATAGGCGCGGACTAGGCAAACTGGCGTCTTGTGCAGCTACTGCACTAATGGCGTGGCTCGCGTGCAGTCCCCTAACCGTTTGTTGAAGAGGCTCATCATAATCGGCAGCGGGCTGAAGTTCGGCGTCCGTAACGGGGGGCGTGGCAACCGCGCTGAAGACGGTCTGAGTCTCGCTTCCAGCCTGGCTCTCTGCGTCATCATAAGCGGTTGACTGGCTTGTCTCAGCTTCCGTGGTGTTTGGAAGATGAAGCGGCGGGGCATCATGATCAAAGTCACCGCTAACCCTTTCCGCCTCATCAGGTGTTGCCAAATAATCTGTATCCATCCGGGGAGAGCGTTGAAAGCGTTGTCCTTTTGCTAGTGCACGACGAAAAAGCTCATTAGAGTCGGAAATAAACATGGCAGGTCCCCCCATGATTCTCGGCAAAGGGCTGTTGTTGAGAGACTCGAACCGACTGCTAGATCTTCGAGGCCGTTTGGGCTGCGGGCGTCGCTGGATAAACGAAGGGGTAAAAGAACCACCACTCTCGACTGCTGGCTCCTCGGTGTAGTCGACATTTTCTAACCGATGCTGAGAGGAGTTTCCATCGGCTCCCGAGCCGCCAAGCGAAGACCATATTTGACTATTGTTTTGAGATCCCTCAGGAATAGTATATGTGGACGAGAAAATTTTCAGGAACATGGGCGTCGGGTGTGCAGCGAGCGGGTATTCTTTGGGGTCGAGCATTTGTGGTTCTGGGATCGGGATGGGAGAATACGTTTTTTTTGTAGTCGTTGTAGTCGTGATCGTCTTCGTCTCTATGTATTGCTGGGAAAGCCTGAGGGCACGCGTTTTCGGACCATCTTCTTCCGCCCACGTCATCGAGACCCGCTGCTTCGATCGTTGTGGGCGATCCGCGATGGTCTTTTGGGTAGGTGTAGGAGAACTCATGTCTGCAGGTAGAAGTGTTGTCGGTCGCGGGCCATCAAACCCGAAAGGCATCGTTTGTCGACGTCGCGCCAACGTGAGTTGTCAAAAGGAGTCGATCGAACGACGAACGGAAAAGTTGATTATCGGCCGGTAAAAAAAGCGAAGTCCGGGGTGCGCTAAATAGGCTGAGGTTGAGGACCCTGAGGGGCACAAAGATGATTCCTGTTCAACAAGGTGAATGCCTGATTCGGACTGTATCGGTGATGCTGGTCGTGGGCTTCCAACGCGTTCCAAGTCGCGGCTGCGTGGGTGGTCGCCACACGCGTGTTGTCCGTGATAATATCCCCCTTACGCGATGGCAAGCAAGTAGATCTTAAAGTGTTGAAGGCCACGAAGGCATGGCGTGCCGCAACCGACGTGTAGGTAGGGTTGAAATTGACGTTGACAGGAAAGGGTCTGTTCGCGCGTGTCTGTGTCGGGTCGGGTCGAAGTTTAAGTGGTTGTGCAGCGCAGCCCTGTCGAGTTAAAAGAGGAAGGGCAAGGGGAGAAATGGCGTGGGCCGGACTGGATGTTTGGAATTTGAAATGCGTTCGAGTCCCTGGCAAAGGGAAGGAAGAGGTCGGCGGAATGACCAAGCGAGTTTTTGATAGAGTTTGGGACGGAGGCAGCGGACGGGATGGATGCCTGGGGAACGGGGGGACGGGGCGCTGAAGCGGCGGCAGGGGCGAAAGGCGAACAACAAGTAGGTTGGAGCCTGGAGTGTTTAAGTGTGTTGGCTCGAGGTTGGACGGGCACAAAGTTCTGTCAGAAGTAGACTCCGGGACTGAACTCAGGACTGCCTGGTGGACGGGAGGACGGGGAAACGGGGATGACAGCAGAGGCACGGGCAGTGGAGGCGGGATTCTGATCTGGGTTTATGGCCGATTTATGTCGAATTTGCCAGGTGGGATCGTTGGATTCCGGTAGCTCGGTGGCTTTGAATGGGGGGTATTGAGTTGGGAACGTGACCACCGTGCGGTACATTTTAAATGCTGGGAGGGAAGTGACAACGGATCGGTCCAGGTGCGATCGGGAGGGCAGCGAGGGCAGGTACCACACGATTTACAGCGATATCCTAGGGTGGAGTGGGACTGAAGGCTGTTCGAGCGAACCTGGGGCTGGACAGGGGCAGTAGCGTGACTGCTGATAAAGTCAACTGCTGAAAAAGTCAAGAAAAAGGTTGGAGATCGAAAGGAAGACTGTCACTCTTGCCAAATATTTATATTTTACAGCACCTTCAACACGGGCAGGGTGATGTAGTAGCCAAACCGGATCCGACTTATTATGTACGAGACGATACGAAGATGCACTTGGTTGAATACCTATAAACATGCACATACGCAAGTGGGAATTCGCCCCAGGGCATATGAACTGCGCGGATATGTCGGTGTTGGTGACTTCATCCAGTGCAGCCAAGAGATGGGACTGAGTCTGACAAGCCAGTGCTGACAAGCACTCACAAGTCCGCAGTTGCTGGGTGTGATAATTCGATCAGTGAGTGGGAGATGGAAGACCAATACAGAGAAAGACACACGATATATTACCCTGTTGTTGACAGAAAGGGCAGGAGTCGGAGATAAACTGTCCGGTTCTTCCACCTGTCCTCCTTTTTTTGTGCATAGGTCCTTACATGGTCTGCGCCTTCCGTCTGCATGACTGTATGTATGTATATCGTACCTGCCTCTACTCCTCTACTGTCTACCTCCGGAGTCTACTTGAGTATGTAAACCTATCGCAATCATCGTTTCATTTATTCTTCGGCTTCCTTCAGTTCTGGGGCGGTTTATGCTGATGTGATGCGCAGTGGAAGAACATGCTGCATATCAGGTCTTGCATGTCAGGTCTTGCATGTCAGGTCTTGCATGTCAGGTCTCGCATGCCATCTGGCGACAGCTGCATCCATCCCGATCGCTGCGACCAGGGTGTGGACCACTGAACTTGCAGTTCTTTTGATTTCTTGAAGTTCTTGGTCACTCGACCTTTGTTTGCCTGCCTTGAATGGTTGTCCGGCAGGCAACGATGCACCACTCGCACCCCCTCGATGTTGGATTGCTCTCAGAGACACGAGGTTGGCAGAGTGAATCCTTAAATGTCCCGCATCCATGCCCTCGTCTCCAGCACGAGTAGTGTATACTTTTTTGACGAGCAACAGTCCTGCTGCCATCGCGATCCAGCCAACGTCAGTGATGAACCACCACAACCTAGCCGCTGGCTGGCATGAGCGGAGCCATCTTCTTTCGATAGTTCTGCTGTTATCCAGGCCACGACACATCACGATACGTCACTGAGTCCAAGCCCTTTTGTCCATGTCATCCTTGGACTGACCGACTTGTTCGATGGAGTTCCTAGAATACAGATCATCACCTTCGTCGACCTGGATGACAGCGTGCACATAGACCTTGGCATGCTTTGTCAATCTGCCAGCAACAACTTGAACTTGGACTCGGCCCGGTGACACTTTCACAGTCCAACTATCCAACTCCAGTCAGGCCATCATTTCAGGGGCAGCCAAATGCACACCCATCAGCCACAGATTGTCATCACCACTCAGCCTTAACTCCTGGACTCTGGAGACGAACGGATTTATCGACGGCTTTGGTGTGGGTCACTCGGGCCCCCTTTTGCCGACCTGCCCCTTCGTGGTGTCGATTATCTCACTTACAGTCTTGGCGCTTTCTTCTTCCTCGTCTCGCCGAGTCCCAGGTACTCCAGATTCTGTCGAACCAGAGGTAATTCGAGCAATATCAACTCTGCGATAACGGCAACGACTCTACGAAACGCCGTGCGCTCAAAAGGGGAGTTTTCGCTCTGTTTTGCCTCAAATCTCATTGCGGCGGCTTCAATGCGGCGTTTTGAAGTTCAAGTTGGAGAATGAAGTTGTATCTGGTTTTAAAGTTTGCACGGACCGCTTTTGCCCAGACTTGTAAGCGGTATAAGCGCCTCACCTTTTGCTAACCTGCCGCTTCGCTTCTTCCTTGCTTTTGCCAGCTGGATGACATCCTGGCAACCAGGTTTTCTGTTGGTTCAAGCGCCCGACCGACTTCCCAAACTGAAGAGTCCAGTTTGCACACGCTCGACTCGACGTGTTTGCTTAAAATGTATGTATGCCCGATCACCATGATTTACCACCTATGGGTGCATTATCAGCGGTGACGCAGCAAGAAGCCTCAAGACCTTGGTGACGAGTCCGAGGCTGTTGGAGGTCTTGGGGGCAGCTACCCGTGCCTTTCCATGTGCGCATCGAACAACACTCGTAAGTCTAGTACAGGAACAGTGCTGTATCAATACAGTAGAACCACAACGCTGCGAGGCCTTGGCATTGAAAAACCAGCTTTCGATACACGCAGAAATTCATGTCCGGAGACGAGAGGCTGTGGCATCGGACAATCCGGGTTGCGTCGCTCTAACAAACACCTGGGTGGGCGACGAGTAGGGGAATATAAATCTGGCCCTTTCTAGGCTTGGGAGTCATTCCCTGTATTCTTCTTGCAACCACACGTCTGAACCACAACTTGGAATCATGGCTTTGTTCGTCGAACAATTGTTGCACTACTTGTTCTTTTTTGGAACGCCCTGCGGAGAATGCCAAATTACGGAGGTCTCGGTCAACCGAGAGATATCAGATCCGAACGGAGGATCAACCCGTCCAAGACTTCCAACGAATATGCCGAGCTGGGGTATATGATGTGATCCTCTTGCCCAAATCACCATTCTAGGAATTATTGAAATGCTGCAGCCATCCATTTTCGCTGGCCATGTCACGGAGTGTCGAGGGTTAATGGGTGTTTCTACTTCCAAAACTTCCGAGTGTCTGAAGATAAACTCGCAATTATCTCTAACCCGACTTCGAGTTGTAATTCTTCCTTCTCCAAATGAACTTGCTAATACAGACATGGACATAGGACGGACTGCGAGAGGATAAAGTACGGGAGGCTGGATATGTTACTGAACGAATGTGGCGTTGAACATTGGCATACAACACTCGCGGTAGATTTACATCCACAGAAAACAATATCACACTCATACTCAAGCTCGGTGTCGCGATGGCTTCACAGTTCATTTATCGGTCGTATAACAGAAGTGATGGACATCGGATGGCTGCACACAGGCCGTGTTGAGATCGAGTGCACTGGAGAGCTCCTTCCATTATTGCTCTCCTCATTTCCTGTGCACCATTCGCACCTTCCAACCCCCAATCTCAAATATCCCCCCACCGCTTTCCCTGTGCTCTTTCCAACACGAAGTGACTCGCTGAAATTCCAAGCAATCTCGCACAAATGTTTTCTCCTTTCCCTTCTCTCGAAGCCATCATGACCGAGATCACACATCCCTCAATTCCTGAGACCCCTTGATCGACCATCGGCGACGTTTCTTGATCGTGTAACTCTGTTATCATTTCGACATGCCGAATCCCAAGACGTATGGAGCTCGTGGATCGTGGAAGCGCGACTTCCAGCTGTGCAAGACAGTGTTTGTGGCTGCCGTGAGTGCCGTCCTCTTCCTTGTCCACTGCGCCAGAAAACTTGACCTCTTGATATGTTGCGGCAACTAAGACCCTTTATAGATCAGCCAGATACTATATGCTCGGTATGAACTATTGCCGACTTCGGTCGTGGCTTCATGCAATCTTCCGCTTCGTGGAATTACTGACCATTTTCAGACGCGCTTTCCCACCGAACTTCTTCCATGTCTTACCCCTGAGTGACATTGTCTCAAAGACGTTTGAAGAAGCCATGGCCTCAAGATCAGGCATACCGACTTTCGACGGAGAAATCTTGAGGGAACAATCGACCACCGTATTCCTGCACCAGGACGTCGACTACTCTCTCACTCGCTTCTTGGACATCCTGGTTAGGACCAGTCACCTTCCACACCCACCTCATCTACGGTATCACTAACCTTGTGCTGGACTAGACTAACGACATATTTCCCGTACTCGAAACCGAACATTTGGTCAAATTCCGTATCAGCTTCTTGAGATCAACAACTTGGGATGAAGACTGCTTGATCGAGTTCTACACTTTGGTGTTCAGGTACCCCCCTGATGGAAAATGTGGAATCGATATCTGGAGAGCAGGCGTCGGGGAGTATCACATATCCGACAGCAACTTCAAGCTCTGGAATCTGGGTGACTATCTGAGCCGGCTTCCCTCTCTCGATGGTACGTAGTACAGCTATCATTGCGCACCCAACCCAGCTGCAGTATACGCCGCATGCATCCCAGACACTGGGCACTCTTGGCTACCCTACAAACGGCAAAACCCGGTATCAAGATTGCAACTGACTTGCTTTTTACAGGACCTCTGTATTGGGCTATGGCCTTCCACGCAAACGAACTCCCAGATATTCCCACCATTGGTGTCTGGAAATTCAACCGTACCGAGTTCGACGAGGCAAATCTCAAGCTTCAGCAGAAAGAGGGATACCGCTATGACCTGATCGCCAAGCTGGAGTATGCAAACCCTTTCAGTTCTATTGTTCCCTGCGCTAACCATCGGATAGGATAGAACCACTTCGACCAGATGCTCAACTAATCGAGAGCGTACCTGTCGCTCCTGTCAGTCAGAGCACTAACAACCATAAGCCGGCTTCACCCTCTCCGCAACTTGACACTACACCCCAGGAGCTTGAAGCCCCAAAGCCCAAGAAACAGGCAAACACCAAACGCAAAGCGGTCCAAGAACCATTGCGGGCCATCAACACACGGCAGAGAACATTGCGAGCCCAAGAAACAGAAAAGGTGAACCAGCCACCAAAAGCAAAAGAGACCAAAGATGGACACAAAGCTTCCCCAGTTCAGAACCAAGGGTCACAAGGCAAAGCCACAGCAAAGGCTACTCAAAAGAAGGCAACCCGGCCAAGCGCAAAGAAGTCGAACGTGAAAGCGAAACAAGTGACAAAGACGGCACAAAAGCCAGCCTCAACACTGAAGCAGGCCCCAACCCCAAGACCTCCCAGCACTCAAAAGAGAAAGCCAAAGCGTCCCTTGGTAAGTCAAGCAAAGATCCCGTGACCAAAGGTCCAGAGACATGGACCGTGGCTAATGTCGTGCAGCAAATCTACGAAGACGTGACATCCAATCTGCCTGAAACCCAAGAGGTTGTACGCGAGAGTCAGACACAGCAAAGTCAACTGTCCCGAACGAGAAGCAGCAAGAGACTTGCAGCAAATGACGGCGGTCCGGTAGGAGGCAATGTCTCGAACACGAGGGCCAAAAGGGCGAAAGTCGCTGCTCCTTCTCCTCCTCCTCCCGCACGTATGCCTTCCACACCGGACGCCCAAGCTGTGTCCGACTTCCTGGACAGCATCGATGAGAATCATCTTCTGGATACTCCCCCGGATGCGCAGCGAGGTCCTCCGTCCTTCACTGTTACACCCGCCTTCCTGCGACCAGATCCGGCCCCAGAAGAAATGGAGAACGCGACTCCCGGTGACGAACACATCGGCGATAGCTTGGTGGATGACCCCAACAACAGATATCCGCCAACCGACATGTCGTTTGATTTCCAGCCGCTGCAGACGTCGCAGACAGAGAAGATGTTTCCGGGGATTCTTGACAGTGAGGATGAGGACAGCCCGATTGTGAGGCTCATCAGCAGACGACAGAGTGGCCTCGCCTGAGGATATGGAGAACGAGCCTAGTCGTTTCCTGATAGGTGGTACTGATGATGAGAAAGTATATATCGCTAGAAAGCCTGTTGTGTTTCAGGCTTGCATGATCTCGAGGTAGGGGCTATTGTGTAGATGGGTCAAAACGAAGCTAAAATGTGTTGTAGTTACTGGCGGTGTCTGCTATCAGTCCGAAATCTTGTACGTATCTAACGGGCCCGAGATTCCAAAGGGTAAGAAACGCAGAATGTTACCCATCACGTTTGAACTTTTCTCTGGCCATGGTAAGTGTGCTGCGACCTGACTATCTGTGATGTAGCTACTCGGCGTTTGCCGCAACGAGATACAGTAAGTCTGGTGGTAGAGCCATAACTTGGCTTTTGCATTAGTTCTTTTTGATTAAGTTTAAAGCGGCCTCGGCTTCAGTGGTATCTCGTCATCCATCCATGCATCCTTTCGCGTCAGATCTTTTGACTCCTGCACTTTCATCACTTTACATGATAACCTCGTTGGCAACATCCTGTAGTAGTCATGTTAGCAAAACTTCTTAGTAAACGAAGTATTCGATCAGCAAAACTCACCCTCTTCAACTCCTTGAAAGGCAAGCACACGCAGTTCTGCACGCGCACCTCATCACCAACCGCACACTCCTTGCCCAAAATCGTAATGGCCTGCACCTTGACACCATTCTTGACGATGCTCGTCGTATGGCTCGTCACCGGCGTCGGGGTACCCTCGACACGGGCCCACGCGCCCACGCGGCTGTTCCAGCCGATGATCGAGTACAAGACACAAGCGTCGTGCTTGATCTCGGAATCCTCCAACACAATCGACTCCTTGACACGGGCACCAGCGCCCACCACGGCGCGGGGACCGATGCTCACATTGGGACCCAACTTGGCTGTGGGATCGACGCGGGCCGTGGGGTGGATGAACACGGGCGCGATGATGTGGTTCGGCTGAGGCTGGGCCAGCTCCGAAGACCCGCTCTGCCACGCGTTCTGCAGGTACAAAGCGTTGGCGGGGATGGCGGACCCGGCCGTCTTGATCTGTCGCCAGAAATCCTGGGTTTCGTAGACGAAGAATTGCTTGCTATCGGCCATGTCGGAGAGGATGTCCTGCTCGAGGCGGATCACTTCGGAGCGCTTCTCGGATTCCTCGTCGTCGTCGTCGGCCTGGGCGATGAAGGAACTCTCCAAGTTCTCGGCGGACGGGTAGCGGATCAAACGGTTGGGTCTATCGGTGCGCCGCTTGATGGCCGTGCGGATGGAGGGGAAGATGGCTTCCGTGGCGAACAGGTACACGCCGCAGTTGATCAAGTTGCTGATATGGCTCTCGGGCTTCTCGACGTAGTGCAGCACGCGGCGCGTGTGCGCGTCGGACACGATACAGCCGAAGTTGGTCGCCGCGTCTTCGGACACGCGGGTGCCCAGGATGACGGCCTCGGCGTCTTTTTCTTCGAAGAGGCGGAGCATTTCGCCCAACGGGAAAGAGCAGCACACGTCGCTGTTGAGGACGAACAAGCGTTCGGGGCGACCCTTGAGGATGATGTCCCGGAAGTGGTAAAGTCCGCCGGCGGTGCCCAGGGCTTGGTACTCCCGCAGGTACTTGATGGTCAGCTGGGGGAATTCGTGGGCGGCATCCTTGATGAAGTCCCGGAAGACGGACTCGTCGTAGTAGCCGATCAGGTAGACTTCGTGGATCGAGGGGACTTTGGCGACGGCGGTTAGGCAGTGCCAGATGATGGGGTGGCCGGCGACGTCGAAGAGGGGCTGGTGGTTGTCGGTGAAGTTAGCGAATTGGATATAGACAATTCCGGGGGGAGAGTTCATTGGTGTTGTTCTTGTTGACTTACCTTGGGGACATCGAGGGAAAGGGGTCTGAAGCGAGTACCGCGCGAGGCACCTCCGACCTAGAAATTGGTGATAGATGTCAACATTTGCTTGTTTTTCTCGCATAGAAGCTACCTCTACCACAATGACTACACGGCTCGGGGTGGAGGAGGTTTCGTAATGTAGTTCAAGGAGGTCTGGAACTACTCACCAGGATGACGGCCTTGGTTGCGCCGCCAGCGGCCCCGTTGGCCTTGGTGTGGTAAGGGACCTGGAGAGACATGTTGTGTATGGGTTCCCAGATGTGGTTGATACAATCGCTACTTGGGATGAGAAGAGAGAGAGCTGAAATGTAAAAAGAGGAAAAAAAGATCGAAGAGATCAACAAGTGTTTAATTAGACGTCTCGAAGACGGGATGTCGTCCGCCCGCTTGTGTGGTGCTGCGGTCAATGGTGTAACTGGCCTGCTTCTTGTAGAGGACACCAGGCCAACCAGGTCCACTGTCACAAGAGCTCTCCATCTCCAAATCCCCTGAAAGCTGCGCAGTCCCGGTCTCACGGGCGGTGCCTGCCCCACGTGAACACCCAACTCTGTTTTGGAGGACAGGGGCACGAGCACGGCCTCGAACTGGCGCTGCAGATTGGTTCCTTCCCCACTTTGTGCTCTATGGTGGGGCCCGAGTGTTGCGGCCGGCAACGTGCTCAAAGTCGAACGGCACTGTCAAAGTCCGGCAGGCAGTGGCAGGAAGCCAACGTCAATACGACGGCTCGTCGGCTCCAAGCCATGAGAGGACCACAAGTCAAAATTATCAAGATCGAATTAACACCACTTGAGATGTTCTACACAAATCCTTTGTTTAATCCCTTGATACTTGTACTTTCTCCATGTGATGCAAGATGTGTTTGCTATCTTTCCATTTCCGTCCAGACGTACAGTGGTTCAGTGTCCAAACGGTCTCTCTCATTGGACCGTCACCCAAAGATACATGCAGACCAGGGTTGGCCAGACTCGCCGAGGTCGCGTAAAGTGGCAGATTTCAAGTCGCGACGAACACGCGTCTGCCGCCATTGGAGGGGGCCTCGACATTCGGTAACAAGTCAACCAACGTCACCACTCCCCGCCTGAAATTGCTGTAGCAACCGTGAAAGGGGACTGCCCATTGTTTGCAAAGTGCAAGGGCCCGCCGTTTTACATCGGACGGGATTGAATACGCCCAACCATAATTCAGGCACACCGGGAGATGGTTCCATTGGGATTCTTATCGCGAATCTCTGATATCCGTTTTCCTTGCAACACTCGACCTCACTTCCTCCCTCCACCTTACTTCCTCCTCACCAAGATCGAATCTGTTAACGCTGTCTCACACTTACCCCGCCTTCCTTAGCAGTGCCTAGCACCAATAAGAGCCGGACCTGAGACCTGCCTCTCTCATCCTCTCGTCGTCGAGATTCGACTGCTGCCTCTTTTCTTTTTTCTCCCATCTACCCCTCCATCTTGTCTGGTCGTGGAAAATATTTCCAGGCACTTACATCTTCTCTCACCATATACCCAACCCACATCTTCACCATCTTTCATCAACACACTCTTCTATCCAGAGCTTCACTCATACCCGTCTGGATACCCTCATATCTCGTCACTGTAATCGTCACTCCATTGTTGTCACCAACAGATAATCATCACGAACTGGGTTCGTCGGTGGTGTAATCGGCCTCAGCTGGATCTGAGGTTTTCATGATTCCTTGCTGAATCGCAATTCACAGGGTGAGTCCGGTGTTTATCATGGTAAGTTTGCAAAGTTTACTTTCACCTTTCCTCATTCAGTTCCTGCTTCTACTCTACTTTGTGACAACAAAATTCTAACATATCTTGACAGACTCAGACGAATATGCGCCGCGCAAATCAGCACGCCCGCATCAAGCGAGAACCCGGTTTCCAGCCGCCCATGACGAATTCGCGTCACGCTAGAGTTGACGACGACGATAACATGACGGTGGACTTTGCACCATCAGAAGTTGAGAGACGCATGCAGCGGTCAGATGCCCGTAAGTCAAGTCCAGATCCCCTCATTCATTCTGTGATAACCAACTGACAACTTTGTCACAGCTAGCGTGGACACCAGACTTGCGCCTGGCGCGTCAGTCATTGGCGACATGGAGGTCGACGGTGAAGACCAGGATGATGAATGCATGCTGATGGAAGTGAAGACCAAGGCCGAAGTCGTGGAGCAGGACCTTCCTACACCCAGGAGCTTCGTCAACATGGATCGGTCTTTTATCGGCCCCGGCCAAGCCCTCAAGGACTTTGGCCAAGAACTCAAGGATATCAACGATGCCTTGGGCGAGCTTCAGGCGCGAGGAATTCAGCACGTTGTCAGCCTGCCAGAGCTTGTCCTTGTCGGCGATCAATCCTCCGGAAAGTCGAGTTTGATGTCGGCCATTGCTGGCCTCAGTCTTCCAAGGAGCAGTGGGACTTGCACCAGATGCCCTATCCATATTCTCATTTCTCGCGCCGATGAGTGGTCTTGCCGAGTGTTTCTCAAGGAGGACTACGCATTTGTGCCTCGCAACCACCCTATCACCCTTCAAGATGTTACCGACCGGGACAGGTTTCCTCCCTGGGTGAAGCTTGATCCCAGTCGCCAGACTCGGAAGGAATTCAAGACGGTTCGGGACCGCTTCGATGCCGAGGAAATTGAGACCCTTCTCCGCTGCGCACAGGTTGCCATCCTCAACCCATCCACACCTTACCGCTTTTTTGTTCCTCGTCTCAAGAACGAGAGTGGACAATCTGACGCCGCTCGCCGCGAGCATTTGGATCGGATCAAGGAGAAGGAGGCCCATGGAGAGGCACAGTTTTCGCCCAACACAGTTGCCCTCGAGGTGAAGGGCCCAGACCTGGCTGACCTCAACTTTTACGACCTTCCCGGCGTCTTCATCACTGCCAAGCGCCCTGAGGACAGGTTCCTGGAGCGGGTTGTTCGCAACCTTACGTGCGAATACATTTCCCGCCAAAATGCCATCATCCTTTGGGCTGTGCCCATGAATCAGGATACTGAGAACAGCTTCGCCTTCAAGCTGATTCAAGAGATGAACGCAGAGGATCGCTGCGTTGGCGTCATGACCAAGGCGGATCTTCTGCCTAGGGAGATGAACGGCTTCTCCTCTTGGCTCTCGATGCTGAACGAGCAAGCTCATCGCACAGGCTTGGGATACTTCATTACTTCTCGCCAAGGTAGTGACTTGGACGAGCAGAATAAATTCGAAGAGGCCTTCTTCAATAGGACTGCGGACTCAGCGACTATGGGCCAATGGCCTGAGATTTTCGAGAAGTACCGTGATAGGTGTGGTATCGAGAAGTTGAAGGAGTTCTTGTCTATCACTCTTGGCCGGGAATTTTCTAAGGTGTAAGTCCCGTCTTTTCCCTAAGGACTTCTTGTGGTGTGGCTCTGATGCTAACCTATTTCATTTCAGTCTCCCCGAGGTCAAGCAAAAGGTTTACAACCGCCTGCTTAGGATTGAGGAGCAGCTCGAAAAGTTCCCCAACCCGCCGCCGAATCCTGAGATGGAAATTATGCGTAGTCTGGCGGAATTCGCAACAAACGTCAAAACCCGCGTGCTCCAGCAAGAATTCATGAGTCAATGGGATTGCCTCTTTGCTGAACCCTTCAAGAAGCGGATCCTTGGCAGCAAACCGAAATTCAACGTCAAAGAGCCGGACGTGATTACCATTGACGACAACAGCCCGATGGCCACTCCCGCTCCGTTGGGACAAACTCCCAGAAAGAGGTCTCTAGCTCAAGACATCAACATGACTCCTTCTAAGCGCCGTGGCCAAATCAAGGCCGAGGATAGCGACCGCATGATCATGTCGCCGTCGACTTCTGCCACCATGCGGGGTACACCAGGCCCTGGAAACTTCCCCTTCTCTCCCGGACCTGGCGGTGGACCCCCTCCTCGCTCCAAAAACCTGATGGAGCTTCGCACCATCATTAGACGGAGCGCCATACCCGGCCAGCCCGGGCTTGTGTCGGCCTCCGTCTACGAACCGCTTTACACCGAGGTGGCCAGAACCTGGGGTCCTCACCTCGAGAACTTTGTCAATCAGACTATTCAGTTCCTGCAGAACGAGGTCATGAAAATCCTGGATAACGCCTTCTCCAACCTGAAGAACCGTGCCGTTTACCGCGAGTCCGTGGAACATATGAAGTCCTTCATGGAGAAGCACAAGGAGGAAGTCCGCAACCAGCTCAACCTCATCTACAACCTTGAGACCCAGCGAATTTTCACGAAGGACGAAGAGGCCCTCCAGCGCAACAAGACAGCCGAGAAACGCATCCTCGAGCGCCATAGGCACTTCCTCCGGATGGCCGCCCGAACCGGCGAATCCCCAGCAATCCGTAAGATGGAGGAGCTGACGGAGGAGGAGCTGGCACAGGAACAGGCCAAAATGGCCAAAGAGCTCAAGCTCATCGGTCCGGACCCCTACGACCAAGAAATTACCGTCGCCGCCTACGTGCGCGGCTACTATTTGACGGCGGCCAGCCGGTTTATCGACATCGTTGCTATCCACATCATGTCCGGCCTCCTGCCCCGCGTCGCCTCCGTAATCGACACCTACCTGCACGAGAAATTGGGCTTATACAGCCGCACTTCTGGTACGGGACCGGAGATCTTTATGAGACTGATAAGCGAGGGTCCTGAGACGGAAAGAAAGCGTAAAGAGCTTAAGGTGGAGAAGGAGAGGCTCGATCAGGCGATGGAGATCATTGTCAATCTGGAGAATAAGGAGCAGATGGCTACGGCCACGGCGGCTAATTCGCAGGCGACGCAGGTGGCCGCGATGATGATGAGCCAGCAGGGTCAGAGACCGGAGTTGAGTATTAGGACGAATGCGAATGGAGGGGTGGCGACGCCGGTTAGTGAGAGGGCGCCGACGCCTATTGGGACTTATGAGGCTTGAGATGGAAGTCTGAAGTCTGTGGGAATTGATTTATTTGATGGATGAACCGATGGAAAAAGGGTGTTTGTATGGATTGAAAGGATTTCATCTTGTTGGAGTTTGGGGGGCGGAATATCCCTTGCTATATGCCTGTTGCTTTGTACGAGTTTTGCTTTGTGGTTTCAAGACCGGTGTGTTACAAAAGGGTCTATATCAAGAGACAAGAGAAAGAGAGGAATGTGTGTCCAAGTGGGTAACCGTGGGTGTGTAGACTGTGGTTGAGGCAGTCTGTCGCCCAGCCTATTTTACCAATCCCCACTCTCTTCCAGCATTGGTATAATAGGCTGGGCGACAGACTGCCTCAACCACACACCCACGAGTAGCCTTGGACACGCGTTGAGGTCCATGTCATATCACTGGATCAGAAGTTGTAGGTGGACACAAGGGAACAAACGAGGCCCGGGATCAGGGTCGTCGCTCGAGACTTGTCCGCGATCAGAAGGGAGAGAGGAACTATAACCGACTAAAGCCCTGTGTGGTGGCAGATTCAACTTGTTTATAAGTTGACAAGACATACCATGGTGTCGATGTTTACATATTTCTGGACTGTCGAAATTCACAGAACTCTTGTCTATAGGCCCAGTTTCTCGAGAAGCGGCACGATTATCGGTCGGGTTACTTGCTAGACAGATTATAGCTACTAGCTGATGCTCAACAGCTTCACTTCAGGAAGTCTGTGGTACGAGCAAGTTGAGCTCTAGTCATCAAGGCAAATAAATGATGACCTTTCATGATATGAGACACTCTCAATCGGGCTCCTTTTCTCGTGTGACGCTCGTGATCACTCTGCCACAACAACATACGGCGACTGCTGTTTAACTTGGAAGGAGCGTTTGGTGGGTTACTCCTTTGGAAAAATTCCCTTTCCTTCCACCTTCTTCGCCCCGTCCCAGCTCGCCCTATGCTCCTGCCCGTCATATAGAGTCTGCGGGTTCGGCCCTGCCCAGGCGTAGCAACTGCGAGTTCGCAGCATCAACTCAAAGATCATGTGGCAGTCATCACCCATCACTTGAACGTCGCCCACCACTCAAACGTCACCCACCGCTTTTAAATCCCTGTGTTTATTCCAGACTGCGAGGCTCTCCCCCTCGCCTGGATCCTTTTCCCTGCAGGGGCAAGCAACCAAGACAGACCATCTTTCCTGTACCACGCCTTCTTCCTTTTGAATCACTTCAATCAATATTTCCCGCTCCCAGCTCTCATGAAGTCGGCAAAACCAGAAAATAAATCTTGAACTAGTGTATGGTGATTATGGCAAACAACCCAATGATGATATTCTACCATCGACACCATCCAACCAGCCTCCTACGCTGCTATGGCACTCGTGATCACTCCGCCATAACAACATGGAGTTGGGCCGCCTTCTGGTTGGACTTCCTCATTCCATCGCGGGATTACGATAGTAGACGCGCTTGGGTGTAGCCACAGGAATTCACGAGTCACTTTGCCCGCAGAGCCTTTCCCCTCAGGGCAGGGCACATTCCATGGACACCACAGTCGAATCATCCAGCCCACCTCAACATCTCTGTCGCACACCACCTTTAGGTTGATATCCTATTTCTGAATTGCCTCTCTGACGTTTGGTGAGCTGACTATCCGGTCATGAGAGTCGAGTGTGTGCCACATCCATCACATTAACCGCCAAGACAGACACCCAGAGCCACCCCTTTATCGCTCCCTGTGCCTGATATCGGGCCATATACTCATGGAATGCGAGACTGACCCCCACGCATTCCCATCACGACACCCACAACAAGCCCCAAGACTTCGGCTTCACTGCTCCGATGTCTTCGCCTTCCACCCCTTTTCCAGGCCCTAGACCATCAAAGACAGTTACATCCTCATCATCAGACCGCGTTGGTATGTTTTTCCTACACGCCACTTACACCCGATGAGCTATGCCAATGCCAATCAGAATTTCTTGATGGGTAGGCTTTTCTTTCCCATCAACAACCCGGCAAAAAGCCCGGATCACTCCGGCGAGGGTAGTGGTATAAATCCCACGATGGCGCCATACCTCCTTCATCACTAATAGACAGAGAGGCACCACCATCTCAGCACCAGTCTTTACCCCTCCAGAGAACGGTGCACTCATCTCACAGACGTTCTTGACCCTTAACCTATCACCAAAACTGCCAACAATGGCACCCCAACGCTCTCTCCTCCAAGGAGCCTTCCTCCTCCCCTTCCTCGTCTCCTCCATCTCTGCCTTCCCCTACAACACCAACTCCGACGCCAACTCCAAGGCTAGAGACCTCAACCTCAACCTCCTGAAACCCCGCTCCCACTTCCCCACCCTATTCAAACGGCAAAACACCACCTTCACCCCCGCGAACACCAACCCCTCATCCAACCCTGGCACCCGCCTAGGCTGCTACCGCGACGACTCCGCCTCCTCTCGCCTCCTGCCCACGTCCTTCACCGCTTCGGACACCCTAACGCTCGAAGCCTGCGCCGTCTTCTGCTCTTCGTCTCCTTATTTTGGGGTTGAATACGGTCGGGAATGCTGGTGCGCCAGCTCTTCCTCTGGCTTTTCTCCCACCTCCCCCTCCACTCTTGCCGCCAAGGTCTCTGACACCGATTGCTCCTTCCCCTGCGCCGGCAACAACGACCAAACATGCGGCGCCGGTGAGCGCATCGAAGTCTACACCAACGCTCTGTACCGCCCGCCCATGAACGCCCAGGTGCCAGGGTTCGACTACCTTGGTTGCTATCGCGAGTCTTCGCCCCGCTTACTCCCCAACTCTCTTTTGGGAGACGACACCCTCACCACCGCTAAATGCGCCGCCTACTGCACCAATCTCTCCTTCCCTTATTTCGGCCTCGAATACGGCCGGGAATGCTGGTGCGGCGTATCCCCACCCTTCGACTCGCAGAAGGTTCCCGAGACGGAATGCAGCATGACTTGCGCCGGTGCCCCTGATCAGATCTGTGGCGCGGGGAATAGGATTAATGTCTATGAAAAGCAGATGGAGACGCCCGCTGACGTGGGCGACTACCGGTATCAGGGATGTTATACCGACTCGCCCGTCACTGGGGAGAAGTCACTCACTGGAAAAGTCACGTACGATGCGGCGATGACGTTGGATAAATGCCGGATGACCTGTGAGAAGGATGGATACCCTTATTTCGGCACCGAGTACGGCAGCCAGTGTTTCTGCGGCACGAAGCTCTATGATGGCCCCGAAAATGACGACGTCTCCGATGACGAAGACGATTACCCTCCCCGAGCGCTCAAGGTGCTAGACCGCGAATGCTCAATGCGATGCGGAGGCGACGCAACGAACATGACCAACTGCGGCGATGCCAATCGCTTGTCGGTGTACTGGAACGGCGAGGTCAGTGAAGCCCGTAACTTGGACTCGGACGAACTTGAGGATGCGGACTTGCCTGGTTGGTTTTATTCAGGGTGCCACAGGGATGATGTGGCGCAGAGGATCTTGACGGGTCCTTCCACGAGGAGCAACGACATGACTGTCGAGACTTGCGTGGGATTTTGCAACACTAGGGGTTTCACTTATGCTGGGTTGGAGTACCAGACCGAGTGCTACTGCGGGAATGCGATGGACTCTGTTAATCTTGATGAGGTTGATGGTAGCCAGTGTGAAGAGCTTTGCTCGGGCGATGCTGAGGAGTATTGTGGAGGCCCGAGGAGGTTGAGCCTGTATACGCTTCGCAACATCCGCTGATCATTGTCACTTGAGGGGCGGTTGGGAATCATTGGTGAGGGTTTAGCTGCGGTGACGGGTGGTTTTTCTCTTTGAGATTTTTCTGCGACATACACGATGAGACTGGTTATATGATTGGGTTTAAAGGCGTCTTTGGTTTCGTTTATGTCGCTTTTATTAAGTTCCTAACTATTTTTGCGCATTATTAAGTATCTGTCCCCCATCCGAGCGAGTACCCGCTGGTGTAGGGAAGTTGTGGTGCCTGCTTTGCCTCGCTCATGATTAACAAGTCCTTGTATAAGCAATCTCGGACGTACTAGATATACATACTTTTTTTCCTGCGAACATCATTGTTACAAGCGAGTAAGGCCATTCCCAGCCGACCAGTCCTGTTTCAACCTCACAAGCTGTTGTTCTGTTCTTCCACGTAGTTCGTCGTTGTTCTGCTGTAATCGGGTATAATCCTCATTATCCTCTTGAAGGACGCCCTAACATGTGAAAGGATTCAAAGGAATATTGCCCGTCGCTGTGCTGTGTGGCACCGAAAACCGATGTTTCAAAGATCCCGCCCGGAAGAACGCCTGATTCCCTCAATGACAGGAAATAAGAGAAAATGTCGTCGTCATGTTCGTTACACCGGTTAACAAAACAAATTGCAGCAAGCAGCCCGCCTCGCTTGTATATATCACCTGTTGCTCTGATGGTGAAGTCGAACCGGACGGACTCTCGGATTAAAGTCGGAAAAAAAAGATGCTGAAATGTTCGCAGCATCGCTGACCGAAAAGAGAAAAGTCCAGTTGTTTGCCGTTTGTAAATGCCATAACACCTCGTCGAAACCACCATCCATGTCTTTCTTCTTTGATCCCTCCTAACCTGCCCTTCCTTCCGCTTTCGTAGCTGGCCAGTCCAGATGACAGCAGCAAGTCCTTGGGATGACGCTCGAACAATATTCGTGAACCGGGTTGTTGTTGCCGTAAAGAGTCGACAATGACAATGCACACACAATCCGCCTACTAGGCGATCATTTCGTCGATCATATCGTCTTCCTCGCCTTCGTCATCTTCTTCAGCACCACTATCACTTTGAAGAGCCTCGATATCCTGCCAACCATCATCCGAAGCAGCATCATCCTCCTCCTCCTGAGCCTGAGCAGCAGCATTCTGGCCAGCATCAGATGCATCCTGACCAGTAGCAGCACTACTCTGACCAGTAGTAGTAGTGTTCTGAGCATCAGTAGCATCAGTAGTCTGATTGTTGTTAGTGTTGCTCGCAGTCCCAGCCCCACAGGAGCCACTACCACCACTCTTCTTTTTCTCGAGTTTAGGGATGGGCCTGCCATTCTGGTCCAACACAGCCTGCTCATTCCACAGCGTCGAAAAGTTGGGGTGTTTCCTACAGCTCCGACTGGCGACAGTCCGCCTCACGACGTGGATCCTGCAGTGCTTGTGTTTGTTGATCAAGCGGGCCAGGGGCGTGAAGAATCGGTCGGGCTGCTCGAAGCCGGCCAGGACCAAGCTCATCAAGTTGGGAAACTTGCGCAGGCCGATGCGCATCTGGTACAAGGTCCACGTGTTGATGGGCGTGACGTGGTTGGGGTCCCACTGGCGGTGCCAGTGCATCTCCAAGGCCTGCTGGTGTCCTCCTGCTGTTGAGCCGGCCCCTGCGGGGACGGGGGCGGGCACGGGCCGGGCTTGCATCGCGTGCTTCTCGGCGATGATGGCTAGTCGGGTCAGGTTTGGTGCCAGGCCGGAGAGCTCGAGGATCAGGTCCGAGTAGTACGAGTCCGGACGAGATGAGCGCTCGGCGCGGATGCGGATGTGCAGGTTGCGGACCGACAGGGCGTTGGCCTGGCCGATACTCCGGAGCCAGGTGCAGCTGCGGTGGAGAGTGCTGTCCTGGGCGTCCGGGTGGAGGTCTCGGTGCTCGTCGCAGGGCTCGAGGAAGACGAAGGTGTTCATACTATAAAGGACGAAGGCGGCCTCACGAGAAATCTGCTTGTCGACGTACAAAAGGCTGAGGTCGAGACGGGGCTGGGTTTCCCAGACGCCGGCCACGTCGGCGGCGGTGGGGATGGTGAGGAGTTGGGAGTAGATCATGTTGCGGACTTCGGCGGGCAGGTCCAGGAAGTGCCAGAACCGAGGGGGGCGATTGGCACATTGTCGGTGTGGTTGAACGCGGGTGACACGGAGAGGGCCGTGACCAGTTTTGGCCCGTTTTGATGGTCTGGATGACATTGTGGCAGATGTTTGACTTGATCAAGGGGATGTGCGAATAACGACGTCAATGAGGATGACGCTGTCTGTCGCTGGCGATGATGATGCAGGCACTGGCAGGGTGGTCGTGGATTTGTTTGTTATGCTGGGATGTTGAGAGGGCAGCAACCATCCCCTGTTCCTCCTAGCCGGGATCCTGGTGATGTTCCTGGATGGAGAATGGTGAGAAGACGCGACGCCGAGGGAACTTTATGATGGAAAGGATGTCGAAGGTGGTTCGTTGTTGGGAGTGGTTGGAGGAAGGAGTGAAGAGATGGTCACCCGACGTCGAAGGTTGAGTGGTTGTTGCAGGTGAGTTGAGGCTGACAGTGACGTTCCCTGGCGGCGTGGTTGCCATTTCCAGGTTCCAGGTTCTTGCCTGTTGTTAGGCTGTTAGGTTAGGCGGTCACTGTTAGCGTATCAGTAGGAAAGGGGCCATTGTTACAACGATAGCGTCCATGGTGGGACAGTGCAGTGGCCACAGGAGCACAGAATTCCAGGGTCTCGTCCTCCGCTAGTGCAACAGTCCACCCGACTCCCGGTCAGGAGCCCGAACGGGGGAGACGGGATGGCAGGCGCAGGTGTCAGGATCAGGTGCTGTGCATGTGCAGCTGATCAAACGAAACGGACCGCACAGACCAGACGGTATGAAACGCGGGGTAGTAACCCACCAGAGTGCTACTTAAACATTTACGATTCAGCAGTCTGCAGATGAAACTTGTAGTTGAGTCTTCCGACGCTGGACAGTCTCATTGGCCTTCATCTCTTGTAGCTGTGTATTTGCTGTGTTATGTTGGTTGGACCGCAAGCCGTGTAGCTGGGGTTGTCCCTGTGACCATGAATTTCGGTCCCGTTTGCGGACTCAGCTTGGTTAACCGTCCCCGCCGTTTTGGGCTCCGTAATCTTTCCCGTCTGCAATGTAAAGAGCGTCGTAAGTACCCGTTACATACACCACAGTGTTATTGTAAGTACCCCAGAACTGTACCTTCAAACAATCGGATGGCAGTTCATGACCGGGTACATCTCCCTTCAGTCTTTCTTCACAACCATTCTGTTACTTTCTAGGTACCTGTAGATTTCATTCCCTGGCGAAGCTATCTTGACATATTTCAAGCCGAGACATTGTAACCGTGGTCCGTGGTTCTCTTTGTATCGTTTGGTTTCATATCGGGATCAATCTTACCGTATCGACTTCTTTGTCGAATGCTGAAGATGTTCCCTATATTACGTCTAAAAGTATACGCCGAAGTCTAGCCAGCGATGACGGAGTAGGCGTTGGTGATATCCCCACGTCAATTAGTTGTGCTTTCGGCTTCACTTTTGAAGTTTCCCGAATTTCACCGATGAAGCTCGCTCGCAGAGAGTGACGCCACATCGGACGGTGATGGGATATTTTTCCCTCCGCCATTTTATCCATAATATCTGCCTCGTTTACTCCAGGATGTTTGCAAAGGAAAAGGCGGAAACCATAATATAGGACGTCGGTGAGGTTGGAGAGGTGATTCGGATGCCGCTACGTGAATGTTGGAAGTTGATGAATGGGACCAGGTTCAAAGGCCAACACGGCAACAGCCAACAACCCGCCCGTGTTGGATCGTTGTTACCAGCCGATGTTGACCAGCACCACGCAACATAAAGATGGCAACCGTTGTGTTATGTCACTTCCTCCACACCCCTTCACCTGCCTAGCAAGGCTCACGTCCTTGCAATGGAGCATTCACCTTCTCCAACCGAACCGGATATCTTCGGTGGGCTTGACGACCTTGAACCGAATAAACTTACCTCCTTTGTCCTCTCTTTCAACTACCACCACCTCCAGTCAATATCCGGCACATTTGCGCGACTCCAGCATAGCTACCCACCCTTAACTTGCGGCTCTTTTTGGTAATACTAACGACCATCTCATGATGGCTTCCGACTCGGCTTCAGACCCCGAGCTGAAAGTCGATGTGGTCATAGTCGGCGCTGGCCTGAGCGGCATAAGAGCAGCCGTGGAACTACACAAAGCAGGCTTGACAATCGCTATCCTCGAACGGAACAACTACGTCGGTGGCCAGTGCCACTCAGCTTCCACGCATGATACGGCCAGGATCACGTCCATTGGCGACACCCACACCGAGATGCTCTCTCTGGCCAAGAAGTTCAAGATCAACCTCAACAAGCAGCACAGAGAGGGTCTGAGCCTCCAACAGCGTTACGACGGGATCCAAGACGGCCCCCGAGTTACCGAAAATATCCCCGCGCTTGAAAAAGTCGTCTGGCCACCTCAGGACTTCCAACTTTCCTTCAGGTCCTTGATCGAAGACCCCGCAATCCAGAGATTCTACCGCCGCATCTCCCATCTCTCGGAAACCTGGCACGGCCCCGACGCCTTGTTCCTTGACGCGGTCTCCTTCCTCGGGCTCGTGGAAGCTGATTTCTTACATAGCAAGGTGATCCACCACGAAGCTCACTTCCTCACCAACTTTCTCCTCGGCGTTCACCCAGCCTGCGTCTCGGCTCTCTACGTCATCGACCACATTGCCGCCGGTGGCGGGCTTGCCAACCTCTACTTTCACCCCGATTCCTCTGGCGGCGGCGCTCACCATCTCCGCGTCCCGCAGGGACCGCAAGCGTTCGTCACCAACCTTGTTGACCTTCTTCCCAAGGGAACTATCCATCTCTCCACCATCGTCAACAAGATCACCCAACAAACCGTTTTCGTCGGCAAAAGTGGCCACCCCTCTCACCCATGCAAAATCGCAACCTCACCATCCCCCAGTTCCACTCCCAGCACCAACACCAAAACGTTCCACGCCAAAAAGGTCCTCCTCACCACCGCCCCCGCCTTCTACTCCCCCTTATTCTCCCACCTCCCCAGAGCCATAACCTTCCACCCCCCTCTCCCTCCCCACAAAATCGCCTCCATCAACCGCCACAGCGGCCACAGCGGAAACCGCGGCGAGTTCGCCACGGTAACCTTCTACTTCAACCAGCCCTGGTGGCGCGAGGCGGGGCTTTCGGGGTCAATGGTCTGTCGTGTTACTCGAGAGCTAGACGGACCGATTTCCTGGGTGAGGGACACAAGTGAAGAGGAAGGTGGCAAGAACACGAAAAAGGTGTGGAGTTTAACCTGCTGGTGTGCAGCCGAGAAGGGGGACGAAGTGTGGGATTGGATTAGGAATACCTATTCGGCGGATGACGAAGTGGAGGAGCCGGAGGAAGGGATTGACTGGGAGGCAAACCCGGTGTGGATGCATTTGAGGAGGGTGTTTGGGGAGAGGATGGGGGAGTTGGGGGTGGAGATTCCACTGCCGAGGGGACGTGATACAAGTAGGGAGGGGGAGCACGAAAGAGAGAAGGAGCAGAAGGAAGGTGCGGAACAGCCCATTTCATTTACGGTTAGAGAATGGAATGCGATGGGGGTTCCACCTCCGAGGGTACTGCCGAGGGAAGGGAAGGAGGTGGAGGAGCTGTTGAGGACTTGGAAGTATGAAGGGCCGGGAAAGGGAGATGCGAACTTGAGAGAGCCGTTTGGTGATGTGCATTTTGCGGGCACGGAGACGGCGGAGGAGTGGAGGGGTTTCATGGAGGGAGCGGCGAGGAGTGGGTTGAGAGGGGCGAAGGAGGTTATTGAGGCGTTGAAGAAGGGGGAGGCTAAGGAAGGAGATGGTGGGAAGGGAAAGGGATTTAAGGCGCATCTTTGAGGGAGGATGTGAGTGAGGGTTGAAGGGAATTGAAGATCAGGCGTGCGAGATAAGCGGAAGATAAAGATCGCTGAAGGGGAAATGATGGAGGGTTGTAGTTGCGTAACACGTCGAATGCCGACGACCGGTAGCTCGGGAGCGGCGAGGAGGTAGCTTGGTAGCCTAGAGTAGCGCCAAATCGAGGAAAAGCGTAGCGATCAAAGTTGAAAGGCCGGTGATTGTGATATTATGGGTAATAATCGATATGGGGTTCAACGTGGCTTGATTGTGTGTATGTGTGTAAGACTGGCTCTGCAGACTCGAAGCTCTGGTATTTGGATAAATTCCTTATATCCCAGCTAGCTAGGCACGTACACGCCCAGTAGATCCCCTAGCCTCTAACACACCCCTTTAAATCTAGTATACAAACTACGCTAGATCTACCTAAATATGCCCTAAAATGCCCTAAAATCCTCTTAAAACTAGTTAGAAATAATATTATTTCCAAATTACTTCTTCGTTATAGTAATTTTTAATTTTTTATTTGTAAGAATTTTACTTTATTATATTTACTGTTATATTTATTAATTCGTTGCCCGAATCCTCCTCTATAGAATCTTCTATACCTTTCGGGCGGCCTATAATAATGTTTCCGCTATTAAACTCTTGTAATTAAATTTATAGCCGCTATAATTCTATAAGTCCCAATTATTTTATAGATTTTAAATATATTATAAGAAGGAGGCTCTTTATAAGGCTATCCGCGATCTATTCTTTAGTAGGTATGTAGATTACGTTTACGAATTTTCTCTCCTAAGTTTACTTTAATTTAAAATTTATATATATCGACGTATTTAAATTTAATTACGAGCTGACCTCCTTCCTTTATAATAAATTATATCATTTATTTATTATTATAGTTTATAGGCGTAGCCTCTTAATGTTCGAACTCTAAGGTAAATTCGTTAAAGAGATAGCGAACATAAATAGCCTCCTTAGTTCCTTAATTAAGGGATAGTAATTCGGCCTTTATAAATAAAGTTGTAATTATATCCTATTTATTAGTTCGCTAATCGATTATAACGCTTAAAAATTTAAATATAAATACTTATAAATTCTTTCGATTAAGAGAATTATTTATAAATAAAGAATTAATTATAATGTAGAAGTCCTAATAGTTTTTACTCTTTAATTAAAGGATATAGTTTTAAGTTGTAAGAAGCTAGAATAAAATTCGATTTCTAACCGTATAATATATTAGATTGGTATTTAAATTAAATTGAATAAATCTAGAGATTAGAAAGGTTATATTTAATTGCAACGTAATAATAATATAGAGAATCGAACCGATTTTGATTTAATATGTGTAAATGTAGCGGGTTTGCAAGAGTAAAGCACAGTGAGCAGTCGTATAAGGTTGAAATAATATATTTAATAAAGAGAGTAAGAAGGAAGACTATACTAGAAGGGTATAGTCAAGAGAAGGTTTTGTACAGGTCGTTTAGAGCGCACAGGCTAGGCAATTATACGGGTCTAGCCAACTAAAAGGCTCGCATCCCTATCGATAAGGCAGGCTCCCTATCGATAATGCAGGACACAGCTTAGCATCAGCCAAGCTTAACCCCTAGGCTCTAGCCCCATAACAGTAAATTTCGTACGGGGCTATATTATTTTAGTAAAATAAGAATTCCTTTCTAGTTATAAATATAGAGTATAGTTTCTTAATACGCTTAACCTTCTTTGTAATTTTCTAAATATAATTGCGTTATAATAATTAAATTAATTTCTTTTCTTAATTTTAAATAATTTCGATGCCTAAGAATTATTTTAGTAGCTTTCTACCCGTTAATTAATATTTCCTCTCTATAGTAATTATTACCCCTTTAATTATAATAATTTTTTGATCCCTATATTTATAAGTAATAATAATATTATCGATCTAGAAGAAGAGGAATATATTATTTTTAATTAGAATATTAAGTTTTATAGGGAAAAAGTTTATATTTATAGTTACGAAGGTTTTAATAAATTCTTATTACTAGAGAAAGGGAAACTTCTATAGATTATATACTGCGCGTAGTAATTAGAATACCTAACCTTTCTTAATATATTTAGGGAGAGCTTTTATAAATATTACCTTATTAAATATAGTATTAATAAAAGCGTTCTTTATATTGTACTAAATTAAATCGAAATTAAAGTAAGTGCTTATAATTATTAGGATATAGAACGACCTAATAGCTAAAATCGCTACGTACGTTTTACGTATACTATTTTTAAATTATTAGTCCTTACGTATAATTAAATGTATTTTATATTTAAGAAACCAGCCGTTTCAATTGAATTTGTAAGTATATACCTATATCGAACCGAATAGTTTATTATCTTTTACATCCTTAATATTAATTTACTTCTAGAATATTTTATTCTTATATTCGTTTAGGTATTCCTTCTTTATATCCTTAAAAAATTCCCTAAAGGAGTAAGAATTAAAATTATTATAGTACTTTAGAAGGGGTAGAACTTTAATTCGATAAAGGGTCTTTAATATACCCTTTACTTTATAGTAGTTAATAATTTCCCTTATTATTTTTAATTTAGGATTATAATTAGGATCGATATTAATACCCCTTTTTCTTATTTATTCTAAGAAGGTGTAGTCTACGACTTTATTTCCCTAGAGGCCTATAGGCTGACTACCCTTTGTAAATAGGAACGACGCGGCCTAATAAAGGCATTAATTTATAATTGGCTATAATTTTTTTTTTAAATGAAAGAAATTAATTATTAGAAATGTAATTAGGTTATTAGGAGGGGTAGAGAAATAGCCCTCTTCTTTATCTTTCGAATTTAAAACTGCATTTTATAAATCTGATAGCGATTATACGGGTAGCGATAGTAAGGGTTCTAGACTCTATAACTATATTTTTAGTACTTATAGGACTTTTAAAGATTTAAATTATATTTATATTTCTAAAGACCCTAATTCCTCTTCTTCCCCTAGTATATTTTCAATTTTAGTAAGAAAGTTTTGGATAACGGGGCTAAGAATTCCGTTATTTACGGCGGGTATAGCCTCGACCTATAGAATGTCTATTTATATAATATCCATTTAATAAAAATCTTTTAATTATGTAGTTAATTTTTTAAGGGAGATATTGAGGGTATTATAGATTTTTTTAATGTTACTACTAGGAAAGACCTCGTCTTTATTAAATACGATATTTCGTATAATAATAATAAAGTTAATATAGGGATTCTAAATCCTATAAATATTCGTTAATTAATATCTAATTAAATAGCCGATTTAAGTATAGTCTTTAAATTTCATAAATTTGTTCTATTCTTTTATAATTTTTATTATAAGAATAAAAGCTTTACAACTGTATATTTTAAGGTGTACGATAATAGGGGAGGGGTCTAATAGAGGAATAATACCGTTTCTAAATTAGTAATATATTTCGAATCAGTCTTAAGGAAATTTCTAATAATATTCCGCCTTAGGGGTTAAATTAAATAATATACAACTATTCTAATAATTTCTATTTATAGTTTATAAGGAAGATTTATACTTAATTATATTACTATACCCTTAATTTTAATTATACCCCTTAAACGCTCTACGCTATTATTTTAAATTTATATATAAGGCGCTAAGGGTTTAATATTAATTCCCTTTATAGTAAATTAAGTAATAACCTTTTTGCTACTAATTATTTCGTTATTGTATTCGATTACCCGAAGTATAATTTAGTATTAAATCGATAATTTTATATAGAAGGATTTCAAATAGGTAATAATAAATTCGTCTTCTCTATTACTTAAATAATATATTTAAACGAATTTAAATTACCGGTCTATAATTATTATTAAATTTAAATATTTTCAACCTTCTACTTTTATTTTCTTATAAAAGAAGAAATCGATAGCTAATTGTAATTTAAAGTCCTCTAAGTAGTTACGAACTTTTCTATATACTTAGCGCTTTAATTTAGCCTTAGTATATAGTTCGTAATATATTATATCTAGTCTCTTAAATCGTACGCTATATTTCTACTTTATTAATTTAATTAAAATTTCGGGTCCCGGGTGGCCAAATTAAAAATACTAGCGAAAGGGCTTACTTTCTTAGGGTTTTCGTTTAGTATAGTTTATATACTATATAGTAAAAGAAGATTCGTTAGCGCTATTCTATAAAGAAATATATGTTAAAATAAATTATTTATATTTGGAGGGGATATAATAAATAAGGGAATCCGTAAGGCGGGAGCGTAAATAACTATTTTTATAGTCCTAGTAAATTTATTTATTTTCGAATTATTTTAAGGAAACGAGGTGATAAACTATATTCGGTACTAGAGCGATATTAGGGAATTGGAGTTCTCTATTTCCAACGTCGTTTTAAATTATAATTATAATAGTATTATATTTTTCGATAAGAATCCGTTTATTTTTAGCTTATACGTAATTATTAATATTTAATAGGGTAAAGTCTTTAAAACGATTAATTTTATTAAAAATATATATTATTATACCTAAATCGAAGATTATAGAATTTCTTAGTAAGTATATAATACTACGTTTCGCTATAAGTATTAAATAACTATTTTTATTTACCCGGCGTTTATAGAATTAATTATTTTAATCCTTATCATCCTACTAAGTTCGTAGACGGTTGATAGTTTCTTTAAAATTCTTATCCTTCTTTAAATTAATAATAGTACGTTTTTTAATAATCAAACTATCGATTTAACTTTTATAAATAAATTATAATTTAATATAATTAGTACTTATTTATATTATAGTCCGGCTACTTATAAACTTTATATAGGGATTATTATAATTATTTATTCGCTAGTAAGGATAAGGGGGAAATATACTTATTCTTATTAATATTCTTCCTAAACTTACTATTTTTATTTATAACTTTTCCCTATCCTTCGACCTTTAAGCTAAAGTTTTATTTATTATTAGGAACATCCTCTTTAATAAGTTTACTGCCTAACGTAATTGCGAACGTAATACCCTTAAATAAAAGGGCGCAATCTTTTCCCTAAGTAATATTAATTATTACTACTTTACAAAAGTCTTTAACTATAGTAGGGAAAAAGATTTTAAAATTAAAGTTTCTTTCGATTTCTTTATTATATTAAAGTTAGTAGTTATTTACCTAAATAGTATAAGGATTCGATTTTATAATTATATAAAATTCCGGGAATTATAAGTTTAATTTATTTATTTTAATAATTCTTCTAATAATATAGAGGGCTATAATTACCTCCTAATAAAAGGTTTAATTATATTAATTACAGTTAGTTCTATATAAGGGTTTAAAAATATTAATAAATTTACCCGAACGAATTTTTTTACCTTACGGTCGTTAAAAGTAATAAATTTATTAAAATTATTGTATTATTTATATAAATTAATACGTTTAGTAAAGTTAGTTTCCTAATAATTATTTCTAACGGTTTTAAATATTTACTAATTTAACATAATTTTCTTAATACTTAAGTTAAAGAAGGTTTTAATTTTTATACGCTAATTTAATTTCTTAATTATATAATTACAGTAATTATATTTATAATAGAAGCTGTAAAGTTTAGCAGTAATAAATAAAGTAATTTTCTTATCCTTTTTAGCTTCTTTAATTTCTTTAGCAGGAACTTCCCCTTAATAGTTAGCGATATTGGGCTTTGTAGGTTTAATTAGTTAGGCTATACAATTATTAGGATTAATATACTTTTAAAAATTAAAGTTTTAGGCTATAAAAATAAAGGTATCCTCCTAGGCCGGCTAATCTTTGGGCTATTAAAAGTAACGTTATTAATTTTAATTATAAATATTATTAGTAATCGTTTAATCGGTTATCGTTATTGGCGATAGCTTCAACGGTCGAATTAATAAGATTTTTAATTATAATATTATAGGTAATAATCGATATAGGGTTCAACATGGCTTGATTATGTGTATGTGTGTAAAACTGGCTCTATAGACTCGAAGCTTTGGCATTTGGATAAATCCCTTATATCCCAGCCCAGCTGGGCACGTGCACGCCCAGTGGATCCCCTGGCCTCTGACAGTGATAGCGTGATACCAAGGATGACTGTATGAGCGGTGACAATGATGCTATCGGCCGATGTGACCGGCTCAAACTCGAGGTGACTAGGGCGACTGTGTAACTGCCTAAGGCGACTACGTAACTGCCTAAGGCGACTGTGTAACTGCCTAAGGCGACTGTGTAACTGCCTAAGGCGACTGTGTGGAGACAAGGTGTAAGTCTTACCCAAATACCCCAAGGTTAGTATTAGGGTTAGCGGTTAGTGTTAGGTGTTAGGGTTAGTTAGGGTTAGTTAGGGTTAGTTCCGGGGGTGCAAGGGGCCGGCGAGAGGCCCCCGCGTTTGAATGTGAAATTAGCGTATCGAAAAAGATTGTTTTGAGCTCTCGTTGTTGAAGTTCAAATTCGTGTCTCTGAAGATCGATGGTTGTCGTGAATTTGGCCAAGCAGACTTGATGCCAAGCCTTGGAGTTGCGGTCCGTGCAGTCTTGAGATTTGTATAGCCCCACACAGTCGCCCTGGGCGATTACACAGTCGCCCTAGTCGGCTCGCTCAAACTGCCGACTCCGCATGACGGGAACACCCGGGATGCGGGGTACCTTATCAGGGGCCGGACTGTACCGCGATAAGCGCCCCCGCCGAGGGCCCTCGGGCACCGAAGAGCTCCGGTCGCAACATGGCCGGATCGGGACGGGGCCACCGGGTGCCAAACACCGAAAATGACTCGTAAAAATACAAACGCTCCTGCAAAAAACGACCACAGTACAAAAACAAAACATCCTCAACATCGCACTTCACGACCAAGCTGTTTAAAGGCTAAAAACAGCAGCAAAAAAACACAAAAATGATGCCGAAAGTGGGGTTCGAACCCACGCTCTCTCGCGAGAACTTGAAGACCTTAAGATTGGAGAAAATCAAACTTAAGTCAAGCGCCTTAGACCACTCGGCCATTTCGGCAGTAAATTGTATCAGAATTGGCTGGATCTAGGGACTATGTATGCCAAACTCATCAAACATGCATGCACACCTCGGATATCAACGACATCGTTTCTCAAAATAGCAGCCCTAGGTATCCTGACATTTTATCCTGCATCATGTTGCCGTGTTGTTCAACTTTTGTCCCTGTTTTCTTTTTTTTCGTCGTCGAGATTTCCGGTATTGTGCGTCGCATTCCGCTCTCTGTTAACTCCCGTCTGTAGTTTGTCCAGCCTCCCGATGTTCCTCGACCTTTCCACCCCTTTCTTTGGCTTGGGTGCTTGATGGGTTCACGGTCTTTTGTCGACGCTCTCGTATGTACGTAACAACGACTGCTCGATCTCAGTACTCTGCAGGTCGTTCGCTGAAAGGCAATTGTTATGGATATCTGTTGAAGGCTGGAAAGGCGACGACAGAAAAGGGGGCTTGATTCTGTAGTGGTAACCTGAACGGAAGAGGGGAAACGGAAACTAGGCCAGCCTAAATAGACAGGAAGGGTGTGTGACTTGATAGGAAGCCTTGTGAATGGGCGCCCAGGGCACGGGCTCTCGACAATATCTCGTGGTTCTAGGTATCTTGTGGTTCACAGTCAGAGCGACCAGCGTCCGGCGTTGAGAACAACCGCTCCTAGCTTTCACTTACCCACTCATGGACAATTGATCAGCGTGGGCGCTGCGCTTTTGTGCACTGCGATGAACATACCTAACCACAAAGGTGGCTGGTTTTAAGGCCTCGTGACAAGTAAGGTAGCTCGTTGAGACAACTAAGTCGCCTCCTTCTTCGACAACTTCCCAAACCAAAGAAAGCAACGAAAGATAACAAACAGCCAACGGCAATCATGAGCATCGCAATTTTGACACACACGCGTTATCAAGCTATGCCTATGCGAGAATGACATCGCACCTTGAGCAAAGGGGGATATAAGTATGCTAAAAAGAATTAATGGAAAGTAAATGAAATGACAGATGAAGAAAGAATGAAAACAAGAGCCTGCAATCCGCTCTTGTGAGAGATCCTCCCTTCCTCCATGCTTGAAGCAAGTTAAGTTACCCATAGACCATCCCCATCCTCCAACCAATTCCCGGACCCCTGATTCGTCCATCATCCTCTTTCCCATCCTGCGTTTTCCCACGATATCCGATTCCCATCACAGCCACCTCACCTACCTACCTACCTACCTCACCCAAAGGCAACCAACCCAACCCAACCCTCGCATCCCCTACCCATTCTTCCGTCTTCTTCCAACTATCCCCAGTCTCAGGGCGGTAATCATCACCACCCCCACTCAACCCCCCCTACCTTACACTCCCTCCTATCTTCTCTTCTTAGGGCACTCTCTCCAATCCATCCACGCAAGCCACTTTGACTCAGCTGCTTTGCACAGTATATTCGTATAATCCGCCATCCACTCATCATCCACTTCGTCTCTCTTTTCCTGCTTTCCCTGGTGGTCAATTTCATTCTCATTGCCCCTCTTGTCATGGGGTTTGGGTTTGTGGTGGCCAGGGCCTCCAGTCCCACTTGGCCTTCCCTTGCGCTTCCTCCTGGCTTCTAGGCCGAGGCGGGGGAGCAACTTTGTTGAGGCAATCGTTTCTAGGTCGTGCTTCAGATCCCGCTCGTGTGCGGTCGTCGAGGAGGAGGAGTCTTGGTCCTGGTCTTGGTCATCTTCTTCCCTCTTCTTGAGCTTCAGCTTGGGTTTGTGTTCGTCCCCGTCGTTGTTTTTGTTTCCCCCCTCCATCGGTAGCACCCACAGCTCTACATCCCCATCCTTATCCTCATCCCCATTCTCATCCATATCCTTCATGTTCTGCGCAGCCCTCTTCCCAGGCGCAGCTCCCGAAGCCGCAGTAGGCCTCAACGGCGCATTCGGGGCCACCGTCGTCATCGTAACCGGAACAATCACAAGTGGACCATCGTCCACCGGCCCCAGCGTCAACTCCTGTTCGGGCTTACCCCTCGCCTCCGCGTTGCCGTTCGCGTCCCCCTTGATCGTGCACCGCATCCCCGCGGGCACCTGCATTGCCGCCGTCCATTTCCCCGAAGCACACCGGTGGTACACGGTGCCGTAATGGGAGTTGGAGAGCAGGTGGCAGACGTACCAACCGTCTTGCGAGGCGGGGCAGTCGCCGCGGGGGGCGGATGTGCCACTGCCACTGCCCGCGACGGGGGCGGCGGTGATGGCGGGGGGGTTGGCGGCGGGAGGGGGAGGGGAGGCGGAGGCGGGGATGGTGGAGGTTAAGAGGGTTGAGGGGACGGAGGGAGAGGTAGCGGCGTCTGTAGGGGCTGAACAAGCAGAAACGGAAGAGACCGGAGGAGCAGCAACGGAAGAAGCAGGAGGAACAGAAGCTGCCCCTGTCGCTACTGGAGCGCCGCCGTCGACCGATGGCTTGGTGATGAAGACACCGGGTGCGAATGTGTTCCCGCTTACTGTAGGCGCACCGGTCACGGCCGTTGCGGTCTTATTAGCAACGGGATAAGGAGCCGTAGTCATGGCCCCGGCTCCGGTAGCTCCGGTAGCACTAGCACCGCCAGCAGCGGCACTCGTCACCGCACCACCCCCAGCTCCCCCAGCCGTGGGCTTCTGACACCCCTGCCCCGTAGGCGTCGCAAACGCCTCGTCTTACCATTCGCCTTCTCCACATCCCTTCCCGGATTAGGAAACAGCACATCCTTACTATCCGGCGTGCCACACCCGTTTCCAATATTCGCCATAAAGATATCCGGCAACCTTTCAAACGTCTCCTTCGCGCCCGGCTTATCCGTGCCCGTCAGCTGCACTCCCCCACAAGCCATGTACATCTCTCTATTCCCAATCTTGTTGAACCACGTCCAGGCGATGGTGCCGTTGCCCGTGGGGATGTCGTCGGGGATTACGTACTCGTACTGATCCGGGTTGACTTTCTCGGCGGATTCGGTCCCCCCGGGCCGGTTGCCGGGTTCGTTGCGGGCGATGCAGCCGCCTTCGATGGATTTGATCACTTTGAATTTCGATTGGGGAGTGGGCGGGTTGTCGTAGGTGATGGAGATCTGGCAGGAGCCGCCGCCGTGGACGGCGGTTCCTTGGAGGACGAGAGGCTGTTTGGAGCCGAGCGGGAAGATGTTGTAGCCGGAGGCCGGGAGTTGGTAGGTGGCGCCCGCACCGCCTTGGCAGGGGAAGGTGGTACCGTCTATGGGGCCGTTTTTTTGGTGAGAGGCGGCGTAGGGGATGGGGGTTGCCAGAATGGCGTGGGAGGCGACGAGGGGGGTGAACATCGTGAGGAGGAGGAGGAGGAGGGCAAAGACCTGCTTTGCTGCTGCTCCGGCTGTGGAGAGGGGTGAGAAGGACATCATGTTTGCTTTCGTGGTGAGACTTGACTTGTCGAGTGTCTGTCTGTCGAGTGTCAAGACTCGAGATGTGAAAGTTCTTGGCGGAGGAAGACTCGAGAACGAACTACAGTTGGAAGTGGCCTGCACTTTGTTAAAGTAGAAGAAGGGGAGGAAGGAACGTGCAGAAGGGGAAGACGAGGGATGCGCTCGAGGTCAAGGAATCCCAGCAAGTTATTAGTCGATGCATCTCACCCGTCTATGGTGAACAGTACAACTGCTCTCCCGTAACATGTCCCATGGCTGCTATTAGTTCCGCTCCATTGTACCTAAAAGCCAAGAGTCATTGTTCACAATTCCATTGTGCACGGCTGGGTACCCCGAAAGCTTGTTTCATGAACGCTCAATGGACGCGGGATGACGGGAAGTTCCATTGTCAGTTTGTCGAGGATGAAAGGGTGTTGCTTTGTTACCGCGAGGCGACGGACGGGTCGAGTAGGTTGGGAGCCGTGGTAGACCACACGTTCAAGTCTAGACCAACACGTGCTGACTGTGAAGGCGTCGAGTTCTTGTGTTGCGCCTCGCCGAACTATGTCATACAGGTGGCAAGCGGTTTGTTAACAATCTCAGTTTTCAACTCGTGATGTGAGGACGGGATGCATGGCTGGGCGGAAAGGGTGCACTGACCTAAGCCCAGATTCAGATGATCCCTCAAGGCCCGGGATGACACTCCGCGGTTGCTCATCCATCAAAGCAGAAACAAAGCAGTGAAACGGGTGTATGGGAATGTAAACGCTTTTTCTACCATGGAATGCAATGAGAGATACAGATTGTACAATGCTCGAACAGAAACTCACCACTAGAGGTAATGCTCCCACTGAATCACCACCCAAGCAACTCAACGACACTCCTCAACACCGCACCCACCTTTGCTCATCTGCCACCATTAAACATTTCCACGCTTTTCAATGTCTCCAACCCATCACTCTAAGTCCCTTTCTCCCTTGCCCGACGCCAAAAGTACGGGGTTGTGTCTCGTCGTCGTTCCCTTGGCGTCTTACCCCTCGCAAAATTCCATTCAAACCCCTCCCACTCCCCTGCCGCCTTCTCCCGCTTGAACACCACAACAAAGTCCTTCACCTTCAACCTGTTAGTCCCTCCGACTCCGCTCGGTATTAGCTCCGCCATCGGTTGGGCGAAAGTCATTGTCTTTTCTAGCCCGCCATTCTCTGGTGCTTTTTTGTCGTCCAGCTCGCGGAGTAAGTACCCGTAGCCGGTACCGTAAAGACGTAGGACTAGGCCTCTTTTCTCTGCGGTGATGGTGATGAAGACGTCCTGTGCAAATTCGTATCTGCCTTCAAGCCCTTCCGTATCTATTCCGTTTGAAGCTGGGTCCAGTTCACGGAACCGTGATGCAAGATGGTGTTCGTACCTCGCCAGATCGTACAAATAGTCAATTTGTATCGCTCTCGCCATTCTTTCCGTGTGTTCACAAGCCATCCTCACCGCCTCAACTAGTGATCCCGTGTCGTGGCGGGAGTCCGACTCGGCAAGAAAAAGACACTCAGCCAGCAACATGCCGCTCAGATTCGCGGCATCAAGCAAGAACCCTCTTGTGTTGCAGAGCACCACCACGGCTGTCTCGTGGTCAGGTAGCAACCAGCAGAAGGATGTGGCGCCGACCATGTTACCGCCGTGGTAGAGGGCGAGGTGTTTTTTGCTCTCGCTTGGGTCGGTGATGGGGGGCTTTTCGGTTTCGGTGTTGATCTCGGCGACGTGAGGTTCGGGCTTCGTGACGAAGAAGGTATAATCCAGGTCGTCGCCGTGGACCTTGCTCTGGATAGCGCTCTCTAGTCGTCTGGCGTTGTCTCCGTCTGCGCCTGGCCATCGTGGTCTAGGGGAGGCGTTTCGCTCTTCGGAAGTCAATGGCACGGTGACGGTATTCCAACCGCCGGTGTAGGTGCATGTTCTGCTGAATGGATCAGGAGAGAGTCTGCTCTCTATGTGGGCAAAGAGATGGTTCATGCCGCGCTCGAGAGGGGTACTGATATGGCCCGGGAATGGAAACAGCTTGCTACCCTGCTGCCGTTGTCGTTCGGCGTAGACATCCATAATCTTTCTGTAGAATTTGAGGAGGTCGGATGTCGTAGACATAATGCCTGCTGCCGCAGCGAGAGGTGATGGCCCCACAGCACCGGCGTTTGAAGCTTGCGATGGGAGAATCTCAACGGATTGTGGAATGTGGCCGTGGTGTCTCTCGAAGCATTTCGTGATCTTGGCCCTGCAGATTACCCCGTCTGCATCTGTGCATTGCAGGAGTTCCGGCATGATCCCCGGCACCTGAACCGAATGTGACTTGGCAAAGGTTCTGGACATGTCATTTCTCTCAGCTTCTGATAACCCGGCGAAGGTGTTGTGCATCGCGAGAGGTTCCAAGACCATTTGACGGACGAATTTTGCCCAGGAGTACCCAGTCTTCCTCTCGATAATTGCAGCTAACAAGGCAAAACACTCGTTGGAGTAATTCCGATTGTAGACGAACGCCTCATGAGACGTATAGGTGTCGTTAACTGGAAGATGTTGTAATAGGGATACAACCGGGTCTGTCGTTCTCCATGGAACATCACCATCAGGGCTCTCCCACAAGTTCGTCATCCATTGAAACGAGGAGCGGAGGTCTAAAAGGTCGCCAATGGTGAGCTCCTGCTTGGTGTATGTCTTCAGCATACCGGGACTGCCTTTGAGTTCCGGCAGGACAGCTGAAACACGGGTGCCGAAGTCCAGCTGGTACCTCGGAAAGTCATCCATCAGAATACCCACTGCAGTGGCGATGATTGGCTTCGTCATCGATGATATGAGGTAGACAGTCTTCTGATCCGGAACCGCGGTGACTCCCAGACCCCGGGCCCCCAAATTCAGGAAATGCTGTTTGCCATGGCGCAAGACTCCCATAGAAGCCCCCACACTTCCGGAATCTTGAAGCAGCCTCTCAATAGTTGGCTTAGTAAGAGTCAGGATCTCCTCCACCGACAGTGGCAGTGAAGGTTGCTTGGGAAGAGTCGCTGAGTAACTGGTGTCGTCGATGAGAGTACTTGTTGCCGATACTTTGGGTGAATAGGGGTTGTCGAGGGTCCGTATAGAGACGCTGTCTTGCCGATGGCGTCTAGGGACTTCAGACGTTGGTTGGTATCTGTTCGTATCCCTCTTTCCGATGGCTTCCTCATGAACAACCTCCGTACTTTCATGGTGAAAGCCAAACACTCGTGAAACAGCTAGGTTTGTGGCAGCCATGCATTCACCAAAAACCTCGCCAACGACGCCGGAGGTACGCGAGAAAAACCGGATTGTGGAGAGCCGTTGAAGTCATCGATGTGGTGGTAGAACTAATAAACAAATCGAATAACAGCCTCAGGAGCGGCCGGACAAGCCGCTGTCGTCGTGATGGCTTGGACAGTGAAGCATCGTGGCCATGGGAATGAGCGAGCTGGAGGCATATCAGTAATCAGTGCCTGGCAAGGGATACACTTGTGTATCGTGAAGGATCGCCTATTGTAGTAAGTGTAGCGTAGGTCCAGGAACACGAATGGAAGTTTGATGAGCCATCGTGATTGCTTCCCCCATGCATGTAGCCTTTTTGACAGGATTACTATCCAATCGGCTCAGCTTAATCACGATACGCAGCGGACAACATGCAAGATCCTGCAGCTACTGATGCCTCCCGCCGGTCGGACGCGCCCCCACGATTTGCGGCACCATGTCATGGCACCACCCTATCATGATGCGGCGGATGGTCTATTTCGCTGTATAGTCCTTTATAGAATGTGGGCGGCCGTCGGACTTGTGGGAGCGAGCTAACCGAAGCCGGTGAGAAGGTTTGGTCGTGCGGCAAGCATCCTTCCTTGGTTGCGCGAAGTGTGACTCCCTGGCTGGATGATCGGCCTAGGAAGGAAAGGGATAGGACTGCAATATGCCAAGGAGCTTTGGCGGCCTTTGAGGTGCACTGCCTGGTCCGTGGATCCCAAGGACATTGTTCTTAGGAAGACAGAGTCACCGTGGACTGGTCGAGACCAAAGTGTCCCTGAGGAGTAAAAGACATATGACCAGCTGAAGTGTCTTTTGCGGGACTCTCCATGCGGTGACATAAAGGCCAGTCTGCATATCAATCCAGTTCAGGGAGATACTTCATTGACGGCCCGACGGGTAAGATGGGATTATCAATGTGTAACGATACCTTAGTCTGTCGAAGGCGCCGGGAAGGTCCAGAAGGCCTTGGTGTTGAGCAATCTCGGGCAAGCCGATGGGAGACTCCAGCAAATTTCTCCATGATCAGATGTCTTCATGGCGGTATAAAAATGATGTGTCGTCCTTCGTTGGTGCTACGCCACGTTGGATGGAAGGATCCGCGCCATGATCGATGTCCGAATCGGCTGCCACCATTGCTTATCTTATGACAAGCTGCTACCCACACACGTGCCACACCAACTGCTGAGGGCGTTGATCAAGCGAGTGTACCGTAGTGTCAGTGGCACGGAAAGCACGCCGTAGCCGCAAGCCCGCAGCGACGCTAGCAAAGTCCCAGGGTTACATCCTGTTGTTGTAATCACTATTCGCTAGGGCTTCGCTAGGGGCCGAAGTGGTCGCCGAACATGGACAGTCCAATACGGCTCGCTTTGGCTAGGAAAGGCCGTTACAAAACTGTGGTAGGGATGACAATACCTTAACTTGAAAGCACATCGGCCAGAGTCACCTAGGGATTCTTCCATTCAGGAACTGCCCAGAAGTAAGTTTCAAAGGTAGGTATATTAAAGACGCTTGGATGCGTGATAAGAGTATACCCAAGGTGTAATGTACTGACCGTGACGTGTTCGGTTTATTCTTACGACCATTCGGGGGCGTAGCCCGCGGGCGTCCCAAGACGGCATCTTTCAGAGCTGAAAGGGCAGACCCGCGGCGCTGGTATTCGGCGCAATTGGTCCTTTGTCCAAGTATAAGAAAGCTGGAATGCTCCGGCTCAAAGCCTTAAAGCAGCCACGGGACGACAGCCAGGGGTGTTCCGTCAACCCTCCCGCCATCTTTGTCTTGCCCGTCTTGCCTGTATGGGAGTGGTTAGCAATGTTTTTTCACCAATCAGTCCACGCTCAGTAATGGCGTTTCATTTCCCACAAGACAAACCGGCCAAACGTCTTTTGGGGGCCTGGAGCTTTCACCGGTTTCCCTCTGCATATGGCCTCTTCCCGAAGGTGATTAGCCGTATTGTTGGCAACATCAGATGAGAGCTGAAGGGCCACACCGGACTGGCTGTCGTGTTGGAGGGAAGACGCGAGATTGGAGGCGGTGAAGGGCTCTGTCGACTCAACGACTCCATGATGTGCTTACCAGTCAGGCCAGTTAAAAAGGAACTCCAATCCCCATTCAGATATGGACGGCATTGTTGAGAGAGATAGGTCAACTGACCAACTTCGCCCCTCCGCTCCGTATAATCCCGAACAGACTGATCCTTCATTATTTGGAATTATCGGAGAAGCGTTGACATTGGTTGGTGATAGTTCATGGAGATGAGAGTCGTCGTTGATGCCTGCTGTCGAGTGCAGCTGCTGATGGATGCGATGTCGGGACCAGGAAGTTGTTGGTAAGAGTACTAAAGACGGAGGCGTCCGACAACGTGCGGTGTTGGTGGATTGGAGATTGATTGGGAACTCTATGCCGTCAGATTTTAGTGGTGGGGGACGATGCTCTGCCACATCCCGAAGTGGCCTGCAAGGTACCGACGTACCCCGCCGATGGCCCGAGACAAATGACCCACACATCCGTGAGTGGAGCCTCCGATACCCGCACCGGTCCGGAAGAGAAGTGGGGCGTGATCCGGCTTCCGGCATACAGCATTCAACTACCGTGTTGCTCTGAAAGAAGGTGTTTGGAATATGAAATTTGCTTAATTATCCATGCGCCTAGGCGTGACCAAAGCGCTAAAGAAATTGGCCAATCTCTTCGCTGCTGGGGGGGCACCGGAGGAAACAGCCCAGCCCGGTGCGGGGATCAACGGCGGGCGACATGGCCATGAACAGTGGACGATGTTTGAGGGAAGTGTAACAAAAAGATGAAAAATCAGAAACGCATTGGACATCAAAGGAAATGTCAAGCACTGCATGCACGTGCGACGGGAAACAGCTGGAGCAATGCAAAGGCCAGCCGGGCACCGGCCTGCAGGGGGGATTGACAACTGACAGCGCTCACTGGAATGTAATGTTTCAGTTCCCCGCACGACAGCCCCAGGTTTGCTTGGAAGATCACTGATTTTTCGATTCATAACCATGAGTAAACCAAAGACGAGAATGACAAACAAACGATAGATGGAAACAAAACCTTGCTACCCCGGAAAAGACAAATCATCCTCGCACGTCAGACTCCTCCACGGTCCGTCCCGATATGAGCCGCAACTGTGTTGAACAGCCCCCTCCACTCCACCCCATGCCCCCATCTCCGTGATCCCCCGCGTATCCTCTCACGGCTGATCCTCCTCACTCTTCTTCTCCTCCCCCGTATTCTTCCTCCTTCTGAACCACTTCGAGAACTGATACCGCACAATCCATCACTCCGAGTGACTCTTGCGGTCGCTAATCGGGGGGAACTCCTCGAACCACTGGCGGCGTTCGTGCCACTCCGAGTTGGGATCGTCCTTCATCTCGTCCACGAGCCTCTGTCTTCTGTTGAAGTACGTCTTGCCGAGGGCGTTGGCGATGTTGTTGAGATTGAAAACGACGGCGAAGGTGATGAGGCAGACGAGAGAGGTGGTTATGGCAAAAGGGATGCGGGTCTTGCTGTCTTCGATGTTGGGTACGGCCCAGAGTGCCTGTTGGAGTTCAGGCATTGTGTGAGCAGGCACTCGTGATTATGGGGGGTTGGGTGAATTCGACTTCGGGACTTACTGCGCAGAATCCCAATGGGAGGTAGAAGATGCTGATGTAGGTGAGGAGTTGGACGTTCTGGCCTAGTCGAGTTGAGGAACGGCTTTCTATGAGAGCGCTGGCGTTGAAGAGCTGTACGTGCGAGAACGCTGTCAGTATGGGCAGCCAAAGGGACGGGAATGAAATGGACATAGACCGTCTTACCCCGTCACGAAGTGTCTGCACCACGCCAATCTTGGCTCGGAACTCCGCCTGGATATCCTCCAAACCTTGTAGAACACGTTCACCTTTCTTCAGAAGTTTTTGGGCAATCTCAAACTTCTCTTCCCAGCCTGGGGCCTTATCCTTTGACGCCGCTTCAGTGCTCCAATCGGGGTCGATTCGGGCTTCGCAGAAGAACTTCCATTGCTTTTGCGTGTCGTCAAGACTCATGATAAACTCGTTGAGGCAGCTGATGGTCCAGAAATAAAGCCTTGATCTACTAAGCTTATCGTCGTCGAATATCAAACGTGTATAGGCTTCGGAATCCATGAAGTCTTCGTCCAGCAACCCATCGAAATACCTCTGCAAGGTTTCCCACCTACTTTCGACAATCATCAAACAATCAACGATGATATAGAGTTCCGCTAGAGAAGCATCGTCGAATGGAAGCATGCGATAGAATGATCTATTATACTTGAAGCCCGTTGGAGTGAGTACCAACGTCGTCCAATAATTCTTCATGGACTGTGAGCAATCGGAGCTGCTTATAGTGTCGTCCCCAGTCTCGGATATCTACACAGAGTGGACGTGAGTAGGGGTGTCATCATTTCATGAAGCTCCAAAGTATGAGATTGTACATACCTCGGGAACCGTCTGTCTCTGTACCGTAAGAATCTGCGACCGGTATTAGCAGAAAGAGGGCAGGCACATAGAAACTTAGAAGACATGCCGTGACTGCACTGTGACGAAAAGCTCTCGCGTTCAAATCTTGCTTCGTGTCGTCAGATGTGCTATGTGCCCTTGAAGCAGTCGATCCTGTGTCTTGCCTTTCGTACAGCGTTCCGATCCTTCTATTCTCCTTGTTGGTAGCCATAAAACTGTGTTTCTTGCCATTCAAAAAAATATTGACGTCCGTTAGCTTCTCATAGAACGTTATATGGAAGGGTGGTCTTATCTGATAATTGCCCTCTGTGTATGGGTTTGTTACCCTGCTTCCCCCTCTTCGCTTGGATTCTAGATGCCGCTGAATCGCTTTCGCTACTAAGTCCTCGCTGAAGTCCCAGGGGGGGAGCACAAGTCTACGGGCGTTGATGTTGTAGCCACATCTTTTAAGCCCTCAAGAAGACTAATGTTGAGAGACGTGGTAGTTAATATCGGTCATCGGTGACGTAAAGCGTTAAAAGAAGCTGAATACGAACATCACTCTGTTCCATGCAGCGGTACCTCTGCTGGTTGGAAATGTATCGTTTGGACAATCTTTTAAAGGATGCCAAAAAGGGTACAGATCTCCCTTATCTAAGCGCCGAAACGAAGTCAGCATCAGAGCATTCAGAAGGCCCAACGTTCTCAGGTACTCACTTTTGGGTTGTGTGATACCATACACATGCCCTTCAAATGACGAATAACTGGTAGCAACTATGATGTGTTTGACGTAGGAGACATAACGACTTGTATTCTCATCCGGCGAATGAAGAATTCGTGGGCTAAAGTCCCAGACCCCAAATTCCCCATGTTTCAGAAAGTCCACGAGAAAGCACGAAAGACGACGCACTTCTTCCTTCCCTTCCTTGGCCATGAATTGTTGGCGGAGGGTATTGGTGTCCGTAGATGTATCTACGGCCTCCGCTTGCAGCGACCCTTCCCTTGTTGGTTTTCTTGTCTGCCAACGTAGTCCATCCAAAATTTGTCTCCACCAGAGGTTATAGGCAAGGTCAATCCTTCCATCTTGGGGAATCATGCGTGCTACTTCGAACGGGTGGAGCTTGATGCCATTTTTTTGCCATTCGGAGCGGGCAGACTCGAGGACACTTTCATAGAATTCGGGATAGTACAAGGGTGTCGGGCAGTATGGGAACTTGATCCGAGGGAGACTGACGCGGCCGTAACTCGGAGGTTTAAGAACGGGTTCAATGTACAGGCGCGTGAACCATTCTATTGCAGGAATGGCGGCATAATGATAATATCCTTGGTATTCCTATGCGCCAAAGAGCACTTCGTCAATATCCGTTGGCATTCCTCGCACAAAAGAGTGTCCACTTACTTGCTACAGTAAAATCGCACTCGCGTAAGTAAGGGACGTCATTAGGAGGGTATATCAATTGTTTTCTTACAAAATTAGGCTTCAAAGCGAACAATGATTTTTAAAGATTAGCAAAGATCATTCAGGGGCTGAAAGTGATTTTGGATTGATTACTGGATAATCGTCTGGCCGGTACTTTGACTGTTTCCTGGAGTTGAACTCGTTCTACCATGGGTCAGCAACACAAGTAAATGAAACTTTCAAGTGTACCTCCGATGATGGTCTATATAGTTTGTGTCCTGACTGATTTCCTCTCCTGTCGTACTGACCTCAGGTGGAATTTGCCAAGGGCTCTCTTCAGGCGGCGAGCGCGAGGGCTCCGCGTCTTTATTGAGCTTGCTCTCGTTGCGTCGCCCTAGGCGAAACGGCGACATGGTCGATGATGGGACGGAGCGAGGGGGATATGCTGAAGGAAGGGTATCACCTCGCGGGTTGGGCGCGCTGGTTGTTAAGTTGAGTAAGGGTGAGATGTGGAAGTCATATGTTTTTGTATCTCGACAGTCGAAGGAGCGGGGAAGCGATGATGATCTGAGCTGCATTTGATACAGTACATTTTGAGATTTGGTGCCTTACCGACACGGAGGTCGAGCAGGCGCCCGTCAGTGAAATGGTCCTCTGGTGTTTGTGATTGGTGGGGAGAAGCTCGTTTTGACCTGGATCCGAGTCAAGTCGCCCTGGTCGCGGATGGCTGGCGCTTCGCGCTTGCCCTTTCGATGTTCTTCTGCTTGCATCATTCACGGCGCTTGCCATATCGTCATTTTACCGGCTGCAATACTCTTCCACATTAATGCTGGGCCCACTTGTTGTCGAGGATCTCATCGGAAGACGATGCATTACTCCTGATCACAGCGGAATTCGAAACCCAAAAGCTGCAGCCATTCTATTAGGAGGATTATATTCGATGCGCCACACGCCTGACTACAATCCAGCCCTGGTTTGCTTGTTAGCTTGGTACCAAAAACGCCAAAACCTTGCTGGAAATAGGAAAGCGTTCGGCTTTCTCTCAGGTGGATGCCGTAGACTGAAATCTTTCAGTTTTGAATGCTTCTTAAGGACTCCGAAGGAGACGGAGAGAGGCATAAGAGGCATCTGTGGCGTGTTGAACCCTTGCCATTGTCCCATGCCGCTTCAAACGGAGGCCAGTTTCTCTCTGAGGAGGCGAATGAGAGCTCCAGATCTCCCCTGTTCAACCTTTGGCCGAGTAACCAAACTAACAAACAACCCAGTATTGAATTGTACATGATCATTCGACGCCTTGATAGTCTCCTCCGCTATCACTAGAACTGTCTCCCACTTCAGCTCATATAGCCGCCGGATATTGTACGTCGTAAAATCCGGGTACAGGAGAGCGCTCACCTTCGCCGGCCCGCCTCTACTATGTATAAGCCAACTCCGTCTGGTTGAGCTTAATCTCAGCTTGGCTACGAGATCTCGGGGCGGCGGTTCTCCTTTTGGAACATCAGCAGCAACTAAACCTGGAAGTCATTCCACCTCCCGATCCCTCCTTCTCTCCACCTTCTTCTTCTCCGCTGCCTTCTGGGAGTGCGTCACTGTGCTTTGTTCAATTCGTTACATTCAAGATGTACAAAAGAGATACATTCGATAACGATCGGATGACCAACCCCCAGATTACGTACAGATTCGAAATCCAGCACTTATAGGAGTCGGTGGACATGCCTTCATCACGCCCTCGACGCCAGCAATCAGATCTCTCCCATCAGCACCTTGACCGTGCTGCCACTGAACTCCGGAAAAGGACAACGCAAAAAGCTGCGCACCTGCCATTATCAGAGGCGGGTTGATCACCGCAGCGCCAGCGGCCACAACTCCCACGCCTGCCAGGACTCCAAGTAGTGGGAGCACGTTCCGCTTGAGGAACAGCCTCACCCTTGCCCATGTTCCGGCTGCGGGAAATTCTGCAGTGGCAAGGCCCTTGGCGCTGTCCATCTTGGGTTCAAGCCGACTCAGTCTCTGCTCGAAGGCTGACAAACGATTGTCAATGTCGCTGATCATTTTCTTCTCTTGTTCCACTTCCTCCCAGATTCCCTGATACAACTTCTCATACTCACTCTTCTTCTGGTCAAAGAGATCTTGCTGGCTGACGCGAAGCCTCTGTTGGGAAGTCTCAGCTCTATTGAGCTCGTCCATCAAACGATTCACCTCCGCTTCACCCTCTTTGAGCTCTTCTCGTGTGAGATCGGACGCACTAAGAAGCTCAGACCTGAGGTTGTCGAGTTCCTGCTTGAGCTTCTGACATCTGTCTCCGTAATGCTTCATTATTTCACACCCGGCTGAGGTACTGTCTAGGGGTCGCTTCTCGTCGACCAATTCGCGTTGGATCTGAAGAACTGGCGAGGAGGTGTTTCGAAAGCTCGTCTGGATAACCTCCCGAACAATAGAGCGGGCTGAGGCCTCACTTCCGAGCCATCTGTATGATTGGCTGCCGTGCTGGCGCATGGAGCCCCAGAGATTTGAAGTGTACTTCAGTTCGTTCTCCCGGTCATAGGCAGCCAGGTCATCCTTTGAACTGCGCAAGGCATCCCACTTTGTGGTTACCAGAGCAGCGCATTTCAAAGCTTGCGGACCACATAAAGCTCGAAGAATGTTGAATGTTTTCAGAGCCGAACCACTGACTCGGTTGTCGGTAATGGGTTGAAGATAGAGGATGCCTCCCAAACGAACGTTTCTGAGGTGGAGCTGGCCAAGGAAAAAGGCAATGTCCTTCAAAATCTCCACGTCTGAGAGTTGGGTGTCGTTAAAGCCAGGAGTATCCGCCACAAAGATTCGCTGACCATTTTCGACGCAGCTGTAGAGGTCAAGCGAAATGGTGCCTGGATTGGGCGTAATGGTCAGCACTCTGGATTGTGCGGGATCCTGTACGTGATATTAAACATACATGATGTGAGATTATGACCGACGCCAGCGTCCTCTCCGGTCAATTTCGAGACAAATTGACTTTTCCCGCTGCCCGTCATTCCCACGACGAGAATGACCACATCCGATGGACCCATAAGGTGGCTTGTTCTGCGGGGCATGTTTGTGATGATTGGATTAAATGAATTAGAATTAAGGTAAGCGAAACAGCAGAACCAGCTGCAGTGCAAGGAACGTGTGTGATGTTGGAATGGGTGGACCTGGGTTAGGTGAGGGATGATGTCTGTAACATATCAGAAAAGAGAAGCTGGGAACTGATGACTGACCGATCCAATGCTGATGTTCTGTAACCTTAACATATGAAGGGTCCGGTTGGCAACTTGAGCCGCATTGTGGGGATTTGTTGTTCTCCAGTTGGGCTCACACTCCAATGCCCTATGAACACCCATTTTTGCCGAGGGGTGCTGGGTCGGGCATCATCGAGTAACATTGTGCAAGCCGTTGTTGAGCCGCAATTGCGTGGAACAATCCTCGCCAATACGCTGTACCTGACGACTGTCGGCATGCATGCTCTGAAACCATCGGGCGGCCACCCAACTACCCTGACCCAATCAGTCGTGATGCACGAAGATAAAAACAAGGCTTGCAAGTGGTGGAAGCGTCGGATGGGATAAGCAGGCTGTGAAAGAGACCTGGAAAAGAAACTACCTTGGCATGTTGGACTATTTTGATCCAGAGCGCGATTGGGCCTCAAGCATGCGCTCGCTGCGGCTATCGCGTGATGGGCTTTTGGGTTTGAGATTGGGAAATTGGAAGCCTAAGAGAGCCTTGCTCTGCTTGACACAAGATCCGGACAGCTTCTTTGAACGATCCAACTTCTGCCTGGGAATTGCATAATAACCCTCCGGGACGGCTCACTTGTCACAAATTCTTCATCGATAACTTTACGCCATGCGTTCATAAGGCTCTGCTCTGCTTCCTTCGTTTTCACTTGGACACCTTCCCTACTGTATACCACGTAACAGGTACCAGGCTGCCGATCCATCATGTCGACCATCAGCGAGTCTCACCATGCCACGAAGTTTGAACCTCGTCCCACCGATATCATTGTGGCAGTGATGGGAATGACTGGTTCGGGCAAAAGCACATTCATCTCCCATTGCGTAGGAGTGGATCTTGGCATTGTCGGCCACGGTCTCCAAGGATGTAAGTGCAGTCACTGAAATGAAACTCATCCTGGTTGCTTAGACTAACAGATGGCTCGTTTGTAAGACACACAAGCGGTTGGCTGCTATATGTTCCCTTATTCGGAATCTGTCAATGTGTATCTCGTCGACACGCCCGGCTTCGACGATACCAACCTCACAGACAGTGAGGTTCTCAAGGCCATCGGTGTCTGGATGGGTGATACCTACTCCAAGAATATCAAGCTCAACGGCATTATATACCTGCACCGGATCACTGATCCTCGCATGGTAGGGTCAGCCAAGAAAAATTTGTTCATTTTCAAAAAGCTGTGCGGGCAAAATGCTCTCAAGCACGTCACCCTGGCCACCACTATGTGGGAGGCTGTCCAGCCATCAGATGGTGAGCGCCGAGAGCGCGAACTGCTTGAAACCCAAGAATTCTGGGGATACATGCAGTCAAAGGGTGCCGATGTGGAAAGACATTACAATAACCGAGAGTCTGCCATGCGAATCCTCAGCAAGTTCTTCACAGAAGAACAAGTCGTCACAACCCTGCAAAGAGAACTTGTGGAAGGCAAAAAGGAGGTGTTGGACACGGCAGCTGGCATGGAGTTAAACAGCGAGTATCGGGTGATGGAAGAAAATTTGAAGAGGGAGTTGCAGAGAACGGTAGAGGATCTGAAGGAGGCTCAAAAGGCAAAGGACGAAGAAAGTGCAAGGGAGTTGGAGAAATATCGGAAACAGGTAGACGACAAGATTGCGCAGGTTTTGCGGGATCGAGAAGATCTGAAAGTGACACTGGCCAAGATGCTCGCCACCAGCACCTTTCCCATTGTTAGCGCGCCAGGGAGCTTCAATCATGGTGCTAGGGGACCCGGCGGCGCTGGTAACGCAGGGCGAGCAGAAGCAGGAAGGCCAGGGAACCCAGACTCGGAAGTGAGCGGATACGGCGTGGGGGGGGGCGTCGAAGAGCCCAGCAGAACCGGAACGCCAGCACCACCGTACCAGCCAAATGGGCAGCCTATCAACAGACGGTTAGTTCAATGAACAAGAGGAGACGGAGTAGCACTTTCCGTGGATGTTCGTGGCTAACTGTTGGACTAGTGATCGGTCTCCCGCGCGTCCGGTAAAAAAGCGTGAGTTGCTCAAGGCAATGTTTGGAAAAGGACCAAGATTGGTGGTACCGGGAGAAGAGAGGGCGTAGTAGGAGACGGAATGTCGGTAGGTGAAGGGAAGTTGTGGCTGTTCGGGCATTTCGGCGTTGTTCCTTTGAAGTCTTGTACACTAGGGTGGGTATGTCGTGGGAGGTTTGCTGTGCTTTTTGTCGCTCGTTTGCGTTGTTCATTGAGAGCCAGAAATGATGAGGAGCGAAACATAAGTGCCCCTGGGTGATTGAAGAATAGAAGAATGAAGAGGAGAAGTGGAAGAAAGAACCCAAGTGACTGCATCGTGTTGGAAAGCGAATTGAAGAACCAGAACAGACCGTGACCCATGGCCAATGAACCCATCGTGCTAGCCAAACTCGTGAAGAACCTTATCAACGGGCAAGAACCGATCACCAAAGCTTCCATCTGGAAAACACTCCTTCCATCCAAGTTCAGACGCTCCTTCTCCGACAGCAAGCTGTCGTCGAAAGTGGAGTTATGCCAAGCAACAAGTGACAGGACGGGGAAGCAGTCGTACCTTTTTCTCGGTCCATGATCCTTGCCGCTTGTGTCTCAATGCTCGACAAATCAGGGACTCCGGAGTGAAAACCATTGAGCGTATGTGCAGCGCAGGCAAGCGAGACGAGCCATCCATCCATCCATCAGCACTAAACGGAAGCGAGGACTGTGACAGCAATTGAAGTGCGGGGGTGAAGAAGCCTGTTGGAGGTGGAAAGGCGACAACGGAAAAGGTCTTGGTTCTGATGTGTGGTAACGGAAGAAGAGAAACGGAAACGAGGGCAGCCTCGAAATTCTGGAAGGGAGTGCCGTAACGGTAAATGCGCGCCAAGGGCACGGACTTCCATCAAGTCCAGCTGTCCCTCCGTCCGCCACAAGAGAAAGAATGGAAAAAGAGAAAATGAGGTAGATAGCAAAGGAGGTGGAGGGAAAGAGACGAGAGCCAGGATGAAAAGGAACAGTCCCGAGCGACCAGATCAAAAATACCACAAGAACCACAAGAACCACAAGAACCACAAGAACCACATACCACATATGAATACACAAACAAACAACAATAATAACACATGCCACCTATAACCCCACAGGAACGCCGAAGGGACATAACGAAGATACCTACTGTAATCGTACATTACCTCTTTCACTCACATCCCTCTTCACCTCCCTCTTCACCTCCCTCTTCACCTCTCTTTGCAGCTCTCCCTCGTCACCTCCCTCTTCACATCTCCCAGTCCCCCGTCCCAGTCTCCGCTCACTTCGACAAAAACTTCTGAAAAGCCGACTGATCAATAATCACGTTACCCACAGCCCTCAACCTCTTCCTACCGGCCTTCTGCTTCTCCAACAGCTTCCTGCGCCTCGTGATATCACTAGCGTGCAGCTTAGCCAACACGTCCTTCCTGAACGGCTTGATGGTTTCGCGGGCGACGATACGTCGGCCGGCAGCGGCTTGGATGATGACCTCTGTTTTTTGTGTCGTTAGCACCTCTCTCCCTTGAGAGAACTCCAAAAATTCGAGCGAAGCGAGGAAAGAAAGAAAAAAAAAAAGAAAACGCAGAAGGGAAAAGGGGAAAAGAACATACCAAACATCTGCCGATCCACATGCTCCTTAAACTTAATAACCCACTGCCTCCCCAACCTCTCCACCTGACTAACATGGACAATCCTCGCCACCGCATCGACCGCCTTCTTATTGACCAGCAAATTCAGCTTGACCAGCTGCGCCTGCCTCCACCCGGCATCCTCATAATCCAGCGTCGCATACCCCTTCGTCGCGCCCTTCAGCTTGCCAAAGAGGTCATCGACCAGCGAAGCAGCGGGCAGCTCATACTTGAGAATGACCTGCGTAGCGGTGAAGAATTCTAGCGACTTTTGCACGCCGCGCGCGTTCTCGCAGATTTCTATACACCGGCCTACGTATTCCTCTGGTAACGTGACGGTGGCGTTGACAAAGGGCTCGTAAAGCGTGGCGGAGCGGATGCGGTGGTCGTCTGGGTCGGGGAACTCGGCCGGGTTGGTGACGATGACTTCTTCGCCGGTGGACCAGACGATCTTTGTAGGGACGGCGGGCTCGGTGATGATGATGCTGGCGCCGTGTTCCTGGCGCAAGCGGTCTTGGAAGACGGAGCAGTGGAGAGAGCCCAAGAAGCCCAAGCGCCAGCCGGCGCCCAGCGCTTCGGAGTAGTCCTTTTGTAAAGTGACGGAGCGGTCGTTGAGCACGAGGTGGGAGATGGAGTCGGCCAGCCGGCCGTAGTCGTCCTGGTTGGTGGGGAAAGCGGCGACGAAGACCATGGGTTTCGGCTCCTCGAAGCCGGGGCATGGCTCGACCATGTCTTCGCACCCGACGTTGGTGAAGGTATCGCCTAGCTTGGCGTCCTGGATGCGCTTCATGCCGGGGTTGAAGAAGACGTAGCCGACTTGGCCTGCCCTCAAAACCTTCTGGGGCACGGCGTCGGGGTACTGGATGCCGACTTCGCCGACGATGTACTCGTTGCCCGTGGCGAAGGAGTAGACTTTATCGCCCTGCTTGAGCGTGCCGTCGAAGAGACGGACGAGCAGGACGACGCCCTTGAAGGTGTCGTACCACGAGTCCACCAGGAGCATGCGCAGCGGCTTCTTGGCGTCGCCCACGGGAGCCGGCACGTTCGAGATGACCGCGGGCAGGATCTCACCCACGCCTTGACCGGTCTTGGCGCTGACCTTGACGGCCGTGGAGGTGTCCAGCTCAAAGACGGTTTCCAGCTGTTCCAACACCCGCGGCACATCGGCGCTGGCCATGTCGATCTTGTTGACGACGGGCACCAGAGACAAGCCCTGCGCAAAGGCGAGGTAAAAGTTGGCGACCGTCTGCGCCTGCACACCCTGCGAGGCGTCGACCAGCAGCAGGGCGCCGCTGCACGACGAGTAGGACCGTGTTACTTCGGCGCGGAAGTCGACGTGGCCTGGGGTATCGACAAGATGGAGGAGGTAGTCGAGGCCGTCCTTGGGGTTCTTGTAGATCATGGTGCATGTCTGCGCCTTGACGGTGATGCCGCGCTCGCGCTCGACGTCGAGTTTGTCCAAGACCTGCTTGTTTCCATCGCCGGCCGTGATCGTTCCCGTGTGCTCCAACAGCCGATCGGAGAGTGTACTCTTGCCGTGGTCGATGTGGGCGACGATACAGAAGTTTCGGTAGCGCTCGAGCGGAATGGCGGCGATTCGTTTCTCGATCTCGATCGCCTTTCTCTCGAGGGGCATCTGGGAGGTAGCTGTCGTGCTGTTGTGTCTTCGCGCGGGAACGGGGGTGAAGGGCACCAGTAGTCGGGCGGTCGTCGGGAGGAGGAGGGAGCTGCTGAGCGGCCTCAGAGCTGGAGGGGGTCTGGTTCGGTCATTCTGGCGCGATTCGAGGCTAGCTAGCGAGGAGAAGCCAGCTCTACCTGGCAGTGTCCTTGGTGGTTGTTGACATGATGTCGTGATGGAGGGAAGACGACTAGGAGGCAGACGAGGCAGACGCGCGCAAGGCCTCAGACATGGCCGCATCAGAACGTCGGGACGACAGGGCGCACCACGCATTCAATTGGACGTCACCGGGTCATGAAAGAAAGTGGTTGAAAGGAATCGGTATGGATTGGTCGCAAAATGAATCGCGACTCGCACTTGGGAGAGAATGGATGGCGGACGGCCTGGGATACAGTGGCCCACTGCGAATCCTCTGGACGCTGCCGCCGAGTCCCAAAATTCGTCCCGCTCCAAAAATCCCCGAGCTCTTATCTTATCGGACCCTGATGCTCGGCAGGGAGTCTGGAGCTCAAGTACAGGTACTTTGCGAGTTTCGAAGCAAGGCGCAATAAGCGGAGGCGCTGGGAAAACCAAGGTACTGGTACTTCCTTCGGCTTGACATCCGACCTCCCCAACATGAGCAGGTAGATGTAAACAAACTACCCCTTTATAGAGACAACAGCGCAACCGCGAAACATGCTTAATACTTTATACTTTATTCACTCTGCTTCACTTCGAGAATATCTAATGCAAGAGTTCTTCAACAGCACTTTACATGGACAGTCATATCTCACATTCCTCCAATCACCCCCCCTGATGCTACTTTCTTCCGCCATCCGTCTGTAGTCCGCTCTCTTCTCCCTCCGCTTTCTACCTCTCACTCGTTCTAATCATGACTACCATTGACCGACCGCACCTCATCCGCCAATTTCCAACCACTTTCCGTTACCAACGTCTTTCGAAACTTTCTTTATCCCTTTCTTGCTCTTTCTCTTTCCTCATGATTATGTATAACATTTCAAAGCAGTATAGGTATCAAGAAGAAACACAACAACAACAACAACAGCGAAAAACACATATGTCCACGGTGAGTGAAGTTTAACAGACAAGCCAACCGGGGCTTCTTCGCACATCCCACCCATCCCACGCATTCCGTTCCCATCGCCCGTCCACCCATACGAAGCTTCCACTCCCTGGCCCTTCCCTGTCCTCCCAGTTTCTCTCTCCTCCCATTGTACCACCCCGGCGTCCTTCCATCCATACATACTCCAACACCCACCCTGTTATCAAACCCACGGATACGAGTAGAGTATATCCACACTCCCTTCCCCGCTGCTCCTCTTATGCTTGGGTCCTGCCTCCTAAACAAGCACCCACTCGCTTCCTCTCTTGAGGAACTTATCCAGCATCAGCGTGAGGTCCGACAAGACGAACCGACAAATGTAAAGCGCAAAGAATTCCGCCGCATGCCTAGTGCTGAGCTCGAGTCCCACCTGCGTCTTGTCGGCGTGCCGGAGGCCTGGGTCTTCGACTTGGCGAGCGATTTGGTCTGTGTTTTCTTTCGTTAGCAGACTGGCAAGGGAGGGGGAAAGGGGGAAGAGACAAAAAGACATACCAACCAACTGAGCCGCATCAAACAATCTCGCCAACGAGCTCATATAATTCGCATTAGGCCCCTGGAACAGCACGTTCCCCACGTCTCTCTTCATCGGCCGGTTCGTCGGGTGCGTCGTCATCGGCAGACTAGGGCAGATGATATCCTTCCCTGTTCCCTCGATCGGTGTCGACGCCACACTACCACTCGTTCCACCCGCACTACTGCTTCCCTTGCCCAGACTGACCAGGTTCGCCGAGCTGTTCTTGCTTCGCAACCTCCTCCACGAGAAAGCGCTAGTCTTGGCGCTCACGCTTGCTGACCGTGGCATGGACCCATCCTCCGCATGTACTGGGTCCTTGAACGAGGTGGCGTGGGGTCCGACTTCGCTGGCGCCAAGCTTCTTGACTAGGAACTTCTCGACCGACTCGATCACCGTTTCGAGAGCTTGCATCTCCTCCAACACGGCGTCCGCGTCGCACGTGTCCACCCTGGCAAGCTTCTGTAGCGCGGCAGTCATCAGATCACACTGCGAGATCTTCTCCTCGATGTACTTGAGTTTTACACCCTTGACTCTCCACACGTCCCGTGGGACAAACAGTTTGTTGCTGATGTACCCTCCGCGTGGGTGGCAGAGGGTCTGGTACAGACAGCGCATGAGCCAGAACGGTCGGAGCAGAACATCGCTCGGGCAAGGCTCGAGCGGTGCTGGCGCATCAGCGAGCATTGCGTCCGGCGATCCAGGATCATTGGCATGAGAGTGGAACTCGGCATCAAACAGATACATGCCCGCTGTTCCGACAGCTGTGTCCGACCTTTCTCGGAACGTTCCAGCCATCGGTGTCGGCATGGATGGAATCATTGGCAGGCGGGTTGTTGAGCCACTTATGCCGAACTGGTTGCTCACTGGCGTGCCAGGAGACATATCCGACACATCATCAATATGCGATACCGAGAGGTTGCGATGGGACTTGGTACTCCGCAAGCTTGATGAAGAGAAGGTCTTCTTCAGACGATGGTCGTCCTGCAAGTAACTCATCGGCAAAGGAGGAGCTCCCCCTTCTCCGAGGGATGGGGAAACCACTCGCCGGGCGGCAAGAGGATTAGCGGAGCGGTGAGGACCAGCAGACAAGGCTTGTCTTTGTTGTACAATGTAATTGTTCGATCGTGCTGGTTGTGGTGGGAATGCTGGCCCGGCTGTGGTTGGTCCCGGCTGAGCAAGCTTCGTGGTCTCGATCTTCAGCTGCTTCATGTTTTGACCAGACAGACGCCGCTGTCTTACGCTCTGATTCGAAGCCCCTGATCCCGAAGTTCCTGGTGGTCGATCTACAGGTAGCTGAGGCAAGGCACCCGCTGGCGGAGGCGGTAATGGGGGTAACGGCCCCTTGGGTTCCGGATTTCTCGGGCTCTCGCTCACCGGAGTAAGCATCGTCGTCGAAGTATTCTGGTTGGACCCTGTAGTAGAGCTATGCCATGTGCGATTCGTTCCCCCGCTGGAGTCGGACTCTCGAGGAACCGGTTGCTGCTTGTTTCCCCGTCCAAACGCGAAGTCCTCGATCTGGTACCCATTCGTCATCTCCTCCAGAAATCGTTCCTCCTCCTCCGAGTCATTGCCCTCGTCGTAGAAGTCATCGTGCCCTGTCCAACCTCTCTTTCGGTACTCCTCATCCTCCAACTGTTGTTGTAGCCGTAGTTTCCTCTCCCTTTCGTTCGCCAACTCGAGCGCATCCCTTCCCTCATCCCGTACCCGGTCTCTTCGGTATGAGCTTCCCGTGACAGTATCAGACCCATCTCTGTAATACTGGGGCTCCGGCTCAAATCCCTCGTCGTACGCAGCTTCTATAGCATCGTCCAACGCAGCATCAAACTCGGCTTCCGTATCCCCACTGGCGGCCCGGATATGCTTCCTTCGTATTCCTGTCGATGAGGATCGCGAGTGTACCGAAGACGCGCTAGATCCACCGGATTCCTCGATAGGATCAAGCCATGATATCGACTCGTGGCTGGGATCCCTCTGATGTCCACCATTAGTGTTGTAATTCCTCGGAGCAGCCTGAGCGCCAGACATGGAATAGTCAGATCGGAACACTTGTTGGCAAGGGGCATCCTTCTCGGGCGCCGGTGGAGGTGGTGGTGGCTGAGCGGGTGATAAAGGTCTCCGAGGCAATAGTGGCGGTGGCATGTAAGCATTATCCATCGGTGACCGAAGGTTCGAGGCCTTCTCATATCGCGCCCTAGAAAACGAAGACTGCAGCGAGTATTGCTCGCTAAGGTAGGAAGTAGGACCATTGGAACCCCCTGGTGTCTGGAGAGTTAACGTGGGTGGTGCTGGCGGTCTACCCGAGGGTGGTTGTCGCCTGAACTGAGTCTGGACAGACAGGTTAGGCTCCCGAGTACGGCTACGTTCCCGAGTGTAGGTCGAGAGCATTGGCTCGTCGTCAGACACTTCTGCATTGTAAGCCTGAGCACGCAGGTATCCCCCTTCATCATAGCTTCCGGGCTCCTCTGGAAGTGCCTTCTCATCCAGACTGTCACCGAGGATCTCGTTAAGTTCGTCAATTCTCCCCACGTATGTTTGATGCTGTTGACATGGTTGGTATCAGTGGTTCAAAGCTCATTCAGGGCAGTAACATGCGAGTCACGTACAATAGCTTCTAGTTTCCTGCGATCCTCCTCTGCCGAAGTTCGCTGCAATACCTCCTGTAATAGGTGGCAAGCTTCCATGTAGGCCCTCCTAGCGGCCTCAAAGTCTTGCCCATTGTCGAGTTGTACTGCGGCGTTTGCCTTTGACAGTGCCTCGGAAAGCATTGCCTTTTTGTTGGAGCGATGGCGATCGCGATCGCGATCTCGGTTTCGGTTTGACGCAGTCGAGTCGGTACTTGGCTTTGCGCCATGCGACCTCCCTCGCGATTGCCCTCGGGGGTCGCCGTTTTGTGTGTATGGGGGCATCATGTGGTCCGGCGCGAGTTCTGCAGGAGGTAGCAACCCCGCTGCTTGGTGTGACCGTGACAACGATCCTGGTGTGTCTTGTAGTATCTGCGGAGCACCATCCCAGAACGTGGTGTTGTCGTCAGGAGGCGGCCTAAGATAATACCGCCTGGGTGGTACCGGTGATTGCCTCCCAATTTCACTGGCCTGGTGCCGAAATTCCTCTTCCAACGAAGGCCCGGCCGAAATGCGCGGCAGGCTAGGTAAGGGCGGGACCGGATGAAGCAGGGGTGAATCACTGCGGCCTCGGAGGTGGCTGACAGAGCGCGGAGAGATTTCTGACGTCGAGGGTCGGCGTTTGTGTGACTTTTGACCAGGTGAGTCTTCCCTCTCTTTCCCACTATCCCTCCCAATGCGCCAACTGGAAACACCACCGTTTGAGCCTTTACTTGACGCGGACGAGACAGACCAGCGATTGAGGTTCCTAAGACGATCGCCTATGCTACTCGAGCTCCCAGATCGCGAACGACCTCGCTTGTGCGACGGAGGTTTTAGGCCTTTGTTCGAGCCTGGTGATGTTGGGCCGTGGAGTTGCGGCTCATTGAAGGATTCTAAAATGTCTTGGGACGGTCGCGAGTCGGTCGACGGTGGAAGACTGAAGGTCGATTGATTATGTTCGGCGGCAGTGGGCACAGTCACAGTACCAAAGCGCTCCGAGTGTTGTTGTCGGTCGGGGTTCTGCCCCTGGGGATAGGGGTTCCGTAAACCGGGGCTGACAAAGTCCCGGTCCGGCAGCCGTGTTCGCGGCGACGGCGACGTGTACGAGGCAGAGGCAGCAAAAGTGGTGACGGTCGCGGGCGGCGTTCGGGCAGAGGAGATGTCGGGGGCTGACGCAGACCCAGGGTTGTTGGACGAGGTCGGGGTCTTGGACGAGGTCTTGGTCGAGGTCGCGGGCGGCGGTGCTGGTGGAGGTGCTGCTATGGTGAAATGGGGCAAGGGCATCGCTAAAGGGTCGAAAGGGGAAGCCAAGTCGGCCACTCCCCTACCCTGGAAAATATGGAGGTCACACTCCTTGGGACTAAAACCAGGGGGGCCAGATGGAAACAACAGGGGGATGCACGGCGTGGTGGGATTGGGCAACAACGGGAGATGCAGTTACGCAGCACAGAAATGGTACCTTTTTCGGTCTGGTCGTTATTCGCACTGCCTGGTGAGGTTGCTTTCTTGAAATGGTCCTGTCTCTCACTCCTCCCCTCGCTCGCCTTGGCCCTTTCACTTCTAGTCCTGACGAGTATTGTCTTTTTTTTTTTTTTTTCCCTTTCGATTCGCTGGGAGTGCTGCTGTTAGCTGCCCGTCCCGATGGAGGGCTCCAAACAATCGGAGCGGTTTTGCTTTTGGGGAGCGACGGATTGAATTTTCTTAGTGTAGCGTAGTAGTAGCAACTCCCGTCTTTTTGCTCGTCGAGTTGGCCAATGGAAATGGCTCACGGGTTCGATGATGGATTAGGTACGGATTGGCGTTGTGCCCCTGTTTCTACCGGTACTAGCTCTTCTCTTCGGGTTTGTGGACGCCGAGTTCACGCCGCCGTGTAATTGCGCGTCACTACTTTAGTGAGGTGGTCCCTGATGGTCCTCGATGTCCTCGATGGGATGGGATGCTGATCTCGAGACGGGATTCGTGCAAGGTGTGTCAATGTGTGCAATCTGCTGAATGGTGTGCATGTTACACTGAACGCTTGGAGTGACACATAACGGCGGCCTTTGAGTGGTCAATGGTGGTTATTAGCTGGAAAGAGTAGCGTGCGTGCTATGTGCCGAAGCCGTCGCGTTACATGTGTCTGGGTGGATGGATGGATTGGGGTGGTGGCAGAGAAGGACAAGACGAATGTGGGCGAGAGAGAGATGGATCGAATTTCCTCGGATTGCGATGCCCGAAAGCGAAGACCACCAAGAGAGAGAAGTGCTCCGACCCCCGGGGGTTTAGTACAAGTGGATGGGAAACCCATGAATCATGGCTCTTCAACCTCTTTTGAAGCCTCAGTTCTTTAAAAGTGCTGTATCTATCCAATGTGTGATACGATGCAGTCATTCCCGTCTTTTTGCGCTTTTCTTGATCTCTTCCCTGCTTTGGCTTCCATTGTCTCGTCTTGTCGCATTGTCGCCCGGCAGTCGCTTTCGCAAAAAGTCACAGCAATCCAACATCGAATTGAGGTGGTGGAGTGGAGTGGGGAGATGACCGGAGATCCACACACAGGTCCCCGCCAATGCCAAAAACGTGCTGCAGAACGACCATCACAGGCTTCAAATGCCGCCGCAGGGACACCTCCAACCCACAGCGTGTCAGTTTGGAGGGTTAAATCCAGCCAGTAAGGAGAGGGTTCTAAAAGAGGACTGGCCTCCCAGCCTCCCCAAATAGCTACAGACCCCCCTAATACTCTAGGAGCCCCCAACTCTAATTCCACAGTACTCTTCTCAAATATATACATACAATACAGAAATTTACTCATTTTTTATTAAATCAATCTACTTAACTGTACTTTTTAACAATTAATAATCTGAATTATATTTTTTACATTGTTTGCTGCGGTGCTCTGACTGGCCTATAATGATAGCACCAGTACAAGGTTGCTACAGTGAACTATGCACTTGTAGCAGAGCGGAGCGGAAGCGGTAGGAAGTACGACAGCAATGCTGAAGGAAGCAGCGTAGTTGCAAGTACAATAAAAGGATGTTGTAAAAGAGGTCTTAGAGAGGACTCTGCTCTCAAGACAGAAGATTACAGTGGACTCTGCACTGTGAGAAAAGACTATATTGTATTGCTTGACTTGTGCTTGCTTGCTTAAGGAGTGACGAACTGAAGGAGAGGAGAGGTCTCTATATACATGGACACTAAGCATCTAGAAGCTTCTGTTGAATCCTGTGATGACAAATCAGTCTGGAAGAAATGCTAGCTAAGTTATAAGACTCTAGAATACAGTGGCAAAACCTCTTGTATTCTAGTACATTCTGTGGGGACTGAGTCAACTGATTCCGTAGAAGGAATAGTTCAACTAGCCTTCTATACTACAAGGTAGTACAAGGCAGTTACAAGGTATAGTACTAGCCACACGTTAACATACATTACGCTAATATTTATAAAAGTATAAAAACAATACTAATTTATATTTTAATACACCCTATAACAACTAAATTAAATAACTATATCCCTATCCGACTCTACCCCTAAAATTAATCGTCCCTATCTTAATAAGCCTTCGAAGTTTAGAAATTAGAGTAAAGAGCTCTTAAACTACGTAGAAGACTTCGATCTTACAAACTTCATCCTAAATTTAGAGCCAACCATTTGGAAGCTACTCCCGCTTCGTATTAAGAATTACGCCTTCAATTCTACGACTTTTCGCTATATTGAACATATTCGAAAAATCCTTAACGGCCTCAAATTAAGCACAATAATTTATATATCCCCTACCTAAATTATTATAGCCGGAGCCGTACCCGCCGTAGCTCTAAAGTTCCCTAAAAGTATAGAAGTTATTAATTATTCCCCGGATTAATAAAATAAGGATATAAATATTAAAATAACCGACCTTACTATTTTAAGCCTTTAAAAATATGAATATAATTACATTAACCAAATTTATAATATAAAATTCTACGAATTCTTTAAAAGTAATAATATTAATATTCGAAAATAAATATAGAAAACAATCTACCCCTCCTACAAAATTAATAATTTTCTATTCCTCTTATTTATAATTAAATAATATACTAATATTAAAGTAGGCTATAATTACCGTAAAGAAGATACTTAAATTAAAGTCTATTAATAATATTATAACTATTTTCAACCCCTTTTAAATGAACCTAATAAGAGAAATAGAAGAATAAATAAATAAATTAATAAATAGGATACTATAATAATTAATACAATCCGGTATTGGGTTTTAGAAGTTATTATAACTAACATTTAATTTAAGGACCTCCTAAATTATTTATAGCTTATTAAACGTAATTAAATTTCTAGTATTTCTAAATACTTTAACGAAAAGGTTTCGGCTAATAACTTTAATTTTCGCCTTATATCCGGGAACTTCCGCCGTAAAGGATCAAATAAACGCCCTCCTTCTTTAATTAATAGAATTAAAATTTATAAGGGAACGTTCAATACAAACTTAACCTTTAATAATCTATAGAATAACAGTATTAAAGACGAGGACACTCCTCCTAATAGGATTTAAAATAATTAGCGTAAAAGGAAGCATAAATTTATAACCGGTCGCAAAACCCTAATTATAGCCTTAAATCCTTTAATTCTATTACTAATAGCGTACTATAAAATATATTAATAAAGAACTTACCTAATTAAATACTATTAATACTTCTTCCCTAATAGAATAATTAACCCTAAATAGAAATTTATCAAGAAGGTTTAAAATAGAATTAAGAAGAATATCTATAGCGATTGAAAATTAAAAAAAAAAATCGACCGCCTCGAATAGAAAATAAAATAAAATAGTAATAATAATAGTAATTAACTCTCTAACGAAAATACCTAAAAAGTAATACTAAATTACAAAACTACTATATACTAAATGGTTCTCTAAATAGGAGGAAATAACTCTAATAACTTCTACCTCCTTAAAAATAATATAATCCTCGATTTAAGAAATTCCCTTTATATCTTCAACGAAATTATTTATTTTATTAACTTCTATTATACTTTTTACAATAACGGGCTTTGAACTAAAAATTCCCACATTCTTATTAAAAGATATAATAACGTCGATATTATAATTTAGGGCTACAAAGGGCCCAAAAAGCTCCGTTTCTAAAATATAGCTTTCTATCCTAATTTTACAACCAATTTTATATTTTTCTACCTCCTATATAAAAAAGGCCTCTACTAAAACTAATGGCTACCTAATAATTGCTTATAAATACTAAATTATTTATTCTTTTATTGTTTTATAAATTAATACCGTTAAATAATTTTCAAAAACCTTTTTCTATCTCTTTTTAAAATTACGTTCTTTATTTAATATAATTAATTTAAGTTCTTAAATAATTATAAATACTATAAGAATGAAACTATTATTTAAGATTACCACTTTAAATACTACGGCCTTTAAATATTCAACCACTTTATTAACGTAATTAGCGCTCGCTTTAAAAGCCCCTCCACTATTTATTATATATATATATTGTTTTGAAAATTAAATAATAAATTAATTATAAACCTTGCAACTGTAACTATAACCTAAGAAAATAATTAACTATAAACTTTTTTAACTATATAAAGAGCTGCTAAAAATATTCTACCGTAATATTTATTACTTATAAATAAATTAAGTATATTTAAAATTATTATATAATAAACGATAAAATAACAATAATCGCTTCTTTCTTTAATAATTTGTTTACAATACTAAACATCCAATATAATATCCAATTTAAAATTATTAAATATAATAACGAAATTGACAACTCTCACGCAATGAAAGAACTCTTCGCTCTAAGAAATATAATTATTAAGCCCTCTACTCTATACACCTAAGCTCAAAATGGTAGCTCAAAACGCTCGGGAAGTATTATTAAAGAAAAATTTAAAATAATATTATAGAACTCTTATTTCTCTAAAGATTTATAACCGGACGTCGTTTCTATAGTAATCTATTTAATTAACTAATCCCCTAAATTCCTCTATAATTAAATATTCCTTCATAAACGATTTTATACTTTTATTACTAAATAAAATAAAAGATTAATAACCCTATATAAATTAAATATCTCTTACCTTCGTATATATAATTATAAAGCCTTCGCTATAACTATTACTACCTAAAAGAAGGAGGAGAAATTATAGAAAATAAACCCTAAAGTATATATTAATTACCTTATTAAATACGTAACGTTATTTATTTACCGTATTTAGAACCCTATTATCAATATAATTATTAATATTCGCAATGTATTATTTAATAAGGATATAATTTACTCTAAAGAAGTATTTATGGAAATATAATTTTTAAACATTTTATTTAACGAATTTACTATACTACTCTAAAAATATAATTAAATAATTCTAATATTAGAAATCCTTAATTTTATTAGTAACCGAATCGACTTTAAGGATATTTAAGCGTATAATATTCCTAATGCCCTTTTTGAATTTAATTAAAATTAAATTTATTAAAAAAGAAAGACCAACTGTATATCTCTAAAGCCCTAACTAAAGGTCTCAAATAACTTTATATTAATCGATTTTATATTTAATAGGTACCCTACTCCTTTAAATTCGCTATAAAGTATTTACCGCTCGCTTTGTTCTTAATTAGGTTTTATTTTAACCTTTGTATTAAGGAAAAAATTTATAAAGGTTTTAAACCTTAAAAAGTAACTTTTAATACTAATAAACTTTACTAACCTATAATTATATATAATAATAAGCCCGTTACAAAAGCATAATTATAACGACTCCTCTACAATTATAAAATTATTACTAAAAAGGAAGTTAATATATTAATAAATATAAATAAAACCTAATTTATCTATCAATCCCACCTCCCCTTAGCGTCCAAAAACTATAAATCTATTAATTATTATATCTTTTAAAAACTTTTTCAAATAAATAAAGTAAACCTATTTTAATAACTATGAAAAAATAATGATTTAGCTAAAGGTTAATAGGGACGAACCCTGCACTCGAAATAAATAAATCTTCGATTATATATAAGTATATACGTATAAATTCTTAAAAACGGTAAATTCAATAAAGTTAAAACTTATTTCGTCGTATATAGAAATTAATAAGTAAAAAAGGTTGGGTAGAAAACGTATACTTCTACCTTTGCTAATCGCTCATTTTATAACCTTATTACTATAGTTATTCAATTTAATTTCGAACTTATTTAATATAATATTATTAAAACTTTCGTTAATATTTATATAAATAAAAATATCTATATATATATACCACTAGAGTACAACGTCCTAAAGAAAGTCTTTAAAATATTTAAAGCCCTATATAGATTACAGTAGTCTCCCTTCCTCTAGTAATAAAAATTTATAAATAGTTTTAAAATTATAAATTTCGAGCTAATCTTTAAAGAATTATATATCCTTATTAATAATAATATATTCGTTTTCCATTACATTAATAATATTATCATTATTTACTATCCCAATTACATAATTAAAATTTAAAAATATATAGATAACTTTAATTAATAATATTATATAATTAAAGGAAACGAATTATAATAATTCTTAAGTATCGAAATTATTCGAAATTATTAAATAAAAAAATTTAACTTTTTTAACGTTTATACTTATAAAAAATTTAATAATTTATAAACAATAAAAGAATTATAGCAATCCCTATATTAAACGTTAAACTTATCTCCTTCTATGATAAAACCTCCCCTTACTTAATCTACCTCTATTAAATCAAAATAAAGTCGATACTCTACGCTGCTATTATTATTCGATTAAACGTTACCTTTACTATAAGCCGTTTGTTTAAATATAATTATAACCCTAATTTAAATTATTATAAGGCTATAAACAAAGTACTTTATTACCTCTACGCAACTGCCAATATAGCACTCTACTTTAAAAGAAATAATATTCTTCGTATTATTTCAAATTCATCATTTGCTAATAATTCTATAAATAGAAAGAATTTACAAGGGTTTACAATTAAGTTTTTTAGCGGTTTAATTTATTAAGGCGCTACTAAGCAAACTACTATAGCTACTTCTATAATAGAAGTAAAATTCTTCGTAATAACTAACGTAACAAAAGAAGCTATTTTTATAATAAAATTAATTATTAATTTTACTATAAGGCTAATTAATCCCATCCTTATACTTAATTATAATAATTAGTAAACAATTAAAATATCAATTATAAAAGCTACTAAGTTAATAATTAAATTTAAATACATGGATATTTATAAATATTAAGTAAAATAGGAGGTCTTTATTAGGAAAATTAAAATTAAATACTTATAGACTATGAAAATACTTATAAATAAGTTAACGAAAATATTAGATATAGAAAAAAATAAAGAGTTTATAAAGCTATTAGGAATAAATTTAATAAAGGATAAGGAATCAAGGAATAGAAAGAATGTAATATAGTATATCGAACTGGATAAAATTAACAAGGAGATCAATCCTAGGATAATTATATAAATAGCTTCTTTTCCTAAGTAGTCTCGTCTCTATAAGACTTTAATTAGGGAAGTATATCAATTTGGAGGGTTAAATCCAACTAGTAAGGAAAGGGTTCTAAAAGAGGATTAGCCTCCCAACCTCCCCAAATAGCTATAGACCCCCCTAATATTTTAGGAGCCCCTAACTCTAATTCCACAGTACTCTTCCCAGACACACACACACAATACAGAGATTTACCCATTTTTCGTTGAATCAATCCACTTAGCCGTGCTTTCTGACACAGCGCCCATCACAGTTCCTGTTCGAGGGTATTCCCGGATTCTGATTGGTTGCAATTATAAAGATCATCACTCTGTGCCTGTGGAGTTGCACCTGCCTTCTCCCCATTTCCCATTTCGTGCTCCTCCCACGTGCTGAGCAACGGTTCCGTTCGCTCGCATAACTCGATCTTGAGATCTTGACATGACTTGCATTTGACATGGTGATGTTCGCTTCAATCTTTAAATTGAATCTTCATATTTCGACATTGTTTCCTATAAGATCGACATTCCTGGGGACATGATGGCGGTCGCATTAACAACACCCCAGAGACGCCACAAAGGTCAAGCATAGCTCCTATGGTTATGATATCAGCGCCATCATCCCCCTTGTAAATGTCGCTATAACGTCTGGTTTGCTAATGGGCGTCACTCGGCCCTCTTTCTTATTCTTCGCAGCTCTACTACGTCCAAAACGCTTGATGTTTCATGCTTACTTGACCCTTGCCATCGTCGGCCGTTGCGGTAGCATTGCTGACCATGTAGTATTATTATCGACGGTCGGTCGGCAGAAAAAAAACCGCGGTCTTGCCGTCGTCATGAAAAATCACAGAAAAAAAGGGACGGGATATGTATTGTCCCAGAGATAATTTTTTGTTTGATTCCAATGTTCCTTTGACCCCAAACCGAAAGCCATTTTCCCGCGGTATAGGTATATGATATCAAGTGCTCAAGTTCTGCCATGAAAGGACAGAAAGACACGCTCGCTTGCTTTGTGTTTCCCGGCCCTGCCTGGTATGGTATCTGACTTCAACGAGTGTCCAAAAGTGTTTCAAAAAGACGCCTGCCCATGTTGTTTTTGTGCCCCTCTATATTCCGTCCCATCATCAACTCTCCAACTGTGCTGTGTAACCTTGCGTCATCTCTGTTTATATAGCCGCCGACCGTGATGACCGGACTGATCGTGCGTAATTGTTGGGTATCGGTGGTTTCTGTCCGTAGACAATGTATCTGCAGATGGTGATGTCAGTGTCAGATGTTTGGCCTAACCCCGGTACCTTTGAGGAAGGGGAAAGGTTTAAAGAGAAGGAAAAGGAAGACTTACGTCAAAAAGTAAAAATGTACCCCCAGATTCCGAATATCCTTCCTCACATCCACCAAAAACACCTCCACCTCCTCCCGCGACATCCCCAACCCCTTTGTGAAAATAGTCATGCTCACAGCATGCACACCCTCAAGAAAGTTGGTCATCTGCCACACGCCCATCACCTTTTGGTCCTTCCCTTTAGGCCACGGGTTCCCCGGTATCACGAGCTTCTCTTCAACCACGTTGACGAACCCGGCTTCTTCCATCCACTGCTTGTACCTTCTCGGTGCTAGCATGTCTCTCCCCAGCCGTTGACCGCCCTCGACGTACATCCGCGTCCAGCGCTCGAGGGCGGTGCCAGCTATGGTGTTGTCCACCGATTGTATGTGGGGGTAGTAGTCCTGCCACTCCATCCAGCCGCCGGGGTTCAGTTGCTGGAAGGCGGAGATCATGACTTCTTTGTGGGATTTGAAGGCGTGGAACATTAAGCGGAGGTGGACGTAGTCGAACTGTTGCGAGAAAATCCACTCATCTTCGGCGTCATCTACTTCAAAATGGCAGTTGGGAGGTACACTAATTGGTGAAAGGAGTTAGCCTGTTGACGGTGATACGAGGCTCCGACAGCATGCCCATGTTTGAACAAACGGTAAGTGGATAACTACTTACTACTCGGGCTGTATGGGACTTAGATCAGTCCCTACTATATGAGCCGCTGGATATTGTATTGCTGAAAATACCAACTGTTAGTCGACCATTACAAAGTGTTCGAAGCCGCCTTGTTTTCTGCTCACCAAACTCGATTGCCCATATACCAGTCCCTATTGATGTTCGTTAGTGGAATTTCGTGTAATCTGGGCCTGAACAACCTTACCTGTACCAATATCGAGGACTGACTGTGGATTTGTTATTGGCGCTAACCCAAACTTCCCCTTCAGAAGGCGCATAAACACGGCATGTTGTAGATCTGCCAGCGAGGGGTGTTAATATCCTGAGACCATGTGCCCGACCTCGGTGATCTCCCCCGTGGAAACTTACCTAATCGGTCCTGCTCAATCTTTTCCATGCAAAATCCCACGGTCAGCTCCCTACGTACCCCTCAAGAAAAGGCCAGACGTAACACTAACTTTGTCATTGGGCATCCAGTACTCTGCCGGCTCAAGGTCAGTTCCCGTCCACGTGAAAGGTTGCACCCGAGACACTTACTGCCCTGCTTGTACCTGTGAAACGTCCTCCCATGTTCTTCGACGTAGTTGTAAATGCTGGATCGTAACGAGGATGTCGACAGTCTGTAAGAGCGGGGCGCACAAGGAAGGCAAAACTGTCAGATAGCCGTTCACGTCCCGCCAGCAGTGAAACCTTCAGGGGAGGGAAGGATATGTGGGAGAGCGCTGCAAGAAAAAGACTGTTTTCACTTACGCCCCTGTTATGTCGCCCATAGCCGAGTCTGCGTCGGAGTCCACCTGGTTCTCGCGAGTATATGATTCAGCACTTGTCCTTGCTTTGTGCTGCGTTTGTTGAGCCGCTTCCCATTCAGGTCCGCCACCAGCACTTGCTAACTCCTTCGCCGCCATGATCTTTTCATCCGTGAGGGAAGTCCTGGAAAATTACCCTTTGCTCACTTACACTCAGCCCAGCTGAAAATTGCCCGCTATTGATGTGGTCACCCGACACCATGGCCTCCCTTTCCGGATCGTTATTCGCGACATGGCGAGCGTAAGCTGGATCGTTTGGTGCTAGATCCTCGACTTCTGTGGCCGCCGGCACATACGACGAAGTAGACACCGCTGATTCGGAAACCGGCGTGTACACGTACGACGATGACGGATGTGCTGATGAGGAGGAAGCTGACGCGCCTGATGTCGACGGTTGTTGCTGATGTTCTGATATGGCGGCTTCAATGGCCTCGTCGTCGCGGAAAGGCTCGTAGTATTGATGGGTGTGTTGGAAATAAACGTCGCCGGGGACACTTGGCGCAGTCTTTGAGCGTGCCGGTTGCGGTAGTAATCGTGGCGGCAAGGGCGACGGAGAGGCTGGTGTTGGCAGGCGCGTCGATGTTCGCGTTGGTGGTAGTTGCGTCAGGTATGTCTGTGCTCGCTCTGGTACTGGGGCCGGGGCCGGTTTGGGGGCCAAAGCTGGCAAGTTTGGCAACGAAGATGACGACGGGAAAGGAAGCGGCGACGGCGATTGTAATGGCGATTGCAAAGTGCTCGATCGCGAATATTGTGATGGCGGTGGTGGTGGTGGCGGCGGTTGATACGAAGGATGCTGGCGGTTCTGCTGGGTCGGCTGGTTGAGCACTGGACTCGGTTGTTCTTGGTCGCAATGATCGCCTTGATATGGTCGCTTCCCCTTTCCCTTCCCTTTCCCCTGCCCCTCTCCCCCCGAAGCTTCAGACATTTCCACTTGTCCCCACGGTCGCTATTTTTTCCCCTTCTCGTTTGACGACCAACGACTGTCGACTTGGATCGAATGTCGTGTCGCACCGTAACGCCCCCCGTATCTTTTCGGCGACGCCTCTTTGCCGTCGACACTCGGGACTCGGTGATGACGACTCGGAGGGCGTTCGTGAATGGCGCAATTGCTGTTCCTCGATAGGCTGTGTGGGTTTCTTGGTTCTCGGGGCGATCTTTCTGTTCGCGGAGGTGTCCGATGGGCGTCGGCGTCGGCGTCGGCGTCGCGCGACCTGGCTGGCGAGGTATGTTGTTTGGAAGCACAAACGGCAAACCGCAAACTGACGCTTGTCCCTGTTGCTGACTGGATGCTGACTGATGGATTGCCACTGGAGGAGTTCCCCGCCGCCAACACGTGGCGCTGGATGTTGGCCCGTTGTGCCCCGTTAACGTTGTGTGCGGTGCTCCGTGACCCGTCGCGCCGGGTGAGGTTTCGGTCGGGTAGGGCGGCCGCTGGATGTCGTTCTGGAGTCGCTGGAGTCTGGGCTTTCCACTTTCAGGGCAGAGGTCGCACAAGGGGACATGATGGGCGATTATGGGGCCAGCACCAAGCGGTAAAGCTTCCAGTTGGTCGATGCTGGCGAACGGTCCCCGTCGCGTCAGCATGCTGTGGTAGGGGTGCCCCAGCATCGTTAGCACCGGAACAGCACACCCGTAACCGCAACGGCCGGTGGGAAAGGTTACCTTTTCATTCCAGAATGCCCCTTCACGGACATGAATCTCTTCCGGAAGCCAAGCCGGTGGCGCTACATTTCTGGGCTGCCGTGGTGATGACTGATGACAGGACGGCCGGCTGGCGGCCAAGACTTAAACACGGCGAAACTCTGGAGAGAAGGACCTAATGCCTGCCAAACAGGTGACAGCAGGTGGGCCCTGTGCAGTCATTGCTTCTGCATGCGCATTATTTGATCCTGCAACATCGCACTTCATCTCCTTGAATTTCCGATCTTCATCCTCCCCAGCTGAGGAATTAACCAGTTCCAGAAACATTTGATGCGCCATCACCACCGTCCTCAATATTAACACCAGACATTCACGGCTTTCAATGTACTAGGCCAGGCGACACTTGAGAGCGCTTATAGCCCGTTTTTGTTCGGCCTGTCATCGTTGCAGATAGCACAGTCAAAGTCGGTGCTGTGTCGCAATATCGAGACAAACTCAAACAGCAGGGCAGTCGATCTTCTCACCACCACAACCCAAGGAAGCTTGAAGAAAACGAAACTAGAGGTCATCACGGGGAATCAAAAAGTAAACGATAACGTACTTGCATCTCTCCGACAATAGACAACTTGGAAGCGATCAGTGTCACCGTAATGTCGCACCCAAAACCACCCAAGACCTGAAAGAGGAAAGAAATGGAAGACCTGCCTCCCCTTCTCATGCGAATCACACCCTCGGACTCCCATTCCAACGCTCTCTCATAATCCTCGCATTTCTGGCGCTTTATTCGGCCCTCGCCGGTCACCCATCTCAACGCCTCTAAGTGCCGAAACGGTCTGTTACTCACGTGTCCGGCGTTCAAAACCGTTGCCAAGCCAGACACGGTTGCGATCCTGTTTCTTTGGTTTTCTTTGGGTTTTTTTTTTTTTTTTTTTTTTTGTTGGTCTCGGTCTTGCTTTCGATATTTCTAGGAACTTCGTTCGATCTGGCTCCGGGGCTCCGGACCCCACTCCGGCCTCGGCCCGGGCCTTGGACTCCCGGCGCAGCCCCACAAACCCGTGGGGTCGAATGCGTCGGTGCCCGTCTCGCCGACCGGCTCCCACTTCGATATTTTCCGAAGAACGTTTCCCATCAACTCCCGATTTTGCCCAGTTTCGGAGACTTGCAGTGTTGTGGCACTCTTGCAAACTCCGCCAGCAACTCTAGGGTATCCCGAGCCTCATTGAGTAGAAAAAAAAAGTCAACATGACTCCAGCTCTCAATATGGGCTCTTTGTTCCTCTTATTTCTGAACTCGGAATTTGCCTTCTGCTAGTGTGAAGGTGGCGCTTCAAAAACACATTGTTCTGCCATTCCAACTAATCTCTCAACATCTTTTACTTCGGTCGCGCTTCATAAGGCGTCGTGGGCTTTCCAGTCTTTGTCGGGCCTACGATGCTGCAGAGTTGACGGCTAAACACTATTCTGCTGGAAATACATGTGGAAGACGGGTAGTCGGCGACTTCAAGTGGTGTCGTGTACCCGTGCTGTGAAAAGCCGCTTTCCTCTTTCTGGGGGGCGGAGACGGAAACCCGAATTCTCGGGCATCACTTCAAGAGTTTATGCATCTGGGGAAGCTAGTTGAGCCTCCGCCCGGTAAATGAAACACCCTTGGCATCGATTTCTGTTATGCGTTCCCCCAATGCCCGAGAATTGGTGTCAGAGAACGTCGCAGTCGTCGATAGCGCTCCCTCCATTGGCGCGCATGGGATAAAGTGGCGGAATGTCACGGGCCAACTACTTCCTGAATAGGGTCACTGACGGAGATCAACCCCCGAAACACTCGGCTAAAACTGGAGGTCACCTTTATGCTGGATGGGGTATACTTGACCGATTGGCGGCGTTTATGTTTTGCGATCCCCGTAGTGGCATGGACTTCAAACGCATCACTTGACACGATCGAGCGTCGAATATGGTTGGAGGGCATCTCAAGCATTGACGATCAGGTACGCGGAAGAAATGGAAAAGACGGCGCCAGAAGATCGAGTTCCTATCAGCCGGCCCAATGAGCTCAAAGTTATCGCCAAGCTGGAAGTTAAGGAATTTTTCCATGGTGCGGCTAGCATGGCCGTTTGAGATATCGAAACTGGGTTGGCATTGACCAAAGTGCTGTATTTAAAGGCGTTGCCTCGCCGGTGCTGAAGTCAAGAGCTGAACGTTAGACGAAGCACCCTTCCCATCCTCAAGCCTCATTCTCTCGGTTCACAGGTTCAGACTTCTTCACCATGAAGGCCAATCTCATGATGCTATTGGCGCCTCTGGCGGCCATGGCAGCACCCACCCCCGACAACAACTTGGAGGCTCGTCAGGCCAGCCAGAGCATCGACACTCTGATGAAGGCCAAGGGCAAGCTCTACTTCGGTGCCTGCACCGACCAGGGCCGTCTCACCTCGGGCAAGAACGCGGCCGTTTTGCAGCAGAACTTCGGCCAGGTCACGCCTGAGAACAGCATGAAGTGGGATAGCACTGAGAGCCAGAGGGGCAAATACAATTTTGGCCAGGCCGACTACCTCGTCAACTGGGCCACCACCAACAACAAGACCATCCGTGGCCACACCTTCCTCTGGCACTCGCAGCTTCCCGCGTGGGTCAGCAACATCCGCGACAAAAGCACGTTGACCACGGTTCTCCAGGACCACATCACCACCATCATGACCCGTTACAAGGGCAAGGTCCGTGGATATGTAAGTTACCTGTATTCATACCCGTCAACATGTGGGCGTAATCGCTGACACGACTCTCCCGACAGGACGTCGCCAACGAAATCTTCAACGAAGACGGCTCCCTCCGCAGCAGCGTCTTCTACCAAGTCCTCGGCGAAGACATGGTCTCGATCGCCTTCAAGGCGGCCCGGGCGGCCGACCCGGGCGCCAAGCTGTACATAAACGACTACAACCTCGACAGCCCCAACGCCGCCAAGCTGACCAAGGGCATGGTCCAGCACGTCAACAAGTGGGTCGCCGCCGGCGTGCCCATCGACGGCATCGGCACCCAGGGCCACATCAGCTCCGGAGGCGGCAGCAACCTCGCCGGCGCCATCAAGGCGCTTGCTGCTGCCAATGTTAAGGAGGTGGCGGTCACGGAGCTCGATATCCAGGGTAACAATGCTGGTGATTATGCTACTATTACCAAGGGATGCTTGAGTGAGCCCAAGTGTGTTGGTATTACCGTTTGGGGTGTTCGCGATCCGGTAAGTGCTTGTCCCCTCCCTGGCGACTGATTGTGATACAGACGGCGATGCTGACCATTACTCGCAGGACTCGTGGAGACCCAATGGCAACCCGCTCCTTTTCGATTCCAACTGGAACCCCAAGGCTGCCTACAACTCCATCGTTCAGGCTCTTCAGTAAGCGAGGCGGGCGGGGAACACTTTGGAGGGTTTGGATCGTATTATCGATCTTGTCCCCACTTCCCAGAGGGGGAATTTCTGTTTCTTCTGTGTATCAGGAGTCTGATGTGCCATTCACGTGGTCAAAAGTAGGATATTGTGCTGGGGAGGACGGCAATATCAGCATTCACCTTCGTATTGAAATGCTAGGAGCTGTATATGCAAATGTTGGAAGCTCAATCGTTACTCACACCCGCTTCGATTCGTGTGCTCGAGGATTTCCCGTAAATCCCATCGCGTAAAAGTCATACATGCACTTGGTCTGTTCCAACTGAATTGACCACCTGGATTAAACTTCACATCTGGCAGTCATCCGTCTGGAGATTCAAGCAAGTGACTGTGATAAATCCCGTCTCTCACCGAGGGTGTCAATCGTGACTGCCCTATTTGCGACCCGGACACGGACGATGCGGAGACTCAAAATCGATCTGCTTATCCCATCGGGACCGAAGGCCCTTTGAACCCTGCAGAGAATCGCAGTGGCATGAGATGCACCTTCTTGACTCACACCCGTGGTCCAGTCCGGGAAGCTTCCTCGAGCCGCTGCGTACCTTCCGCGACAGGGGCATCGAACCTCCCGTCAATCACTCAGCAGACACTCGGCGAAAGTATGCCAGTGACACCAGCTGAGACTCAAATACAAGTCTCAATCGGGTAGAAGGCTTTCAAAAATACCACCCTCGACTTCGTTATGTGTGTTATTGCACTAAGCTTCCTTTGTCGTGACCAGAATTAGAGCATCTTGCCAGGATTTGGTGCTGCTGAAGGGGGTGTTGGACCTGTGGTTCAAGTGGACCTTATAAAGTCAAGGAATGAGATCCCAGTCAACAGTACAGCAAAACAAGCTGCATGGCGCAGCGGAAGCGCGCCGGGCTCATAACCCGGAGGTCACTCGATCGAAACGAGTTGCAGCTAACCAACAATCTCTTTTTTTTACCTTTTTCTTCTTTTTTATTCCTCTTTTCGTTTATCTCTTCCGTTCGTGGATTTTTTTTCTCCATATCACTTTTGTCTACTTCGGGCTTGTGGGTGGATTGTTGCACTGTCGTCGTCGAGGATGTTCCAATGCAGCAGACACCAAATCATGATCAGAGCAGATTGTGCATCGTTCTTTGGACTTGGACTTTGTTGCTATGTATGTCATCTGCGTCTGCAATGATGCTCCATATTCCAATCCCCTCGATAGTCAAAAGTATCTTCCACCTTCCCATCTTCTGGCTTTTCACATTATCCCGGCTAAATCCCATCTATATAGTACATACACTGTCTCTCAGTGCAGTTCCAGCCCTAGCAGCTAAACACCGACGGACCAGGAACAATGTACGACTTGAAGTTATTGTAGATCTGCATCCATCACATTAGCATATTTCCCAACATCACCCTCCTCCCTCACGAAATCGTGGACAAGGAAAACTCACATTAGCAGTATACCCCGGATCCGTCGCCTTGAACGCGCCCGGGATCTTCACCAACGGGCCCGGCTCTTTGCTGCCACTACCTCCGGTAACATTAACCTGCGCACAGCTGATATAAAACTGCGGCGTGCTGCCCGGGTTGTGAATAGCGAGCGACTGGATCCGCAAAAGGTACTCGCCGTTCTTGATGCAAGCTGGGATCTTGAAGGTGTAGTCCGCTTTTCCCCGCCCATTTTGGTCAGCACTCTTCCATTCCATCATCATTACCGCGAAGAAAAAAAAAAAGAAAAAAAAAAAAGCGGAAATAAGGGAAGCGACATACACCTCAAAGGCCAAGACGCCCCAGACCCCCCAAACGTCGGTCCCCAATCAAATATCTTGAATCAATCCCCACTCCCATCATAATCCGCCACCTGACCTGGTGCTTTGCTCATATACAGACTAATCGGCCCCTGGTGGTAGACAGCCTGGTCAGTGTAGAAAGTGAAGCTGTCTCCGGCTTTGACGTCGACGGTGGTGGTGGAGGCTCCGGAGGCGCCGCCGACGTTGCAGCGCAGGTCCGGGGAGGAGAGAGCGGTGACGGGGCTGTTGTAGTTTGTGTTTTTGCGCAGGTTTTGGTAGACGGGGAATTTCTGGCCATTGAGACCGAATTATTGGAAGATGTAGTGCGCGGAGACGAGGGGGGTGGAGAGGAGGGCGAGGGAGAGGGTTGTGAACTTCATGGTGGTTGGGGAGGGGGTATGATGGGAACTGAAGCAGCTCGACTGGTGATGGTGATTGTGAGGCAGGAGGGTTAATCTTGCTAATCAGAGGACTTGCTCTTGCGTATCAAGGGTTTATGAACAGTTATACTGATCTGTATATATAGGGTTGTGAAAGAGGGTGCTTTGTGGTTGCTGCCCTCAAATGCCGAAGGTGGGCATCGTTTCCGGCATTAGAGGTCGGGCATGGAGCGGGCCAGCGGCCACATCAAGACATTTCTGGACTGCTACTAGAAACGTAACAAGCAATATAAGCAACAAGGACCATAAGTATCTCGATATTGAAGACATACGAACCCCGTGGGGCGGTAGATTGCACCCAGCAGAGAGAGCGAATAGGACAATGGTGAGGTCGGCAGAGTGTGGGTGGGGTTGCGGATTCGACGGCAATATCAACCCGGTTTTCGTCATGTGCCGGAGGGAGAAAATGCCGTGGTAAGTCCTGTGGGAGTATTTCTGTGAGCCTGCTATGATGCACTTGGAAAGCGTGTTCGTGATCAGATCCTGGTGTTGAACTTGGACGGGAGTACCTCTATGATTGCTCGGACGCTGATGGTTGAAACCGTGATCGTTGCGCACAGCCGAATTGGGGAAAAGGACAGCAATAACATAATGTACTAACAGCCTGAGGTAGACAGCACCGCTGGAGTTTGTTACTGCGATATGCAGACGTATTTCCACAAAGGGGCTCCACTCTGAGCAACTAACAATTACCGCTAAGCACCGCTAAAAAGTCTACTTAGTCCCACAGTCCCGGCAATCGTGCGGTCGTGACACCGTACAGTTCTTCAACTTGTGTGTGTCTACGGATTTCTCGACTACCAGGCCATCTCAGGGGCATGTGAAGAGAGGCGGGCCTATTGAGGGTCGAGGTTAGATCTGATTTGGTAATGTGCATGGGGAACAGAGGTGGTACATACCTGGGATAACATAAGGGCTGGTGGTCTTCACGGAGTAGATGTCGATGAGAAGACCCGGGTCGTTGGACCGTCCATACTCATCAGCATGCAATTCTTCTGATACCCATACCGATCTGTAATGTTCTCTCACCTTATAGATCCCCGGAATGCTGTAAGTCGTAGGGCTGGCCGTGCCTGCCCCACCGGTGATGTTGAGCTGGGCACACTCCATGTAGAGCTGCGCTCCGTTCGTGGATCTGGCACCATGAAGGGCAACCATCCCAGCGCGCAAAAGGTATTGACCGTTCGCAATGCACTTGGGATTCTGGATAACCTCGTTGCCCTTGTTGTCAATGACCTCGTTTGTGGCCCATTTGCCGTTCTTGTAGCCGCCTTCTTGGATCTTGAACCAGCCGTTGCCAACACCGCTGTCGGTTTTGGCATCGGTCACCTTTTTGAGATACGCCATGACGGGACCCTTTTGACGTAGTCAATCATCATATGTTCATGAGCGAAAAAGTAGTAATGAACCTTGTGGCCAGCGTCCATTACGTCGTTGGGACCGGCTACTGTCTGTTAGCCCATGTCATGTTTTGTTCGACAAAGGAAGAAGACGGACATTGAAGAGTGTGCCTTCACACTGATTGGACCGTAGAGCCGGCAGTCACATCGATAATCTTGTCTGAAGGAGTCATTGGATTTGGAGGCCCATTGCAGGCCATGTTCTTGGAGTTGAGATCGGTTTGTGGCTATTGGGAGCGGTCAGGGCAGAGGTTCCAAGGGAACAACAGCGGCGGGATTTCCTTACACCATCGTACGAGGGAGTCCGGATTCCGTGGGAAACCGCTTCGCGCAAGGGAAGGGTCAGCATCGACTTTTGTACGCGCTTCTATCTACAACCGGACATTACTTACGATATGTCTTTCCACCAGCTGTCAACTGAGCGAAGATTGTATGGGCGAAGGCGCCTGGGAGAAGCGCACTAGCCGTTACCAACAAGGAGAGATGCATTGTCGACAATGTCTTGATTGTGATTATTCGTCCTGGCAATGGCGTTCCAGGGCAACAAAACTAATCCTTCCCCCAGAGTGTTTCGAGGTCTTGTTCTATCCATCTTCGTGTCATCAACCTTCGTCTGCTTTAGCCCATATGCCGAAGGCATCATTGCTGTTGATCTTGAAAACGGGAGGCATGATCATGACGGAGATATTGGCGTTCGTCAATGAGATATTCGACTTGGACCAGTGAGAACAGCAAGGCCAATAATGTGCTCGTAAGGGATTTGCCCGCTCACGGAAATGGGAAGCAGATGACTGGAGTGGTCATCGATGCATCCAGTCGGCCAGAATGCCGACACCTAAAACCTGGCACCTGCCAAAATGCAGGTGCCCGCCCGACTGCACCCGCGTTGTGACTGACGCGGCTCTCCATCATCCCGATCCGTTGATGTTTGAGGATTATTTCGTCGACCGCAACTCGTTTGCGAGTTTTGGTCTTCCATAGTTCATGTCGAAATCATTTAATGAAGTGCAAGAAATCCAATACCGGATCATGCATTTGCTTCCAACACGAGCAGAAGACTACGGCAGTATGAACGCCAAACTGTACCGACGTACCCGGAGATGCCCGGACAGTGCTGCTTTGTTGCGACCAACACCCCGCCAAAGGGCAAAAGGTTAGTGCACTATCAGTACAAGTGCTTGTTCCTGTTACAGACGCGATAGCACCACATCTTAGCCTCAAGCGACTTCCGATGCACCAACACCAACAATCAACAACCTTCATCTGAACCTCGATTCACGACATCACAACATCGGCCGAAAGCTTACCATCTTTCATGCCTTGCTGCCACTAGAGAATCATGGCATATTTATGCCAGCGACAATGTGCAGCCTCTCTTCCTTGACACGCCCTTCCAAAGCCAGTCGTAACAGGCGCCGAGTATACAGTCCAATACTGGTTTGTTTGTTAGCTCGAGACCTGTGGTCAACTTTCCTAGGCGTTTATATATCTGATTGATCCGTTTCGTTCTATAAGCAAAGCGTGATCTTACCTTGCATATGCTATTTTGGAAATTTGATATGCCATATTGAATCTTGTTGATGCCTTTCCGATCCTCACCTAGCCATTCATTTTATCTTTGTGAGGTTTGGGACAATTCGGGATGGATATCGTCCAATATACCAGGAGTACCAAGCTAATAAACAAACCAGCATTGGACTGTATAGGGATGTGAAACCTGGAGGATGGGCCGCCGGACCGCGACATCTAGTATAAGACGGACGCTCTAATATAGCCTGATTGACAGAGCCATTGGCCCGCTTCCCTTCTTGCTATGTACAATGTCTGGAATTAATGAAGACTGGCAATGACTGACTGTTGATTGTTAGCACCCGTTTTATCCAAAGTGTGAGCAGATTCGCTGTTCGTTTAAGGCCAAGATCGGGCGCGGTGATCCTTCATCTGGTTCACTCCGAAAGTTAGCGTGCGACGAGACTCAGAGGACCTTTGTTGGCCTTTCTCTCCTTCATGGCTCCTTCCTCATCAAACATCAGCACCTTGTGGCAGTTTCCGCAAAGTCCTGGCACATCCGCTGCATTCCGCCATTACCCGTCTCCAGATCGGTCGAAACGCGTTTGTTCCTTCCTTCCCATTTTACGCGCGATCACGTCTTGCAACTGAGAAAAACCTCTGCCATCCAGGTGCGCGCTTGACACTGTTCTAGACGCAGGACGTGGCCGCCAGTTCTGGGTCCTTCTCATTGGATGTCAACCAACCGAAGGGAAGTGACTGCGATGGACCCAACAAACGAACATATCCTTCCTCTTTGTGCCGCGTTACGTCACATCCGAGCCTGGGCAAATCTGTTTCTCTGGAAGCAAGCGGAGAAAAGGCCGGAAGGATACCACACTCATGGCAAGTAGAATGGACACACAGGGGATGAACTCTCCTCCAAGTCTCGGGGGAGGAATCACACAGGTGGAAGTCGAGGCCAGGAGAAGACTGAAAGGACGAGTATGTTGTGACAATCGAGGGTAGTGATCGGCAATGCTCTCTGATGCACGAGCAGCGCGCCTGCCTATCAATGTCGTAGCTCGTATCCGACGGGTCCGAGTATGGAGTCTGGACTCGGCATCACCAAGTGTTTGGGTCCGGGGAAATATCCGCATTCTCATCCCTCTCGCCTTCTCAAACTTCCATGCGAGTCCTTCATATGGAAGGCGCCCACCCGCAGTACCCCTGTCGGGAAGGCATGGCTCCCAGTAGTGGGGGCGGCCATGGATGACACTCGGTAGTATTTCTACCTGCGTCTGCCCCGGTTCAAGGATGAAGAAAAGTCGACAAACCCCCGGCTTCAACTCTTCCCAGCCAAGGTCACGCTTCTCGAGTGGCCAGACCGGAAAGATGAAGGCCCTCACCCGCCTTGGAGCGACTGCTCTGGCGGTGTCAATGTGTAAGTTGTCCTTCGACTCTCCCTTTGGTGGTTGTTGACATCATCTGACATCAGTCAACCTCGACAGACCTCCAACAATGCGCCGCTCAGTACATCAACGAACAATACACCGACCCCATCAACAACATTACCCTCAGCACCTGGCGACCGGACCCTGGTTCGGACTCCGGTGGAAATGCTAGCACTTACGCCTTCGGGTTGGTATTGCCTCCCGATGCTCTGACCAAGGATGCCAACGAATATATCGGTCTTTTGGTACGACACCCTCCACACCTGACTTGCTTTGGGATGGACATCAGTACTAACACGAGTGCCAGCGTTGTGACATCGGTGATGCGGCAAGCCCGGGGTGGTGCGGTGTCTCCCACGGCCAGTCGGGACAGATGACGCAGTCCCTGTTGCTCATGGCTTGGGCCTCCAAGGGCCAAGTCTTTACTTCGTTCCGCTATGCGTCCGGGTATAATGTGCCGGGACTCTACACCGGAAACGCCACCCTGACCCAGGTCTCTGCCACTGTCAACTCGACCCAGTTCGAACTTATCTATCGCTGCCAAGACTGTCTCGCTTGGAACCAAGGAGGAAGCAAGGGAATTGTTTCGACCAGCAGTGGCTTGCTTATATTGGGTCGTGCTGCCGCGAAGGGAAACCTTCAGAACCCGACCTGCCCTGACAAGGCCATTCCCGGCTTCCACGACAAGGGATTCGGTCAATATGGAGCACCCCTCGAGAATGTCCCGCACACCTCCTATTCAGCTTGGGCTGCCCTGGCTACGAAGACTACTACTGCTGACTGCTCCGGGTATGTCTTGTCCCATGTGTTTTGTTTGTGTATGATTGCTAACAGATCCTGATACAGGGCATCCGACCCAGCACCCACTGGAACCGAGCCGCCAGCCGAGCCAACTTCGACAGCGGAGCCCGTTCCCGTTTGCACACCCGCGCCAAGCAAGACATACGACTACATCATTGTTGGCGCCGGTGCTGGTGGTATTCCCATTGCGGACAAGCTCAGTGAGGCCGGAAAAAGCGTGTTGTTGATCGAAAAGGGACCTCCCTCCACCGCAAGATGGAAGGGCACCATGAAGCCCGATTGGCTTCTGGGCACGGACTTAACTCGCTTCGACGTTCCTGGTCTTTGCAACCAGATCTGGGTTGACTCTGCCGGCATCGCCTGTACAGATACCGACCAAATGGCGGGATGTGTCCTAGGTGGAGGAACGGCTGTTAATGCCGGCCTGTGGTGGAAGGTAAGTTGCTCCGATTCTATTGGCCTCGCAAGTCATCCACTAACCGCGAACCATAGCCGCATGCTCAGGATTGGGACTACAACTTCCCCGAGGGCTGGAAGTCGAGAGATACCGTGCCGGCCACTAACCGTGTGTTCGGTCGCATTCCTGGAACTTGGCATCCCTCGCAAGACGGCAAGCTGTACCGACAAGAGGGCTTCAACGTCCTGGCCAGCGGGCTCAGCAAGAGCGGTTGGAAGGAGGTGATCCCCAACGAGGCATACAACCAGAAGAACCACACCTTTGGTCACAGCACCTTCATGTACGCTAAGGGCGAGCGAGGTGGTCCTCTGGCAACATACCTCGTGACGGCGGCAGCTCGCAAGCAGTTCACTCTTTGGACCAACGCCGCTGTGAGAAGGGCGGTTCGTAACGGAAGCCGTGTCACTGGTGTTGAGCTCGAATGTTTGACGGATGGTGGTCTCGGCGGAACTGTCAACGTGACCACTAACACTGGCCGCGTTATCTTTGCTGCAGGCACTTTTGGTTCCGCCAAGCTTCTCCTTCGCAGTAAGTTATCATGAAACATGACATTGCATTGGATGGCTTGTTTGCTGACAGGTACAACACAGGCGGCATCGGACCTACCGATCAGCTTGAGATTGTCAAGGAGTCGACGGATGGCCCGACGTTCATTTCCAAGGACCAATGGATCAACCTTCCAGTGGGCTACAACCTCATGGATCATCTCAACACTGATCTCATTGTCACCCATCCTGATGTCGTCTTCTATGACTTCTACGAGGCTTGGAACACGCCCATTGAAGGTGACAAGAACGCCTACCTTCAGAACAGATCTGGAATCCTTGCCCAAGCTGCTCCCAATATTGGTCCTTTGGTACGTGGCATCAGACATAGTGCGCTCAATCGGGTCTTGCTAACAAGTGGCACTGCAGATGTGGGATGAACTTAAGGGCTCGGACAACATCATTCGTACCCTGCAATGGACTGCTCGAGTGGAGGGGAGCGACCAGTACACCACCTCTAAGAATGCCATGACCCTCAGCCAATATCTCGGAAGAGGTGTCGTATCCAGAGGTCGGATGACCATCTCATCTGGTTTGGATACCAATGTGGCCGAGCACCCATACCTCCACAACGAAGTCGACAAGCAAACTGTCATCCAAGGCATCAAGAACCTCCAGGCTGCGCTGAATGTCATTCCCAACATCTCCTGGGTCTTGCCTCCCCCGAACACGACTGTCGAGTCATTCATCAACAATGTGCGTTGCCCTTCTTTGCCCACCGCTGTGTGAATCATACTGACAACTCGGTTCCTGTAGATGATCGTCTCACCCTCCAACCGTCGCTCAAACCATTGGATGGGAACTGCCAAACTTGGCAAGGATGATGGCCGTACTGGAGGTAGCGCTGTCGTTGATCTGAACACCAAGGTGTACGGTACCGACAACCTCTTCGTTGTTGACGCCTCCATCTTCCCTGGCATGACCACCGGTAACCCGTCGGCAATGATCGTTATTGCCTCGGAGCATGCTGCACAGAGAATCTTGGCCTTGAATCCGGTGCCATCTCTGCCTGGCGGCAAGGGCAAGGGCAAGTGGAGAAGATGAGCTGCAACAATGAAGATGAAGCAAATGTCATTGTTGTCATAGGCAAGGTGTCAGAATTTGAGAACGGGATGTATACTTAGCATATGTTACCAAATCTTGGAGCTCGAAGTTAGCTACTAGAAAAAGCCAAACCTCTACATCTGTTATTCTTGACGTCTCTTTTCTCGTTACGATATTTGCCATGGGCCTTGTATTGTTTGCGAGTGTCTATGGTGAGCCATCGGCGTAGTGTCCAAATGTTGGTAATTGTAAGATGTGCAAAGTTACACTTATAAAGGCTGTTGCAGCACGGTCAATCATTAAGGAATGGTTGATAGCCGCTTGCCCGGCTAGCTCAATCGGTAGAGCGTGAGACTCTTAAGGAGTTGTTCCTCCGTAATCTCAAGGTTGTGGGTTCGACCCCCACGTCGGGCTCAATTCCCGTCGTTCCAAATTCTTTTTGCGTTTTTCTGAACGAAGTTCTGTACTTTGATAGTGCAAGGAAGCACATTTTTTTTTGTTCTCATTGTTTACTTTCTGCGTCTCAGTGACGTTATGTGTTGTTCTCTAGTGTTACGGTCATACCAGAATTCCCCTATTCAAGTAAAAAGTTTTACGCATGAAGCCCAACTTAGATTCTCAGCTGTTTGTCTGCTGTAGGAACTAGAAGTCGTGACCCCACAACCGGTCAGGCCCCACAACCGGTCACGTCCCACACCGCTATTTTACCTGTGTACTTTGACACCCTCTTTCTTTTAATATCAATAATTCTACCAAAACGACGTTGATTTGTGTAACGGGTCTGCAAGAGTAAGGTACAGCGAGCAGTCGTATAAGGTTGAAATGCTATATTTAACAAAGAGGAAAAGGAAGGACTATACCAAAAGGGTGCAGTCAAGAGAAGGTTTTGTACAGATTGCTTAGAGCGCACGGGCTAGGTAATTATGCAGGTCTGGCTAACTAGAAGGTTCGTATCCTTATCGATAAGGTAGGTACCCTATCGATAAAACAATACGGTTTAGTAATAACTAAACTTAACCCCTAGGTTTTAGTCCTATAATATTACCCCCCTACTCCTTCTCCTATAGGAAGAGCGGCCTACCGCATAGAAATTATCATAGCTAAATATACGAAATAATTAAAATTTAATATACCCGTACCTAGCCAAATACTTATTTAAACGGGGAAAACTAATAATACCAAAAAGGATAAAATCTCTATTTAAACTCCTAAATAAACGTTATACTATACTTATTTACTACCCGAGTTAGTAATTAGCGCGCTCGCTATTACCCACACAAAATTATACTATAGGTCAAATATTAAAATTTAATTAGGGGATATTTCTAAACCTCGCCCATCTAAGAAACGTGCTATAGAAATAATATATACCTACGATAGAATATAATCAAAATTATTACCTAGTATTTCGTATCGCTTTACTTTTCTTATTAATCGTAGCTACCGTTTTCTTCGCTAGGGAATAGCCTTAATAATCCTATATTTACGAAATATAATATTTACCGCCCTCTTACAGTTACATATTATAATAAATACTAGCATCCCGCTAACCATACGTAACCAAAGGGGTAAACCTAAACTTACGCATCTAATTAATAAATACTATATTCAAACGTTCCCTCTACTATAATTCTATTAGGGTAGCCAATATTAGTTTTACTTAGTCCGAATCCTTCCCTCCATAGTCGTCGCTATCGTAACTGTTTAAACCCCTACCGAATTATATTCGAACGTTATTCATCCTCCTCTTTTTACACTATTTAAACCAATAAAAACTACTCCTACAATTCGTACACTTACCCTCCCGCTTCTATTTATTCTTTTACTTTTAAAACGGCGACATTTTTAATAAAAATACCGAAATATTAATAAAAATATCTATAGGATTACCCTTATCCTTAATTAGGGCCTACCTTAACGACGAAGCAGAGGCTAAAAGAAAGGAATTGCTATTAAATTTCCTAAAGTAAATAAATAATTAAGAATATTATTTAAGCATATCGGTTCGGTCGGAAAAATATTATTTCTAATTATAGCTTAAAATAATAGTAATTTAATTAAATTTAATGATATTTAGCCCCGAATCAGTTCGGGCACAATATAACACCTCTTTAAAGCGAACAATAAAAGCCGCTATCGACTCCTTAAACTTCTATCTAAACTAATATAATTCTTAACTAGCGCACTTAACAAAATTAGGGTCCCCATATATAAGTTTAAACTTATCAATAAATTTATAGGGAGACCGAAGTATAGCGGCAAATACGACGAAGGGTTTCTTCATAGTAAATAATAAGTAAGCGAATAAATAATAGAATTACACTTTTAAATTACTAATAAATAGGCTATTTATATAGAATTTAGCCTACGTATTCAAAACCTAGGTTTCGAACTCTTCTTTACTCCTGAAAAAATTTTCAAAGTAGGGGAGGACTAGCTTTTGTAAAATAAGCAATTCGGGAAGAAAGGAGGCCGGTTAAGCAGCGCAAAGGTTCGAAATTTCGAAAATTAATTACTCAATTAATAAGGCAAATTATCATTAGCATTCTTAGGAGTTCGTAGACTAGGCGATTTAAGGGAATTGCTATTATTATTGAAATATCGTAAATAAGGTTATCGTTAAGGAACGAGAGCGACGGTATTACTAAAGGAGACGAGAATAATACAGAGAAGGAGACTCTTTAAGCGTGTAGGCGAAGTATAAAATACTTAAAAAGAGGATCAAATATAATATAACGGGTCTATAAAAATAAAGCATAGCGAATAATCGTATAAAGTTAAAATATTATATTTAATAAAAAGGAAAAGGAAGGATTGTACTAGAAGGGTATAGTTAAAAAAAGGTTTTGTACAAATCGCTTGGAGCGTACGGGCTAGGCAGTTATATAGATCTGGCCAACCAGAAGGCTCGCATCCCTATCGATAAGGCAAGCACCCTATCAATAAGGCAACACGGCTTAGCAATAGCCAAGCTTAACTCCTAGGCTCTAGCCCTATGTATAACAGCGCTGGCGGACTGGGTCTGGGTGCCATGCACGAGGTGGCTGCTGGAATGAGGTATATGGAGGATTCTAGGTATAGTACGGTCTAGAGGATGTAAGACATTCAATTGGTTATGCTAAGACTAGTTGCAGGGTAGATCCTAGCATATATAGGGTTTATTATATAAATAAAAGGGATATAAGTAAAGAGATTGGCCAATAGCGACCCGCATATGGGTCCTACTGTCGCTTGTACGACTATGGTATTTATTTGGGTTTGTACGGTTGTACCTAATTCTCTTCCTCTTTTCTTTTCCCTATTTAAAATCTTCTATTATAAATAGAATCTTAGCTTTACCTTCGACTTATCTATACTATGCCTTTATATTATTTTAAATCAACGTAATAATTATTTAGGAAAATTAAATCCTAAACCGAATATAAAATTAAAAAGATTTATTATAAGAATTTAAGGAATTAAATAATTATAATAATACGATAGTACTACTACGTTAAATACGTAATAGTACTGGTAGTTATAAAAGTACTAAATAAACCGAGAATTATAACGATAATCGTTATAACGAAGATATTTTTAACGATGAATGTAACGATACCTTTTTTGGAAAGGAGAGCGGAGATAGTAACGGAGAAGGAAGTTTTAATTCTTCCGATCCTAATCTTTTATAAAAGGAGGATACGGTTATAAAATTAAAGCTTAAAAAGAAAGTCGTTATTAATAATAAAAAGCCTATTCCTAAACGCTAAATTATTAATTTTGTTATTAAAGATAATATACGTAAGGCCGTTTATTTTAATAAGGAGCGCTATAATAGTTTCTACCCTAATGAGGAATGCTTTTGTAGTAAATTTACGATCCTTCGTAAAAAGTCTTTATACTGTATATACTATTTATTAAAGTAACCTGACAAAGTATTAATTAATATTATTGCTAATACGGGAGAGTATAACGAAGAGCCCGAATTATTTTTTAATTTATTCGATTAATATATTACGACGGCGGTCAAAAATATTAAAACCTTCAACGTTCGCCTAATTAAATACAAAGTTACTAACGATTTAAAGTAAAAAATAGAAGAATATACTAAATTATTTGTCCGTAATTTAATCTCTAATATCCCTTTCTAAACTTTATTCCCTATTTTAAACCTCCCGTTTTTTAGTTATTTAATTGAAGAAAAGTTCGTTGAATTATATTATGGAGACCCTTAGGCTATATTTTAGGAATTTAAGCTATTATTTATTATAAGTATAATATAAAACGAATAAGTATTGGAGCTTTATTACTTTGTTTTCTATTTAAACATTAAATTTAAAATTATTTATAATTAGGTCTTCGTTTTAGTCGATTAATATAATATAATTACTATTAACCCTACTATAGTATAATAATTGAAGGATTCCTTTATCGAGAAAGATAATACTATCAAAGGATTGAAAAGATTTTATCGCCGATTTAAATATTAGTAAAGGAATATTTAAGAATAAGAATTAGAATAAAGGGAAGGCTAAAGAAATAATATTCCCTAATATTAAAAAAGACGTTAGCGAGGCCCCCTTTAAAGCTTCTACCCACTTTTGGACTTTACCCTTTGAAACCGACCCCGATAATAGAAAGTATTTTAACTCTTGCTATAGTACTAAATAAGCCGACTTTATTAAATATTATAATTAGGATAGGGAAAATAATATTTCTTTTAAAGTTTAGTACGATTTAATTTAAAATAAATTCGAAATTAATGTCGATTACTACTTATCCGACTGTAATAAGTTTTTATATGTTGAAAATCGCTTAGCTGGGTATATTTATTGTAATTTAATATTGTATTTCCGCGAAACTTACCCGGATTAAGTTAAGACTTATTCCGGTTTAATAATTTATTTATAGCGTTAGTATTATAACCCTAATCAAGAGAAGAATGCGCTCTAAAACTTTATTAAATTGAAAATAAAGGATAACGATAATGTTAATTTCTTTAAGAATAAATTTATTTGGATAATTAGCGAGTGCTAACGTCCTAAGATCAAGTAGAAGCGGGAATTATTCTAATACTTTTTAATTAAATATAAGAAATAAATAGGCGTTAAATATTGCGATTTATCTATTTCCTTCGAATTATATTGTATAGATTACTCCGGTGCTAAGGGTCCTTTATACTAGCTTTTTAAATAGGCGAACTCTTACTGAACTTATTATTATGCCTGTATATAAAATTGAAGTACTAGTAACGATACATTTTAATAATATAAAAGTAGGCGTTATTAAAATAATTTTAAGGAAGTATATTGAATATTAGGTTGTTGGCGGGTATAACCTATTTATTATTATAATCGAGGGAAGCATTATTCGTAAGCATAACCGACGAAGTATTTAAATCGTAGTAACAGCGAAATTGTATAAATAGGGGGGCGTTAAAAATATTTATACCAATTATTAGTGATTTAAAGCAATTAAAAACAATTAAAAGCGATTAAAAAGAATTATAAACGATTAAAATTAATTAATTTAAATAAAATTACGTACGTTAAAGGTATTGTAAAGGTGGGTATTAGTATACGATGTGTAGAGTAGTGTGTAAAAGGGGTGCGAGTGTGTAAGTTTGAAAGTGCGAAAAAAATAACCAAGTTAGAGGAATGTTGGCGTGCATTGAAAATACGAAGTTTAGCGGGTAAAAACGGGATTTTCAATGTCAGGTGTCATCCAGCTGTGAGTCCCACTATTTTGTGGATTCCTGGAATTTCCTGGGTGTATGTAGGGAAGGGGTGGGTGTACCTAGGGTTCCTCTTCTCCAGCGTCATCCTCGGCATCGAACTCGTGAACAACTCTACCATAGGACACGAGACCCCGCGACCGTCGCGAAGATGGACAGCGCATCTCATAACACAAACTTGCAACGGTACCATCGACGGAAAGGGCGACGACAGCCAAGAGGACTGCGTCCGGGCATGTGCCGACAACTCTATCCTCCTCGGTTCGCTCGCTCTGACGAATTGCGTCATGCTTTCAACGGCGGCAAAGCTGGTTCGAGACGGCTGTCTAAATGTGACTGCCGATGATGTCAAGGTACTCAAGCTATTCGAGGTTCACGATCTAGCCAGTTTTGAGGATGTGCCTGTTTACTCGACCGTGGCACAATGCGCCGTTGCTTCGTGCCATGCTGAAGCGCTGGGGAACTGTTCACGGATATGGAGCGAGCCGGATGGGCCGAGCAGCACCACGATCATTGATCGACACTTCCACCGGTATTTCGGCTGGACTGGCCGACTGTTGCGAGGGATTTGTCACGATCTTCGATGCAGACGTGGCTGGACCTGGGGTATATCAATGCATGTTTACTCCCTACGTATCAACTTGAACAATGTAGGAGGAACTCTGAACTGACAAGTCGTCCAGGTCTTAATCTCACATCTTGCTCAATCCCTAATGGCCCTATACGCCTTCATCTTAATCAGGATCTTCAACTCATGGAGCCGCAGGCTCGTAACTCTATTGAGCATCACGTCCCAAGGGGTAACTAGGACCACCAGAACCGCAAGCTGACATCGAAACGTCGTTTTTTTTCACACCCAACGCAGCGCTTATCTCTTCCGCAGTCGAGTTCCACGAGGCGCAAGCCTTCTTCGTAATGGCAATGCAACCGGCGACGGTGGCCACCTTCAAGCCTTCTTGCGGTCAAGTGGAACAGTGCCCGGAGCTGGACTCGGTCCCTGCTATTGCCAAGTCCATCATGAGCTCGGAGTTGTTGCGGATGTTGTCTTTTGATAGCATATTGCCTGTGCTGCTAATGCAATCATGTTTGCAGAAGGAGGGGGTGACATGGTACGTCCTTACCTTCCCAAGGTGTCCGTTCGAAGGACCTGCTAACAACCCAAACCCAAAACCAGGTGGTACACAGTGTTCTTCACCTCCACAGTCTTCGTCTTCGTCATCATCATCCAACTCTGGACCTCCATCCCCCTCGTCACAGGGCATCTAGCAAGCGACGCAGGGTCTGCGCCGGGCTGTGTCGTTGGCTTGGGAGTCAGCTCTCTAACATCCCGTCCTGAAGGCAATAGTGGGGGGCCGGTGGCTCCAACGGTGGAGAATGAGGGATAAAAGTCCATGTTCCAAGCAAGGATAACCATCAAAGCCCGCATGGCTCAGTGGTAGAGCGCATCACTAGTAATGATGAGGTCGTCAGTTCGATTCTGGCTGTGGGCATCAAACCCTCTAATGAGGCCTGTGATCTTCTTTTTTTTTTTTTTTTTTTTTTTTTTTTTTTTTTTTTTTTTTTTTTTTTTTTTTTTTTTTTTTTTTTTTCGGTGTTTTGTTATGCACTAGGTTTGGGCGAATTACCTCTATTCTCTTCTTTGCCATGACTCCCTAACTTCCGGCCTAGGGGTATCTTCCCGCGACATGGAACTCCTGTCTAGAATGACGGAGTTGTGCTCGTCTACGACTTTGTATACCAGCGTAGTAGTCTTCCTTCGAAACCACTTTGGACGCCGACTGTAGACACAAAGCAGCGTTAGCAGAAGTTCGTCAACGAACAAAACTCGAAAGGTGAAGAAGAAACATCGGTTGAATGGCGTACCCAGAGGAGGAAAAGGAAGACTTGCAAAGATTGTAATACAAATACTTCCCGACAATCGGCGCCCAAATGATCCCCGATATCAGCTGTCCATACGACCACTGCCCCTGCCCCATCCCCACCCCGCGCAATATCCTCATCAGAACCTGGAGGTGAAACCCCGGAATGAACCCCGGAATTGCTGGAAGCGACCTGTGCCATATTGACACTGTGACAGTTGATGTCGTGATGGCACGGTCTTTACACAGCCCTACATGAGCTTGATTCCGGGTTCGTGGGCGGTCGATGCTACCACCGAGGTGTATCATTGTGCAAGCGATGGGGGCGCGGGGGGATAATACCTTCCTTCCCAGGCAGCTGGGTCATCACGTTGATTATCAGCTATTGTAGATCTGTGCCGGCAAATGGGCACCACGGAACGTATAGCAGGTACCTTAACGACTGCCTTCGTTTCGCCAACGACCAAAACTACGACCAGCCTCCCGCCTCACGGCCTCAGCGACCGTCATGCTCCTCATCAAACCAATCATGGCCATTATCGGCATAAGAAACACCATCCAGCTCCTACCCCACCGTCTAGGTGATAATGACGACGCCCGAAATATTGCTCCTACTATAAAGCCTACCTAGAGGTACACAAAAGCAAAGACTCTGGAAGGATTCATCCAGGGATAACTGCTCCTGTTACCCAAACGAGACCAGCATTGGACGAACATTTCACGGCTTTATGGACCAGTATCTCTGGCTGAGCGGGTGTACTACCGCCGCGTTTCTTCTGCGAGGCCAGACATTGAGCTTGAACAAGACAGAGACGTAGTATCTCGGTACGAGATAGGGAAGCAACGGATTCCATAGTTCATGCCAACGCGTGACCGATGCTTGGTACCTAAATACCGGGCTACGTATCAGACACAATTCCATCCAGTCCACCAAAAATTGCCCAGAGCAAGAGTTAATCCTAGACTGCCACTGGCATCTCCGAGTTACATCCCCAACAGGTTCATTGCAGAGAGCCGAGGATGGTCATCATCGTCGGATCTGCCATCCCAGTGGATGCAAGGACTAAAGCGATCACTCAAGTCTTCGTCTCGCACACACCACAGACAGAGGCTCGTCTCGTTTTCGGTCCACCCCGGAAGCCTTTGGTATATGGTAGAGGTATCAAGGCCCAATTCAATAGGAGTATTCTCAACGTGTCTGGCTTGCTTGTCGACACACCATCCGCTCCGGAAGGCTCTTTGTTCGTCGGCGAGCGGCTTCAATCTCTCGATCATCTCCAGGATTGAGAAATGGGGAGTCGTCCAGGAATCCTCGGGCCTGGGTGACTCATCGTTAAATGAGTGCCAAATTTTCCTGAATCGGTCCTGAAGGGATCTCTTCCAAGTGCAGTTACAGTCAGTACTTAATCTAGTATCCGCCTTTTTGTAACCAGTTTCCTTGAATATCGCATCGAGAATACGTGATCGAAGATAAGCCGTTCGCTCCGTCAGCAGGACTATGGTGATCGTTAGCAGATACTCGAAGCGTTGAAATGTACGGGTGATTCCAGGAGGAGGCAATTACCAAACAGCCGAGGAGGCAATGTATCTTTGAGTAGCTTCAAGGTAGCAAAGTCGGCGTAAGAGCTGTGATGAGTGACCATGACAATCCAGGTGTTTATCGCAAAGAAGTCTTCGTTCTGGAGAACCCATGCTGCCGCAATGCGGTACATTGCGTCTTCCGGGGTTCGATGCTGTTTGGGCTGCTGAAACCACGTGGTGATAACAAAGTGCATCGCATTCATCAAATCGTACTTGTCAATTAGAATGGCAACATGGAGCATCATCAACCCAGATGTTTCGGGATCCACGTCGTTGTTGAGGAAGTGGAGTGCTAGACAAACAGTCTCCATGGCTTCAGGGTCATCTTCCGGAAGATGAATCTCTTTCGGGTTTTCGGCAGAAATCCCCTTACTTTCGATCCAAGGCGGGGAAAGCATTGCCCTGAAGACCGTAGACGCCTCTCGAAGGATGGCCGACTGAACTCTGAGACGGAGCTGTTGATCCTCGGAATCAGGAGCCCCGACGACGAGAATGATATCCCCAGTGGCTGAAATCACTCTGTTGGGGTTCTCTTCTATGTCGCTGCTCTCCCTGTAGTCCTCCGTGATGTAGTTTGTCTTGTCGTCCATCTTCGCAAGTTGAGCAATCCGAAGTTGTGGCTCAGAAATTGACAGATTGGCTTTGTAGCAGGTGGCTGGCGTAGTGAGTGAAGCGACCAAAACAAGATAAAGGAAAGTAAAAAAGTGGAAAAAGTTTAACAGGAGCGAGGAATTGCCAGAACATTAGAAGAAGTCGAGCAACAAAGGCGGAAGGGCGGGGATCTGGAGGGACACGCATAACTGCACGCGGGTCGATGAAATCATGAGGTCAGTACTCAGTTCACATGCAGACGTGATCGATGATTGGGTTCAGGCTTCTGCACCATGCTGTAGTCGAACCTTCCATGCAGGAATCGGTGATCCTGTAGCCTCATGCTTCATACATCTCCCCGCGACGCCGTCAAAATTTCCACAACTCAGTCTCCTCAAAACACTGAAGCTACTCAGCCTGCCATTCCTCTGTTTTCCCATTCGAATGCGTGTTATGTAGGCCGCAGACGCCGAGTACAATCCTCCACTGGTATACAGCATCACTTGATTGCTCATCCCTGGAAGGCTCTCGGTCTATAATCAGAGGCATTTTCTTGATCAAACTATGCTGAACAAAGCCTGGTACAGGCATATCCAGCTTGCCACAAGGCATTTCGGCATCCTTGTTACGGCTTTGTGAACATAACTAAGCGACCGCTCCAAACTAAGCAGCTTGTATCGAACTCATACATCCGGATTTAACGAAAAACGCTTGTTTATCGCACAAAGACTCTCGACGTATGCGTCGACCATGGTACTTCGGCCTGCCTAGATGTTAGAGCTGGCAGGTGCACCCTGTATCCTGTAGGCTATATGTAGCCAGTACCTGGCGCACCCTTGCATTTACATCACACTCTACAGAATACATCACACACATGCACACGCATACTGCTCGCATTGCCTTATGGCATTGACACTAGACCTAGCTAGGCATGGCTCAGACCGAGAAATCATGCATTGCATTGCAACGCGGGACGGTGTTGGGCTTCAAACAGTCCAGACAAATGCTTGCCCTCGCTCTGATATGCCGGATTGACTCACAGATGTTGTTGGAATCCTGCGGACGGTGCAGACAGTTGTCCTTCGCGGTGTCCTCGAGTTTGGCGACATCTTCGAGATCCTGGAAAATAGAGCCAAACGCCCTCAAAATGGTACGGCCATGCTTGTCCGAAATACGCCGAAATGCGGCCCTCAGCTTATAACACGCATCGCAGGAACACGACTCGGTGCCCCAAAAGGATTGTTCGTGGATATAGTCCATAAGGTCGGAACCCAAACGCTTTGCCCGTCCCGCAAGGAGTACTAGAGTGAGTCACCGACTTGGTTAGCCTTGATGGGTCCAACATCGTAGATACATGATATAGGCATGCTTCCGAGCACTTCAAGCACCTTTGGTTTGGGGACACATATTGTGAAATACATACCGAAAAGCTTTGCAGGTAGCAGATCCGCCAGAAACGGGTCTTCCATGAAGTCGGTGTAGGTGTCCGTGGAGGTATTTCTCACCACGAGACAAATGGTGAGCTTGGGAAACATGGTATCTTCCTTGAGCAAGTGCGCCGCCGCAATCAGGTGGATTAAATCCACCTCACTCAGGCCGTCGACGATATTCAGGAACCGACGCCACCATGACTCTCTTGTAGCTTGGAGAGCCCGCCCAAGATCGTACTTGTCGACGTGGAGTACGACGTTGAGAAACTTTTGCGCTGTCATCGAGACAGGAACGAGGCTGTTTTGAGAGTGGACGATATAACAGATGGCTTTCATCGCCTCGAAGCTATCCTCCGGCAGGCGGATTTCCTTGGGGGCCGCTGAGCCGAGACCCTCACTCTCAACCCAAGGGGGGGAGGACATGGCCGCAAATACCTTTGAGCTGTGACAGAGGACGGCAGATTCGACGCGTAGGCGCTTTTGCTGGTCGCCTTCGCCAACGGCAAGAATAACGTCGCCGGTAGGCGAGATCTCGATGATGTTGTTGGGTGACTCGCGGTCCGAGGTGCCGCGCGAGTTGCCGCGCGAGTTTGGGATACGGAAACTTTTAAAACCTTTCATCGCGGAAGTGTAGAATAGAGTTGGAGAATTCTGGATGAATGTTGTGTTGCGCTTGGTCACTCCAAGTTCAAAATCTGAACTGAAATGTTTGGTCGTGGGATGGAAGAAGATGAGGGAAGTGATACAGCGCGGGATAGAAGTTGCTGGAAATGGAAGAATGGAGGAGAATGGCGGTAACTGGCAGAGTGACCTGGGAAGGTGCGAAGGACGGTAAAAAGGTGTGAGGTGCCGAGAATTGGGTCACCGCCTTTGAGTGAATGGTGCCTGACGATTGCCGTGAAGGTAAGTTCGTGTCCAGGTCACCCCGCCTACTGCCTGAAACTCGCACCTGCCTGCCAGCTCGCAATCTTATACGTGTCCCTGGTACTTGCCATCTTCTATTTTGGTCGGGCTCTGATTTCTGTGTCTTATCTTAATTCTATCTACGTGGTCTCGGCGGTTGTTTTGGTTATATCAAGTACCTTACCCTGCCACCGCCGACAAGCCTACGACCTGCCAACGCTGCAGTGAGAACGGAGGCACTATCCCAATCTTTCGAGACGTACTATCACTTGATAGGGCTATACTGTAATCAAGGTATTGTACCTGTCGGTAGACGTTCTCAACAACGTCATATTGTTCCCACGTCCAATCTCACTACCAAGATCCCTCCCCGCCCGTTGTTCCTCACAGAACGAAAGATTAAAGGGAAGAGGGGGGTAGGTGCGACTTATAAGTCGAACAGCGCTGTTTAGGTTGGACACAAACTGAATAATTTGGTACAGCACGGTGCCGAGAATGATAGTTGAGTCATAATGTATCTTAGCCTCTCCTCCTGACATATCTCTTAGATCCAGACTTCCAGGCATATCACAAACATCACTGGTAGCTAGCGGCATATGTTACCGCCGGCACTAGCTGTGCCGTCATGTCTTCCATTGACTGATTGCAGTCATACCAACAGTTTGCAACTCCTATGCTACGCTCGTGGCATCGAACATGTTTGAAGATTACTTGCGTGGATCTCGCAGCGAAGCTTACAGATCTGTGAGTGCCTGAGGCGAGTTTGTGTAAGTCATGATACCTGGGTAGATGACCACTCATTGCGTGACAATCCGGCCGTACGCCGGCTAAAGGCCGTCTGTCGGCCCGGGAAAAGTGGATCATTGCGGTCTCCGAGAGTGTGGGTCCGTCTTCCGGTATTTCATTCTCGGCGCGGAGGCAGTACTTCATCGATCTGCGACCGGTGATTGTATGGATTGATGAAGAAAGACTAATTCTCAGTACTGTGTCGATGTATATTATTGTTTTGTGGTGTAGTTGTGAGATACTGAGTAGCCCTGGCAGCTCAGTCCCTCAAGCAGACTGCCTAACTGGAGACGTCTCGATATGGGCCCTCGTAGTCTTTAACCTTTCCTATTCAAGAGCGCTTTGGGCTGAGCCTGCTAGTCTTCACTTCCTCTTCATGCCCTTTCAGACAAGGTATTCTCTTATTTGTTTTTCCCTAACCCGCAGAATGGAAATTATGCCCAGCATTGCAGGAGTCTGTGACATCACAGACTCCTGCGATGCCAAGCAGTCTTACATACCTAAGGCAAAGAACAATGCGCTCCTTGAAGAGCTGTACTTTTTGCCCGAGCGCTACGAAGTCTTCTGGGAAGGCAACGCTGTGAGGTTCTCCACTGTATGAGCACTCTGCTTGTAGGAAGAGGGCGTCTTCATGAGCTAGGTCCGCCAGATCATAGAGGATGGACGCCAGAAGTTTGCGATGTCCATCGTCAGTGTCATCAAAATGGACTACGAAGTCCTCGAAGTGCTCCGTGATTGCGTCGCGCGCGTGACACGAACAGCGTCGACAGCAATTATATGGGCTGTTTCTGTTCAGGCGCTTTTGTATGTCCTTGATGACATTCAATCGGAATTGTGAGGCTCGTTCTCCCAACATAACTACCGATATTTAGAAAGGGTTTAACATAGGTTGCAGTGGGAGAGTATGTAGTAGGGGTGCAGAACTTACCAGCGAACTTTGGTGGCAATAAACTGCTAATACGATCGTCATGCAGGAGCGCGGCGAAAGAATATGGCAGAATGGCCATTAGATCGAAAGAAAACTTGCTGAATGATGTGCAGTCATCAAGCAGATAGGCTGCGGCTGTAAGGTTGAAGAGACCTGTCCACGTCAAAAGTTGGCTTTTTTCTAGACTGGCGGTCGAAAGTCCCATGTCCCGAAGTTCAGTTCTCGGAGTCCAATCCTGCAATGGACTTTGAAGGCTTGCATCCCTCATGATTGACTTGAGAAAGAATTTGAGCGCTCTGTGAAAGTCGTACTTATCCGTGAGGATAGCGATGTGCAAAAATGCCCTCGTGCTGGGCGCTCTCTTTACGATCTCCTCATCGTTCTGATGGTGAATGACTGCGCAGATGAATCTCATGGCTCTCGCATTATCCTCTGGGAGCTCTATCTCCTTGATGGAACCGCTCTCGGTGGACAGGCCTTGACTTTCCACCCAGGGAGGGGAGAGCATGGCGGCAAAGACGGGGGGAAGCAAGTCGAAGGACGATGGACGAGACAGGGATGCGTGCCTTCTCGGGCCCAACGATCAATACAAGGTCATGGTCGGGGGAGAAGGTCGTCCGGGCTGTCATCTTCATGTTATCTTCGCTCGCCTTCGGCTGGACGTCCATCGCGTCTGGAATGGTGAGCCCCATTGGCGGAGAATAAAATTGAGAGATCTGGCCGCTTTGTGCGTTCTCGAAGGGCCCTGGACGAAAGAAAGGGCGAGAGAGAAGGTTTGAACGGGGACTGTTGAGTTTAAGAGCAGAAATCGTGGTGTGCAATTGTGAAGCCGAGGGTTGAGGACCGTTGACGGGACACGTCAGGCGGGGGATGGACAGGCAGACAGGGATGCTAAAAGTGGGACTTTAAGCAAGAGGCGGAAATCAGTACAGAAAACATGAGAGGCACGCGCCTGGAAGACTCCCACTAGAGGTATATTCTGTAGTGCTATCTGGCCAAGAAGTGGTCTCTTTTTTGACGATGTCAACAATTGGTCAATGCTTCACTGGTTCCCGACCGTCATCAAATCTCTGCACCTCCCAACTCTCTCACCTACAATCCTCAGACCCCTTCCAAGCCTAAACACAGCACTGTCTTGTTTGACAACCCTTCGCTTCCAGGTCATGAAGAGGTGCCTAGTGTACTCCTGATAAGATGATGCCCGGGCTTCGTACCTTCTCGGACTGAACCTCACAGGCGATTACGGGTACGGCAGGCGGGTGTGGATGTCGATGTTCCTCCCCAGGGCATCCAAGAACAGGCCCCTTAAGCGCAGTACCAGTAAATCATGCATGACGAATCATCCAAAGCTCATTAGAGGTGGGAATCAAAGATTGCACGGGGTCCATGCATTGTCACGATAAATTAAGAGTACACGGAAACTGTTCAGAAAGATCATGTCCAAGACGCCACGAACCTGACGAAATGATCATTCGATACCTTGACAGTTTCCTTCGCCACCGCTAGAACCATCTCCCACTTCAGCTCATGCGTCCGCCGAATGTTGTACGTCGTGAAATCCGGATACAGAAGCGCGCTCATCTTGGCCGGCCCGCCTCGATACGCCAGTTCAGTCGGGTTGAACCTCAACCCCAGCTCAGCGCCGATATCTCGGGCCGGTGGTTCACCTTCTGGACCACCACCCCCAGCTGAGCTCATTCCTCCACCTCCCAAACCCTCCTTCTCTCCCATCTTCTTCTTCTCATCCCCCTCCCCAAAACCTGCACCCGCTTCCGCTCCCATCCTCCTATCCCAAACCGGCAACGCCATCCCCTCCTCCCCTTCCTTCCACATCCAACTCCACTCAAAAAACTTATCCGTCCGATCCGTATACCGATCCCAAACCAACGAACTCGCCACCTTCACCTCCGTCCTCGCCTTGACCACCATCTTCAAACTAACCACACTCACCGTCGGCGTCCTCTCCAGCTGCCTCACCTCGTCGCTCGTCTCGTCCGCTTGCCCAAGCCGCGGCACGGCCGCCACCCGAAACGGAACCGGGTCCACGCTTCCCAATTGGATCACCCCGGGAGAAATGACCAAGATGTCAAACGAGTACTTGGGTACTTTCGACGAGTGAAACAGCTTGAGGATTTTCTGCTTAAACGAGAGCTCCTCGCTGTCTGCAAACTCGGGTATCAACCGCTGCGTGCGCACGCCTTCGCGCCTCACCCACCGGCCTAGGCGCCACTCATCTGGTAGCAGAGGGGGGATAGGTGGTGGGCGGAGCGTTATCGGCAATACCGCAGTGGCGGTCTTCTTGGCTGATGGAGAGCTGCTAAAGCGGGAGGTGTGCTCCTCGAAGAACTCGGCTTGGAGGACGTACTCGACGTAGGCCTCGATGCCGTTGGCCCAATACGAACCGACCTTGGTGTAGAAGGTGAAAGGTAAGGGGTGGGAGGTGATTTGGTCTGGGGGATCGATGGGGAGGAACGAGTGTTTCTGTTTGTTATGGGCTCCTTCGCGCACGCCTTGGGGGTTGACGGGGCCGAAGGGGAGGGAGAAGGAAAAGGGCCATGATTCGGTTTTGCTGCCGTCTGGCGGGATGTGGATGGGCCCTTTGAAGATGGTGTTGTAGAAGGCTGGTCCGGAACCGAGGAGGTTGAAGCGCGTGCGCACGGTGTGGTGCTGGCTGCCGTTGCCGCTGTTGGTGGTGTAGTCGACGCGCACCTTGGTGCGGCCGTAGAGCTTGATGCTGACGAGGGCCTCGGAGGACACGACGTGGCTCCGCCGGAAGACGCGGCCCGTGATGGTCTCGCCCGGGTTGTATTCCCGGTTGGGAACGTCAAGCTCTATCGCCAGGTCCGGACTTGCTTCAATCACGGCCTGGGGCATGGTGGAGGAAATAGGGGGTGAGACGGTGAATCGCCAAAAACAAGAGGTGAGTAGTATGGCGAGCTTGTGGAATCCAAAATGGTTTCATACATATCCCATTTCCCCAGAATATGGTGCATGGAAGGCGCAGGTAATGCCGCGGTCATGCATTTGATCGTCCCCCCACCCCGGTGGCCGTCGATGTCATCTCACTCCGGCTGTACCTCCCCGGTTTGCGAGGCGCAATCCGTCCCGAGACCCCTCATTGCCCGCCTCTGACTTACAACACTGCCACACCTCGCCCCATTTAATACCAACGCTTTGTCTGGGGAATCCTGGCTTCTGCCTATCGATCAATGTGGCTTATTTAATTGATATACGACGGGTGAGCGGGACAAATGATTAGGAACGAAATTGATGTTGACGTCGTCAGGTTGGGTGAGAAGTTCAGGGGAACATTCTTGGGCGGTCCTTCAGCAGCAGTGCAGTGCATTTGACTTGGTGCACGTTCCTTAACATCCTGCTCCACTCCGTCCCGCAGGCTTCGGCACGATGATTCGTGCTGTAGCTATGCGCTTTTCAAAAGCTGTAAGAGGGCAATAAGATAAGAATTGAGATCAGACAGAATAAAGTCTATAGAAAAATGATTTTAAAATAATTCATGCTGTTGTTTTGGACGACAGGAAGCGTTGTCTTCCGAGAAGACATGATTTAAGTGTTAGTGCACGTTCAGGACCAGGACCTGCAGCATTTAGGGAACATCCCGGTAAGCAACCTCCACCGAACTGAAGCTTCTTTGCGGACAAACTCAAACTCCTCCTTGTAGACTGTGATTCTGAATCCTTTACCGTTTTTAATGTGTAGATAATCTGATGTTTGAACCGCTAGCTTCTAACATCGCCAAGAGGAGACCTTGAAAGTAATGCGTAGAAGTTGCGGTGGATCCAAGTTAGAAGGTGTAGACATCGCGACCCCACAACCGGTCACCCCCCACAACCGGTCATGCAACTTCATCATCAGGACCCAGATAACATCGAAAATTAGCCACTTTTGCAGCGTTTTGAGCCGTTTAAAATATAGATCTATTCATTCTAATATTCGTAGATGACTTGCAATGTCGTCTCGAGGGCCCTTTCTACCTATTGTACTAGATTTATAGTATTCTTAGTTGACGATATCTTCCTTCGTTTGGGAGCCTATTTTAAAGCTTTACGAACTTTCAAAATCTCCTCTACACTTACAAATTTATCGTTCCCCCCTTCTCGAACCTTCCTTTTACTTCTAAGTTTATATAACTCGAACTAAGCTTCCAAATATTATATACGATGGTCTTTTGCAGCCAATTCAGCATTCTTAACATCCAGAGACTTAACTATCTTAGTATAAACAATCCTAAAATTACAATTGAAAGTAGATAACTCGTTATTAATACCTTCTACCATATTCCTAAACGTCTAAGGAATTTTAAAAATAATATTATCCTTTAATACCTCGATTCTAAGTAGTATTCTAACTAGTAATAGCTAGAGGGGAAGGGCATCGTCATTAATAATAGCTTCTAAGTCGTCCAGGACAGCAGATCTATTCATTAGCTATATCCCATCTTCCTAAAGCCTAACCGAAAGTTTCTAACACTCACGCCTCGTCGTAAAGCCATTTAATAATACTAAAGAAAGCGTTATTTATTTACTAGCGCAAATATAATAAAAGTAGTAAAATCCTTTATCAAATTCCTAAAATATAACTTCAATACTAAAAAGACTAATACATCGAATAGCTAAGTCTTATAAAAAGTATAGGGAAATAGAAAGAAAAGCTAAACATTATTCTAGAAGGCTTTTAGAAGGAAATCGTCCAACAGATAACTCGAATACTCATCGAAAACCAAAAGGCGCCAACCGTCGTTTATCTAAGTCTCTAAAAAATAAACCTCCTTCAACCATCGTAAAGCAATCCCTAAATTACTCTAACCAATCAAAGAGCTATCGTATTTCCAACTTTTAAACTCATTATCCATATTATCAAAGAACCATTAACCTTAAAGAGATATACTAATAAAAATAATGACGGAGGTTAATCTCTTACCCTTAGCGATACTATATTCGATTATAAATACCCAAGTTATTACATTAATCGTTATTACATATACCTTCTTTATTAAAACGCTCCCAAGTACTCTACCATCCCTAAATTCTAACTCTTAAAGACCATATTCATCTATATTAGTTATATTAATTAGTATAATAGCCTTATCGCGAATAACAGTTTCCAGCAAATTGAAAAAAGCCGTAAATACTTCCTTAATTAATCCTCTAGCTCGAACCGATTTGAGAGGGCTCGAAATTTTGATTCTAATAGAAAGATTCCTCTTCATAAACTGGTCTACCTATCGCGCTCCCAACTTATCATCATCGCCTCCTCTTTTTAATATTAATATAGCGAACCCAGCTACTTAACGATAGTTAGGAGCCCGGCCAACCTTCGCCTTATTCAAAATCTAATCGCATAAGAAGGATTCCTATATTAAGGAGAATCGCTAGCTCGATATTTTAACGGCGCGCTTAGTAGGGATGCCTCAAATACAATCGGACAAGGTAGACTAGGCAATACCGTATTACTTCGATACAGCGCGCTGGGACAAGCCGTTATAAATGGCGTTAATAGCCTAATTAATTAGGCGCTCTTTCGCCGAATTCATTGTACTCATTTTGAGTTAAATTGTTATGGTGCAAGGGTACAGTATGGGTGAGTCGAAGGCAAAGCTAAGATTCTATCTATAATAGAAGATTTTAGATGGGCAAAAGAAAAGAAGAAAAGAACTAGGTATAAGCGTACAGACCCAAATAAATACCCTAATTATATAAGCGATAGCGGGACCTATATATAGGTCGCTGTCAGCCAATCCCTTTATTCGTATCCCCTTCACCTATATAATAAACCCTATACGTACTAGGATCTACCCTATAACTAGTTTTAGTATAGCTAATTAAATATCTTATATCCCCTAAATTGTACTATACTTAGAATCTTCCATATATTTTATTCTAATAGTTACTTTATATATAGTACTTAAACCCAGTCCGCTAATGCTATTATATTACCCCCCCTTATATAGAAGATTCGTTTACGAGTCTTACTAAATAATTATATAAAATACTATAAATTATATTTATTTCTTCTTCGTAATACGTTGTAAACGCTTTAATCCGTCTACTTGGGGGTATTTATCTTTATTATATTATTCTGTATCTTTGTTAAGCTAGTTTATTAATTTCCGGGGCGGGCCAGGGGCGTCCGGGTCAATTTCGTAAAAGTCCTAAAATACTTTTAGTACGTATTTAAAATCGGAGGTAGGATACTACTTTAAGTCCGGGTCCTAACCTTTCTAATTTGTTTAGTAGAAGAATTTCCTATTAGCTACCTTAGAAGCCGTAACTTTATTAACTTCTTACTCAGGGTTTCCGTTCTTATTTATAACCGGACTGGGGTATTCGATTATTTATCCTAAAAGTAAATTATTATTATACTTTTTTAAATCTACGGGGCTTAATTTATTTATATTTAGGGCTATAATCGGGATGAATTCCTCTAATAGGCTAGAAATGGTAATAATAAAAGTAAGGATAAAGATTGTAATTCTATTTTCTTCTATTAGTTTGAATATTTAAAGTGTATAGTACGCATCCTTCTTATTTTTTTAAGTCTTAAGGTCCTTAATCTTTCGAGAAAACGTATCCGCTACTACATTCTTTATACTAGGTTAATACGTAGTTTCGAAATAGTATTAAAATAGAAACTTTCCTTATCCAGCTTATTAAAAGTTAAGGAGGCGTTTAGTATTAAAATATTTAAATATTCAATAATTAATAATAATTATAAATGGTTTATTTTATCATAATCCAACAAATTCGGGTCGCTAAATTTAGAAAGTCCTAATAATAACGAATAACTCCTTATTGTAACTAGGATAGTTATGCTCGGCGCTTTATATAATCTTTAAAAAGAAAATAATTAGGTACTATTTTCTAGTATCTTCCTATAATTAAAATAATATTCCCGCTAATATTCTATCGCTAATATTTATTTCTACCCTAATTTTAATATTATAGTAAAAATACTTTAATAGCGGGGCCTCCATAAGTAATTTCTTAAATTCTTCGAAAGCGGCTTAGTATTTAGTAATCTAAATAAATACTTTTCCCTTTTGTATTAAATTCGTAAAGAATAAGAAGGAGACCGGATTTTTTGTATAAATAATTTTATAGAGAAGAGAAGGCTTATAATTTAAAAGGTCTTCGTTAAGTAGAAAGGTTTTAAAGAAATAATATAGGAACCGTTAGAAGAATTTTTAGAAATTATAATATTAAAAGAATTCGAATAGTAATATAGGCCTGTAAATATTAATAATAAACCCTTAGAATAATATTAGCGCAAAAAAAGTATTCGCTCTAATAAATAAAAGAGAAATTAATTATAATTAAAAGTTAACGAATCCCTTTCCCTGAAGAAATAAAAGGATATATAAAAGCTAATCCCTTATATAAAAAATTAATTTATAAAAATATAAAAATAAAAAGGAATGTAAGCAACCTATTTAGTAAATGAAGTTTTCACTACTATTTTCTATTATATTTTAACTAGAAGGATCGGTTATAAAACTTCTTTCTTCCCGAATCTCCCCCTCCTTTAAAGGAGACTACTTCATAAGGTAGTCAATATTTATTTCCTCCCTACTAAGAATTTATAATTCTAAGAACGAATTGGCCGTAATTATAATAAAATTAGGAGGGGCGGTAATATTAAGTAAAATAATATTAGCATAAAAGACCGAACGAATATTATATTATAGAGGCGATTTAATAACGGCGAAGAGGTTTTGGATGCTTCTTTTAAAGGAATTACGCTTATTAACGGGCTTAGCGAAATTTTAGAGGAAAGAATCGTTCTAAAATTAGAGCCCAACTACCTAAAAACGTAGGGAATTTATAGTACTTTATAAAGACGATATATTGTCCCGGATTCAATTTAATTCCTTAAAAATAATAAAATTATAGGAGGGAGAGGCGATAAACGGCATAATAAGAATAATAAATTATATAGGAATAGCGGGAGTAGGTATAATAGTAATAGTAAAAATAGGTATAATAACGGGGCCAGTAATAGTATTAGGGCTAGAGAAAAAAGTAGGGCTAGTAATAGTATTTAGGTTTATTAATCGGTAATCGAAGGTTTATTTATTAAAACGGTTACGAATTATAAAACGAATATTATGTTCAAATATTTTATTAATAGAAATTATATTTTTGCGAACTATAGTATTATTATCTTTAGCCTAGGAACCCGGATAATTATATAATTCCTAATTATAATAAATATTCTAAGTTAATTCGGGGGTAGGAAAATAAATCTTCCCTAATTTAGCTTTATAAATTATATACTTTCCGTACGCAATAAAATCCGCTCTGATATATTTGTAATGACGAAAAAGGTAAAGTTAGTATTAAAACGCCGCTAATTTATATTTAACGGCCGTAATTTAAGTTTATAGTTTAGAAAATTTCTTTTATATATTAATACGGATAGAAGGGAAAATACTATAATATAAGGCTACCGGGTCCCCTTTAATTACCTTTACTTTACTTTTACTTTTATAATTAGAAGGGATTTTAATAATTTCCTTGTCGTTACCGACTATAAAAATAGCGACCGGGGTATTAGGGCAGATAGGAGGGGTAAAGCCGATAGGAGGAATAAAATTAGTAAGAATAATAATTATAATAAGAGCGTTAAGAGTAATAAGAGTAGGGTTAAGTTATAGGAAATATAAGCCTAAATTATACTACGGTTAAGTGTAATTAAAATAATTAAAATTAAAGAAGTAATTATACTATTAAGAGTAAATAGGTTGAATATTAAGGGTTAGGAGAAAGTAAACAGCTAAGGTTACGAAGGGTTAAATAATTAGAATTACGAACGGTTAAGGCTAGATAGTAATAGTAGGCGCGGGAATAGGAATTGCTAGCGTAGTAAATTAAAGCTACGAAACCGGGGTTTACTCTTATTAAACTTATTATTAGGCGAAGAATTTCTTATATTATTAATTTTTATAAAGCTTCATTACGAAAATTTATTTTATAATTAGATAGATAGTACGTAAGGGAAGGAGTAGAGGATTTATTAATTATATTTAAATTTGCGATAAAAGAGGAAAGAAAAGAGAGAAAGGGAGAGAGGAGGGGACGAAACCTCTTTATACACTAAGTTGTAAGGTAATAGCTATAGGATAAATAAGCTAAATTAAACTGGATAGGTAGAATATATAGAAACGGAAAGTACGCGTACTATTTATATATAGTATTATATTATCGCTTTAATTATTAGAATAATTTAGATTAGGAGGAAAGGGCTAATATTATAAGGCTACCGCCTAAAGGTTTATATTAGGTTTTATAGCCTAATTGCTTGCTTGTAGCTTATACTTTATAACTCGCGACGGCGCTGCGTCTCTATAACGCTGTATACGTACCTATAGCCCCCTTCAAAAGGCTATAATCTATAGCTCCGCTTTATAGCCCGATTTTTCCCCCTTTCCTCTTTATAGAACCTTATCGATCTTATTTTGGCTCAGTATCTGTACTATACTCTGCTGTCCCCCTTACAATACTAGAGCTAGTGCTATAGCCTAGAGCTATATATTTACGTATTAGTTATATATTTTAATTATATGTAGCTTTACGTACGCGCGTACGGACTAGTTTGCTAAGCTCTCGCCTATATAACTAATCCTCTACGTATACTTCCCTTCCTCTCCCTCGTATAATAACGCATATCTTACCCTACCCCAACGGTGCCCTCTCGCCCCGTGATATAGCTATATTAAAGTAATTAATAATAATAAGGAGGATAATAAGGAACTAGGTAAATATTAAAAGGAAAGGGTTCGAAAAGTATAGTGGCGGGAGGAGGTATAATAAGAGGAGGTATAACGAAAAGAAGTATAGTAGAAAGAGGCGCCTATCGAAATATTCTTTAAACTTTCGTCCCTTAATGATAATTTTAAATTTAGTAATTAACATAGCGAATAGAGCGTTCAATTTATAACATTTTATATTAAACGCTATAGAAATATTATAAGATTTCAATTATAAGGAGGCATAGAAATGAATTGGGTTATATGGGGACCGATTCAATAATATAAATAATATTCTAAACGCCCAGATTTACCGCTAAAACCCTATATTTTATATAACAGCTGACATTTGAAAAAGGTGGGTGTCTGTGGGGAAGGGGTGGGTGTACCTAGGGTTCCTCCTGGAGAAACTCGTAGCCGAGGGTTCTGCGAGGTCGTATTCGAGGCCGAGAATGTCTGCCCTGAGCTGAACCAACTCCCGGGTGGCTAGATGTGAAGGTGGCATGGTGAATGGAGGGTGAGCAGCCGCCAGACTTGGAGTGTCGTATGTGGGCTTTCGTAAGGAGAAAACCTGTCCGCACTCCAAGACAAACCTCCGCGCATCCTAAATCCAGGGCTTATACAAGGCTTTTCTCAACTACTATTTGAGCCTATATCTTAAAACCAGTTCCAACTATGTCTAAAGGTTTGCCCATCCTATTTGAGGCCATTACAGCATTTTTTACTTGTTGGGTGGATGCGTTGTAGCCGTGTTGTTGGCCGTACTAAATCCTAATTGCAAATGCCGGCGCTGCGAATGCAACTACGTATATCAAAGACCAATTTAAGAGATAAAAGGTAATTCAAAATAATAGGTGGGCAATTCAATACCTTCCTTTCTTTTATACTAAGTTATATGGCAATATGAGCGTTGTGGCTGGAAATAATCTGGGTTTACTTGTTGAAAATTAGGGTGCGCGGAGGTTTGTCTTGGAGTGCGGACAGGTTTTCTCTTCGTAAGTGGTGGGACGGGACTTCCAACATTTCGAAAGCCAGAAATACATGCTGCAGCATGAGTGACTTAGGCAGACATATATCATATTGCTTGCCGTTGTCGATCGGAACCCCCTTGTCCGACGAAGACCACTTTCTTGTTCACGCTAACGAAGCCCTATACAAGGCAGATGCCAGACCAAGAAGGTCTCAGGTAGACTGTTGGTTCCTCCACCGGTCTAGCTTCAGGTACCCGAGATAGCGTTCTCGCAGTGTGCCGCGGCCTTGGGTCAGCTTCTAGGGGTAAGACTACGTGGGCCCTGTGATAGTGCTGGGTTAGAATGAATGAATCCCTGGACAGATCCTCGACTCCACGCCACTGAAAGGAACTACCTACCTTGATCTAGCTCCAGCAGTTTGGGTTTGACTCACAGCCGTGAATTATGGAACATTGAATTGTGGTTGACTTGTAGTAGTTGACCACGCTACACTGTGCCAGGCAAGAATCCTGTCTATGAACATCTGTTACAACGTCGACCAGTAGACATGTGGCACGGCATGGGTAATCAGCCAATTCGCATAGACAAGCGTGTCTCCTGGTAAATTGGAGGCTATTCGAGAGGGCGCGGAATGTGAGCTGGGGGCGGATGAAGCAGTTTAACTGCTTTGCGAAGTATTACAGTGTATTGCTTCTTGGGACAAACCCGACCTAGAGCCCATTCGAACTCAGCAGGGGGGTTGGTGGCAGCTGCTTCAATTCCTATAACCACTGTTTGTGTATTTCCAGCAGTCCCAAGCGTGATCACCTTCTGACGACCGTACTGAGGCCCTTTATTGAGAAGGTGCCCTGGTTCATGGTCATAGCCAGGAAAGAGGACAGGAAAGAGGACATGGCGAGGGATATGACTCTGCTGAATCAAGCTGGTGATCTCTGGCAGGTCATCCTCGCCTAGAAGAAATGCTCGTGGAATTCCGCCTTCCAACACATGACAGAAATCGATGATCACGTATAATTTGCGAGAATGTTGTTGATTACTTAAGTGAGAAATCTTAAGCTCGACGCACGCAATCTCATATACCTGCCCGTAAAATCCGACCCATGGCGGGAAGAACAACGATCTCGACGCATCCCAATGCGTATGGGGAAGCGTACGGGAAACTTTGATGTGCAGATCTGATGACCACCTTATTGATACGGAGTGTTCAAATATTTCGTCCTTTGACTTCGACAAGGTCCTGTGGTCCATAATAATGGTGTTGGCGATGGCGGAAACAGCAAGAGAACCGTTGTCCCAGCTGATGATTCGGGGTTCGTAGTCCATCAGTATTCTTACACCAAGCCGAACGTAGAGCCCCGGGCCGATTTTCTGGAGAAAAACAGCGGGGGTTGTTATGCCCAGGCTGGTGATATATGGGGTATAGTAAATGTTTTGGAGTCGTGCTCTGCCCATGCCCTCTGTGATCCCGATTACACACACGTTCGGGCCGAAATTCAATCCCTTGTTTGTCAGAGTAAACTCCGGAATATCGCGAATGCTCATGCTTTTGGAAGGTTTGAGGTGCGACGTTCCCTCGATCATGTGCTCCCATGTTGCCCCAAAGTCTGCCGGTGAAGTAGCAAAAAGGTTACATGAGGGATGCTCCGTCAAGCTTTTCTTGCTGTTCTTCGGTTGAAAATTAAGAGGTTCACCCCAAAGAAAGATTGACAAATCGTTGCTACGCTTGATGATCTCCTCTTGGAGTCTGCGGAAAGCATTGTCGCCTTCTCCGTAGATGAGTGGCATATTGACCTCGAATATTCCGAGTAGACAGTAAGCTTTGTCTTCAGGACGGGTCGTTTCACGAGACGAGGCCCAGAGCATCCGCTCGGCAATCGCAAAGTCACTCAGTGACCGACGATGGAGAAGGATGTCCTTTGAAACACGCGTGATGCGGTTGATGAATTCCAGGATGCGGTTGTCGCCTTTCTCCCCCACGACATTCCAGTCTCTGTCGAACAATATCACTGTTTTGGGCGCAATGAGTTCCTGCAAGGTGAACCCTCGTTTGAACCAGCGGCATATGCCGAGCTCAAGTTCCGGCCATGCCCCGGGAGTAAAGTCGACAAGATAGGCGTAGCATTCATGGGCATTTTTGTACCAGCGGTACATGGAGTTGATGCTCTCGGTGAGCTCGGCGCTGCTCGACTTGTCGATGCAACAGGTGTCAATCCAGGCCCATTGCTGACCCCTCGTCTGTGCCATTTTGCAGGTATCCTGTATTTTCTTGTATCCAGCCTTTACCATGGTCGACGGAGACTTGGAGACCATCTCCTGAAAGGTGATTTCGTCTTTCTCCCATGTGTGGGAAAGTATCACGTAGGGGGGAGCTTGCGACTCGAAGAACTCGTGAAGCTCGAGCGTCACAGTGTTGATCAATCTCATTTTGACTCTCGTTTGCTGGGTATGTGTACGTCGGCATTATCTTTTGTCGTGCGTCTGGGTATCTCGTGTCGGTCGATAACTCGGTGAATCTGATGATTGTGATCTTAACAACGGCCCAACGGGTGGCATTCGGAAGAAGAGCAGAGGAGAGGAACGAGGGACAGGCTGGATGCGGGGTTTGCTTCCTAATAATGGGTTGGAGAGTCAGCCACCTTCTCTTCTAAAGTGTTGTATTGGATCGGACAAGTTCCCGTGGGGAAGAAGATGGTGCTTTGGTTGCCCATGTGATTGGGCGTCGCTTGGCCGCCCATTCATTCAGCTTTGCTTGGGAACAGCTTGATGCTGCACTTGCCTGGTTATTCCCTCTTTGCGCTCCCAGTCAGCGGTAGCCTGACCCCCATTTTCAGGCCTCGGAGTTGCTTTGGGCAGCAATTGACATTTCTTTCCCAAAGGGCCACCATGGCCACTTGGTTTGGTCGGATCTGATGGCTTAGATGCCTGTCTATCACGGGTGCTGCAAGCTTAGCGGGCAACAAGATAGTGCGGTAACTGTCTTTTCTGTTCAGCTGTGGGGATCATCATCGCGCCGACAAGCGGAAATGGAAGGCCTTTTCTGGATACATAATGTGTGCCGGTTGAGAGTAGCACAGGTGTAGAAAAGCGGGATTTCGTGGTGAAAGTTGCGTCGTATAACTAATCTGCGGTTGAGCGGATGAAGTAGATAATTCCATGATGACGACAGTTGTTGTTCAGGGAAGAAACGGAAGAAGAAGAGCCCAAATGTTAGTGGCTTTACCGGCAGAACAGAGCGATCAGCGGCAGGCAAACAGAGGGCCTATTGCCGAGCACAGATCATATGCCACACCCGACTTATTTTGGGTGTCACTTGTCACCCTAACCCTCTTCTTCACAGAGGGACCAACTTCGCCATCCAATCTGATGGACGTCGACCGGTTCCCGGGGCTGGGATGCACGCCATTGAAGCATAGAGGCATTCGCTGTGTCCACGACACATACTCCCTCTATTGATGCCTTCATCGGACGCTCAAGACCTGACGTCCCAGCGAGAAGCGCGCGAGCACAAGCGGGATGCCAGTCCTGGATGTATCTGCGTCTCAATTCCTGACGGAGAAGTGAGGACCAACAACACCGTGGCAAACGGATTCGCTGACCACTGCTCTTCAGGATCTCAAGTCTGACTATAGAACTAGTCATGATCTGTTCGCTCGACAACCGCAAGGACATTCTCGTTTGGAAGCCAAAATGATGGTGTCGTGTCAGTCCCCGTTGGTCAGTGGCCTCCAGTCACTTCCAGTGTTCTACCACGAGCAGTCATAGAATCCCGATATTGTATACATGCCCCTTGGCCACCATCCAGTACAAACTCCTCATACAGAGCACTGCCATCTTCCACTCTGAACACCAATAACACACTCGATAGCCCCTTTACAGCATATTTCTTGACAACTCCTGGTCACCTACTTCCAGCTTTCCAGTGTCTCCATCAGCAACCAAGACAATGTCTTCCACAACCACCAACACCAGTCTTTTCGGAGGGCCCTCAAAGTCTTCTACCAGCTCCTCCGGCTATACCAGCGCTAGTAGCTCGACAACATCCAGCAGCACTAGCACGACTTCCTCGGGCACGTCGTCCACAGGATCAGGAAGTTCGGGAACGAGCACTACGAGCAGTAGCTCAACCTCTTACAACACTCCCACGGACAAGTCGGGGGTTTCTAACCCTTATTCCTATTCGGGATGGTTCTCTTAGGTTGGAGAATGGAGAGTCGTGGTTTGTGAAGGGATGGTCGTCGGGACACGACGGTGGTAGGCTGACAAGATGGTAGCAAGACGGCTGGAAGAGAGAATGGGAACTGTGATGACACAATGATGGATGGGACTGAGAGAATCGAATCATTAGCAAGGTTGAGGAAGAGCATGCGTCGAGGGGGTAAATATAGGGTTATGTTATTCACCTTATGAACTTCAAGGTGACCTAACACATAGGACCCTTCAATTCCCTGACGTACCACAACCTTGCCTATTTCTGGGCCATGACTGCGGTTGCTGTGGGTAACAGCCGTCTTGTTCAACAAGTTACTCTCCTACAGTAATACCAAACCCTGTGATGGTGGGCCACATGGGGTAGTTTCGTTACTTGTGCAACCTGTTCCTATATGTTTGACTTTGGCCTTCACTGCACGTTACGTTGTTCATGGTTCCGGAAGCAATAGCATGCAAATTCTCCTGAAGAACGACAAACTCATTGTCTGAATACAGCCCTCTTTCTTCATCAGGCCTCATGTCGGGACCGACAGACTCCAGCTCTGGAGGCCACTTTCCCGGAAATGCCCCGCAATGAGAATGGCGACCCAAGTAGATGAGAAAACCTCAGCGCACTCCAAGGCAAACCTATACGCACCCTAAGCTCCAAGAAGTAAAGCGTATTATTTTCAGCTACAACCATCCAATTGTTATAAAACCTGGTACAAGTACAAGAACACGTCTTATTGTCTTATTGAAGGATTTACTTCGTTATCTTCTTTCCAGATTGGCTATAAATTCACGTAGTTGCATTCGACGCGCCAACTTTGCAACTGAGATTTCGAACCGGCCTTAAATCAATCGTAACACAGCCTTTACATACGATATAAGGGATATAAGGCTCTGGAAAGGTAAAGGTCTGCCTAGAAATAAGGTGAAGACTCTTTTGGAGTCACAGATGAAATGCATTGTTGAGAAAAGGCTTCTATAACCCCGGACTTAGAGTGCGCGTAGGTTTGTCTTAGAGTGCGCTGAGGTTTTCTCAACTAGATAGAAGGCGCGTCCCGTGGGTGTAAAAAAGGAAGCAGTCACGACGAGAAGGAACCCAGCGACATAGGGATTAGGGAAGGAAGCTAGCAGTAAAGGAAGGAAGACATTCCCATCAACGAAGCTCATGACTAACTGGAAGCCGGGTTGCGGGGAAGGGACTCACGTACATAAATTCAGGCACCCCAGGTCTGGTGAGCTCACTTGTTTCTCTTGATCACAGCATACAACTCTTCTTGATCAATTGGTTTCAACCCCATTTTGCATACAACTCAACAGCATCATCGAATTACAACCACGTTTCTTCCAGGTTATCTTCTTGTCAATCTCTCCTCAACTTGGCTCAATCTCAACCATACCAACCAACCCAACATGGACGAAAACGAACAGTCTCAACATGAAAACGAAACCTCCAAAGCCCTCGCCCACGCCCTCCGTACCGGAGACCTCGCCACCATCCTTCGGCTCCTCAACTCATCCCAGCATCCCATCTCTCCCACCACAATCTGCATCTCGCCTAACTTCCCGGCAGGAAACCCACTCTCTTGCACTGAGCTTGTCCAGTGCCACCCCCTCGGCGTAGCCTCCATGTTCTCCCACCCCAAACTCGTCTCCCACTTACTCTCCATCCCTCAAGTCCTCACCCACATCGACGACCCTGTCTCCAACCTCTGCAAATGCCTCTACGACCCCGTCGACACTCGGGCCCTGGTTGATCCCGACGTATGGCATGATCCAGCGCACTGGACTGCTTTGCACTTGGCGATTTGCCAGGGAAAAGAGGAAGAGTACGAGAACCCTCCCATCATACTGCCAAACCGCGAGCCTTCGCTGCGGATTGTGAAGGATTTGATAAAGGCGGGAGCGTCCCTTACCGGATCAGCTGATCAACCCCATCAGGAAAAGATCACGATCCTACATACCGCAGCTTTGAAGGGCCGGGTCGATATTCTTTCTTACGTCCTCTCCCCCGAGTTTTCACGGAAAGCGGAAGTAGACATCAACGCCCGCGACCGCAAAGGCCGGACACCACTACATTATGCCGCCCTCCGCTACTCTCCCTCCCCCGACGACGACGAGAAAGACCTCTCCTGTATCAGATATCTCCTATATATGGGCGCGGACCGCGAAAGCCGCGACATCTACTCCCAAACTCCCTTCACACTCGCCCTCTCCTTTGGCTGTTTTTCGTCTGCCAAGATCCTCTTCCTCAAAGGAGCAAAACACGACTTCCGCTTTTTGTTCCCGCACACCTACACTCTTTCCTTCCCATTGCAGGTACTGGCTCACTCGTACGAGACTTTCTTCAACTCTCCATCTCGGCCCGGACCGGTAGCCAAACCAACCTGGGAAGCGCAGCGAGCTGATTTGATCAAGACCATAACCCGGCTTTCACCACCCGGTGTTACGTCCGTTGACTGCGGCTGTTTTTACGCAGACAATATCGACCCGGATGAGCAAGAAGTTCTGCATCCGCTGCACATAGCAGCAGGGGACGGGAGTAATCCCACTTCTGTACTCTCCCTCTTCCTGGATGCATACGCGGGACCTCAATCTCGTTCAGGGTCGAGGGGAACATGGACGACGGCGTTGCACGAGGCTGTCCGATCCCAACCTCCTTCAGAGCGCCTGAGGTGGTCGATGGTACACCCGGACTATGACCCTGAGTCCGGCCAAATTGCCCGATTTGGAGAAGAACCAGAACCACCTGCGGCTGCTTCGTTCGTCAATCCGCCACCTCCTTCTTCACCGTCACGATCCAACTCGACTAGTTCTGCCATTACTGAAGAGTCTGAAGAACGAGGGATATGGAAAATTGGAGCCAAACCCAGGATAAACACACCCGCTCAATTACACCAGTGGACAGCCATTTTGAAATGTGTCGTGCTCATCACGCGGGGCGCAAAACTTTGCAAAACAAACTCGGAAGGGCTGACGGCTTTGGACCTGGCCATTCGCCGCTCAGAAGGGGAGGAAAGTATCTACAGGATTGACGAACAGGGGGGCCAGCAGTACAAATACTGCTCCTACAAGTTCGTCGGCTCGCTATTGTTCAATTTGATACTGCCCTTCAAAAACCCGCCACAGCCGCTGCTGGATGTGGAGGATAGGATGTACTTGGCTGAGAAGCTGAGGGAGGTGATTGTGGCGAATCCGCAGTTGGCGTTTGAGCTGGTGGCTGCTGGGGTGGATCTCGTGGTTGTGAAGGAGAGGAGGCACGAGGTATGGTATGAGGCGAGAATGGCGAGACTGCAAGGGGCTGGGAGTGGGGGGCGTGTTGATCCTTTTTACGCGATCAGATTCATAGAACTGCTTGTGAATGAGTGCGGCGGGAATTTGGAAGCTGCTGTGATTAGAGCCGAAGAGCTAAATATGTTGTAAGAGGTTGATGACGTGGTCGTGGAGCCTCGGTAGGAAATTCGGTTTGGAAAGGGATACATACGTCTACAGTATTGGATTCAGCATGGTTTTGGAATTGGATGGGATGGGGAAGAGCAAGTGGCATTGAATTAGCATTAAGTAGAGGTAATCTCTGTGAAAGCTCCGCTTAACGGACGCATATGACACTCCTTTTTCCACTCCACGACCTCAAGCACGTCACACATCAAAGCGACGGAGTAAATCAAAAAGCCCAGCTTGCATTGTTAGGTACATGATTTTGCATTACTATCCAACCTGCCACTGACCACCACCAAGATTCGTGCTTCCACATCACAAGAACAACTAAACAAGAAAGCACCATTGCCAATACCCTCAGTCGGATACATGGTACCGACTTGAACCACAACTAAGCCTCGCCCAGAGAGCAAGACAAAAGTCAGAACAAGCTAGGTCTTCTCAGAGAGGAATCGAGATGTTGTTAATTGGGATGAGAAATCCTCAACACACTCCAAGTCCAACCTACATACACTCTTCTAAGACCCATATGACAGGTGTCATATAAACACTGTCGTTTTATATAGTAATCTGGGGTCTTTTCACTGTTCGAAACATCGCTCCCGCCTAGCCAAAGAGTCGTGATACTTTTCGTGGTGTTGTAGACCCCCCCTCCCAAACTCGATATTGCCGTCACGGCAGTCACACACACATACCCAATACGCAGATAAGTGGTTTTGGGGTAGTGGTGTTAACAATTGGGATCGTGCTAACAATTGGGAGAGTGGTGTTAACAATTGTTGGGACAGTGGTGTTAACAATTGTTGGGATAGTATCGTTAATAAGTGTTGGGATAGTAGTGTTAACAATTGGTATAGTGTCGTCAATTGGGATGCTCTCAATTGAGATGTTGTTGCCTAGGTCGATATTGACCAGAGGGTCGGTGTTCGGCGGAGTCGTGTACTTGATCGCCGGACCAGAGAAAATGCCGTTCCAGGCAATGGTACTAGGCTCACCGACGTCCATGAGAGCCGAGGACGCGGAGCGGTTGACGAAGCGCCGCTCAGCCAAGGAATCATCCCATCCGCGAAGTTCCAGCGTCAGGACGGTTCCGGGAGCCGGGCAAGCAGTGTTGGTCCCGACTAGAACCGTGTTGCCTGTAGGCGCAACGACTACCGCAAGGTCGGCGACCTTGGCTTGGTAGGTGGCGGTCAAAATCTGCTCGGTCTCCAAGATGGTCGGGGGGTCAGTGGTCGGGCATGATGTAGTCGGGTTTGCGTTCAGAAACAGGGTGAACCGGCCCGAGCCGGTGACGGTGCTGGTGTTGCCGAGGAAGAAGATGAACTGGCAGCTCTTTCCGAAAGTGTCTAGTGGAAAGACGAAGGTGACTTGGGTTCTGATGTCGGTTTCGACTCCATCAGTGGTGTCGTCGTTGATACTCGATGCGTCCGCCCGGTACAGAGCAATTGGCTTCGCGGGTGAGCCCGTCGTACTGAATGGTGCTGCTGGGCATGAGCAGATTGACGTTGTTGACCAAGCCGGGGTACCCAGGGATTGGACGGGGAATAGTCAGGGGAGGAGGATAGTAGGCGTAGGGGTCGTAGTAGTTGTAGGGATAGTCGCCGGTGATGGCGTCGAGCTCGGCAAGGATGGACTCGAGGGACATGATGCTGGTATCACCGATTTCGATGTCGCCCCAGGCGGCGAAGTTGCCGTCGGTGAGGGCCTCGAGCTCAGCCTCGGTGACGAAGCCGGTGTCGAGCCTCTGGGCCTGGACGGAGGCGAGAGCACCCGCGAGGGCGAGAGCTGCGCCGTACTTCATGGTGAGATGATGTGGGCGTCGAGATAGGTGTTGGATGACAGTTGATCTTGTAGACTGGTACGGATCAACCAGTGCAACCGGGACCCACGAACCTCCGAACAAGACAGGTATTCTGAGGATGTCTGTTGGTCAGCTCTTATACCCATCTTCCGGTGTGCAATTGCCGATGCGATTCTTGAGCGACAAGAGTCGTGACGAGACTCGCGTTTCAACCGGACGTGCAGAGACATCATTCTCACCCTGATGCCGATCGTTGTTTAATGAGTCCATGCCTGGGTAGAGGTTGGATTGATTTTGAGACATTGCTTTGCTGTTAGTCAAGGGCAGAAGCATTCCAGGCCCGTTACCCTTTCGGTATAAGCCGTTTTTCACACATTCTTCACCGTGGTATATGGTGAGAAAGGGCTTAAGAAGACATTCCACTCTGTTCCGAATGTTGTTCATTCCCACCCGAGGAAAGAGCCAGTCTTTCAAGGCCAAAGGGTTGCTTCAGTCTTTGCGTCTCGGGCTGGATCGATACATTTCTGGCTCAAACCCCGGGCTGCGTCTTGTTCCATTCCTCAAAGAACTGATGACCATAGTCAGGTATGCACTTGACCTTTTCGGGCGGGCTCGTCTGCCACTGAATGGCATCGTCCTTGTGGCCCTCCCCTCCAACCAATTGGCTCGTGAAGCCTTTCGCTTCCTTGATTTGCTTTCCCTTCTCATCTGAGTACTCGAGGTTGACCGACGGCACCACGGCAATTTTGCCATAGCCATGCCACCAAAAGTCCTTGCAAAGAAGCTGGGGCTCGCCTTGCATACACTCACCCTTTCTCGGAGCCCGGAAAGTGACTTTCTTCTCCAGGAAGGGCTTTGCGGTAAAAGCGGTGGCACCGTTCCAACATGAAAACACCTGGAAGGGTTGGTGGGCAAAGAAGCGCTCGCGCGCGGTGGGCTCGTTCCAGAAGAGGTTCCAGGCAGAGTTCCAGTTGCCATCAGCCGGAATATTGAAAAAGGAGTCACCTCCCGCCAGTGTCCGCGCAATCCATACGTCATAGAAGGTTGGATCTTGGCCGACATAGGTCCAGTCCATGGCACAAGTCATATCGGCACCAAGGAAGCGGCGCTGGTGTACAAGCTCGAGAATATCATCGGTGCAAGCGGCAACGTCATTGAGGAAAATAACAGTCGTGTTCGCTTCGGGTGGGTATAGCTCCGAGTTGTTGGGGTCGAGCATGGGCTGCAGTGCCAGATTGCGGAGTTCGGCGAGCTTCGTAATACGGTCTCCCTGCTTGGGGTTGATGTCACTCGACTTGAAGTAGTATGTTGTGGTGAGCGCATCGAGCTCCGGTCGCAGTGCCTCCAGAACCTCGGCTGTACCGTCGTGGGAGTTACCCTCGATGATGGATAGGGCGCAGCTTTGGGGGCCAAGGAAACGGATGGCTTCGACGATGCTTCCGATAAGGCGGGGCAGTAGGTGAAGGCATTCGCGCAGGTCGAGGGCAAAGAAGTATTGGATCCCCGATGGATCAGAATCACCCTCATCGCCTTGGACCGCGAGGTACTCATATCGCGAAGGATTAAAGGCGGGGCATTCGAGTCGTGGAAGGTTCTTCTCATCGGGGTTCATGATCGCAGCGACGTAGGCAGCGCGGTTTTCGGACGAGAGCGGAGGGTTAGAATGGCGGACCGTGGTATAGTGACGTGGCAATGGCATCGTGGTGCTTCTTGGGACAGTATTCCCGGTCGTTAGGCCTGCGCTGGGCTGAATGTTGAGAGATGGGACCATGGCAAACCGCCCTGGTATTGACGCTCGTGATGGCCAACCACCGAGTTTACTATCGTCTGTCTCCCAGCCTGACGGGATTTTGACTCTTTCTGCTCTTCTTTCTCCTTTTCCGGCTTTTCTTTCTGTCACTTCGTCTCTCTTTCAGTCATCTTGTCCAGTCTCCTTCCAGTGTGGCGTCTGTCTGGTCCTGCAGACTGCCCTTCTGCTGCTAATTTATTCTTCTCTGCGTTGTCTTACTTCATGCATCAATAATACCCACAGTCCAATGTTTACTTTCTTATTTTCCCTGCTGCTCCTATCGAGCATAGGACATTCGTTCGCCGCGAATGTGACCGCTCACTTGGGAGCTCGGTCGAGGAACGCAACCACCACATTAATACAACAGAAACGCCAGAATGGGGTCATTGTTACCAGGCTTTCTACTGTCTTCCTCAGCGGTGAATTCTCAAAGACTCGAACGGCGAACCCTGGCTATGACTGCCGGATCGATCTCAGCGCGAAGCTTTGGGGCTTCTGCCCAACATCGGTCATAGCAGCATCGGATTGCGGTCTGGCTGGCAGTTGCGTGGATAACCATGCGTGCTCCAAAGGATGTGGTTTCACTAACCAAGACTTGACCACATTCACCTGGTGTGTACATCCCCCGGAGAATCGTATCATACTTCCATGGCACAGGCTGACTGATATCTCAACGACAACAGCAAGGATCCCGGCAACGACTACTGCTCTACCGCCCTCTTGACCTTATCCAACCTCGACCTCGGAGCCTTCAGCTACATCGCTTGCGGTAAAGCCCCCATCACCGATAGTTACCTGGCCTGGGCGACCGACGTAATCACCCCCATCCCCATCGGCGCTCAAGGTACCAGCACTTCCACAACAGGAGCCCCTGCATCCACTTCGAAGATTGCCTCGGAGACCGCCACCTCCACAGCATCCTCTTCATCCACAAGCGCAGCCCCATCTGCTTCCGGACCGGAAGAACCAAAGGGCGACTCAAATGGCAATAACAACAACATGGGCGCCATCGTCGGCGGAGTGGTAGGCTCGCTTGCGGTGCTCTGCGGCTCCGTCGTCGCCATCGTCTGGCTACTGAGGAGGAACCGCAAGGAGAAGGCACTCGCTTCATCGTCGTCATCGACAGCGGAGAGGGATATGGTGGATCAAACCGGGAGCGGTGGTGGTGACAATGCTACTGCTTATGCGTTGAACGAGATCAAATACCCAGATATCTACGGCTCGGAACGAGGGTTGGGCGGCACTCCGACGTATGCGGTGCAAGAACTGGACCATACCGAGTATAGAGGGTGGAAAACACCGCAGGAGTTGTCGGGCGTGAGGTCGCCGAGGGAGTTGTCGGATACGTGGGTGAAGAGTATGCCGGTGGAACTACCGGCTGGGTCGGTTTACTAGAAGGGCGGGAGCGGTGATGGGAATGTGATATGATGGACGGTGGTGGAAGCGTCGGGGGTGGTTGTTTGGTTTGAGAAAGAAAAAACATGCATTGGGATGAGATTAATGAGGGATTTTTTTGGATAACGAGTGTTTTACTTTTTCAGCATCTTTTACTTTATGGGGACGAGGTTTGGGGAACTTGGGAGGCGAGATATGGCCCAGCTGCAGCATGATACCAGGCGTTAGAGCCACTTATGAGAATACAATACAGAATATTATGATACAACGGGTGAGCATCACATCAAATAGGAGGTCAACTACCAAAAGTATGTAAACAGCTTGTTCTTCCGGTCATGAGGTTCTGGTGCGAAAAAAAACCGGGAGTGTCCATCGCGACTTTGGTTGTGCTGAGCGTCATTCCAGACAAACAGGGTGTTACAGTACCGCACGACCACGTTGATAAGCACTGTTTTCGCCCCATCTGTGCATTAATCACTAAAAGCGCCAGTGGTTTAGTGGTAAAATCCATCGTTGCCATCGATGGGCCCCGCGTTCGATTCGCGGCTGGCGCATTTCTTTTTCACATTTTGCTCCCATTCCACGCACGGGCCATCTCGCAAATGGATATCTTGCTGCCAACTGCTTTTTACACCAGGTGGTCACTCATCTGTTTTACAACCCCAGGCACGAATGTGTATCTTGTTGTTACCTGTAATACTATATTTTTTATACGCTGTTCGAATCCGTTCCCTTTTCCCCATAAAATAGGTGACAATGTGGAAAAAATGCCGAGTGTCTGCCTTGTGTTTCAGGGCTATGCGACAGGAGTTTCCCAGCTTCCGCTCCATGTCATATATCGCCGTTGGAATTCCCACGAGCATGTGGGACGCAGCTGAGCTTCCATCATTTTTATGAGCCATGGTGTATAGGTCTACCGCTTCCCCTAACCAATTCCAAATTTTCATGCGTTAATGGGGTGCACCATGCGTCCCTCCAGTCACAATTGTACATCACGTTCATATCTCTTGACGTTGCGTCATCGCTCGCAGTATCTCCTTGCCGGCATACTCATCAATACCGGTTGGAGCTATCATCACTCCGGTTATCGGACTTCAATGGCGGTAGTTTCTGATACCCCCCTCTCTGCCTATCTCCAGTCTCCACTCACTGCTCTTATTATGACATGTTCGTCCCAACTCTGATACATCGCCACGCCCTATAGCCCAGCCCTACGTGAGTCACTTTATCCCTAAAATCAGGTACCCGTCAGGGTCCTCACTCAACAGCTGTCAAACACTCGTTGACTTACTCCTTGGCGCATCGTGAACTGTGTTTCATCCGTCCCAAAATGGATCTCATATCTAGCATTGTCCTCTCATTCGCTCTCTAGTGGAAAGTTCTGACGATAACACACACCGTGTGCAAGATATCTGTACCGGAAAAACCAAATTGCCTTCTTCATGCTTCATCATCGTCACCCCTCTATGTTACCACAGCAACTACCTCTACGTTCTCTTAGTGGACTTCTTCCACTCAGAACTCATCCCAGAGCAAGTTCAAGCCTTCACACCAAACCTTGCAAACCCTTAAGTTCTCAACTATTGGCATCGTCACTTGAGCTTCCGTAGCCGTGACAAGCTGCCACGATGTATCAGTACAACAACCCAATCCCGAACCACGTGCTGTGGCCGGGATGGGTCGATCCGTACGCAACCCTCATGGCTGAGCCCACGGGCATGCAGCTGTGCCCTTACCAAGCCAGCGAGGAAGACCTTGACAAGAAGGGCAAGAGTAAGATCACCAACCTCCTCCCTCGCTTCCGGTGCCGCGCAAAGCAAGGCAGAAGAGAATTTCCAGACTAACAACTCCTCACTAGGAGCACCCCCCGACTCAATCGCCTTCATCGCCTCCAACGGCATCGGAGTCCCGCGACGCATCGGCCTCGCCCTCGCCGCCGCCGCCGCCGACCCCTACGCCAGTCTCACCAGCCCCTTGATCCGACCTCGCTACCCTCGCTTAGCCCCTCTCGACTTGCCCGACTTCCTACTCCGCGACCACCACCACCACCTGCGTCTCCCCGCTTCCCAGACCACCTCCTCCTGGGACATGGTCGTCATCGGCCCCGTCTCCTCCGGTTTCTGCTACGCAATGGGCTGGCTCGAGCGCATCGAAGGTCCGGACGCCATCAGGTCTTGGTTCCGCAAGCGCATGGGCCATCGGTACTTCAGCTGGAGCGCATGGCAGGAGGCTCCCATTCTGGACGGCAGGGCGACGTATGAGATTGAGGCTGGGGTGTCAGGGATGCGGTATATCGTGTTGTTGTGCGGAAATCGCGAGACGGCATTGGCGGCGGAGAGAATGTTTCGGTATACGGATTTGACGGTGGGGGTGAAAGACAAAAAGGGATGTCCGTGGGGTGGGATGCCGGATCAGAGGGGGAAGAAGAGGTTGGTTACTAGCTTCAAGGTAGAGTGGGATGGGTATGAGGATTGGTGGGAGCCGAGGAGGTGGGATCAGAGGGGGTTCCCGCTGCCGCCGGATGGGCGGAAGGAGAGGGATTTGAGGGATGCGGTGTATCCGAGGATGAAGGGGACGGAGCCGGAGGAGAGGGTGTTTTGTTGGCCGATGAGGTTGGGGAAGCCGTATGGTCCTTATTGGCAGTCTATTTGAGGGGTGGGTTGGGCACTTGCTGTTTGTTGCAAGCTTGTGCACACGATTTGGCTACATGCTGAAAGGCTTGGGTAGCAATAACATTCCTTGAGTGCATTGGTTGGAGGATCATTGCGTGGAGAAAGGATTACTGCATGGCGGGAGGTCTATTGCATGGCGTCTTGGAGCTTCTTCTTTGCAGGATGTGTTTGCATTAGACTCTTGCATCAGGAACAGAGTTGTTTTACGGAATCAAACAGGCGTCAAGTTGTAGGCACGCAAGTAGAAAGAGTGTGGCTTGCATCATTGTTCGTTCCTTCCGTCGGAGTTGGGAATCTGAATAGTGCCCCACGAGTGCCACTTCCTCATCCCCGTTTGCTTTTGCCATTCATCTTGTCGGTTCCCTTCTAACCCCGCTGAAGGGCCTCTGGGAGAGAAGCAGGAAGCCGCTGCTGTATCGGCGGGGTCAGCCATATATCTCGGGCAATGACAGAATACAGAATCTTGGTACTTAAAGAGCCATGGTCGCTGGTTCTCAGGAACCATGGTGCACTTGTCCCTCCAAGCTTCCATTAGGTACCTTACCCATCGAAGTTTGAACAACACCAGCCCGACATACAGCATGGCCCTGGTAACATCCAAGGACGAAGCTGACCTGAGCAACGAGATATTCGACATTGCAACCAACGGTGATCTCGTCATCCGTCTCAATGATGGATTGGTGAGAGTTAGTTCCCATATACTTCGGTCTTCTTCTACCACTGTCTCCGGCAGGTTGTGGGATCATTGTGACAAAACCAGGCACAACCCTTGGGCTTTCCACAGTGACGACCCTACAGCAATGCGCACCATTCTAAACGTGTTACATCATAGGAACGACAGGGTTGCTGTTTCAATGCCGGCCAAAGACATTCTTCAGGTCGCTATTCTAGCATTCAAGTACGACCGGTGTTCATCATGGCACTCTTGACAAAATTCTCGGGGCCATACATAAAGCTTCTTCATGTCCATGACCTGTTATTGATAGAGGCAAGGGTCTTCAAATACCGGCGAATCTGTGAGAGGCACCCTTCCCCAAGATACCATACACTCAATGCATTACACACGGACTGTGTACCGTTTTCCGCGAGTGCCACTATACCTGCGTACACTTCGATTACATACTTACTGACCTCTTACAGTGCTCTTGGAGGAACGAAGAAGCCATCTACAGCAAGAACTTCTCAGGATTATCCGTAAAAGAATCAGGGACGACTTTCTCACCTTCCCTTACTGCTCCTGTACCTCTCCGGAGTTCAAAGAGATCTGTGCAAAGTTCGAGGGCGATTACACGCCAGACAAGTTAACAGGCGACTCCATGTCTGTTCTCAAGATTTTGACAATTTTGACGACAACCATTCCGAATGATGTGCGTGGATGGCATAATTGTTTGATCCACAAAAACGAACTCGACAAGCTTTCGTCCATGGAAACGGACTCTAAACAACTGGTGGCCTTGACACAAAGGCTGGCAGTCTGTATGTGCTGTTTGGATTATGAGGAGAATGAAGAAGAGTGGAGGACTTGTTCGGGGACCCATGAAACAAACCCGGAGTTTCCGAAGAAGCGTTTGTTTTGATGGAACAAATTCCAGCACCTTCTCTCAGCTGTACTCATAACATGCTCATCACGTTCACATGGAGTCAATACTTTGTAAATGACTATTGGATGGAGGTTTCCAGGCCCCCTTTCCCCTTGCTTAAGAGTCATGTAGCATATTTGTTTAGCATAATATGCTATCGCCAGAATCATTAGTCGTACTCACTATGATCATGAGTCTTCGGTTACTACTTACTAGTCCATCACGCCACGCGCAATGGGTGGCTCATAGACTTGATCTATAAAAGAGCTGCTTCTCCTTGGTTCATCAATTTCAGAAATCAACTCAAGAGGCACCAATACCCCCAGTAACAATTTCATTCACCAGCACGCCCAATCTCTAGCATGTAGTGTCGAGGGAGTTGATAAAGTTCCATGTGAGTTTGTAAACGTAATTGGCCGAGAGGTCAGGAGCCAATCCGTAGTCGTAAAGCACCCTTAGCAACTCCTCCCGCTCAGGAATGGTCGGCATCGAGGCAAGAATGTCGTCCCGGATCTTTGACTGACCGACGTCATCGCGGTTGTCAATGCTTTCCTTCGCCGTTCGTCTGTACACTCAGCGCGAGTATGCCAGACGATCCCGGAAAAAGGGGCGGTGCGGTGAGTCCAGCTCTTACATGTATTCTGCCTCTCCAGTCAACAATGACGGCTTTTGAAACAAAGCTGAGATTAAGAAGATCAGATGATGAACGCTATATGCCCTGTTTCAGAGTTTTGTCAATAACTCCTTACCTAGAGGTATTCTAGTTCTATAGGGTAGATATGCGCATATCTTCCTATTGTCAGGTCGCTTTAATTCTCTCTGTTTCGATGTTACTCTCGTTTCACATTCAACTCCGTTTCCATCTGTTGAAATTCCTATTGTTACTCTACTCCAGAGTCCTATTCATGATTCAATGAGCAGTACGCTGAATACGTGTTTGTGTCTCCAATATGAACTCAATAGGCAGACTCGGTTATTGTGCATCTTAACAATAGGTCCTACGATATGAGCTACCGAGAATTAGAGGTATAAATTCCCTTCTTTCTTTTCTTTCCTTCTCTTCGATCTTCCTTTCTTTCTTCAGCCGAAGTTGAGCTCAGATTCTTTTTTTTCCCGATCGTCAAAGACAGTTCCAAGTTTCGAACATTGAATACCTCTCTACGTCTACATCTTTCAATTTCGACAGAACTTTCTTCAAACTTGACTACATCTCTCGAGTTTCGATCAAAACTTCAACCATCACAGACAAAAGAATCAACCATTCATCCAAAACCCCTACCTCTATATATCACTCTACCCCAAACTTTTTTCTCGATCTTATCCAAGATGGATAACATCAACTTCCCCGCACAGCCTCCCAACTCTCCCGCCGAGTCTCTCGGCTCCATTTCATCTGAGGATGCACCAAGCGGTGACCTCGTTTTCCTGGTGGGCCCAGCCCAAGAAGAGATCCTCGCGGATCTCACCGGCCTCCGCGAAGCATCGTCCGTCTTCGCCGAAATCCTGGCGCCCTACGCCATGGAAATGCAAGGCATTTCCTACCCCGGCTCCGGCTCCGGCTCCGGCTCCGGCTCTCCGCTTCCTCGGGAGATTTCGCTCCCCGACGACAACGATTTCGCCATGAAAGCAATCTTTTACGCCCTCGCTTTCCCCGGCGAGTTCATCCGGCCCGCCACCCCCGCCAACCCTGCGCCTGCTGGCCCGAGTGCCAGAGAGTTTCTCCACCTCGCGGTGGCAATCAAGAAGTACAAGTTGCAAGACAACTTGTTTGTGCCGTGGGCCCGCTGGTTCGCGGAGGTTGTCGACAAGGTCAAGGCGAACGGAGGAACGGCCCAGGAGATGGTCTGGCTGGTTGCTGCTGCTTGGCAGCTGGGAGAGAGAAGACGGTTTGCGGAGCTTGGCTTGGACCTGATGGTCAAGCACCAGGGCAGGGCTGGATCCTTTGCTCGGCTGTGGGCGGGGGATGTGGTGGTGCTGAGGGTGCTGCCTGAGAACTTTCGTTGCAAGTTTCAAATCTTGGTGACATTGGATTCCATGAAAGCTAACTCGTTTTGATCTGTTTTTTTTAGCTCTTGTCGGCGAGCGCGCGGCCCAGCTGAAGATGCGGGTCTTGGACCTCGTTCGCCACAGAGTGGCTGATGACGGTTGCGGCTGCGGAGAAAGGGCCGAGTTGACTAGTTCGTGGGAGGATGTTTGGGAGGAGCACGGCTGGGGATCTACGGTTCCCTTGAGCGAGTTGCTCAGGGCCGTTGAGCCGCTGGCTGAGCAGGAGGCAGCGAGTGTGGGAGAGGAGTGTGATTGCGGTGAGAGGGAGTTGGGACCGGGTGCTGTCAAGAAGGAGCTGGAGAAGGCTAAGAGGGAGGCGAAGATCTGTTTCGAGTGCGTGGAGATGGGTGGTGCGCATTCTCATTAATGGGAGTTTGGGTTGCCAGATAATCGTACCATGGTATAACGGTGACTAGGAAAGACTTGGGCGTTGTACTGCGGTTTGGTAGTGGGACCTTGACCTTTTTGTTCCACGAAAGTCTTCAACTTGGAAGCTTCTTTGAGCTTTCGATAACAACAATGACCGAAATGAAAAGATTGGCCGCGTTGGTCGTACTGGCAGAGACGATTCGAATTGAGTGCAATATGAGTGGAATTTAGTGATGCATTTTAATAATGCAACTGAAGGGTGTAGTTGAGTGGTTGGTGGTGGTGGAACGTGGGCTGCCAAAAGTCTGAGTTTAGAAGAAAAGGGACCTCCGACGGGCAACCAATGGTGACCAAACCATGACCACTTCATTAATCGAATGGCGTCCTTTTAAGTACATATGTTGATGCTTTGGTGGATTTCTTACCGTTTCATCGAATCAAAAATCGTTATTGCGGAAAAGATGTGCCAGAGTGTCTGAGGAGCACAGTTTCCTACCTCTTTGGACCGCTCTCAACAGCGCAAAAATTTGACGGAGGTGGAAAGGCGACGACAGAAAAGCGCTGTGATTCTGATCATGTCTAACGGAAGAGGAGAAACGGAAACCAGGGCAGCCTTGATACACGGAGGAGTGCCGGTCCGTACCGGTGAATGGGAAGCCCACCGCCCAGGGCACGGACTTCCGACACAAGACGAGTGAATGGAAGGGAGGTGGGACGACCCCACCGCTTTCAACCTCCCACCTCCACATCCTTCCTTTTTCCCTTCTTTACAGTCACACCACCTTTTATCACCAAAGCAAGCTAGAATAAATCGCACGTACGTGAATACTCGTCATACCAGTCACCCGAGCAGTTTGCTAACCTTTTTCGGCAGTCTCTTCATCACCAGAAGACTCACGTCAGGTTCGCGCATCGCGCACACGATTTCCAAGATGCCGCCGTGGGCTCCAGATGCCACGATCGAGTTCACGGGCAGTCAGCTACTCCATCTGAATCAAACCAATCAAGTTTATGAAGAATGGGAAGGCTTCGGCGACTCTGACGGCGATTCTGATTCCCACTCGAGTGAAAACCCCCCACCCCAGCCCGCCAGCAAATCTAGTGATCCAACAGGCGATCCAGAAGACGACGATCTCTTTGATCCTAGAGATGCGATTCTCAACCCACCCTCCGGCGCCATCCACCCCTCCACAACAATCGAAGGCCTGCAAGAATCAGTCAACAAGTGGGCGCTCAACCATGGATTCGCAGTGACCCGTGGGCAAGGGCGTGGCACCAAGCCCAGAGTCCCAGCCAAAGACTACACTCGATACTACTTCTTTTGCGATCGATTTGGCAAGCCGCGCAAATCCACCGCCACCATAATAACCATTCGGAAGACAGCCTCGCGCAAGTGTGGTTGCAACTGGAAAGCATTTGCAAAGAAGGACAAGGAGGGGGTTTGGCACTTCCGTTTACACGACAAAGCCGTCCATCGTGTACACAACCATGGCCAGACTCACCACCCTTCTGAACACACTCAACACCGCAGGCTGCAGCCAGAAGTTTTCGAAGCAATTGACGAGGCTTCCAAGCTCAACGGTATGCCTGCCCGTGAGGTTGACTCCGTCCTACGGAAAAGATTTCCAGGCTCGGTACACACGAGGAGGGACATCTACAATGCGCGCGCGCGTATCCGCCTTCGTAATCTCAATGGTTAGACTCCGACTGGCGCAGGACATAACTCTGGGTAAGAGCCGCTCACATTCCCTACTTCTGACCATACTAACGAACCGGGGACAGCATCTTAGCATCGCGTAACCGGAAGCCTCGCTCAGTCTTTTTGCAACCCCGTCAGACTCGCCCAGTGACTGCCAGCCAAGCGACTATCAGTCAAGCGGTTACAGAGACCCAGCCCAGTCAAGTAACTGTGCTAGAACCAGACTCCCGAGTTAACCAAGCGGTTATGGAGACCCAGCCCAGCCAAGCAGCGATGTAGATAACTCAAGTTCAATCAAACAAAGGTTTGAGGTTGATTGAGTGGGTCAAGTAATGGAGTTGAGTTGATTGATTACTTGATTGGTTAAGTAATTGCCAAGACGAGTGGAGCGATAGAAAACCCTAACCCTGACCCGACATCGCTCCTGAAAGTCCGGACTACGGGCAAAATGGGACAACTTTTACTACCAAAAAAAAATTCTGCCGGGCGGCCAGTTAAGGTCAATCAAATTGACTATGTGTAATTGCTTGGTTGACTTGCAGGGAGACCTCGATTTGATTGCTTAGATTTGCTTGATTGCTTGAACTTGGCTTGGCAACTTGACTTATCTACATCGCTGCAGCCAAGCGGCTGTGTCAGAGTCTGAGCCATCTATCCAGAAGCTGAATACACGCAAAAGATGTAGTGGAATCAGTTCCCAAGCGGATTTTCCAGCCCCCTCCCCCAAGGTTACAAGCAGTAACCGTGTAAGCAGACCCAGCCAGATGGTCAAAGAAGCTCTCCAACCAGTATGGGTATACATCCATAGATAAGTCCAGCAAATGCTAAACACCATGTAAATTATCAAGATATGACTTCATGTGCTTAGTAGCATGGTCATTTCATAGCTTTTGAAGCTGAAGGAGGGATGTGCGACGGGTAATAGGCACTTTCGTGTTGGTGGTCCAGCGAAGGTGGATGTTGCTTTCCTAGGGAAACCCTTCACACACCTTGCGATTTCCTATACGTAGGTACCCTGCGAATTTTCGAGGTCTTTCAATTCATCAACTACCACGACTAGTCCTGACCTGACCGGACTGCGAGAGGCCTTACATAGTCAACGTCAAAGGGGCCGACGGTATGGTCGACCGCTTTTCGTCGCGCAACTTTGTCGATTTTGTTATCGAGGAGTTTCCAAGCCCTGGAATCTGGGCTGTGTATGAAAGACTGCAGCGGTACAAAGGAAAGCAGGTTGCGAGGTACGGAAACGCGGCTCACTCATGGACGCCAATTGACGTCCATCGCATAGCCAAAGCCATCCTACATGCGCAACGGCGGCGCCCCGGTACATTGTTTCTATTGTCTATGCGCCTAGTCCGCAGGTCATAGTCCGTCAAGGATCTGGGAGAGTTGGCCGGCAAAGGGGCTTTGCTCAGCGCATTTGAGCATAATCTAGTAGTTCATGTGTCATCCTTGAGCTTCAGGCTCTGGATAACTGCATGCTGGATGTCCTTGAGCTCAGGAAAGCCTTCACGCACCCTGCGATTTCCTATACGTACCCTGCGAATTTCGACATCTTTCATTCATCAACTACCACAACTAGTGCACCGTCCAAACCCTCGTATCCCCAAGTCAGTAGCGCTAATCCCACATACCAAACATGTTTCCTTCCTGACAGTACTTATTCCCAGTTTATTTTCAGCGACTTGTTTTTAGTTGTATTCAAAGTGTCGTCTTTTGTAACCGGCTCCCAAAGACTGTATTCGAAGTCTCCTGCTCCAAAGAGCTTTGTCGGCAATTCTTGAGCTTTCTCTTCGTCTGTTGTACTTTCTTCGAGAGAATACCTTCCCTCCCCAGCCACCCTTCGATACTTCCTCCAGTTTCTCGTTTCCTAGTCACATCCGCCATATAACACAGAGCCAGCTCCATCATCCGGCCACTGAGACAACTTCCCTCCAGTACGCAACGATGGAGAATACAGACCCCACACACCGTGCCATAACGGCCTCACACACTTACGTTTCCAACGCACTGACCGGCACCCGTAAGACTCCTCTCATCAACATCTCGCCCGTCGGTAATATAATCATCACTGTCAGTATCGGCAGCGGTAGCCACGATCTGTCTGAGTCCGCAAGCCAAGAAGGCCGCCGAAGACGGACTAGCCAACAAAGCGTCTGAATGTCAGCTCGTCCCGATCAATCCTAGCGACTGGCCATTCGTCAGGTGGAAAGTTGAAGTAATTTCAACCGATATCCAGAACCAATCGTTGATCGTCCCAGAGGGGAGCAACCTAAAGCTCAATGGAATAAACCTCCATGGAAGGGAACTCAAGTTCCAAAACAACAACCGCCCAAGAGCGCGATTTATATTTTTCCACTATATGTTCGCCCTCATCATATTGAGGGATAGGAAACGGCTAGGGTGGGCATATTATTGGTCTCGCCATATAACTACCAAACCCTTCCCTACACCGGGGCGATATTGCAAAGAAGGCTATTTGATGGCCGTAGCTGCTGAACAAAAACTTATGCCTCCGAAGATAATAAGCACTTTCTTGGAGGAACTGAGCAGTTGCAGCAGTTGGGTATAAAGTGTTGAACTATACGGAGGAGGTAATCACGTAAGACGACGATATGGTGGTGAATGTTTTAATTAATTAAAGAGAGAGAAAGAGGAATGCAAAGAAGGGAGATGAAATCTAACTTATATACAGGGTAAGCATATGTAGATCATATCCACCCTATACCAAGAATACCAAGATATAGTAATAGCTTCAACACTCCCCCTCGATCCAAATATAAATTGCCCTATAATAAGAAAATAAGTAGAAAAGGCTAAAAACGGTAAAAATAAGATTATTTACAAGTATTTTTCTCTTGCCCAATACAATTAGTACTAATAAAACTTAGTAGGAAAAAGAATTACCGCTGTAAGGGTTAATATAAAGACGGTAATATAATAATAAATATAATAAGTTTTGAAAACGAAAATAAAGAATAAATAAAAGATAAAAAGTATAAAAGCTTTTCATATAAAGGTTGTAAAACTATATAAGTGATACTAATTAATTTATTTTAATATAATAATTAAAATAAATATACTTATAAAGCCGTACGAGGGTTGGAAGGTATTAAGATGGCCGTAAATCGATTTTTAAAATTTCCTATATTAGGGAATTTCGTAGAAATTAGAAAATCGAAATCAAACCGTCGATATATATATACACTTAATTGGAAGGAATAGGATTTATAAATAAAGGACTAACCCAATATAGAAGTGACGAAAAATGAAAAAGCAATATAGTAACTAACTATTGGGTATAGAAAGTTTAATAAGTATATATATATAAGGAAATAAGTAATTAAATATTAAAAAAATATTAATAGATTTTCAATAATAATAATAGGGTAAAAGGTTCTAATAACCCTAATATTTAACGGTACTATTCAAAGATGCTTCGGAGTAACGCCTTTATAAAAATATCGGCAAACTATTCCTTAGTAGCTATATATTAGAAATTTACGCACCTAATAACTTACGCTTCCCTATACTATATTTTTTAAATACTAATATTATAAATTCTTCGTTAGAATTATAGTACCCTAATTATTACAATGGATAATAGTAACGGAATTAATTATAAAGGATAAATTTAATAGTAATTTCCTAAGCTAAATCGCTTCTTTAATTAGTTGTATTTATATTATAACCTTTACTTTTGTAAAATAATAAGGCGATAATTTATTAACGTTTTAACTACTAATTAATAGTTACGCTACCGATATAGAATATATAACTACCTATAGAGCGTTTAGCAGAGGTATCGCCGCCTTAATTAGCATCCAAATAACTAATAAAAATAATAGAAGATAGGCTAGAATGAATAAAGTAAAGTGTAAAAGTGTTACGAAGGTACTTAAAAATGCGTTTTATAATTAATATATAAATTAGGATTAATTTAGCGAAATATCGGCTATAAAAGGATACTACGAAAGCGATATCTAAACGTATACCGAATATTATATATATAAAGGAACCGATAATTGTGACGGCGCTTGCAGACTGGGTCTGGGTGCTATGCACGGATGTAGTTCAAGAGGGTGCTGGAATAAGGTACATAGAGGATTCTAGGCAGGGCACGGTCTAAAGATACAAACTATTCAATTAACTATACTAAAACTAGCTATAAAGTAGATCCTAGTACGTATAGGGTTTATTATATAGGTAAAGGGGATACGAATAAAGGGATTAGCTAATAGCGACCCGTATATAAGTCCCGCTATCGCTTATACGACCAAAATACTTATTTAAATTTATATACCTATACTTAATTTTCTTTCTCTTTTCTTTTTCCTATTTAAAATCTTCTATTATAAATAGAATCTTAACTTTACCTTCGACTCACCCATACTATACCCTTACATTATTTCAAATTAACTAACAATAATTACCTAGGAAAGTTAAATCCCAAACCGAAAACGAAACCAAAAAAATCTATCGTAAAAACTTAAAATACCGAATATTTATAATAATAATACAATAATACCACCACGCCAAATATACAATAGCGTCGGGAGCTATAAAAATACCGAATAGACTAAAAACCGTAACGAACATTATAACAAGGACGGCTTTAACGATAATAATAATCGTAACGATACCTTCTTTAATAATAAGGAGGGCGGAAATAGTAACGGAAAAAGAGGCTTTAATTCTATAAATCCCGACCTTTTACAAAAAAAGGATATAATTATCAAACCGCAGCCTAAAAAGAAAGTCGTTATTAACAACAAAAAGCCTACTTCTAAATACTAAACTATTAATCCTATTATTAAAAACAACACACGCAAAGCTATATATTTTAATAAAGAGCGCTACAACGGCCTTTACCATAATAAGGAACGCTTTCGCAACAAATTTACAATCTTTCGTAAAAAATCCCTATACTATATATACTATTAATTAAAATAGCCTAACGAAGCATTAACTAAAGCGATCGCTAATATAGAAGAGGATAAC